AACACCATAAAAATCATTGATCTTCTTGCATGTCATTTTGATTCTCCACCAAAACCTTCCACTGGTTGAACATCTTGAAGGCTTTACTTTTGTGCTTCATCATGAATATTCAACTAAACTTTGAGTAATCATCAATAATAGACAAAAAAAAAAAACTTGTTGCCACCTGTTTTCCCGGCGAGAAAAATAAAGGAAAGATAACTGAATTTTGCACCTTTTTTACTTCCAAACAAACGATTAACAAACACGGTCCACACCTCTTTGAACAAAGTTCAAACAAGGGTGTTCGATGTTCTTGGTGATCTACGAGGCAAACTAAATTACATTAATTCTACTCCTATGGAGGTTCAGCGAGAGCTCCGAAACTACAACTATGGCTACATTTGCAGAGGAAAAGGTAAAGATAAAAGGATAAAATTTGACAATAGGTTGTCTGGTGTGATTTTGGCGAACCCTTTCTCTGTCATCTTCACCTCCTATTTATAGCCACCAGAAGTAACTGCCCCAAGAAACTGCTCTGCTGACGTGGAGTGACGGTTACCCACTCAACTGCTATGACGATTACCCTGATGTTGGATGTGGGATCCTCTTCACCCAATACCCTTCTTAGGAAACTTACTGTGGGATGTGGTAATAACTTCCCCAAAAAACACAATGCTCATAGAATTCCAGCCACCACACCTTATGCCCACAAAAAATATCTATCTTCGAAAAAATTTGCATCCCCTTTATGCCCATATGACCTAGTCTCATGTGCTAGAGACTGGTCATCATATCTTCCTGGTGGACCTCAAGAAATGTAACTACCGCAAAACCTGACAACACAGACCCTTGTAACATATACAAGGTACCACACTTCACGCCTTTAAGAATCTTCTTTGAACCTTTGCAGACATACACAACTCCAGCTTTTCCCTTCAAACTGAAACCCTTAATGTTTATAAACTTAAAGAAGTCAGATTCTTGGTTATCTGTGGAACATTTCGAACTTTGTTCATAAGATCAAATGAGCCATCAAGTGTACGTACCCTTATGGACCCTATTCCAACCACCTTGCGGACAACTCCATTGGTCATAACCACGGTACCACCATCTATCTTCTCGTAGGTTGCAAAACAGTTCATGTTCGGAGACATTGGTACAAGGCTACAGTATCCAGAAATCACACATCCCTACGATGTACCTTCTCATCTATAGCCAATGTGAGATCATCCTCAGAACTGGTGTCTACTTCTGCTCCGGCCGTAGAACCTTGCTTGTTATATTTCCCTTTTCCCTTTGTACAATTAGCTTTATAGTGCCCAACTTCTCTACATATATGACATGCTTCGCTTGGATGTGGACCGGGACATCTCGAATTCGAGTTCCTGTTCAAATTCTTACAAGATTTCTTATTCCCCTTAACACCTGCAATAGACAACCCTGATGCTTGACTCTTTGTACCAGATCCAGACGCCTTATACCTGATCTCTCTCGTATGAAAATCATATTTGACATCCTCCAACGTCATACTATCTTTCCCACCAATAAAAGAACTCACAAAATTCTCATATGACCGAGGAAAAGAAAGTAACAGGATCTTCTACTTTGACATCTATGTTACACAAATCAAACAAGATGGCATTTTGTTGTTCTATATGCTCCCTCAAAGGTGTACTTTCATGCATCTTCAAGCTGAACAATTGTTGCTTGAGATGTGGTTTGCTGGCTAAAGACTTCGTCATATACAGACTTTTCAGCTTCAACCACAAGTCGGCGACAATCTTCTCAATAGCAACTTCAATGATGAAATAATCAAATAATGATAGCATGATGTTCGAGTGAGCCTTCTCCTCTAGGGTGTTCCCCTCCTTGTCATCGAGCCCTATCTTCTTAGGCTTCCCAAATATCCGCCCCCACCACAATCATTGTTGTTCAATAGCGCCTGCATTTGGATCTGCCATATATCGAAGATGTTCTTCCCTGTGAAATTTTCGATCTTCACATTCACTGAAGTCTTTCTTTTATTTCGAAATCCCTAACTGAAATCAACCAGCAGCTCTAATACCACTTGTCAGGTTCAAGGCAGTCAAAAGCGCGATTCTACCTAAAAGCATTGAATGGGTAAAATTGTAAAGCGTGAATAGAAGCATAAAAACATGAATGTACTATAGTAGTTGTTGGGTTTGAGGTGAAGATGGAGAAGCTGATTGATTTATGGTTATTTTTACCGTTTTGTGTACTAAGCGACTTTAGATAGAAATTGAAACGTTCTTGTCCTCTCAATAGGTAGAAATGTACGAATTTACGCTTTAAAGCGTGATTTTGACCGCACTGCTGGTTACGCGCAAGAACCAGCGCAACCACATTTTGCCAAAAACACCAACCTAATGAAATCCATTTAACTACATCTGTTGTTGAGCTGCCTCTATAAAATCATTCACTTTCTTGTAATTAATCGATGTGGTACTAGATCAATTTCTGGGTGTAAACTATTGGGGTCGAAGATATTGAGTCTTAACACAAAAGAAGCAGGAACCGTAACCATTCATATCTCGATTAAGGTAACAAAGTCAAATGTTGCATCATATGAATGTTACCATTTTCACTTAGAACTTAGAAGAGAAAGATCCAGCAACGGGTGGGGGTTGGTTGATGTAGAAGTGGGGACATGCAATCCGGGTATGATATTGTTGTGCTGGGGAAGAAACAATAATTGACCTCTCGATCGGCCCCAACAAAAATAAACAAATCACTGATAGCAGCAGCTAGGGGTAACTCGTAGTACTGCATTATTATTACAATTTGGAATGGTCAAGAAGACTACTGGCTTTTAGTGTATTGGAGTTGTGGGACTGGGAGCATTCATGTGTTTGTTTAGTTCTGAATCTGAAGCAAAGATGATGTGGTTAGGTTGAATTTGAGATCTTGCCATTTCTTAGTCTTGAAGTAGATGCATACATGTATAATTGATTGGAGCAGGTATGCATACTCTTTGCCTTTTTCGTGCATTGTTGGTGGGCTTCACGTGAGAATTGATTGAACAACACACTGGCACTTCTGGGTCGTTTGGAAGTTGTGATTGTTAAATAGATGTATTGTTGAGAATACATGTATAATATTATACATGTATTGTCGAATGTGATGCATTGTAGAATACAATGTTTAGTATGTGTGATTGTGTATGTCTGCATCAGCTAAAAGCGGAGACAAAACAATCTCAACAATCACAACTAAAAGTTGAGATATAACAATCACTCAAAATGAGTGATAGTTTCTGTCACATCACAGAAACAATCCATGTATTATTTCTGCTAAAAAAACAAAAAAAAAATGATGCATTGTAAACAATACATGCATAATGACAATCTCAACAAAACTATCGCAACTTCCAAACGATCCCTTCGATAAACCTGTGTGCATGCAGTTTCGCTCTTAATCTTAAACAACATTTTGTTCCGTCTAACTTCAAGTACTAATAAATACCAGCTTTATATCCGACCTTAATTAGCTCAGTTGGTACAGCAGAGGACTGTAGTTGAAACGCAATAGGCGATCCTTAGGTCGCTGGTTTAAATCTGGCAGGTCGGATTCTTCATTATCTATTCATCTCATAAGCAAGGTTGTCAATGCATTGTCTTTTGGGGAAATGTGATTATTAGAAAGAAAGAAAAAAAATGTTATGAAATGGATGGGGAAGATGAACTCATGAACGTATATAAGCAAGGTTGTCAACCCCGTTGGCCCGGTCGAATAAGTGGTTTGAGGGTTAATGGTTCGATCGGTTTAGTCCAGATATATGGGGGAAAAACATTATATTGTTGATACATTTATAAGTTACGTAATTTAGAAAGGAATGATTAACTTTACGCTTAGGCACGTCTAGGCGTAAGGCAATGGCTAAACGCCTCGCTCAGGAGTCTCGCGCCTAATTAGATACAGGAACACGTCAATGAAATCGGGCGACATATAAGTCTCTCCTAAACTTTACTAGATGGAGATAGGAAGTCAATATTAAGTGAGAAAAATTAAAGTCAACTACAAAAATCAATTTTCTATATCAATATTCTCAATAGGCCGAGAACTTTGCGAGCTATTGAGCTATGATTCTATGAATTCGTGTTCTTGTCATTAAGTGTCGAGTAACTTATTAATCATTTTAAATGAAGTGATGAAGTGTAGCAGGTTATAATTTTAATTTCATTCATCATTTAGTGCGAATAGCTATTTTCTTCCAACGTCTAGCATGCTTAGTCTATGCTAGCCAAAGGCTCAAATCCCGCTTTACGCTTATCATCTTTTTGAAACTTGATAAATTATATCAAATCTTATCTAACTTATGAGTAATAACATATAGCATTTCACCAAAATAACATGACGATCCCCCCCCTCCCCCCCAGCGGGAAAAATGGACGCATTTCGCAAACCTAAGGAAAAACAATATCGTATGACCTTTAAATCTAGCAGCCTTGCAATGAGTCGACCCGACGGGTGTATGCGATCTGTTTTTCTCACCGGTCAAGGTCAAAACGGGTCAAACAGTGGATCGACCCACAAGTTGACAACTTTGTATATAAGAGAAAGCTAGATAGCAAATATTAACCCATTCTGTCTTTCCTAAAGTGATAGCAATATTAAGGATATCGCATAAACTTAGTTATTCACACTTGTATAATTAATTAGATCTGGCCCCATGATTTTGAGTGGGGTCGAATATAAGGGTTGTGAATAAAATGATTTTTTTATTTTCTCTAATTTAACTAATCGACTTTTATTTTCATCATTCTAATTTAGTTTTTAAAAACAATTTGCACACATGGAATGAGTTTGTTGTGATCTACAAAATGCTATTCATTTTCGTATGTTTCGAGAAAAAACATTCATACCACTTGTACCACCTTCGTTTTAACTCGAATTTTGAAATTTGGTGTTTGATGTCTCACAACATCTCATAAGCTTTGATTTGGTCAGAAAGATCGGAGAGTTTTGCTGCGAATTTGTGGATGTTGATTGGGGCGATTAGTCAGAAATGTTCTTTATTATCAAGCTCAAGCCAAGTTCAATCATTCTTCTAAAGATTCCATTTTTTTATGGGACAACCCTATATTGGGAAAAGTTTGTCATTACTCTATTAGTAAGCGCCAAGAAAATCGATCGCAGTATTTCATAAGGGCGGTTCAGAATGCTTAAGCTTCACCTACTTTCGACTAGGGGAGCAACTCAAAGAGCAAAAATTGGACTTGGATTAGAGAGTCATGAAAGGAGATCTTAGCAGACTTTCCCAAGCTATCCGGGTTATCTCGAGTTTCACTGGATTCTGGTGTGCCTACAGCTGCACATATTTCCCCTGAAGATTGTGTTCAGCAGCTCCGGTTCACTCCCCTGTTCTGACCCCTGTTTCTCCTATAAATTCAGAAGGAAACGTGAGTATGGAAGCTTGGCTAAGGGAAGGTGCCTCTTTGCCCCTGATTTGTTGTGATCTTATGCTTTTTGCTGCTGTGTTGTTGTTCTGTTCTGGGGTTCCACGGTTTGTGGTGTAAACTCCCTTTTTTCCCTTTCTTAATTATTTGTATGTGGGATGGTGCAACTAAATATGGTTCCCATTCGGCTGGAGGGATTGTTCTTTGCACTCATTTAAGAGAGATTCTCCTCGTTAAGGGTGTCCAATTGCCGGTGGTTGAGGATCCGATGGTGGCAGAGCTTCTTGTGCTTCGGGACGCGATTTTTTGGTGCCTTGAAATTGGAGTGACAAATGTCGTTTTTGAAGGTGATGCCAAGGTGCTCATTGATTAAATCAATCAGGCAGATAATGGAGACAATCAGACGGGGGCTGTGTTGGACGAGATTCTACAGTATCTTAGATCCCAGTCTGGGTTTGGGGTTCGGTTTGTAGGTCGGCGTAACAATAAGGTAGCACATTTAGTGACTAGAAAAGCCTTGTCTTTGTACCCGTCTATGAAACGGTTTTTTGATTTTCAGGCCTGGCTGCTCTCCAGGATGTAACTATCTTTTGGTTTGATTCAATATATCACTATCTTTTGTAAAAAAAAAAATTATAAATAAATCTGCATCACTAGCTGACCCAATCAGAATACTATGCTGTTCATAGATGGTGTATACCTCACTTCGCATTTTCTTTTCCTATGTTATGCTCTCTAGTTTTAATCATAGAAAAGAAGAAACATTTATGCCAATCTCACACAATAAAATTATCAACAACAAAAATGTTTGTATCTACTAAAACTGTATAACTATCAAGGAAAACAATCAATTGGTTGGAACCACCTCTAACTCTAACCTACAGCTGAGATCGATCCATGCATCAATCTCGCTTGCTCCTAGCTATACGGATACAAACAGCAGTCTCTCTCTATGCCGCTCGAGAAAGAACTGGACAAAAAGTGGTCACTCCACAAACACCTACAATAAAAACAGAACAAGTAAACAAACTAACAAAAGGAAGGGGAAAGTTTAACAACCAAGTGAATGTTTGATTGAACATGATTTATATGCCCCCAAGAAGATTACCTAACTCTTCATCATTTTAATTTTTAACTCCTGGTCGTGAAAAGTTGCAAGGTAGACTCGCTTAAACACCCCAACACTCCACCCCCTTGGATGTTGGCACTACTTGCATATTTCACGTCAGAGATGAAGCTCTTGCGGGATGACTGAAGGTGCTGATTAAATGCAAACGATGGCAGCTCCTGCAACAGCAACCCTTGTGCAGCTTCATCCCCAGACACAAACAAACAAGGCTGCTCCTGCTTCCGGCATATGATGGTGCATCGGGGCAGTCTGATGTTGCTTACAGTTGCCGATGCACTGCCCAAAGTCTCATAACTGCTGCCCGTTCTCTTCAAGTGGAGATGAGAACCCTGAATTCCTTGCCCGATAGCTTGGGAGGAGTGGCTGACAAATGCTTGTGAACCAGTAGCAGCAACTTCACATGATGGAAATGTCTCAACCTTGGGACGATATGTAGCTACAATGTTCTCAGTGGTGGGACAGTGTGCTAGCGAGATGCAGACTCCTTGATTTCCACTCGTGGGGACTAAAGATGGCCTTCAAAGAGTCCGCACAAAAAAAAAAAAAAACTACTTAGCTTTCTTATCCCACTCATCACGAAATCATCAGAATCAAATAACAGGAAACTATAAATTGTTTAGATTAATTTACCAACCGCAGTAAGAAGCCAAGTAAGAATAGCATTGTACACCCACCTTTCTTCAGCAGCTTCAAAAATCCACTGACATATGCCGATAGAGGAAGCAGAAAGCACTGTTCTGGCACCAATAGGCAGAGTCCCATTGTATGGAAGAGAGTGTACTGTATGAATTGGATTATTTGAGAGCCCCGACCTGGATTCTAGAGGCTTTGCAGTTTGCCGGATGTCAAATTCCAACAACATGCCATTCTGAAACAGGAAATTAAGGTTCTCGTCACTTGATGCCCAGCTAACGCTCTAAATAAGAAATGTAAGGTGTTTTGAGAGACAAACCTGTAATCCTGCATAAACATGATGTGGACTGTTTATATCCCAAGAGCATGACCAAGCAGGACACTGCAGAACACAGAGGCATCAAACCATAGGAATGTTTAACTTCTCGTTACACACCAAATGAACTATAAATGCAGATTCAGTTCCAAATGCAAAAGGTGCACTGTGAGGGAAAGTTTTCCCGACATAAGAGTGAAACTACAGCATGTTATTGACTAACTCAAGTAATCAAACGGCAAGTTTTGCTTTTGAAACCCTCATCATAGATAACCTAGCTTATCTAAATCAACAACATTCCATTAGCTTCTACCACATTTCGCAATACAGGAAACAGAGCAAAAAAAAAAAAAAACATTGTTGTACCACTAGGCAGTACACGATGTTCAATTCCAAAAACACATGCCACTCGACATGAAGGGAAGCACATGAAACTCAGTATTATGTGATAGCTTTTGTTTTGGTAGGATCATGTGTTAGCTTTTTAGTAAGGAGGCGCAAGAAACTCTCACCGGCAAGTCATATGAAAGAGTGATGTTATTGCTTTCCAAACTGTAATAAAGAAAACAAGTCAATGAGGCCTACAAAACCACGACAACAATTTAAAGAAAATTTGTTAGAAATAAACAAGAGTAGAACCACCTCAGAATGGATAGCTTTTTCCCCAAGGAAGCAAACAGCACAAGATTTGTATTAAGTGGGCAAAAATGCAAGTCTTTGATGATGTTTGTACTAAGTGAAAGAAAAATTTCACTGGTTCCATGTGGAGGCATCAAGCTGATCTGCAGATGCAAATCCAAGAAAAGGTGGTGCACTAGGAGAAATGTAAACGATGCAACTAAAATTAAATCTAATGATCACATTAAGAATTTTACCTTGGTAAAATGGCATCCACCAACCTTGGGTGGTCTTCTCGCAACTAATACCGTTTGACTGGAAATATTAATGTCAAATAAGCGTGCACCCTCCACATACAGCTCTTCCTATGGTAGGTAAAGGAGTTTTTATAGCACCATAAGCATATCAGTAGGTGTTATTGTTCTTACAAGAGTTGCATTCCCAAAAATTAGGCAGTTGAAAGTTAGAATTGTATGCAAACAAAAAATTTCCTATGTTTCTTTACTTCTAGATCTCCAAATAACCCAATTTCAACAAACCTGACACGTCATATTAAAACAATTAAAGACAAACGGAGGAAATTTGCTATTGGCCGAGGAACAAGAACCATCAGTAAACTTGCACTGCAAGGTTAAAAGTATATTACCAACATGCAAGGCTATCTAACTCGTAGAGAAAAAGTGACGGATCAAGCTCACACAACCCCTCAAAGTTTAGCACTAAAGTGAAGAAGCAAAGTTTAGACAGAACAGAAGGAAACACTTGCCTACCTGTAACTCAAAGCTGCCAGAAGAGCCCTGCATGCTGAAGTTTGAAGTAGCAGTATTATCTACAAGGTCCCAGAAAAGCAAATGTCACGCTGGTGATGGAGGATGAACAGTTCACGATTGAGGTTCTTGAGGATGTTTCCTCACATTTGAAAGGAGCAAAAAATGGTAACCGCACAATATAATCAGAGAGAGAGAAACAAGAAATTATTACCAGGTATAAATGGTACATGATGGCCCCTACGAGCAGTATATAACCCTGCCACGGTGTTGTTGAAATTATCCAATGAACGCTGCATCTGAACTGTTCTCTACATAGCAAAGAATTCAACTGTAACCAGAAAAGAACGAGTAGAGAGATAGATAAAGAAACAGAGGAAACCCTACATAAGATTTCCACTATAAACACTCTTTAACCCAAAGCATTAGTAAATTCAGGAAAAATATAACTAAAAAATTACGTAGTCATAGGAACATGCTATAGAAAAGTTAATCAAAGATCAATTTCAGAAGTGGTGTTTTTCAGTAAGCCAAAACTTAATCTAATCAATTGCACTTCTGATCAGAAAGTGAAGACAACATACATACCTCAACAAGTTGTTTAATTTTCTGTTGTAATTCAGATTCCTTCTTGTGCCACAGAGCTTCAATCTTGGACCATTCAGCATCCTGCAGGTAGAAATCGTCAACAATGACCAGAGCCGAGATAATAGGAGATACATAGGAATCGATTCCCGCTCTTCCCCTCATTGATGTAACCCTCACAACAAAGGCCAAACTAGACAAGCTAATGAAGCAAATACGGGAAATTTTTCCTCCAAAGAAAAAGAGACCAAAAACTCTTTCATCTTTCTTCCAGAAAACGGGTAGCCAGTGGTCACCTTCTTCTCAAGAGATGCACACTTGGTCTCTAGAAAGTGAATTCTCTGCAAGACAAAGAAGAATTTCAAGCCATATACATGAGAAATAAAATTGTATGTTATTTCATGGCGAAAAGGTCCATGAGATTGGCTTTACCTTCTGCGATTCCTCATCAACCACAGCAATCCTGGGTGCAAACAGCTTCCTCACTTCTTTCAATGTACATTTCCTGTTGCATTGGGGGCACTAGAATTGCAGAAAAAGGAAAGCATTAACCAATGAAAGGTCTCTAAGTTACCCTTGAACAAGCACCAATACCTTTCCAGAACTTCGTTTTTGTCGCAACCACTTGTTAATGCAAGACAAACCAAAGAGGTGGCCACAAGGAAGACAACTGCCGAAATAAGTTTCCAGTAAATCAAGATTCTGCTGAATCAATAGAGGGGGGCAAAAACAGAAAAAACAGCATAGAAGCAGATATACGAACCAAATGTGGTGATCTCCTTCACTGGTCCAGGCTTCCATGCAAATCGAGCAAAAAAGGCCGTCAATTTCAACACGATTCCACTGGCTCCCTTGAGAACTCGACGAGCATACCTCAGCTGCTACTGCCGCAGCAGCCCTTCCTTCCTCCCCCCTTCTTCTTTTAGTTCTCTCCCCTTCAACATTAACACTCAGCACTCGGCTGGAACGTGAAGGAACATGATTGACTGGAACCCTAGCCGACGGGGCAATTGGAATGTACTCGTCCCCCTCCTCCTCCTCTTCGGCCGGAGTCGGAGGTGCGTCATCTTCGTAGTCGGACCCGGAGTCGGAGTCGGAGTCGGATTCATCTCCTGAGAGTTCTACTTCCACAACCGGGTCTACCGATTCTCCGTTAAAGTTGTAGGGTTCCGCCATTGGAGAAAACGCTCGTCGTTAGGAATCTCAATACTTCATTCACCTTACGTCCTCACCGAAAGAAGAAGCCCATACCTGGCTGGCTCGAGCGCGTTTCTATTTGCTAAAAAGAGTGGGGAAATCTGCTAGTACACAAGTTGTGAAAGAATCGACACCAAGGTCGTTGAAAATGAAAACAGAAGAAAGAGAAAAGTGGAGGGAAGAAAAAGGAAATCAAATTTTGGCTTTATATCGGGTGATTGATTCCGGAGCGAGAGCAAATCTAGTTATCCTACTAACAAGGTAAGTTGTGCACTTGTGACCATATACTCACATGGAGAGATAAAAAGGACTCCACAAATTTAAAAAGACTAGTCCATTCTCACTATCCCGCTATAGAAAGAAAGGGGTTCACAAAGTAAAAAAAAAAAAAAAATTCATCTGCGAGTCTTCTCCTCTCTTTCCATCACTTCGTCAGAATAACACATCCACACAAAACAAATATCCAAACCACCCAGAATTATATCTGTTCATCATAACAAATATCCTCTAAGACCAAAATCTAGTCAACCCATAATTAATATCCTCACTATAGAGACTAATACCCACCCCACACAGACTAATATCTGACAATCGCATACAAATACCCACGAGGAACAGATTAATTTCTAACCAACGCAAACTGATACCCTCCACACAAATTAATATATGTTCATCGCAGACTAATACCAACTACACATATTCGAACCACCTAAACTAATATCCATTCATTGCAAACAAATATTATGGTTTCATGGGCTGAAGGCCCATGGGCCCTCGGCGGGCAGTCCTAACTAAGGTTGCAAACCTTATGTGTTAGGATTTGATAGTGTGTTTAGTTTTTATGGAACACACAATATCCATTACTTTACAAACTAATATCCATCGCATGAATATCATTATATCCTATCATCACATACTAATATCAGTACATTAAAAAACAATCTATCACTAACCAATATTCATTACATGCGGGAAAACAAAAAAAGAAGGGTAAATACAATTTAATATCCAAACCTTTCATCTTAAACAATATAATAGCCAAACTTTTTCGAAAACAATCTAATATCCAAATCATCAACTTTCCGTCCGTTTGACCGTTAGTTGACACTTCAAAAAAACTTTGTTTAGGGGAAATTGTCACAGTACAACTTTGTTTTCTTGTTTTGGCATTGCAGATGACTTAATATTTAGATATTCTATACCATCGTGGTGGAGTCATGGACTTCTCGGGTTTGGAATCACGATATGATGGTGTTTTTTCAGAGAAGATATCGATGGATATTGATGAAGTGTCAACTAATGGTCAAACGGACGGAAAGTTGACGATTTGGATATTAAATTTTTTTTCGAAAATGTTTGGCTATTATATTGTTTAAAATGAAAGGTTTGGATATTAAATTGTATTTACCCAAAAAAGAAATTAGAAAGATAAAGATGGGTTGGGAATTTAATGGGCCATTACTTCTCTTTTTTTTCTTTTTCGAGCGAAAGGAAGGCTCAAGATAGGGTGCACTCTTCCATAATTAAGGTTGAACAAATCAATCCGCAAACCGACCCACCCGTCCAACCCGATTCAATTCAGTTGTATTTTATTGTTAGGGTTAATTGCATGGCTGGTCACTGAGATTACTAAAATAGGTCAAGTTTGGTAACTCGAAATATTTAAATCCATTGGTCGTACTTCAATTTACTGAAACCGTTCACGTTTGGTAACTAGAAATATTTGAATTGTCACGTCAGACATTTAACGGTCAACTTTTAAAGTTGACCACCACGTAAGTAAAAGTTAATGGAGTTGGACGGAGAGTGATCTAACGTGAACGATTTCAATAAACTATAGTACTAACAATGGATTTAAAAATTTCGAATGATCAAACTTGAATTTTTTTTAGTAATCTGAGTGACCATCCATGCAATTAACCCTTTATTGCTAAAACTAAAATGTTTCTTGATTTTCATTAAAAAAAAAAAAAACAGAAAATAAAATGGAAAGTAAACAGGGCATCAAGTTCTACACACAACTAACACAAGTCCAGAAAATCTAAACCTCACAGCGCGCGAAATGGGAATATCATCGCCAACCCCTCTGCGAGTCAGCATCAGTGCCAGATTCGTAACAACAATATCTCGCTCGATCTCGAAGGACCCGGAACCATGGCTGTCCACCACCATCACGGGGAAGCATGGCAGTAATCGTACTACTAGACTCTCCATTATCGCTCGCCTTGGCTCTTGTCCTCTTCCTATTCCTATTTCGCTTCACCCTCGTCGCCCTCTATCTCATCCTCCTCTTCGCACTCTGTTCCAACCTCGTTCACCTCGTTTTCGACCTCCTCTGTTCACCATCGCCTCCATGACTTCTTCCGCTTCCTCCGATCCCAAGACAGTAGTTACTCTCTCCCCTCTTTCAGTGTTTCTCAAATTTGGGGTTTGATTCGGGAATTTCTGATACCGATTTCGGATTTCGCAGGTTAGGGTTGTGATAAAGGGCAGGGTTCAGGGAGTGTTCTACAGGGACTGGACGGTGGGAAACGCGACGGAGTTGGGGCTTAAGGGCTGGGTGAGGAATCGCAGAGACGGCGCCGTCGAGGCTCTCTTCTCCGGGGACCCGGCTAAGGTTGACGAGATGTCGCAGAGGTGCCGCCGTGGCCCTCCATCCGCTGTCGTCACTGGGCTTGAGGTTTTCCCCTGCGATGACGATCCTGGCTCCGGATTTGAGCGCAAACCAACGGTGTGATTTTCGGGGTTTGTACTTTTTTTTCTCTCCCTTTTTGTGGATATTATATAAAGGAGCTGGGAAGCCTACCTGTACCTGCTGCTTTAATATGTACGTTTGGCCTACGAATGAATAATAATGAGTGCCGAAAGTTGAGACCCGCAATGTAATTTTGATCGATTATGAAGCTGTGGAACTCAATGCAGTCTTTTGGCACTTGGTTTGGTTCTTGAGAATCTATATCTGCTTAGTTTGTGCTGTTTTTATTTGCTTTCAGAGTAGCTTCCTTCCAAGTTCAAAGGAGCGGTGATAATCATTTGATCTGCAGTGAGGCAGCGTTAGCACTTGTTGTTGCCTTTACGTTGATAGCATAATACTGTTTGCCTCAAGTTTGCTTGTTGGGTATATACAAGTTTCTGAACAGAAACTATACAAGGTGTATATTGCAGCCATATGCGAGCGAAAGGGCTCCAAATACAACCTGGCTAGAGTAGCCACGCCATTACTGATAATTCAGGAAGAGAGGATTCTACTTTGGTGAAACGTCTCAACATTTCACTCAAGCGGCAGGGCAGGATCCAGCAAAGTGCACGAGGAAGAACTTTCTCGAATGGAGCGCATAGGTATTTAAGTGTAATCAATAATCAGTTGGACATAAACTCCGTGACAGAAAATGGGACAGTACATTTTGTAAGGAGATGACTGCAGGAGTGGCACGAAATCCTTCCAAGAAAGCTGGGACGGATTCCTCTTCTTCGAAGCACAAAGAGCATCGATTCGGAAAGGAAGGCTCCACCCTCTCCTTAGGTACCTCTTCGAATCTTTTATATCCTACTATAACTAGAGAAGATCACGTCGAAAATTCGCTTGACTGCTAATTACTTACCGAGGTAATTGCATGTTAGATTTATGTCAGTAGGGTGGTAAACCAAGTATTGGGCAGTGGACGACAATAAACTGGTGTGTGCTTAGGTTATAGATAGCAGCCAGGACATAGCTAACTATGTTTTATGTTAATTGTTAGTTAGAATGCATGAAGGTTTTTCCCCCTCTCTGATGAAATGACAGCCGCCCTTTGTACCTCCTTACTGGCATTGTGTGGTCTAATAATATATGTGCTTGGTATGCCGTCATTGTAGTTGTTAAAGGAGTTTCACATTCAAACTATCATTAAGACTGGTATAACTGTTTTCTGATTTAGTCGTAGGAAGCACAGTGCTTTGTTATGATTGCCCAAGGGAGAACCAGTGGGCTTCATAATCTATTAATAAATATTTGGAATGCTTGTTCTGGTCAGGTTTAACTATGAACAGTCAAATTAACTTTTATAACTCCTTTAACCCGCAATTGAACATTTTCTTTGAAGTATAATGGAGATACAGAAAGGCTTGTGGACATAATTACATCATATACTAACTTCACTTGTTGAAGGAATAGTCTATGTAGAGGCATCCTTCTGACATCCATCTTTGAGGTTTGCTATCCTGGACTCAGCTCCCAATTTACCTCTTGCCAAGAAGACCTTCACTTTATTGTTTTGGAAGCTGTTGATATGATCTCACATGGTTATGGAGTTCACTGACTTGCTCGAATGTCTTTTTTGCCCAAATGTAGAGAGGCGTGTGAATAGGATAAAAAAGGCCGTCATGTTTGTGTCCTCAATAATCAGAACCTAACTCAGCCTTTGGTGTAATATACCATTTTTCTCATACCTTTGTACGGTGCTTCTGATGTGGAGGTGGTATTGGGGATAACATTTTGTTGGTTGGCTGAAATGCATGTGAATATGCCATTTGATTCCTCAACTGGCTTTTAAAGGTGGTGGCCCAAGTCTCAATGGCTTACAAATGAAAGCTAGACAAGGAAAGTCATCGAACAGATCTTTAATGTTACCATATGATTCCTTCACGATATCACATGCAATTGTACAACTTGTTTCTTCAGTTAGGTAATTCCCTTTTGTTCTACAGGTGTTCATCATGGTGGTGTGCATAAATGTCGTCCTTTGTGAGTTATCAGTGAGAGGCATCCTTTCATAGTTCTCATCTCACACACAAGTTTTTTGTTTGGGGATAATGCCTAGAATGAGTATTGGCTCACTGATTTTGAGGCAGGTTATGAAGATCCTTTATCAGAGGTTTAGGCAAAGGTCCAATCACTCTGTTCTTTCCTCCACTGGTGCACGGGAGGAGAAAGTTGATCTCGGTCGATTACCTGAGGCGCTTCCGGAAGATGTGAGAGAGGGACATTTTGTTGTGTATACTGTAAATGATGGTGAACCTAAGAGGTTCATTATCAGGCTTGATTATTTGGACCACCCAGGCTTTGTGAAGTTACTTGAGCTGGCTGCAGAAGAATTTGGGTTTCGACAAGCTGGAGTGCTTGCTGTTCCTTGCAGGTCTGTTGAGCTCCAAAAGATTCTTGGGAACTGGAGAAAGTAAGATGGTAGTGATGCTGGGTACTCTTTCTTAAATATTTGGATGCCATTTGTAGCAATTTGTCAAAGCTCTTGTGTTTGTTTGTTTCGAGTTTTTTTCTCTGGAGTTGCTTGCTTGCTTCTCCAGGGTTTCCTTAGTAATTCTGAGATGCTTGCCACTGGTTATGTACATATATATATGTCTCCCAAACGGGTTAAAAACGTCCGAGTGGGTTAAAAACGTCCGAGTGAAATTTCTTGTGGGAGCAACCCATCTGAGAAAGAAATTTCGGTGGGGAAACTCATGATTCTATGCTTCTGCTTGTATCTTCTTCTAATGTATAGAATGTTTTGTTACTTCATACATGAAGAGTAGATTGTACACCTTCATGCCTGAATATTTACCCCTAATACAAGCTAGATGGTTTTCATAGCAGGTCCAGAACTAGTTATCCGCAATAATAATAAGGTGTTCAAATGGTTATCATAGTAATTACCAAATAAAACAAAATTCTATTAATCATGGAATATAATATCATAACCAAGCCGTCCAAACTAACACAACAATCAAATTAACCAAATTAAAGTTTAATCGATTTGGTTAATTGGTTAACCAAAATAACAAATATAACATCACATTATCATTAAGTGGGAAAATATTCAGTTAATGCATCAATTCACAATTTATATGATGAGTAAAATATTATAATGAACACATAGTTATAATCAACCCTTACAAAAATACATGCAAATAGTGCAATTATCTTACAGTCAATAGAAGTATTCACCTAACAAAAATATATATGTCAATAGTGTGCAGTTAATTAATTATTGTGATTGTGTGAATTGAATTAGTCTCTTAGCAATTGTCATTGGTTGAAATAGATCTTCCTTTCAAGTTTTCATTTAATATTTATATGAGTTATCTAAATTTAGCGTTCATATATTATGGTTTACACTCTACAAATACAAATATATAGATGAACCTCGGGATGAAACCTCGACGTGGACGGTGGATAGTGTCCATTGAAATGAGCCATAAGCTTAATGCCCCAGATACGATAGCCTAGATCGAGGTGACTGGAACATGGGTTTAGGGGAGGCGTGTGGATAATCACGAAAGCCCACGGAGAAGAGCTCACTCACCACATTCGATTAACCCTACTTTACAACCTTAGCTAGGAGGATTCGACCCTAGGCAACCATCTCATCTCTAACGTTCTCCCAACCACTTGGTTAGTTGTTTATTTTGCCTTAGGAGTAGGTTAATTTAGCTAAAACCCCTCACCAAACTTCCATCCCAATTAGATAGTAGTTCGGAGCGAAGTAATAATACACTTAGGGATCACTTGGAATACGACCGAGCCACTTTACTACAACCCTAGCTAGGTGATACTTGGCTTAGTTAGGATTGATTAGAGAGTGTTCTTCGAATTTATAAATTTAAAGCTCGATCGCGCAGCGGAGCACGATCACAGCATCCAAGTGACCTTGCAATTTTGACCAGAATTGGCAGACTAAAATCCTGCAATCATCATGGCCAATATGTTTTGGAACAATATGCAATGCTGAAGACCCAATCATCGAAGCTGACATTGATGCCCTTTTTTGCTAGGAAAACAACAGCATATTTGAAAATTTGTTGTCCATCTAGTGCATGGTAAACCTTTGCATATTTCTCATTAGGTTTGATGATGTCCAGCATGATTGTTTGCTTCTTCTTCATGTCTATAGCATACACCATGTAATGTTTGTCAAAAAAACGTTGGAAATAACAGTTGTACCACGAAAGGAAAGGAAGAAATAATACTCAAATGTTGTAGACTAATACTCAAACATTCTAGACTAATACTCAAACGTAGCAGAATAATACTCAAACATTCCAGGCTAATAGTCAAACGTTAATTACTCGTACTAAAATGTGAAGGGATTAATACTGAAATGCTTACATAGTGGCATGAAGAAAAGTCAGCATCTCGTAATATTATGTGTTGCAGATACTGGACATACATCTACCCAAGGCGAACTCGGGGATGATGTTGTTATATGAGGACCAGAGATGGATGACGATTCCGCATTATGTTTTCTTATGACTAAGTGATCGACAATGCAGAAGACGAGTGCGAGGTAGACTTGAGGACAATTAGGAAATGGAAGGGACCCACTTCCTTGGATTGGCTGAAAGGGGGTGTATACTCGCCAATAGCAAGTAAAGCAGAAGATCCTTTGCCAGGTTGCCTACATGCACCTACAACATACGACACCTAAGAAGGTCCTGCATGTGTTGCACGACTGTCACTTTTCCAGGTTAGCTTTGTTATATCTCATCCACCCTTTTGACCACCAATATTTCTTCGAACATTAACTTCAAGACTGAGTTCTTCAACATATGAGATGGCTTGCCAATACCGTCACACTAGAAGTGTCCAAGTGTAACCACAAACTAATGCGTAGTATAGCTAACCTCTACCGGCATAAGCTAACCGAGGCAATAAGATTCAAACTTCCTCTACTGGGTTCTAAACCAGTATAGAGCAGTGAATAGACTTCCCAACTAAAGTCGCCGATTTACTACTTCCAATTCAAGATGCTCTATTGACATATGCAGAGATTATCTTTCTAGGTCAAAGCGTGAATCACTAGAATTTGATCAAGACTAAATCAATTCTGAATAAGTACTTTAACTAGATATAAATCAATCAATCATTCATGGCAAAGGGTTCATACAACTCATCTTAACATACAATTTAAGGTTCTTACATACCCAAGTGATAGAGGGGATTAATCAATAGAGAGAGAGTGGAAAGCTATGCTGGATGTGAAAATCATTGTGTAGAAGGAAGAAATCGGCACCAGGTTGTCAATCGTCGCTCCTTGGGGCTTGAATCGAGCTCCAATGGTGTGGGACTCGATCTAGGGCACTCAAGGATCTCTCTTCGTCACTTTCTCTCTCTAAACCTCTATTTTTAGCTCCAAAGTTTGAATGCCATTTCAAAACCCACGTTTGGCACTAAACAACCCGAGTATCAAATCCCCAACCTGATTACCCGGCTGGGTAATTTGATGACAAGTCTGGTTTCTTCAAAACGACGTGCAACAGGTAAGTGGTGAAGCCAAATTCACCGGTCGCATGTGTGATTCCCCGGTCGGGGATTAAGGGGTCATGACCGGGGAAAAACCATGGGCAACTTCCCCGGTCTCCTATTGTGATTCCCCGGCCGGGGAATTCAGTCCTCGAGCTCCTCCTTTCGTCCACTTGGTGATTTTGACCCGAAACTCGCCTCCTAGCAATCACAGCCGATCCAAGACCTGAAATATGCCATAAAAGAGCAACCTAGCGTGAAATCGGCTTAAAACACGAGAATCAAACCTCAAACAGTGTAAGAATGGTGGGCAACAACATGTGCAAATATCGATTTATCATGCGACAACACTCTACAGTTTGGCATTACCTACTTGTCCATTTGGATGGACAAAAATGATCAGGCCTTCGCAGGCAGGATCATCTTGAATAAGGCTTATTTCAACATGTCCTAACATGATGTTCATATCATGTGGAATGCCACAAGAATGAAGGTTGTGATTTTTGGAAGCCACCACCTCCAGAGTGGGTTACTCTCATTTCAGATGACTTAGTCTTTGCTAATTCAGCCCACGCAACTGCAGCTGACTTGATCCGAGATCATACACGACGTTGTATCGCAACGTATGCTTTAAACCTGAGAATGTTTTCTATTACACAGGTAGAATTGAGAGGCACTATTGTAGACCTTCAATTGGCATGAGACATGGGTCTTCGTCATGTCAGAGTCGAGCTAGACTTAATGTGTGCAACTAAACTCCTCAAGAGTAAGGAAATGACGGACCACTAGCACGCAACTATTATCTAGAGGTTAGAGAATTGGTCACTCATATCTAGGAAGTGACTATTTCTTATATTTATCGAGAGAGTACTAAGTGTGCAAATTTCCTAGTAAATTGATTCGACCTTAACTACACATGTTTTCAACCCATATTCTTGTGACGTTTGAGGCATTTGTATCGCCCGAGGTTTGATTTTACCCGAGGTTTGTGCATGTTTTAGGTTTTAGCATGTGGAATTGACCTCGGGGGCGAAAGTCGAATGAACGAGGGAAAAAACGGATCGAAATGGATATGAAGGAAAAGGTCAGGGCCAAGAACAGATTATCACGGGCGGGAGACCGTGAAGATTCACTTTGACCATGAAGATCAACGAATTTCAGGAGCATTTTCACGCCTCGGGGACAATTCAATTGTCATGGTTAGTCTATCGTGACAATTCCGCCCCGGTCGTGAAGATGTTAAGTGGAACGGTGCGTGTTTGCCCGAGATAAAGGGCAGGCTTCCAAGATCACGCCCATGACATCTTCCTAACGGGAGTATAAAAGGAGGAGAAATCTAAAACTTGAGAAGGCGAATCCTAGTGAGAGAGTGGTCATCTTTTTCAGAAATTAGAGAGAGAAACTAAAGAACAAAGGGAGAAGAAGAGGTTTACGGTTTGCTCTTAGCTAGAGGAGTGAAGATTTCCATCTCTCAAGGGTGTTTTCAGCAACATGGAAGAAAGACAAGCATCACACCATGGTTCTTTATCTCCTCTTTGTTGTGATCCCTAGCCTAGCTATGAAGTAGTTCTCCTTATCACTTGGATATTGTGAACCCTAACATTAGATATGTGATAGGTTGTATGGATTGAATGTTATGTGGGTGGGTTTGAGTATGATGCAATGTTTGAGGTATTTTCAGAATTCTTGAGTATTGTTCTTCATATCTCATAATTAGGTCAAATTGACCTAGGTGGAGGAAATCCCCTTTTTAAGGCTTTAAGGAGCTAGATTTCTTGACCACTTGGGTCACCCACCTAGGAAAATTGAGGGCAAGCCTCAAACATCGATTTAGTGCCATGAACCTACCATGATTGATTGTTATGTTGCCATCCGGGTTAGGTTCTGAGGGAGTAGTCTTAGCAACCTTTAGTCGATTAGTCAAGAGAGCTAGTTTCCTAGCTTAATTCGGTATTCCAATGCTAATCGTCTAAGAGAGTCGAGTTTCTCCACTAGTTGCAACCTCCTCATGATATATGACCACACCTTCACACACTAGCATTCCATTCAGTCAATCTTAATACAAGGCTAGGGAGAGCATTATCCGGGTGAAGTCTTCTCTTGTTGATACCAGCTCAATTTACTTTCTTTGCTTATTTACAATTGTTGTTCTTTAGCTTTTAGCCCCAAATCATTAGCTAGATAACAATTTAAGCGACTGAAGTAAGAGTACATGGACTACTTGGGTTTACAATTAAAATGCTTGCTCTATACTACACCCTTCTAGAGTTTGCACTTGGGCTTTATTCGAGATTTAATTGTGTAGTTAGGAATGAGTCATAAATCGAGGTTGTTCGTTATCATTTGGTTTTGATGCTATTTTGATTTCCGATCCTACACTCCATCATTGGATTTTGTATGATCTTCAAGAGATTTTCAAACGCTTATTGGTTTTGAATGAAGGCTGAAATGTGTTGCATACATTTGTAAAAAAAAAGTTACATATTATTTTTGAGGGAATGCCTATCATGACTTGGAGAAAACAGTCTACCTCTTCCACAAAACGATTGACCACTTCTCAACAAAATGGTCTACCTCTTCGACAAAAAGGTCGATCACTTTTCAAGAAAATGGTCTACCGCTTACATCAAATGGTCTCAGGCAAACGGTTTACCGCTTTTGGCAAGTGATCGACCTAATAACACACTTACTTTCAACATACACTCACTTGTAGGAAGCGGCAGACCGCTTTCGCCAAATGGTCTACTGCTTCGAGAGAACGATCTAATGCTTCTGGCAAACGGCCGACCAGATGACACTGTTACCTTTTATTTACATTGCGATAATAATGGACTATAGAAGGCCTACAATAGGAAATTGTCTTATAGTAATACAACATCCTATCACCCGTGTGCAACCAAATCTCTACCCATATTATAGGCCTAGACAAAAAGAAATAACACCCTCTTTTACACTTATGGAATAAAACCCCATAAAAGTAAGATGATATGAGATTTATGGATGTTGAAGATGACACAATTATATAACAAGTATACTTTAATTTATAAGCATATTCAAAACAATAAAAGAAACAAAATTGATCTATCACAGGACAACTTAGGATTAAAACAAGCAAACTTAGTGAAAGAAAGACGAGTCTTTATAGAATAAGTCCAATCTAAGAAATAAATAGGCACAACATTTCACAAATCTACGAGAGAACAATCACCAAAAAACTTCTCATCTATACGCCAATTTTTGTACTAATTTTAACTCTCTTACCAACAAACATATCTATTAATATTGGACTCCCCTAATTATATATGATGATGTCGTTAGCAATTCATCAGGTCATCCGATTGTTGGAAGCAGTGGACCGCTTGATGGAATAGATAGACCATTGGTGGAAGTAATAGACCAATTTTTTGGAAAGTGATAAACCTTTCAGTGGAAAACATAAACCGTTTTCTCCAATTTACGATGAGCTAAAAATCACCGTAGCAAAGTCCTATTTTGTAATTATCATTTTATAACACACTGTTAGGCAATAGTAAAAAAAAAAAAGTTTAATCCGCTCCCCCGCGATGGTTATGTACCAGCTTCAATCCGCTTTACCCATATGCATCCCCTTGCAAGGTTCCAACCGTGTCCCAATTTGTACCAGAATGCGTACCAAAGTGCAGCATACATTGTAACCTGCAACACTCTCAACGACAAGGAAGAAAAAGAAAGGTCAGAAAAATATCATAGCAAAAGTATCTCATCAGGCCATGCGATGAAAAGAAAGAAACGAGTGGATGGAGAAGATGAAGGTTGGTTTTTTTCTGGCAAGAGGAGCAATTTGCAAACCGCGTTCTGCTTCTACTAGTCGATTAAAGAGAAAGTCGGCCTTGTTCTGTTTAGAATTGACATATCAAGGCAACAAATGAACCAAGTAGCAGAGGAAATATCTTCATGGCAGTTTCTGCAGGGCCTGCCATGATTATTAGGTTCGCCTAGCAGCCAAAGAAAGAGTCAAGTCACCTATAGGCTAAATCCTCAGTTCAACCGGATTAATAAATGCAGCTTTGAGTCAGGTTATTCATCTCAAGCCATGGTGAATGAACGAATGCATGGATGAATGACATACTTTACTTTTACCAGATAGGGAAGTCGGATTCTTGGTTGATAACTAACAAGAAACCACTACCCAAGCCATGGATGATGAAAAAACCACACAATTGAAGCAACATAATCTCTGTCCACCGTAAAACGTGTCTTTCAGAGAGCCCCACTGTGTCAAGTCCCACAGAAAATGGCCTGTGGGATTGAGCTATCAATTTATGACATTAAATGTCACCAATGTTGCATCTAAATCAATATGGTCCCATGTGTTCTTCAGAAGTTTCATCCATGTTTCCCAGCCTCAGGACCGGCTTCCAGTATATACTTCCCCATCACCCTCTCCCAAATCTCATCTCATCAAATACAGAGAAAGCAAAGAAACCCAAATTAAGATCGCGTACCTTTGGATTCACAGATATTGAATCTTAACCGCCATGTTTAACAGGGATGAAAGCCTCCGAAGCTTGATGATGCTCAAGCTTTTCACAAGAAAACTGCAAAGGGGTCTCTTGGTGATGGGATCCAGAGGAGGGCAGAGGCTGAAAAGCATTCCTGAGCTCGACGAAGAAGACAAAGATGCTGGGAAATTGCCTCCCAACGATGTGAAGAAAGGGCAGTTTGCCGTGACTGCAACCAAAGGTGGGAAAACAACTAGGTTTGTTGTGGAGTTGGATGACTTGAATGATCCAGAGTTTCTTGAATTGCTGGAACAGGCTGAGGATGAATTTGGTTTCGGCCAGGAAGGTGTTCTTGCAGTGCCTTGTCATCCTGAGGAGCTTCAGAGGGTTCTACATGGAGGGAAAGTGAGAAGAGCAAGTACAGAATGGTAGAAGATATAAGTAATAATAATAAAGATATATATATTACTGCATTGTATGAGAAGATTTGCCAGCTTTCTTGTCTGAACAGCAGTTTATCCCAGACAATTTTGGTTGGTTTCTTGTTGCTGAGAGATACTAACCATTCTAACTAGTTTCCATTTGGTTATAATGCTTGGATGACTTGTAGAACTTCATTTACGGCCAAATGTTCAGGACATCATGTACCAAGTAGTAAAAATATAATAACATTTCAGTTGCGCATTTCCAGCTCTTTTGCAGAGACTCAGCCACAAGCAGCTTTGGTTTTGCACAGTACCACAGCGTTAATAGTTTTGAGCCCATAAATAGCAACAATGAATATAGCTGAAGCAGGACCAGCAATTTCAGTTATCATTGCATTATCCTCCATATTACAAACACACAAAATCAGGAGACGAAGGAAGATCTAAATTTATAATAACCTGCGCCCTTTCTCCTGACATCTATCCCGCCGTTTTTATCAAGTGAGTATCATCTTATTTGACTTCAGAGCAGTTGTTTGCGCCTACAGGCTCTCTCAAGCAACTGGATATTGCCATCACAGCAGCTTCAATAGATGCATCTTCGCCCTGCATGTACGATAGAACGCAGATCAGTTAATCACATCTAGAAATTGAAATTGTAACACAAAAAAGGTTTTGGTATCATCAGCATCCTTTTTTCCCCCCTTATAACTTAACCTTCTCTTTCCAGTAAAAAATATTGCCATATTTCCCGGCCAGCCGGCTCCAGAAGCTCCGTGGGATGTCCAGATCAACAGAAGCACCAACGTTAAAATTGAGAATATTTCCTGGTCAAGGAAATGGAGTTAGCTTTGTTCAAGTCCACGTATAAAGTTATACAGTTATTGCAAAAAGTTGCAAAGAGTCATCACACCAAACGTTGGATCAGCAACGAAGACGACAGTCCTATCATCCACTTGCCAGAAATCTCTGATCGCCAGCCCTGCGAGCGAAAAGATCACATAAAAGAAAGAAACAGAAAGCCCAAGCAAGAAAACTGTCGAAGCACTTTGACAAGAAGTTAATGAGCAGAAGCGAACACCTGGAGTGTCTGGATAATTTTGAGCTAGAACTCTCAACTTGAATCCAGTCTCCTTTTCAATCTCAGCAATCTCCTGAGTAAGTCTTCTCTCCTAAAAACCATACAAGAACTGGCCATTATTCAGCAAATTTTTATCAGTCTACATATTGCGTAAGGGTTGGTGCCTAAACTGAGGCATGAATGTATCAATACCCCTAACAGCAAACAAACGTCTATTTCCTCTCAATTTGAGGCTTTCAAATCCGTAAGTGAGTAAGGGAAGAAGATTAGGAAATGTGGCTGACAGTGTAAGCAAGGAACCCATTTCAGCATAGGACGCTATCTGCTCAACAAATCAGGACTCACATGAATGTGACGCTAGTCATTACAACAAATGAACATGTCATTCCTCTCAATTGAAGGTAGCGAAAAGCTAGAATCGAAGCATGGGCGGCAAACAAAGGTTCAGGAAATGACATTCAACGTCCTCAGTTTAAAATGATAACACAACTTAAATTCAAACATGTTTTTTTTTTTTTTTTGTATGGTAACTTGAATTCAAACAGAAAAGCATGCAAGCTCAGTTGGGCAATCAAGCAAACAGTTCGAGTGCATTGCATGAGGAAAATACAGCAGAAGTACCTGGCCATCGGAAAGGAATCCGGCGACATCTATGACAGTAGTGAACTCCTTCGGAAGCAATTCTGGCTTGTTAACTCCTACTTTTGCTTCCGCAATACCCACCCCTGCAAAATTCGGCTCCAGAGGAAGTAAAACACTAGCTTTTTTTTTTACTCTAAACCTTCGTCGCAACAAGAAAGAGGAACCGCTGAGGCAGGAGGATGAAGCAAAACTGGCCTGAAAGAGAGAGGCCGAGAGTGAGAGCTCCCGAAAGCACCAAACTCAACGACTTGGACCTAAAATCATCGACCCAGTTGTCGAATCTGTTCAAAGCACGGATTTGGACGGCGGGCGACGACGGACGTGAAGAAGCAGTAGTGGGCAGCGGAATCGCTGCGCGGGAGGAAGCTCTAAACGCAGAAAGATGGAGAAATGCCATTGCTTTACCAGGAACTCCCTCCGTGACCTGAACTCCGGACAACCAGTCGTGAAACTGAAAACCGGCCTATTTATGGTTTCAGGATAAGACCGTCATCCAACTTTTGGCGCGTACAGCTTTACATTTCACGTAGCGTGACTCACTCCAAGCGTCTCCGCTGCTCAGTTCATGAACTTGAGAAAGTCTCTCAACAACTACAGCTACATCTGTTTTCACCAACTCACTCAGGCACACATTTCTTTTCTCGTGTTAAGGTGCAAGCTTAACTTACGAGCTCACCTTTGACAAACTATTGCTTGAAGAAATATGATCAAATGACTACTGGACTATCCATATTACAAGTTCATTTACGAACGAAAATCGAACACATTATGCCTTCCTAGAAAGAACACGGGTAGTACTTAGCAGTCATCCGTGGACCGTGGTCATTGGTTTTATTATCAAGTTCCAAACACATTAGACAGACAAATTGAAATTGTGTACTGAATCTTCCCACTTAAACATGAAGCTCATCGAGTAGATAAGATAAAGCAAGTGACGCTCGGGATTGAAGGGAGCAGAGCAAGTTTATGATGAGCGGTGAACAATGGACGAAAGAGTAAAGCTCCGGCTAGGAAGCTACTATATTCAAGGTGTTCAAATTCACAATACCAAGCAACGCAAAACGAAGGCTGCATCTACTAGCTACAACCCCAATTGTTCATTCGCCACAATGCTCGGAACAAGAAAGGCGGACTAAGGGAAGTAGTATGGCCAGTTGTAATAATACGAGTCTCGGTGGTCCTTGTCCATGTACTCGTTCCACTGCACAAAAAAGCACGGGATTCCACATGAAACAATGATCCTACTACAAAGTTTGGACGGAGATAATACAGCAAACTGTACAAGTTCTTGGAAGCAGTTTGACGATGTACCTTAAATTTGTAGGGCTGATTCTTGGCCCTAGCTTTCTTCCAGTGATACTGCTCAAATAAGAATGCCTTGTCGTGCCAACTGCATGACAGAAAAAGCAATATGACAAAGTGACTGACCGATGCAAATGGGGAGATAAACAACGTTTGTTGCTACTTCAATTGTATACAACACATAATCATGAACAGGGCAGCCACTTATGCTGCAATAGAAGTTCATTCCCTTTGGAAGTGGACTCAGTTGAATTTTTCTGCGGGGCTGAATGGGGTGTGTTCAGTGTCGGATGATGTTATTGGATTGCATCCCTGCGTAATCTCCGTCATTCAACACAGGCAGTTAAATATTAATGGCTGGGATCACTATCCAACAACATCAGCCCCGTGCATAGACATTAGCACCCTAACCAAACCCAACTCGGAGGGAAAAGAAAAGGTTGACTAAACTGGTGAAAGCATCATACAAGTGCATAGACATGACCAGCAGACCACCCCTGAGCTCGATCCAGCGACAAGGAACATATCAACACAGCTCAAAAGACCCCAACACAGCTCCTCAAAGCAAAGGGAACCAAGGTTGAATAAACTGACTGGTGAAACAATAGCCGTATGTCATAGGTCTTAGGAGTAGGACTCCAAGAAACTGAAAAGAGAGCAATCTAACATAGCAGAAGCAGATATCCTAACCCTTATAGCATCAGTACCTACTGTAAACCCTCATACAGATCACGATTAGAAAGATGAAGAGACATTTCCAAAACCAAGTGAGATCATAATGGGATCTCAAGCACCACTTCGCTACTAGCTAAGAACGAACATAGAAACAGGAAGTCTTCCCAAATACCAAATCCAACAACAAGCAGGAAAAAATTGCAATACACATATTGCAAGTAAAGGAATAAAAATAGTGAACTTTACATGTTGTGTGCATCAAAATTCAAAACTGAAACTCGTTTCAACATTTCAGTCCCTCAGTGTATCACACACACTAACCTTCCAACATCAAGCGATGCCTAAACATCTAATACTTAACATGACCATTTCGAAATCAACATAGGTCCTAACCAAATCAAAAGCTGATATAAAATAACGAAGAAACCTAAAGTTGACAGACATGAAATGGGGAAAAATAAAAAGCTTTTGTGGAAGCTCATCCTTTTCAGAAATGGTATTTCCGGCAAAAGAAATTTAGCCTCGCATTTAGTTAACAGATTGATTGAAACAAAACCCTATCTCGCACATCTTAGCACAACAATCTATCATAGCAGAAGCAGACGTCCTGACACATACAGCATCAATATCTACTCAACCACGTCCAAGCAGGCAATGCAAAGCTACAAGAGAAGCAGACGTCCTGCCACATACAGCACCAATATCTACTCAAGCACGACCAAGCAGTCAATGATATTCTTGGGGGAAGCTACAAGAGAAGACAGTGGGATTCAAAGACGCTGATTTGGCTACTGGTGCAAGCTGAGCAACCACAAAGACAAGTCGCCCAAATATCCAATCCAAGAACGCTAAAACCAGCAACTCAACAAGGGAATGGTATACAAAACCAGTTAAGAAGTTTGTTCATTTCAACGTTCTGGTGCATTCAAACTGCAATTAAGTGCCAAGTTTGAATGCTTCCCCGGGTGGAATGACACGCTAAATTCCCAGCCCCTTGCATAGATCACGGTCTCATACTTCACGTGCTCATCCCCCAAAACACACTAACATACCCAACAATTAACCTAAAGAAGATAACCCACAATTGAACGCATTCAAAATGATAGACGAACAAAGAGAGAGAGAGAGAGAGAGAGAAGCGTACTTGAACTGGTTAGTGAGATGCCACATGTAGGGATTGACCCAGGTGAGAGCAGAGAAAGCAGCCGAGCCAATCCATATGTTGAAGAACCTGTCCGGGTCCGCGTGCGGCACTCCGGGGTCGCCCCGATACGCATTTCCAAAGTACTTCTCCATTGTTATCGCCTTTCTCTCCCTCCTTTCTTCTTCGAACAGCCAGCCAAGCCGAACAAGAAACCAGAGCAAAAAGAAATCAGAATCGCCCTCCCGTCAGTCTGCCGTCCGTCTAACCTTATCCACTCGGCAAGAGAAAAGAAGACCAACCGTCGCATTTCATCGGCCCAGTCTAGTCTACCGGGAAGCCCATTGTAAGCCCATCTAAGAAAGCCTGAGGCCCAATTGGAGACTGACGGAGGGAGGGAGCGTGTACCGTTCTGGAGCGCGTGAGGGATGAAGTCGTCATTCGCTTCTCCCAAGACAACCTTGAGTTTCTGTCTATAAAAAAACAGAGCCGCTCTCGGCCATGCCAGCCCGGCAATCGACTGCGTCGAATCACGCTCTTTCTTCGTCCCTCTCCTCTTTCTCTCTCTTTTCCTTCTCGCTCGATCCTTCCCTTCTCTTGCTTCCAAATCCAATCCCAACCGCTTGAAAAGTGAAGCCAACCCCAATTTCCCTCCAAAATTCCTAACTTTCTTCCGTCCCGCGCGTTCCCGTTTCGCGAAAACCCCTCCGAGCTTCGCTTTCTGGCTAGGGTTTTACCTGGAACGGCGTTCGTGCTCTTTCCTTCGCCGGAATCTTTCCCTTCCGTTTGTTTCTTTCCGGGACACCCTTATTTGCTCTTGAGATTCTTTTCCAACGGCTTTAGGGTTCTGTTCTCTCCCGAGAAAAGGGTGAGGTTGGATCTGTGTTCTGCTATTTCTTTGCCTAAGAGATTCAACTTCAGCATCATTCTTTTCGTCTGTGCTCTTCCCTGCGAAGCTTTGGGGAGACGTGACAGACGAGATTTTTTATCCAAGTTCGGTTAGGGTTATGGATTTGATGAGTGTAGCTCGTCAGGTTGGGGGTATTTAGAAACCCTAATTTTGATATGAAGGTGCAAATATGAGCAATGGAGGTGCAGAGGGTACACCGGGAAGATCAAAAGCTGACGATTTTGGCTATGCAGTGGCGAGAAAGGCTGTAGCTCAGGTTTGTGAAAATGTTGGCTTTGAGGGGTTGAAAGAGTCGGCCTTGGATGCTCTAACTGACGTCACCCTCCGGTACCTCCGTGACCTGGGCAAGACGGCAAGTGCCAATGCCACTCTATGTGGCAGAACACAATGTAGCATCTTCGATGTTGTTCGAGGTTTTGAAGATATTGGCACCTCTCAAGGATTTCCAGGTGCTTATAATTCCAGTAGTTGTCTTGTTAGTTCTGGCACTATTAGAGATATAGTAGATTTTGTGGAATCTGAAGAAGAGATCCCGTTTGCACAATCAGTGCCACAGTTCCCCATTGTTAGAGATGGCAAGTTAATTCCTAGTTTTGAGAAAATGAACGAAACTCCTCCAGGGAATCATATTCCAGCTTGGTTGCCAGCATTGCCAGATCAGCACACATATGTGCATACACCAATGTGGGATGAGAGGGTCTCAGATCCTCGAGCAGAGAAGATTGAGCAAGCTCGGCAACGGAGGAAGGCAGAACGGACTTTGTTGAGTCTGCAGCAGAGGCTTGTCAGTAATGGCTCAGCAGGTGCTTCATCATCTGGTGTGGTGGCTAATGAATATGTCAAGGAAACGGGTACAGGTGATGGAAACCCTTTCCTCAGGCAACCTTTGAAGCCAGGGGAGAAGGGTACTTCTTCGGTTTCGGTGCCAAATATAGAGAAGCATGCTTCTGTGCTGGTGCCATTTGCCCCAGCTATCGAGGCCGCTAAAGAAATAGGGGTTAATGAGGATGGTGAAGGTGGTGGGGAGAGGACGTTGCTTCCAGAGAAGAGGAATACTGTGAAATTTAGGTTAAAAACTAGGGAGAGAATGTTAGTTGAACCCTTAGATGTGCATCTTACAAAGAAGGGCGAACAGAGATCCGAGCAGTCATTAGGGCGGGAGGACGAGAGGGATGACAAGAAGAGGAGGGCAGAGTACGTATACAGACAGTCTATGGAGAACCCGCAAGAACTCACTCAGTTGTAAACTAATTGATTTGTTGACTGGATTTAGCTTCTAGAGAAATTTGCTTAATGCATAGCAGCAAGCTGTGGCTATGTATGCTTTGTTATGAGCTATCCTGTCGGGGTTATGGTTGCTGTCGTTGTGCTGTATCTTTACAGGATTCTGTGTACTGTAGGGGTGTCCTCCTGGCTCATTAACAAAATTTTGGTTGGGAGGTATGCGGATGCTTATTGTTGGTTTTCACATTTGGGGTTTAGACTCCCGACTGATTCTTTACCATGAAGATTTTGCTTAATTCATTCTCGTCTAATATTGTAACGATGCCATCATATCATAGCAGTGTGAGTTATAGATTGATTCTGTGTTTTTCCCCCTTTGTCTTAGTCTAGCTGTTCTTCTGTAATGGAAAGCGTTCCTTTTAGCAGTCTGATGTTTGTTTTAGGACAACAGTTAACAAGGAGATTATCAATCAAGCTTCAAGTTGTTTATGTAACTTACTTGAGTTCCCTTTGTGCAAGTATGTACTTTGGATTTGGAAAAGATAAGTTAGTGTTTCAGTTGATCTTGCATTGTGCTCCCCGGGCCCGCCTCCAACTCGATATATGTGCTACTACAGCTGCTGTGATTGTCTTACCTTTTTAGGACTTTGTGGGCAGAAGCAGGTGGCTGCCATCAAATTATCAAAAGACTGCAATTGCAGCAGTTGATGCAGTTGTCTTGCTGTTAGTTTCATGGACCTCTTGTGTGTATGGATTGGGATTCAATCATGGGAGAAAGAGCTGTAGTTAAATGGTATGAGGGAGCTGGCTTTGGGGATGTGGGAAGGGCAGCCAGACTTGGTTTTGTTACCCGTCTATGACAAAGGTAACTCTGCTTCTGTAACTGTGACTAAATCTAAATGGAAGTGTAGTAAATTTGCAATTCTATGTTTGAAAGTTCTCAAAGATGGCCCTCTATGAATTTCAACGGGCAACGCTCTTCTACTACGTGAAACTATCAAGTTTTTCCTCTCGCCCACTGTTCTATCAATATATCGTATTTAAGATTGATAGTGATGAGGATATCGACACAAAGATTGCTCAAGCGCTATCCATGGTTACTCGAAATCAAGTCAAGACGTTGAGTGCGCAATTGCAAGCTTTTTGGCAAGTGCAATATGTTTGTGCGACAAGGAGTGGATTTTGCCAAGCCAAGAGGACCAAGATGAGTTCTAAGGAGACCAACACAGTCTTCCACCTCAAGGCATCCAATTCGGCCAACAACTCATAAGAGGCCCACTTCCATCCCTTTTTTCGTAAGTCCTATGGAAGCCAATTTCCTCTTTGCTTCATCCACGAGTCGTCTATTAACTAGAAAATAAAATATTATTGCACATTTGCTCATAAGCTTCCTATTTTGGATTTGAGAGGAATTGGATTTTACACTCATATAAGCGTAGACTAGACTCCATCAAGTTTTCTCAATAAGAAATTAATATTTTTGAGTGTTCAATCTCGAAATTTTTCCTTCTTAGTTTGTTCATGAAATCGAGAAGCTAGAGGAACCCAACATCATCAACTAGCCCATAACTCTAATTGTGGAGTAACCTTGTATGCTTGGCTCTTTCCTCGATTGGAGATTTGGTTTGAGTTATTTCTTCCGATTGGAGATATTAGCTCTGTGTCACTTCAATTAGGCTTAACTCTTGGACTTGTTCTTCATGTGCCTGAATTTCGTAGAAATTTAGTTTATACGAGCCGTCTAACGAAGGATAACCATGTTGCATTGATCTTCCTTGGTGGTTTCTCCATTATTCGGGTTTACACTCCAAGAAATTGATTAGGAAGGGGACATGATGGACTTTATTTCCTTCGATTATTTGGCAGTGGATGTGTAAAGGCTTGTGTGGTTTGAGGTGTTGGTCCGATTTTCGAAGCTATATGATATGCTCTATTGGGGCATCCCTCGATGGTGAAAATGCAGCAACTTAGTAGTAGTTCGTCATTTTCAGTTAACTCATTTGGTGATTCTTGTCATTCTGGCTCAACGGCAAAACAGACTCGTGTTCCTTTTGTTTCCAGCATGATTACGACAAGGTTTTGTTTTAAACTCATCCACATTGACATTGGGGGTAGCTATAAGGTTTCCTCGCTTAGTAGAGCTCATTATTTTCTCACAATTGTCAATGATTTTAGTCATGGTGTTTGGATTTATTTTCTAGGGTGTAAATCCGTTGTGGGTCCCTATTTAATGTCCTTCTATTAGATGGTTCGGAATCAGTTTGGACGGTCAGTCAAAAGAACTCATGGAGATGAAGGTCGTGAATTTAATATGGATGCACTTTAAGAGTATTATGCACATGAGGGTTTTATTTTGCAAACATCTTGCACCGATACACCTCAGCAAAATGGCATGATAAAGCGAAAATTTATCTGATCCATATTATACACATTTATACCCCATTATCCATGTCATTTTACTTGTGTAGCATAGTCCATGGAGCCATTCTACGCTAGATTTTGTCAGGTTTGAGTGAGTTTCAAGCTCTAGTAGGTGAATATGGTGAAATGATCAAAAGTTGGACGGAAAGGAGTCAAAACGAGACCAAGTGTTGGTATTTCGAGTTTCACGATTCAGGGTAGATCTTCACTGACTCGTGAAGTGAAGATTACCCCAAACCGTGAACAATGCAAGTTTCCAAGAGATAGAGAACATCTCACGGGCAGGTGCATGGATCACGGGCTCTGAGCATGAAGATGGCAAGCAACCTATGAAGTGTGTAAGTGAAACGATGTGTTTTCTGTCAAAATCACAATTTTACTACACACATCATGGGTGTGACAAAAGGCTGCAAAGATTGCACTATCGGGTATAAAAGCGAAAAGAGATCAAATTTGACAAGGGATGGGATCAAATTTGACAAGGGATGGGATTTTCAAAAGAGAATTGAAGATCTTCTTCTAACCTAGAGAGAGGGAAAGTAACAAGCAAGAGGATATTGGAGGTTAATTGAAGCTACCCAACACCCAATGAATATTGATTTCATATGCAAAACCATCCCAAGTAGCAAAGGAAGAGGAGCTTCTCATCATTATGGTTGTTTCCTTCTATTTGGATGTGTTTGGGGCAATTACTTAGAAATACACTCTAGCCATGGAGTAGTCCTCCTAGTCACTTGGAAAATGTAGAACCCTAGTCTATTATGCTGTAGTTGAATGATTGTGGTCTATGAATGAGTGTGATTAGACTCTCATCGTCTTTCGGGGTCTTTACCCATATATGGAGTGGATTTGGTTTCCCCAATTTCCTAGTTCGGTAGTTCGATACTCCTCTTTGGGTAGTGCAATATGGAGGGATAGGACATATCGAATAGGGACTCCTATATAGCTTAGAGCTCCTACGATAAGTGTGAATCGTGTTAGGGTAACACAACATAGACTCAACATAGAACTAGGGTGAAACCCAACTGAGTGAAGTTTCTTCAATTGAATTCAATCACAATTTACTTCCAGGCTTGTGATCACTTGAATATGTGCAGTTTATTGTCAGAGGTTAGCACGTATCAACAAATATCCCATCTTAGGCCAAGTTTAACCTAGAATGAAATTGTCGTATATTGGTAATCAAGGTCGTATTTTACTCGGGTCCTGGTACCCTAGCCTACTTCCCACCTAGTTGCTAATTAGTTAATCGGTTTTTGAGGTTTTGAGTGGAGGATATGAGGAAACACTAGTCTAGAGATTGATCAAAGCTAAAAGCAGATACTTCGGGGAACTATCCCTCCCCCTAGATTAGGGTGAGCTCTTTTCCGTAGGCTTTCGTGGTTATCCACACGCCTCCGAGTACGCCTCCCCAAAACCCATGTTCCAGTCACCTCGATCTAGGCTATTGTATCTGGGGCATTAAGCTTATGACTCATTTCAATAGATACTATCCACCTTCCACATCGAGGTTTCATCTCGGGATTCATCTATGAATGCTACCTATAGCAGGGGTTCGGTTGCCTCGACCACTATAGGCCCCCATTCACACATCTAACCTAAACTCACCAGTTGGCGCATTCCCGTCTAACCCTAGAACTTTGTACCCAGCACGGTAGCATAAAGTAGGCTAAGAGGGAAGATTAGGGCAAATTACCCAAGTGTCATCATTTAGGAAAGAGTGACATTAAAATCAACTAGACAAACACATTCATTCATTCAAACCCTAAAATATCCATATATACATAGTATACCCTAATACTAGGGTTTGGGATTTAGAACCCCTAGTATCTTAAAGGTCTACTCCGTAAAGGAGGGAAGAAGATACATGGTAGAAATATAAGAAGACTTGGGGCTGGGGAAGATGCCTCATTGCTCCTAGCTCCTCCTTCTTCTCCTTCCTTCAGCTTCTATCAAAATCAGCTTCCCTCAAAGGGTATAAGGGTCTTGTATTTATAGGCATTCTAGACTCGGGAAAGTTCGCGGCCTGAGGTAAAGAGATCGCGGGCGCGATCTTTGGTCTCTGGCCATGAACTCAAAACGCAGTCGTCGAGGCCTTTGGGAAGGAGAAGATCGCGGGCTGAATTTGCGGTCGCAATTCACTAGTTGAGCCCGCGATCTTCCTCGCGGGCAAGATGAACGTTAACCGTGACGTGACTGGGGAAACTCTCTACTTCTCCAAGGCTCCTTCCACTCGAAGTTCACGCCTTGGGCCTCCAAGATTGCGGTCGCGATCTTCAGCTGGCCTTCGCGGCTTGTGATCTCGGACTTGATCTTTGGCTTCTAGGCCACGATTTTCAATTATTGTCCCTTCTCTACACTTGTGACCTTGTTTTGTACCTAATTCGCACATATCTACCGGTACACCCTAAAACCACATCAAAATCAAATAGGAGCGCAATAGGGATGTATTTGACGATGTTCAAGCATTTAAGCACATAAATTGGCACAAAACACACCTAGATATGTAGGGAAAATAACACCAAGTTTGGTGTTATCAAACTCTCTCACACTTAGGCGTTTGCTTGTCCCTAAGCAAACCTACTCAAACCTTATGCAATATGATAGAAAAATCAATGAGGTATGCATGCTAGTTCTTCATTGCATAGATGAGAGTATACGGGGATGAATAAACGCTACTACCTTCCTACTGTTCTAGCACAAACTCTCGTGTGAGGACCATATCTAATACCTTAGGTCGATCATAAAAAATGTGCTTCGGGGGATTCTCAAACAACAAACAATTACTAGAACTATTGGAGGTGCTTTTATTCCTTTTTTTTATGTAGGAGTTGTCATTTTTCTGTCTCCTTTTTCTTCGTTCATGCACATTGCACAAAACTTTTTCTATTTTTTTCATTGCATAATAGCATCTCTCCCTCATGACCAAGAGCGGATGAATCATAGTCTTCTCTTCCAAGGTCACATGTAGGGAGTTTGATGGTCAGATTCGTCTTAGCCCGAGCACCACATCCCAGCCTGCACTCCACATTGGGTTGCCATACATGTCGGGTACAAACGAGAGCTATGAGGTCTCGTGAATCACTAAAAGGTACCTTTGGTCCTTAGCATATGATTCCGTGAGGAGGAGAGGTGTTTGGGGGATGGTAGATAGTACAGGTGGTCGTGACGCGGTAAAGCTATCTGATCCCCAAACACATCTCGAAGGGCACTCCGAGCCAAGAGAACAATTATTTAACGGTTGATCTCAATTCTTTGCTCGCTTGCCACTCACGTGAGAACCTCTTTTCCTATTCTTAAACACAAATTGTAAACGTTCCTAGTGCACACAAAGGAGAGAATCCCGCACACAATGTATTCCTAAGGTAGCAAACATTATCGACTCACAAAAGAGGAAGAAAGTAGTAGAATCCCTCACGTACTGATACTCAAACTAAGCAACTATCACCTAAGATGCACCACACATCAATCAATCTAATCAAGTCAAAGCACATCGAGTAGGTAATTGCAAGCACAAGGTGTTTTGGAACCCTCAAATTTGAAAAAAATTGGGTGTAGCGTTCAAGTTTCCAAAAACACTAAAATTCACCATTCATCACCACAACATAAAAACGATTACTAGCACACACTCCCACAAGCGTTTATCAACATCTTACATTCACAAACGAGGGAAGATACTAGCAATCAACAGTTCGACCAATCATGATAGACATGCAAACAAACACAAACATCCCCTCCACACTTGAGCAACACATTGTCATCAATGTGGGAGTTTCCAAAGAAAAAATCGTGAATGTTACCATTAATCGGGTTGTGGGTTGGTGAAGGCTCACAAGTGTAGTCTTTGGTCTCCTGGTGGTTTTGCACAACGATGAAGCGCGTAAGATAAAGAAGAAGACAAATAGGATTTATAGGTACGATATATATACATAAAAAGTATCACTACTACTAGTGCTAGAGTAATTAAAGTATGAAAAGTACAAAGAAAATTATGCGATAATTAAAATTTGTTTTAATTGAAATAAAGAAAAGCAAATAAAAAGAAAAGATAGAACGTATGCCCTGGACGCCTAGAACTCATTCCTTCTCGGAGGGTCCTTCTTCTTCATCGTGTAGAGGTATTGGAGAAGTGAAGCGGTTGAATGTGGTCGGTGCATCGTCGATCGGAATGTTCATCTTCTCCCTGATCGTTTGGATGCACACCATGATGTGGGGTCGCGCCTCCTTCTCACTCTGTTGGTTGTGAAGGATGGCCGCTATCATCGACTCAATCCTATAATCTATTGCATTGTTGCTCGGTGGGTGAATTGGTTGAAGAGTTGGAATAAGAGCCTCTCCTCCTTCATGCACTCTCTCTTCTTGATCTTCCTCGGTTTCCAAACCTCTTCGGTCCCTTGCCATTCTAACTTTTGGAAGACGAAAATTTCTCCTTTCCATCTCCAAAGTATTGATGGTCGGAAATGGGAATCCTTGAAACCCCCAAATGCCATCATTGCTCATGTGTAGCACCTTAAGCTTTGACTTCAAAACCTCGAAGGACACAGGAACGGTCCGGCTATCCATTCAAAATTGTACGGCTCCGAAGTCAACTTGGAAATATATGGCAAGTAGGTTGACAAACACTCCTCCGTAAAGTGTGGCAAGTCGGTGATCATTACTCGTAGTGCTTGAATATAGATAAGATAGACAACCCAAGATGAAGAGATCGTGGAAGATGCATGCTATGAAACTAGGTGACGTCTCGAGTAGTTAGGTTTTCTTTGATCCGGTTCTTCCCTCCCACGGATCTAGCGATCACGTGGTGTATGAGCCTCCACTCTGGCTTCACCTCACTAGTAACTTTACATCCCATTATCGACTATCCTGTTTCTTGACTCCATTCTCATAAAATGTCTTGAAACAAGGGAAGTCGGATTCCCTTGTCAAGGTGGCAAAGTCATTAAATGAATCAATGAAACCTGTCGTGTAGATGTCCATCGCTCTAGTGAACTCCTAGATCGACATATGGCGATGTTCTCCTCCGAGTTGAAACTGGATGTTATCTTCAAGGTCGTCGACACCCCTCATATCTCGAATAGTGAGAGTACTGATAAACTCTAGAACAAGAACCCGATATATATTTTCTTCAATAGAGAGCAACTTGAGTCATTCCAACTTTTGTACTTTAGAGCAGATTGCATCTTCAATTCCGAGTTGGGCGAAAATGATCCAATTGAAACAAGAACTTTCTCCTAGAGGTAATCCTTGAAACCATAGAAGCTTGCTCTTGAATTGCTCGAGCATGTATTCCAAAAAGTAGTGAGTGATGTGTTCAACGCTGCCTTCCACATTTGCTTGCTCATCTTGATGGAGTATCCTTGATGGATGTTGAAGATGTGAGGTTGAATGAGGTTCTTCAATAAGCACTTCTTTTGATTTGGATTTTCTTGTTTTCTTCTTTTGACCTTGGCGAGGACGAGAGGTTCGAGATGATGTGCTCTCATCATGAGCCATGAAACACAAACCCACACACATAACATTCAATCCATACAAACTATTACATCTCTAAGGGTAGGGTTCACAATACCCAAGTGAAAAGGAGAAGTACTCCATATTTAGTCTAGGGATTACAATAAAGAGGAGAGAAAGAACCATGTTGGGCTGTTTGTCTTTCTTCCTCGTTGTTGAAACACCCTAGAGAGATGAAAATCTTCAGTCCTCTAGCTTTGAGCAAATCCTAGTCCTCTTCTTCTTCATTTGTTTGTTAGTTTTCTCTCTAGTTTCTGAAGAAGACCTTTCTCTCACTAGGATTTCTCTCCTTTTGGTTTCAGCTTTCTACTCCTTTTATACTCCCGTCGGGCAGATGTCACGGGCGTGATTTTGGAGACCTTCCCATGACGTCGGGCAAAAATGCATCATTCACGGTCTAGGAAAAATTTTCATGATCGACTGACCGTGACAATTGACTTGTCCGCGAGGCGTGCAAATGCTCCTGGAAGTTTTCGATCTTCACGGTCACTGGCGAATCTTCACGGTCTGCAACCCATGAGAATCTCCCCTTGCTTGTGATTTTGCCTTTTTGTTCCTTTCGATCCACTTTCGCCCTCTTTCGTTCGACTTTCGCTCTCGAGTTCAATTCCACATGCTAAAACTTGAAACATGCTAAAACATGCACAAACCTAGCATAAAATCGAACCTCGGGTGATGCAAACTCTACCAACGCCACAAGAAAATGGGGTGTAAACATGTGTAATTAGGCTCGAATCACTATATTTGATACATTTCACTTTCTGTTATGCATTTTTAGTAGTTTTTTTTATTATATTTCATATAAATATTGTAACAATTTGATCACGTGCCTAATTTTTACCTTGAATATGTTTTTGTATTACTTTGTGATTTTTGTGCTCTTTTTTGCATTTCAATGATAAAATGTACTAAAGAGAAATATGAATCATAACTGGACTAGAAGGAAGATGAAAATACAAGCTCATGGACCAATCGGAGATGAGTTTGGACATTAGATGATCACTTTATGGCCCAAAGAAGCTTACCAAGTAATGCAACATGCGTACCTTTGATCATGGTCAAATTAGGTCAAACGAAGAGTGATTGAGCTAAAATTTGATTAGCAGCTCAAGGAGTCCAAGATAAATCTTTACACCAAATTTCAGCCCATTCGACGTACAAACAGGCCCAAAGAGGAGTACAAAAATGGTGATTTCGTGCTTAGAATGAGTCCAAATTTGACTACAATACTCATGCAACCATCTAGAAGCTTCCCACATACTTTCAGACAAATCCAAGTTCAAGAAGTACTAGTTTTGAGCGACCACATTGTTTGTAGATAGTTTTCTATCTAGCTGTTATTATAAATAGAGATTTAGTCTAGAGCTTTTTTAACACATTTGTTGAAAAATTATTGTCCTTTCCATTCAAATTTTTCGCAGTGTTTTCGAAGCAAACCTCCATTCTATGATTTTAAAGCAATCGACAATTCAAAAATCAAACAAACACTCGACTCATTTAAAATCAAATCTATTTGTCAATGGTTGGCACGTTCACTTTTCCTTTACTCTCTATCTATGTTAGTTTCGGATTCGTTCATCGTTGAATCTCGATGGAAAGTAGTTTTTTCCTTCATCACCTACAAGTGTCCTTCATTATCAGCCTTTGTTCGTCGTGGGGAGAGTGCTTGTACATAGGCAGCTAAGTTTGCGATGACATGGATGGAAAGGGTGAAAACGAAGGGTTAACCCATATTAATTCCTATTTTTTTCCCTTGACATCACATAGTTTTTCTTTTGTTTGGCAAAATAAGTTTCCATTAAATCAGATTTGGAAAAACTAATCATATATGGGCGACAAATCAACAAACAAGACGACAAAAGCTATTTCGTTATTTATTTAATTATATTTTTAAGGTACATTCAATGGGAAAAAATTAGGTACATTAGAAACATGTTTGTTCAACATATAAATAAAATTGAAACACTTGACAAAGAAATAGCTCTCTTATACTAAACTATCATTTTTGCTTGCTGGTGCATATAAGAAAAGTGTGTAATTGTTAACATTCATAAGGAAATATTGTTATCATTTAAAATAAAAGGCACGTCTTTCAATAAATATTTGAAAAAAGAAGATAAAATGAAAGTTTATCAACATTTTGTTGTTGAATAACAAATCAAAATTTATCAACATTTCAAATACAAAATGAAAAATAATTTGTTTAAATTATGGAAAATTAGAAAATCCATTGAAGTTGACACTCATAGTGCTATTTTTGGGGAAGGATATGAGTGAAGGCTACAACTTGGGCACGGGGGACTGACCTGTGTAGTGCTATTGTGGAATTTGCCAAGGAAGCACAGACTGGAACTATCATACCTTTGTAAACATTGTGAGGAAAAAAAAATGTTACTAGCAAGAATTGAAAGGCTGGAGATGCGAGCTAATGGTGATTCGATGGATGGAGCCTTGAAACAAGCTCGGGAGGAGCTTGAGCTCGTCCTCCTTCAGGAAGAGCTACTTTGGGCTCAAAAGGCTAGAGTTGAATGGGTGTTGTCGGGGGATAGAAATACCAAGTACTTCCATGCAAGAACGGTAGCTCGAAGACGAAAGAACAAGGTGTCATCTTTGAAAAATAGTGCTGGAGAGTGGGTGGAGGATCATAGTCTACTTCTTGAGATGGCAAAATTGTATTTCTCTGGCCTCTACACAGACGACGGCAACCCATTCCCTGGGCCTATAAGCTATGTTTAACGAACTCCCAGAGTCGGCTTGGTTACCGCTGCAGCTGCAGTTCACTGAGGAGGAAATTCACCAGGCGATTGAAGCGATGGGAGCACTCAAAGCGTCTGGTAGGATAGATTGAAACCTTTGTTCTACCAACGTTGCTGGAATCCTGTGAGTCAGGAGCTCGTGAGCTTTGTGCGAGGTTGCTGGTCGGAACCAGCTCGGGTGCAAGAGGTTAATGCCACCATCGTGGCACTCATTCCTAAGACCCCGCGACCGACTTTGATTGAGCAATATCGTCCCATCAGCCTGTGTAATGTGGCGTACAAGGCCACCATCTTGGGCATCTCGTTACTGCGGCGGTAGCCATAGGAGCATGGAAGTCAATAAAGATATCTCAAGGGGGACCAGCACTGTCACATTTATTCTTTGCGGATGATCTAATCTTATTTGGGGTCGCATCTTTGGAACAAGTGCAGGTGATTTTGCAGTGTCTGGAGGAGTTTGGAGCGGCCTCCGGTCAACAAGTTAGCAAGACAAAGTCGCGAGTTTACCTTTCTCAGAATGTTAGTGCGACAGACAGTGCAAGAATCAGTGGAGCACTTGACATACCCGAGACAAAGAACCTGAGTCGGTATTTAGGAGTACTAGTGATACATGACCGAGTTTCAAAAGCCACCTACACAGAGCTAATTGATCGCATCGACGCCCGACTGACGGGGTGGCGAGCGAAATCCCTTTCCTTGGCTGGCCGAATTACCCTTGCTCAGTCTGTCCCGTCGTCGTTACCAGCTTATATGATGCAGACAGCTTTTTTGCCGACTTCGGTCCGAGATTATATTGACAGAAGGATCAGGGGTTTTATCTGGGGTAGTTCATAGCAGGGACGAAAGATTCATCTCGTGGACTGGGAGACTTTATGTAAACCAAAAGAGGTAGGAGGCCTGGGGATCCGTAGCGCGGCAAGAATGAATGAAGCTTTTATGATTAAGATTGCATGAAGATTGATGAAGGAAAATGATAGTCTATGGGTGCAGGTAATCAGGGGGAAGTATCTTAAATGAACAAAACAAGGTTGGATTCCTAGAGTAAATGAAAGGCTATCTAACCTCTGGAGAGGTGTGATCAGAGTGCTCCACTATATCCCGGAGGGTACGATGTGGTCAATGAATAGTGGTATGCATACTTTGTTTTGGACTGACCGTTTGCTCTAGGACGGACCACCTTTGGAGGCCTTGGCGGTAAACCTCCCAGAAGAGGTGAAATCCACTACTGTGGCAGAGATGGTTTTGAATGGCAGCTGGCATATTGATTTTGCTCGTGTGTTCCTCTCCGTGGAGATGGTGCAGCAGCTTCTTCTTCACCCTGTCCCGCAAGGTGTGGAACCTGATGAACCCATATGGAGGTTGTCTGAATCGGGGAAGTTTACGCTGCAGACAGCTTATGAGCTTATGAGAGGGGAGGATGAGTTTCATCACCAACCAATATGGAAAGTTTCATGGAAAGTGCAAGGCCCCCAACGTACTAAAACATTCCTCTGGCTTGTTCTACAGCAGCGGCTGCTCACGAACGCTGAACGAGTCTGCCGCCACCTTGCTCAATCGGACGTATGCCCTATTTGTGGCGGTGGGCCGGAGACAATTCTTCATGTGATTAGAGACTGCCCTTTTGCTCGTGAAGCATGGTCGGAAGTTCTCCTTGGCGAACCAGATACAGATTTTTTCCAGGCGGATTTGAAGAAATGGGTGATGCATTATTTGGGGGGGGCGGAGCAAGGTTATTGACTGCTCTATGTTTGTTATATTTTGCTGGCAGTTGTGGAAAAACAGGAATCTTTGGGTGTTTGAGAAAACATTACTAACTACAGCTCAAGTGGTGATCCAGGTTCGCCGCATTAGAGATCAGGTGGAAGGCAATCTCGTGAATTCGGGACGAGTTACGGGTGAGAAATCAGGTCGAACTGTTCGAATGATTGAATGGTAGCGTCCCCCACAAGGATGTGTTAGCTTGAACACGGATGGATCAGTTGTCCCGAACCAGGGAAGCACAACAGCTGGGGGAGTGCTTCGAGATGAGAATGGCAGGTTTATGAGGGCATTCATTACCAATCTTGGCGGTGGCTCTATTACACATGCGGAGTTGGAAGGTATCGATCATGATATGCGGCTAGCTTGGGATTGCGGAGTGAGAAATCTCTTAGTAAAGACTGACTTCGCGGTGGCAGTGGCTCTGCTACGTGGGGAAGCCGCCGGACATCCTCATGCCACCCTTGTGCGCTCCGTGCAACAGAAGTTGACATTGAACTGGGAGGTTCGGATTGAGCATATGTTTAGAGAAGGAAACTTTGTTGCATACTATTTAGCCTCCTCGGGACATACTGTTCCTGTCGGCATCCATATTGTCGACGTCCCTAGCCCCTATGTTAGCCTACTGGTTATATTTCGATTTAGCCGGGATTCAAACCCAGCGCGTTATCAATGAGTAAGGGTTGAGCGCCCCATGCGCTCGTTTTCTCACAAAAAAAGGTTGATAATCGGGAATGAGAAATCAATGTTACTACTTACAGTGAGATTTAAAACCCTTGATATATGTCAATAAAATTCCTGCCTAAAACTTTTTTTAATTTGGTAGTATAGACAAGTGGATGTCATGCATGTATATTTACCCAAAATCATGATAGATGACAAATCTACATGCAAAAAATACATAAAAATACAGCAAAATGGCTAGAAAACATTATCCATGTGACATGTATTTGTAACGGCAATTAGTCGCACTAAACAACAAAAGTAAATTCTGATACCATCATCGTGGACTCCGCCCATGCACCCTTTTATCCACACATCCAACGCCCCAACTAACTGTTTTTTTATATATATAAAAAAAAGATAGCTCCAAGTTTTAAACCATTTTAGAGAATTGTAACCCACCAGGCAAGAAGCTGTTTCGATCTTCCAAGTTCCAATGCAAACTAGTCAAAACTGATGAATAATTGTGTTTGTCGTACAATCTCTTGTGGACTTGGCCAGGTAATTAAAACTATGCATTTCAATAACATTTTTCATATATAAAAGATTCGTTTATTTTCAATCCACTTACTTTTTTTTTTATTGGTGTGTGACATACAATTTTCTTATAATTTTCAATTTAGTTTTTCAACGGTTTCAATCTTTAACGGTATCATTACTAAATAAGAAAATGTGTAACTTCGTGAAAAGAACATTTACGATCTACTTATCTCGAATTTGTCTGACATACCTCCGTAGATTCATTAGTGACGTTCATATAAATATGAGTAACTTTTTGGATAAATGTGCAAGGATTTGTTATAATTCTATGCCATAATGTTATATTACACATATTGATGATTAAAACTTAATATTTGGTCATTAAAAATATATTTTTAAGTTGTGGCATAATATAACTCATCTATGTGAGAACCCATAAAAATATATCATCCAATTTCTCACAAGTAGTTAAGCTTATTCAGCTCATTGTTAAGCAAAACATAATAAGGTGATATATATATACTAGCATGCATTTCAAATCAATTTTAAATCGTATAGAGATTGAAATCTCATATTCTTTTCACATTTGAAATCTCAATTTGAAATCATATTTGATACATATTATATTGTGTGTATGATAAATCAGAGATTTCATAAAAGAAAAGGTTTTGAGCAATTTATATTATTATTGTTTGTTACAAACAATTAACGACAAGTTTGTAAAATTGGAACAAATGATTTTCTAATAAAAAAATTATTTAGAAACCATTATAATATGCATTCACAAATATAAGGTACACAATAAACGTGTCTACACAATACATAAATAAAAGTAAAATCTCATCGAGAAAAATAACTTTATGATTCTAAATTATCTTTCCATTTGTTTGGGTGTGCTTATAAGAAAAGTGTGAATTTGTTAACATTTATTACATTCTATAACTGTGAAGATACAGATGAAATGATTGTTATCCTTTAGGAAAATGGAAAAAAGGCAAATTTTTTAATAAAAAGTAAATAAGAAAAAAATAATAATAAGAAACGTTTATCAACATTTCAAATTTCAAATAAAGAGAAGGAATTTTTGTTAACTTTTATGAAAAATAGGAAAGTCCATTAATATTGACACTCGGAATACATGCACCCTACTCAATTAAAAAAAAAAATCCGTTATAAATTAATTAGTCATTGGACAATCCTCATGCTATAAAAGAAGCTGTTGTTGTATTGCAGATCACACAACCAGTTGTTACGGACTACGGAGAGCAAAACCAAAACTAGTTTAATTAAACCATTTGTTACGAGGCTACATGGCTCCAGTTCCCGCTCTCTCTGCTGAGTAAGTATTACTATGCACATTTGTAGATTATCTTTACAAAAGAACTATATTTTGGAAGTGATAAAATAGAATGAGATTGATATATATTCGAGTATTCAATTGTTAGTATCAATTGTACATTAAAATTTGTTTTCATTATGATGTAATCAAATTTATGTTTTTTTTTTATCTTGTTTTGTGTTGAACATAATTTTTTTTTTGTCAAATGAGAGATTCCATTATCAAAAAGATATAGAAGCAAACTTTTACAACTCTTCAAAGAGCAAAACACAAAAATTGAAACCACGCCATCACAGGAAACAAAGAATGGGAATTCAAAGCAAAAAAATCGAAATAATTCTTCATTGAAACAACAAAGTTTATTTTTTCCATTTTTTATTGTACGATTTATATTTTTATATGGTTGAATAATGAATATAGAGTGGTAAAAAAATATATAAACGTTCCAAACAATTTTGATTGAAGAAATGTACAATAAGGCATTATTCATATTGGGGAATTCAAGTAGAACCGCATCTTGACCATGACACCTCCATGCAATGGCCGGTAGAGGTGACAATTAGGATTCAAATCCATGAATCCAATCCATCCACCAAATTATCCACCTAATCCAATCCATTTAAATCCAATCCATTTGATCCAAATCCAATTGGATTGGTGGATTTATGGATCAATCCATTGATCCAAATGGCAAATTATGATTTGGTACCTATATTTTTTATATTTTACATTTTGGTACCTAAAATTTATATTTTTATACGAAAAATATCATTGGAAAATTACATTTTGGTACCTAAAATTTTTCATTATGACATTTTAGTACCAAAACTTTTCAAATTTTACATTTTGGTCCAAGCCTTGGATGTCATTTGGATTCATGGATCAATCCACCAATCCATTTGATCCAATCCATGAATCCACCAATCCATTGGATCCAATCCATTTAATCCATGGATCCACGAATCGAATCCACGAATCCAATCCAATTGCCACCTCTAATGGCCGGTATTATGCATTTTCATAGGTATAGATGACAATTGCATCTTTAAAATTTTACCCGTACAATATAATTATGATGTGCAAGTCATGTCGCATATTCTTCTTTTTATTTTTGCGTTTAATATCTCTAGTATTTAAGTATTCATGCTTTTATAATTGTGATAAGAAATAAGGTGTAATTAAAAGTGAATTTGCATGTAGGTGAAATGGAAGTACGTACAATGAATGCGTGATTGCTAAATAAATTGATACCTTAATAGTCTAATAATTGTTTTTTGAAATCCGATGTTATAACAGAAAAAATTGCAGCAGCAGCAAGAAGCATAAGGTTGTGGTGATACTGGGATCAACCGGCACCGGAAAGACAAAACTGTCCATTGATTTAGCCATTCGTTTCTCCGGCGAGATCATCAACTCCGACAAAATCCACGCCCAAAATGGCCTCGACATCGCTAGCAACCGAGTCACCAAGGCGGAGGCCAAGGGCATACCGCATCACATCCTCGAAGTCGTCGGTTCCGACGCCGACTTCACAATCCAAGACTTCGTCACCCGGGTCCATGATGCCATCGACCACATCACCTCCAAACCTGCTGGAGGGTGTACTCTCCCCATCATTGTTGGTTGCTCCAACTCCTACATCGAAGCCCTAGTAGAGGGCCACTACTCCGACTACTTCAAGTCTCGAATCGACCCTTGCTTCCTGTGGATCGACATCGATGTCCCCGTTCTGTATCGTGTCGTCGAGGCCAGGGTGGATCGGATGATCGCGTCTGGCCTCCTCGACGAGGTCAGGGACGCCCTTGTCGAGGGTCGTCCCAGAGACGTGACCAAAGGGGTCTGGAGGACGATAGGGTTTGAAGAGTTTCAGACGTACTTTAAAGCAGTCGAGATGAATCACGACGAGGTGACAAGAAAGGAGCTATTCGATGTCGCCACGAAATCGATGAAGGAGAGAACTTGCAAGCTGGTGGATAGGCAATTGGGCAAGATCCAACGATTGAGGGATGTAAATGGATGGGATATACACCGGATCGATGCCACGAAGGTGGCGGTGGCTATGGAGAACAATAATGGCACGGAGCTGGCTGACTCGTCGTGGGAGGAAGTGGTACTGAAGCCAAGTTATCAAATTGTTAGCAAGTTTTTGGATGGCGGAAATTAAAGCAGGAGGAGGGAGAGGCTGTGGTGTTGCCATATTTACTGTGACTGGAGTTGGGAAGTTTGATTACCTAATTATGATAGAAGAGTTATTATGAGAAACTATGGATTTTCATAAAAAAATAAGAGGAGGCGAGTAAATGTGCTGGCTTTCAATTGTTTTTTTTTATAATGTTGGATGTTGAAGTTGAAAAGCAACAAAATATGTAAGAGGTATTAGGTTTCGAAAGTGTCTTGGATGTGATCTTTTTTTTAGTTTTAATTTTAAGTTGTTTGAATGTGTGATTTTCGTAATGGATAGGTGAGTTGTGACTTTCTTTTTAATGCTGGATTGCATTAATACATGTCGTATCACTTACTTTTATCTATAAAAAAAATGTTTTTATGAAAGTATACGAGCTTTTATTCACTAAACAGTTGTGATCATGGTTGTCATGCCGGTGCCATGCCACCCGGTTGAACCTGGTTTAACTTGTGCCGGTCATGAAACCAGCATGACACCACCGGTATGATCGGCTTACGCATTCTAAGTAAAATGACATCATTTTAATGAATTTAATGAATAAAAATAATAATTTATTATTCATTTTATGAATGTAATAGTTAAAAGTTGATGATATTTGTTGGATTGTAACTAAATTGTCCACAAATATGTTTTATATATGATTAAATACATTGGATATTAATTGTTTTCACATTTTTTTAGACCGGCATGAACCGGCACAAACTGGTTATACCACCGGTCATACCATTCCACTTGCCAAACCGGCACAACTGTATAAACCGGTTTGACAACCTTGGTTGTGATACAAATACTAATCATCTATAACATGTATCCACTCATTTAGGAGCAATCCATCTACAGTTGATCCCTTTGCAACATTCGCGTTTTGGTGGCTTAATCACCCGACCCATACACTACGTTTTTGAAAAAATCAAATCCAAAACCACTCAAAAAATTTAGAACCCTACAGTTTGTTTATAGTTGGGTTGGGTCGGGTTGGAGATACTTTTAACTAAAAACCCAACCCAATACAAAAAAAACTATTCTACACCACAAAATATTATATGAATAATTAAATTTTTAAACAAATGTATTAAAATGAAAGGTATCAAAATGCGTAAATAATATTTTCATTTTAATAATATACAATTTACTTCAAAATAGGTATAGTTTTCCCCAAAAATATTTGTCAAAATAAACTAAAATGATTATAAGAAGGCATTCATAATAAATTATTCTTCTAAAATTTTACACTAAAAAAATTATGTGAATTGAAGTATAAATTAAATTTACATCTAAATTTTAAGTAGAAGAATGCGTTACGTTAGGGAAACCACAAGAGAAAAATATAATAAAATTTCTTAAATTTCTTAGAAATATGTTTTGGATACGAACATTTATGATAATAGTCGGAACACGAGTTGGATCTAGTTCTACGGGTTGTGTAACCCAAAATCCGAACCCAACCCAATAGAGGCGGGTTTGTACAAAACAAAACCCTCACCCAACCATAAATCTTAATTTTAGCAATAAATACGGGTGGGTTGGATCGGATGGGTGGGTCGGTTTGTGGGTTGTTTTGTTCACCCCTAAACACTGTTAAAGAATTGGACGAAATTGGCTATTTTTGGTATTTCGCCTAAAGTGGCTATATTTGGTCAAACCGTCAAAATTTTGGCTACATATGTGTATTTTTCCCAAGGTTGTCAAATCGGTAGTGGAATGGTTCGACCGGTGACACATATCGATTTGTGCCGGTTCATGCCGGTCAATATTACAAATAAAATTATAAATACTCATATTTAAACATGACATTTAACGTCAATACCTAAACATTTATACTTGAATCCAACAAATAACATCAATATTTAACTTTTATACTCATAAAATAAATAATAAAATAATTTTGCCTTATAAGGTAAAGGATAATTTGGTAATTGAGCTCGTACCCATCCTCGGCTCCTCCCCTCCTTCGCAGCCGCTCGTATTCGTCTTCTTCCCCAGAAACGCCGCTGTTCCAAATATCCACTCCACAGTCACCATTGCCAATCCACCGACTAGGTTCGCTTCCGTAGTTAGCTTCGAATGGTTTTGGAAAAAATCATGGGCTTTGCCGTGTTTGCTTTGAATGGCTGGGAAGTTATAATTTCAATCTGAATGTTTTTGCAGCCCTTCATTGATTGGTTCTGCAATGAAATGAATACTAGAGTACGTAAAAAGAAGTCGGAAATTGATTGAACTTTGATGCCGCCTTTGTGTTTGCAATCTGTCTTTTCTTGAACGAATGCGAGAGTGAACGAATGAAATTGCCTTTGTGTTGCTAATCTGTTTTTATGTTAGCAAGTTGGTTTTAGTTGAATTTAAATATAAGTTCCTTTCATGTTTCCTTCAGCAAGTTGGTTTTTAGCAGTTAATTGTTTGTTCCTAATGTAATTTTCATTATCATGACTAGTGATTATAGCTATGGCGGTAGAGTTGATGGTAGTGATGAGAATGACAATGATGGTGATGATGAATGCTAGCTTGTTCCTAATTGTTTGTTCCTTTTATTACTGATGAAGCCTGCTGCTAGCATTGTGGAACCTTTGAAGATAAACGGCCGCTGGGTGAAGTAGAGAATGAAAGAGAGCTCAAAGGCAGGACAGGACAGCTTCTCGCGGCTTTCTCAGACCTTTCTTCCGGGCTCGAATCTCAACTTCTCCAACTAACATTTCTCCTGATTCCAGGTTGTAGAGATTTGTTTTGGAAGTGGATGGATGGACCGAATGGCGAATCCAGTACAAGCACCTGCATTTCTAAACGGTTCAGTATTTTTTGGATGCCCATCTGCCATATTGAGGTGGGCGCATCCTAAGTGTCGTTCTTGTTTTGGAAAGAGATTGGAGTTCACGAGGAGACGGCTTTTTGCTACTCGTGGAGCTCGACTCTATTTGCGAGGTTAGTGGTCATTGAAACTTACACTTATGATGTTTGATTAATTGCTCTAGCTAAAATGTGCTGTGAATTCTGAGTTCCAGGTGATTTGGTTGCTGTTGATCGTGTGAAGAAAAGCTCGATTGAATATGAGGTGATTTCAGTGGCTTAGTAGGCTTCAATCAGCGTCTCATTGTGGTTTTAGGTGTGATTCTAATTCGTGCGTGTTTTCGCCCCTTAGACTGGATACTTATGTGAAGGGAAATCGGAGAACTTCCCCCACATACAAACTCTGAAAAATTTCCCAAAGGAAGAGCTGTCTGGTAAAGTTGTCATGGTCAGGTTTGACAGCTCCATTTTACTTGGGGAGAAACTTGACAAGAACTCGCTGGCTGTCTCTAATGCGCTCTTCACAGTTCAGTATTTGCTTGCAACTGCGGAGAAAGTGATTCTTGTGAGTGACTGGAAGAGGGAAGTGAGTTCCAAGCTTCTTGACTCACAGTCTGTTTCAGGTACCTTTAGAGAACTAGCAGCAGTAATATCTTCTTTACAGTTGTCTGAAATCAGGATTCATAAAGTTTTATGTGTTTCTGGATTTTTTTTTTCTTGATTTCCCAGATATATTATCATCACTTCTCAGGCGAAAAGTTGTTAGTTTGAAATGCCTTTCCTGTGGCGTGCCGTTCAAGAGGGAACTCCTTGAGGAAGCTGATATATTCCTTCTAGAGAATTTATCTGGATTTAGAAAGGAGGTTGCCAACTGTCCAGAATTTTCAGAACTACTCTCTTCGGAAGTTGATGTCTTTGTTAACGACTCCTTTTCCTTGTCTCATAGAGTCCTGGCTTCAACAGTCGGCATTTCTCGTTTTTCACCAGCTTGTGTGGCAGGTTTTCAATTTGAAGAAAGCCTGCGGGAGTTAAAGCGGGTTTTGAACACCGACAAAAGACCATATATTGCAATTGTATGACTTTTCATTTTGCAACCAACTTACCAACTTATACATATCAAGCTTGATCGTATAGGGCGTTCTTGCAAGTTTACTTGTTTTGTATTACATTGTTCGCTTAACTTGCTTTCTCTTTAGTGGTTCAGATTGGAGGGGCTAATATCCACGGAAAAGCAGCTGCCTTGAAACGTTTGGTTTCTGAATGTGATGGAGTAGTCTTTGTTGGAATGATGTCGCTGCAAATTATGCATGCTTTGGAATATTCAATCCCTTCAACTCTTCTTGAACCCGGGTCATCTGATGCAGCTGTAGAAGTTATCCAATCTGCTCGATATAGAAAGATCCCAATTATAACGCCGAAAGATTTTTGGTGCATAAATGATAGTCTAGGATATCAAATTGAAGTAATTCCTGCTCATCGACTGGGAGAAGGTGAATGTTCAACACTGGAATATAACTTGCTTTACATTCTTCTGTTTTCTTCATCTACAGGAACTTTCTTCTTTTAACTGTTGCTTGGGCTTGTGCAAACTGTTAGTCGTCCTAGATGAACTAGGCCTCAAAATAGAAACTATTTATTATGGAGACCAACTATATATAAGCATTTCTATTACTCTAGTTTCTTGTATAGGTGATAAGCAAGCCGGCCGTGCATTTTTGTTTCTTCAGATTTGTGGTATGTTGTTGCGTATTGGCAGCACTACATCTGATGAAGGGGCCAGTAAATAAAGCTGGCTAATCGTATGGCTGTGGTTGGCAACAAATTTCTCTATCTGTTTCATGCTATTGAATACAGGTCTCAACATCCATAATGATATCTTGAGAAATAAAAGCGTGGTGCTTTTTTAACGAACTACTCATGTGCAGTTGGCGTAATTGCCCACTAAAATATTTAATCTTCAAAGCTGTGCATTAATGTCCTTAACCCTAATACTTTTTCATGTTAGGTTGGGTGCCTGTTGATCTTGGGCCTAGGTCTCTTTATGAAATGGACTCTTTGCTTTCAAGTTGCAAGGTAAACAACGGAAGTCTGCAGATAAGTAGATAATATCATTGTGTGATGGGGAAACCATAGCCTACTGAGTTTGTTTATTCTTGTCATGTAAGCATATGGTTTTGCTTGATTTTATCAGTCCTCCTTTCTGTCTCTTCAAGCTCATAACTTATCTTTCCCTGACTCTTATGTTTTCAGAAAGTAATATGGATTGGACCAGTGCAATTCAAGTCTTCACATTCAAGTATTTGTACAGATGGAGCATCTCAAGTGGCTCAAATAGTAGATAGGTTGGCACAACGGAATTGTGAGATAGCAGTTGTGGGGAATAAAGCATGCAGCACTATGATAAAGGAATCAAGGTCTTCAGCCAGTTGTTCTGTCATTGAGAATGCTTCAGTTGTATGGGAGGTTTTAAAAGGAAGGAAGCTTCCTGGGTTGTTGGCCTTAGACAGAGTATGCCTCCTAATTTTCTATGTTACTCCACACAATGAGTATTGAATTGGAAATAGGATAACATGTGATATGAGATTGGTAAAAGAGCAGTAGTTGGTTTGGCATATATGGAATATAATTGTTGGTTTTCTGCAAGCTATGTAAAATAATTGTCGGTATTTTTTTGTGTGGCAATTTTCTTTGTGCTTTCATATCTGATGACTGATAATGGAAAAATGCATGTCATGAAACTGAAAGTCTATCCTTTTCCTTTTCTTGTCCATTTTTCTGACCACTGTATTATTAATTATTGCTTGAAGGGGTAAACATTTTAGAGGATTTTGCCCTTTCTGTTTTTGGGTCACGGCTCATTGTTGCTTTTTTCAGGCATTCCCATTCAAGATTGATTGGACAATGGCTTATCGTAATCCTGCTCAACCTTTGGTAGTTGACATTGGAAGTGGTACGCCATCCTCTTGTACCTTCACGATGTATTAGTTCATATTACTTCCAGATGCAAAACTGTCTTAGCTATAAGAAAAATGCTATTTTCTTATGAGGAAATAAATCTCAAAGAGTAGTAGTGTAGCATTAACTTGAGATTATTGTGGAATATACAAGTGATAACTGTAGTCTTCGCCGTCTGGAGACCTCTGTGACGAGCAGCATTTCACTTAACTTGAAATGGAAATGAAAATGGCACAGAGAAGTATGCTATTATGGTTTGTACTAAGATTTGATCTAATGGTAGGAAACGGACTGTTCCTTTTCGGGATGGCTTCAAGAAGGAAGGACCAAAACTTCCTTGGCTTAGAGGTTAATAAAAAGGTTTGTTCTTAAATTATTTCCCCACTTTGATTCAAGGTTGCTCTTGTTCTTGTTTGGCTTATGACTCTTCTTACTTCTTGGTTGTCATACCATTGTCAGCTTGTTAGGCGTTGCCTGGATGGTGTTCGTCAATCTGGGATTCCGAACGGGTAGCTTAACTCTTTCTACATTTACATCTGCAACATGTTGATCCAAGAGTCATGTTCATGATTTTCATTTTCACTTGCAAATAATTGCATTAGAGTTTTGTTCCCTCAGATACATAAGTTTCTTCTCTTTTTTCTACCATTGTTGTGCTAGGTTCTTCATTGCCACAAATGCAACTTCGACATTTCGCTCCATTGTATCAAGCTATCCAGGAGAAGTAGTGCTAGTGTCAATACAGGTAATAGAAGAACTACCTTTCTGCCAGCCAGTAAAATCATCCGTGTCCTAAACATCAACCTATGTACAAGTTTTCACGAACTTCCTCATGAACTTCAAATTTGCTAATCACTCTGCAGTGTCCAAACCCTGACTTCAACAATCCAGAGCAGAGATGGAGAATGGTGAATAGAACATTAGTTGAAGCAGTGGTTGAACTCCTTGCATATAATGGAAAGGTAGAACATTGGATTTGTCTATCTCTTAACTCGCATACCTGCTGTTGCCATTGCTATGATTCATCAGTGTCTGTCTTTTTGTTTTGGTCGTCCAAGGTGTTCCTTCAATCGGACATAGAGACAGTTGTGCTGAGAATGACAGACATGTTCCTTAGACACAGCAAGGGTAAGCTCAGCATTGTACGTGATGGAACAACCAAGTCGAGGCAACAAGGGTCTTGGCTTCACGAGAACCCTTTCGGAGTTAGATCGGATTGGGAACAGCACGTTTTGGATCGTGGCGATCCCATGTACAGACTAATGCTCTGCAAATCAGCGACAAGCTGAATGTGTCCAACTTCCATGGAGATTGATTTAGCTAAAAGATAATAGTAGCTTCATGTATCCGAGGGATCTATCGGCTTTGAGTAGTTGAGTTCCTGTGCTTTAATAGATAGTTAGGGATATTTAGCTGCTTGTCGTTTGTTTCGCCAATCGATCTTCTTCCGGACGGACGGCGTCCAAGGATTGAAAAGGGTGATCGACCTTCTTCACGTTTCGTTCCGCCGATCAACGTTCTTCCCGTTGTTACTAGGTAATTAAGTTGCTAACGCTTAAGTTTGTACGATTATAGGATTTCGGGTTTTTTGTTGCATGCTTAGTGTTTTGTTTACCTACGTTTTGTCATTTAATTGTTAATGATTTGGAAGGGTCTGATTAACTTGTTATAATGTCATTATCAACGGTTTTGTTATAATTTAGAGGGGTCTTATGATTTATGAACGATGTCGTTAATGAATTTTAGGCTTCTTATTAACGTGCTTAGGATTTTTTTTTTAACCGCCTAGGGCTTATGACTCGCTATTTGTCATCCTAAAATTTAAATTTTATCGCCATAAAACACAATAAATTGATATATTTACTACTCAACTCAATTTCAATTCTAAACAAAATTATGTTAATGTAAAAACGTGGCGTATACGGAGAGTACAAATCCACAAGCAATTATCAATGATGAGGGTCTTAACTTAATGTTGAATTGTTAATGATTTGGAGGGTTCTTATTAATTTGTTAAAATGTCAATATCAATTGTTTTGATGCCGAGTTGTTTTTGCGATAAATGACTCATTAGTAATATTTTTTATATTTAGTTATAATTTCATTTTTCGTATGATGTAATGTCATTGTTTTTGCATATCATTGATAATTATTATAAATTTGTTTGATCATGTTACTGATAGGGTATGAAACCAAGACTTGGTACTTGAAGAAGGCTTCATAAGAAGAATCAAAGAGAAGTCAAGATATAGAGGCCAAACCCTCGTGAGAGGAAGAAGACAAGATTAAGAGACAAGTTGGCACACCTGATGTCAACAAGGAAGAGGCCAGGGGACACCTTCTGACCAGAAGTATAATGTACAGTGATAGAGAGTCTGAGGTGCATGGACCATACATATAATATTCATACTTGTATAAAAATGAGCGTTCTTCTCATCAATGGCAAACTATCTACATTTACTACAACTTCTTTCTACTTTCTCTCCCCAACCTCTTCTCTTCTCACACTCTTTCAAGAGGTGGGGCGCCTCCTCTCTTGAGGTCATGTCTGATTTCCCAAACCCCTTGTACCCAAATGACCCTTTATCGTTTGGAAACCAACAAATGAACCAAGAAATATTTTTTTAAAATAACCTTGTACTAGATCATCTTGTTTATAGTTTGAACAAAATATAGTGTTAATTTTATCATTTTGTTTTATCGTTTGAATCACATCAATATTTCAATTGCATACGTGGTTTCTGTTGCATATGCGACTTTGTTGTCACCTCATCAATTTCGACAATCCAATTCAAATCATTAAAGTGTACATACATCAATCCAATTCTCTTACAATCGCAATTAGTAAGCTCAACTATTTTTCGTAATAGAAAAAAAAGAAAATTCCACAAAAGGAGTCCATCATCACCATTTTTAGGCAATTTTGAATGAAGCTACTATTATGAACATGGTAGTTTGAAAAACGTCTATGGTCGGACTCAGAAGGACCAAAGACGCAATATCCATTATAGTTGAAGGGCTAATTTAAAGAAAATGCATGATCTAATGGACTAGTTACAAGTATATGTATAATCTATGCATTAGCTAGGTAGCTGCTGCCTAGCTTGTAAGATTGAACCAGAGATCAAGTTTCATCAATAATTCAAAGGGTAACGCATCATAATGTTCTGTTCTGTTCTGTTCTGTTCTGTTGAATTGGTGTACTACTGTAGTCAAACAATGTGGGCAGCAGATTGCTAGGCTAGCTGCAGGGTCAACTTATTGTTGTTGTTTTCTGGCCGAAATAATTATAGTTTTGCTGAGAGGTGAAAAATAGAGACATCTCTAGGTCCATATTATACATAAGGAAAAGTGTTGGTGCTGGGAAATGCATCCTAGCACCCACAACACAACCCTGACAATGTGGGGGTTCCCAATCGTGCTACGGTTCCATAACCTAATAACCCCTATGCACAACTTCTCTTTCATATTCGGAGGGTTAATTTTTAAGTTGAGTTGTGAGCAGTGGTATAGAAAGTATTCTACCGTACTGGCTGATCGAAAATACCGGGTATCGAATCTTAAAAGGTATGTCGTTTTAGTCGAGTATGAAACGGTTGAAGTAATTAAACCACGATTTTAGTACAAAATACCTTATCATTGACCTTATACAGTTTTACAATCTTTGGTGGAAAGAAATTTAAGTATGGATTCTATTTTTCCACATTTTCAAACAAAAATTAACTTTTAAACTTTAAATTTGTGATAGACCGCCACCATACGTCTGCCTTGAATTAACGATTAATATTGGTGTTCGAAAAGATAGGAACAAAAATTTCTCAATCAAATATTCTGATAGCATGTTGAAAATCAATACACCCATACTTTTACAAACCTCATGTGGAAGAAAAAAAAACTAGTATGTAGCTGCTGAAAAGATTAAATTCAGGGGGCAACTTTTGGACTCTAACATCTAAAGCTGGATCTTGGCTATGGCAGAAACCATTGAAGATCAGGGATAAAGTCAGGGGATGGTTTTCTATAGCTTCTGATGGTGTTTATTGGAAGGGTGAACTTATGACTAAATTCTGCATCAAGAAGGTTTGGGAGGAGTTCCGTCCCAAAAGGAGTTATGTCACTTGGAAAACTCTAATTTGGAAAGGCCCTAGTATTCCTAAGAATCAGTTCCTGGTTTGGCTAGTTGTCACCGACTGTATCACCACTGGAGAGAGAGCTTAGGGGTGGGGTGGTTCAGGTGATTATGGATGTGTTTTCTGCTCGTGCAGTTTAGAAACGAGGTCTCACCTCTTTGCTGAATGTCACATGTTTAAACAGTTGTTTGCAGCTCTGTTTGCTAACTTTGCAGATCGAATCCCTGGAGATCAATGGACTTTTGAGCTTCAGTGGGCTACATCTGCTTTCAAAGGTTCCACAGTCTTAACACAAATTGGGAAGCTCATTTGGCAGGCCTTGATTGCTTCAATTTGGAGAGAGAGATGTCTGGTTAAGTTTTCAGGGAAAAAAGTTGATTTTCATGATCTGGTGGTGCGAATTAAGGGGGATATCAGGGTGGTTGCTGATCCGGGATTAGTCTGTTTGTATTTCTGAGTTTCTTCAGGTGAATTTGGATATGTCCCATGGTTCTGCTGTTCATAGCTCAGCTGGCTGTTGCCATCATTGTAATTGGTGCTTTTGATGAAATGAAATTCCAACCGATTCATAAAAAAAAAGGTTAAATTCATGGAAAGAATTAATAAATAGGGTAATGTCTATTTTTTATCCAAACCTTTTTTAGATTCTTTTATATTATCTAAACCTATTAAAATACTATTAATTAGCCAAATCTTTCATAATGCATCAAAATATTAGTCATTTTTTACGTTATAGTTAATGATTTTGTAACTCTTTTCTTAGTTAATATACTAAAATTTTGGAATGTTGACCTTCATGCGACTCTTCCAAGTCAGTATCATGTTTGTCAAGTCAATATTACTAACAAAATTGCTAACGAGAAGTTAACGTTTGGCTAATACTTAGTATTTTGATAGATTTTGACTAATAATAAAAAAGAATCCAAATTTTTTTTGGGTTAATAAATAATCATTAACCTAATAAATATTTAATAAATAAGAAAAGCCCAGCCCCTCTCTCCCTCCTCATCAGAGCCTTTTTATCTGGGCTATAAATAGTACACCATCGCTAAAGCTTACCAGTCCCTGCCACTACCTGCTTGACCTTTATGCTTCCTCTTTAGCTAAATATATGTACACTACTACATCTTTCACTACATAACATAACCACACAGCTTAATTGCTGCAATTCCTTTGATTGATCATATGATCATTACTGTGTAAGCTAGGCACAGTCTTCGATCATGGCGGATGGATTCAGGGAAGCTCAGGAGAATATGACTATTGGTAGTAGTAATATTAATGGAGGAGGAAGTTTGAAGAGCAGCCAGCAGCAAGGGAAACTACAAGTAGAAGGTGAAGAAGAAGCAGATGATCGATCCTTCGGGGAGAAATGCAGCCATCTGGTGAAGAAGCAGCGGGCCAAATTCTACATCCTTCGCCGCTGTATTGCATTGCTTCTTTGCTGGAAAGACCGTGACCGCTAAGCTAATTAACTCGCTCTATACTTAATTTGTCCTTTTGTTGATCCACTTATATTTTCCCCTTAACCTTCGTTATTTCTACATTAATTAGTATTCATAATCATCATCATCCCATTTTTTCGGTATTTGCACCACCTCTTTTTTTTTTGGATGTACCCTTCTCGCTATTATTGTGTAATTTCGGCTTGTAAGACAAACGTAATCAGTGTACGTTTTGTGGGTGCTCACTAGCTAGTACTACATTAGAAAATTAAATAATTATCTTTTCCAATCATATTTCTACATTGGCCTTGTCCCACTAGCTGGCCACTTCATCATGGCCTGTCTTTCATTGATCTCGTAGCTTGTTTTTGTGTTTTTTTTTTAAATAGAATTGTACAAGCCAAAACTTTCGCATTTGTGCTAATAATAGCCAACTTTGAAAAAATACCACTTATAACCAGATTTTGTAAAGGGTGTTGGACAGATATAGCCATTTCCGTGGGTGTTAGTGCAGCAAGAAATTGAAGATTTTAATTACTATGATGTGGGAAACTTTGCTTTTCTTACAGAAGTTAGGTTCATGCCTCATTTTAGCCGTCTCTTGTCCTTTTGTTAGATGGATTAGTTGTTCCGTTTTTCCTTGTATACAGAACAGTGGAGCGGTTATGCTCCTGAGTTTTTTGCGGGTCCTGGTCTTCCAGGCCGTGATTAATGAAAGTTGATAATTACTGGGGGAAAAAAAAATAACATATGGTTATGTTTTATTCATTAATAGTTTAATTGTTTTCGTATAATGTTATGTTATTTGGTTAATCCGATTAACCAAACCAATTAAACTTTGGTTTGGTTAATTTGGTTTTCGTGTTAATTTGGACGGTTTTGTTAAAACATTTTATTCCGTGGTTAATGAAATTTAGGATTAATTAGTTTGGTTATTACCACGGTAACCATTTGAATACCCCTAGTTTCCCTTGCGTGTTGTGCATATGTGTGTGTTAAAGTGTTCATGTACGTGTGCATTGTGGAATGGAGGGGGGAATGAAATAGTTGCAATATAAATGAGTACACGACTAAACTACTCCGCTCGTGCGGCCTTTCGACTCCGCCGGCCCACACCATCGTCTTCCCCTCTCTGTTGTATCAAAGTCTTTCATACCTCTGATCGTGGATCACAGGGCAGCTACTGTTTCTGGTGTATGAATTTGTATATATATGGCTGTGTTGGGCTCCTCTTTGAACAGTTCATCCTTCTCCGTCGTATCTCATGAATTTACCACCACGTCCAAATGTTTCATCAAATCACGAAAGTTCCTAGCTACTCGGCATGCAACCGACCAGTTCTGCAGGTTTCACGTTATATATCGTACGTACAGACTTACCCTTTCATGACTTTGTGAACACTAATGAAATGCACGTACATCAGCTACAGAGGCTAAGGGTTGGCGGTGGGGGAGGGGCACTGCCAAACACGTGCAGTCCTGACAAAGGTTGAAGGAAAGAGGAAACACTCTCATGAGAATTGAGAAGTGAGTGTGTCTGTCTTTTTCTCGTTCTTCACTATCAAAACCTTTCACTGTTCGTCGAAAGTAAGAAATGGTGGAACTCTGTTAACTGCTGCTGCTGAACTGGACCCTTTACGCGTGGATCCACACGTGAGGATCACAACTGTAGCCAGTCAAATCTAAGGAATTGTGTGTTGATTCTGAGATGAGTATGACTCTTTGTGAGCTGTCAGTCGTTTTCTTTCCATTTCTTATACCAATTCATGCTTTTGGATCAGATGCACACGGTTGTGCATATCACTTCCTTTGTTAATCACTGTTTATTAGAAATTGTTATATAGGGGTAGTTTGGAAGTTGCGAATGTTAATTCGTTGCATTGTAATGAATTACGATAATATAAATGCATGTATTAATACAATGGATGCATTTTAACAATACATTGTTTGGTTATTGAGATTCTACTTTATGCATTGATTTACATAAAGTTATTTTTATGGGAAAATGTCACATTTACCCTCAATTTTTTAGAATAGGACAAAAACTATTGGGGATATAAACGGAAAGAAAAAGTTGACACAAATCTAAAACCAACAATCTCAACTTTTAGTGGAGATTGTATAATGCATCATTTTTTGTGATTGTTTGTGGGACATACCTAAAACAATGCATGCATTGTTTAACACTTTGGGACTTTCAAACATAGTATTGTGCACATGGTTGTCACGCCGGCCGGCGTGCCACCGCTTGTACCTGGTTCAACCGGTACTGGTCATAAAACTGACGTGACACCACCGGTATGACCGGCATGATCGATATACGAATCTCTAAGTAAAATGACCTTATTTTAGTGAACTTAATTGATAAACATTTTTTTTTATTTTTTAATGAGTATAAAAGTTAAATATTGATGTTATTTGTTGGATTCAAGTATAAATATTTAGGTATTGACGTTAAATGTCATGTTTAAATATGAATATTTATAATTTTATTTGTAATATTGACCGGCATGAACCGGCATAAACCAGTATGTACCACCGGTCGAACCATTCCACTTGCTAAACCGTCACACTGGCACAAATTAGTTTGACAACCTTAATTGTGCACAATACATTTATTCAACAAACACAACCATTCCTGTGATTTGGCTTTTGCTTTCTCTGTAGGTGTTCTCTAGATGTTTGATGTTCTTTACTGGTTGGGGTTTTCTTTCTTGAAGCTGAATCAGGGGTTTTCCTCTTCTTTGTAACCGTGTTCTTTCCATCTTTCCAAGTGAAATACAAGCAACATCTTTGTAAAAAAAATAACAAACACAACTTCCAAACTACCCCATAGTTTATTATGTTTTTCCAGTATGCTCCGACACTAACTTAGAATTGGTGATTTCCTATAAAAAAAAAAAGAAGAAGAAAAAAAAAAGCTTAGATTTTGTGATTATTTGTGACGAGCCATCAAATCGATCCTTAGATGCCTCTCAAACACTATTGAATCCTCCTCCTATATAGAAACCAAGACATGAACCTTGCTCTCAAGTTTTAAAGCATCATCATCCCCGATACCCATATTCTGAATTATCAACAACCTGAGAAAGCTCTACGCAAAACGCAAAATCAAAAGATATCCCCGGGGGAAGTTTATGCTACAACATGAAAAATAAACAGAATGGTTCACATATCACAGATTTCGAGATGATAAAACTTATCAACTGTAGAGATCATCTTCATCGGCAGCAGCAGCAGTTGCAAATGGATCAGACGCCGCAGCAGCAGCTCCACCGCTGGTTTCAGAGAATCTGAACTCGGATCCAAACCCTCTGGACTGCTGCAATGTCTGTGCAAAAGCTTGGTACTTCCGGATGTCGGCATCGCTCACACTCCTGCGAGCATACTTCATCGACTCCTCAAAGTGTGCCGCCTTGATTTCAGCAACCTCATCCTCAACCTCATCTTCTTCCATTGCTTCAGGATTATCTCTCCTTCTCCTTTCCCTCTCAATGTCCTGGAAAAGATGCAGGAAAAGGCAGCCATTGGTTTATATGTGCTACTTGGCAAGGTAAAATAATGGGTGGACATGGAAGAAAGTTTTTACCTTCTCAATGTTCTCCCTGATGGCATACTTGCAAGCACGCTGGCAAATTTCAGTGATGTCAGCACCACTGAAGCCTTGAGTATACTTGGCTAGAGCTCTGAGGTCGACATCTTTGGAGACTGGAGATTTCCTCAAGCAGGCCTTGAAAATTTGAAGACGTGACTCCTCATCAGGCAAGGGTATATATATCAATTGATCAAGACGTCCAGGACGCAAGAGTGCAGGGTCAATGATGTCTGGTCTGTTCGTTGCACCAATTATAAAAACGGTTTTTTTTGCAGACATGCCATCCATCTCTGTCAGAAGCTGATTCAAGACTCTATCAGCAGCACCTCCAGCATCTCCAACGCTGCTCCCTCTCTGCACAAAACAGAGGCAATTAAAATGGCCATCTAAAATGTGCAGTTTAAAAGCTGGGACGGGTAAAAAGCTTGCAGCGTTTGTATGAGTCAAACCTGGGTAGCAATGGAGTCAAGTTCGTCAAAGAAGAGCACACATGGAGCAGAACCGCGAGCCTTATCAAAAATCTCTCTAACATTGGCCTCACTCTCACCAAACCACATTGTAAGCAATTCAGGACCCTTCACACTGATGAAGTTTGCCTGGCACTCATTGGCAATTGCTTTAGCCAGCAAGGTTTTGCCACAGCCAGGAGGGCCATAGAAGAGCACCCCCTTTGAGGGTGACATCCCAAACTTCTCGAATTTCTCAGGGTGCTCCACTGGATATTGAACAGTCTGCCAAAGACATTATGGAAAAAAACTTTAGCCACAAAAAGAGCAAGAGAAACCAAGTATTTTTCACATTCCACATTCACAACATGGACAGGATATAGTTTATGACAAATACCTCTTGAAGTTCCCGCTTAACATTCTCCAGGCCTCCAATATCCTCCCAACTACAATTAGGAACCTCGACAACCTGTTCCGGTAATTATTTATCAGAGGTCAATCAAAACAAGGGGGTACACAGTTAACAAGTAAAGTGGTCAAAAACATTGCAACACTCACAGTTTCACGCAATGCAGACGGGTTGCTTGTTCCAAGTGCAGTTGCGAAGTGCTCATTGGAAACTGCCATGGAGTTTAGTATTTCAGCATCTATAGATTCATCTTCCAAGTCAATTACATCCATCTTCTCCCTAATGCACTGAAGAGCAGCTTCAGTGCAGAGAGCAGCCAAGTCAGCACCAACATATCCATGTGTGTCCTTTGAAATCCTTTCTAGATCAACCTGTACATTACAAGAGCTTTTAAGAATCAACGAATACTGCAATCCAAATAAAAGAAGAGCAGTTATATTTGAAATCCAAGCAACTTACATCTTCAGCTAGTTTCATATTCTTAGTATGAATGCGGAGCACCTCCAGACGGCCAACCTCATCTGGGACACCAATATCAATCTCCCTATCAAATCTTCCAAACCTTCTAAGGGCTGGGTCAATGCTATTGGGACGGTTAGTAGCTCCCATGACAATAACATGTGCACGGGATTTCAGTCCATCCATCAATGTCAACAGCTGGGAGACAATCCTCCTCTCAACTTCACCATTTGTTTTCTCTCGCTTGGGAGCAATTGAATCAATCTCGTCAATGAAAATAATAGATGGTGCATTCTTCTCTGCCTCCTCAAAAGCTTTCCTCAGGTTGCTTTCACTCTCACCAGCCAATTTTGACATGATCTCCGGTCCATTGATACAGAAGAAGAATGCGCCAGTTTCATTCGCAACAGCACGGGCAATAAGAGTTTTACCAGAACCAGGAGGCCCATACAGCAGGATACCCTTCGGTGGCTTCACACCAATCGATTTGAATAACTGTGGATGCCTCAATGGAAGCTCCACCAACTCACGAATTTGAGCCATTTGCTTCCTGACCCCACCAACATCATCATAACCGACTTCATCCAATCGATTCTCATCTTCTCGTCTCACAGGCTCTCCCTCACAGAAAATCTCGGTGTCCGGAGCAACCACACAGTACTCTGCTGGATCCGTCTCAATAACTTTGAACTCCACACTCCTCATTCCTCCTCTCACAAGGAAAAGATCACCCTTGCGAACAGGGCGATAAGCCTCCAAGAAATACGCTGCAGTATTCAAATCAGTAAATCAACAAACATTGTATAGAGCAAAAAGAATGCACGAGATCATCAATCAGTAAGCCAGTTGATTTCATACATCCATAATAAGTGCTGAGCACAAGCAACAAATTTACAAAAGAGGGATTTCCAACTGAATACATACACAAGATAATTGTTTTTCATTAGCTCCAAAATTTTGAGCTTTCTTTAAAAGAGACCACAGTTTTAGCAGTAACAGAACATATGGATAATGCTTCATCAAAGACACAAGAAGAGACTGAGGAAAAGCTTATGTTTATTTTGATCAAACTGAAACACACTAATTCAGTAAAAAGATCAGAGAACTCCTAGTGCAGATAACTACAACCATCACAATCAAAATTGGAAAGTATATATCTTGAATACCAAAGGACCACATGCTCAGAGCTTACGTTTCAAATATGCATCAAAAAGATTTCCAGTGACCCCTTCAATTGAATCATCAACGGGTAGAATGTGAACACGCTTTCCATACTTGACATCAGGGCATTGGTGAACAGACACAACGTCTCCAAGTCTAACCCTGAGGTTTGACCTAACAACCTTGTTCATCCTAATCTTTGGCTCGTCGCATGTCTCATCAGCAAGGGCAATGCAGATGGTATCTTTTCTCTTCTTTCCCTGAACTCCAACAATAGAAACAAGTGAGCCCAGAAGATCGAACATGGGTTGGACTCTGAACCAGCTACTCGCATCAGTAGCAGAAAACATTAATATACGAGTTCCCGGCATTGGCCAAAAGAGCAAGTAGACTCAACTTTTAACGCAGAAAGATAAACAAAAAAATTCTGTCTATCATTAAGCACTTCAGGGGAACTTCTATCGCTTTCTGAGAACCACAGCAGGAAAATAACCAAGGCTATTTTTATGCAGCAGAATCCAACAAACAGAGGATATAAACTCAGTTCAATAACCATAACACCCAGGTGAAACAGCCAACACATCCCCGAAGGAGATCAGTAAAACCTAGATGAGCAAGGGCCAAATTGCAAACCATAGTTCCCAACAACCATAAATCCTCAATCCAGCCCCTCAATTGCAAGAACCACAAAAGAAAAATGTAGCGGAAGATCAAAAGTCAGCAAGCTATAACCTTTATCAAGATGGTATCACCGCGGAAAAGCTGTAGCTTCTCCATGGTGTCGGGATGGAGAGCGACGACGGAGTTGTCATCGTTGACAGCCTCGTCGACTACCAAGCGGTTGGCAGCCTTCTTGCGCTCCAAAATCGCGGTACTGAAGTCCCTTTTTGTTCCCTTACTGCAACAACAACAACAACATCGACAGCCATTAAACCACTGAGAGCAAATCAACCAGCTATCGCACCCACACACGGAAACACAACAATGGCGAGGGGCGAAATTGTAGATCTAAAGCCAAAAAAAAAAAAAAAAGGTTACTTACGAATCGGAGGATTCAGCTTGGTTCGACATGGTCGAGAGAGATGCAGATACTTGGAAAGGAGATTGATTTGGTAGGGCGCAACAATTTGGGAGAGTTTTGGGTGAGGAATTTGGGATCTGAAGTTAAGGAAATCGGAGGGGCTGTTCCGGAGTATTTATAGACGGAGGAGTTAAAATGAGTATTAGCTTCGTTTCTTGTTTCAAAAGAAAAGATTTCTCTGTTTTCTTTTTAGACTCGTGATGTTGAGTTCCTTTCTTTCCTTTTCCTCTCCGCTCTAAGAATCCTCTCGCGGTAAGGATTTCTCTGTTCTAGAATGTTCCTCAGCGAGAAGAAAGACGATTAACCCATAGCAAAAGCAAATCATTGCTTCCATTGCTCCACGACCCAACCACTAAATATGCATTCTCTACATCACGAAAACGGAATAAAGGTTTGGACTTCCAGACTCCACAAACAACGTAGGAATTCTCGTTGGGTCCCATATTGCTCTCTCTATATCAAAGTAGATGCTTCAAAAGCCGGTAGAACCAGAGCCATTAGCTATGAACATGCAGAAAAAAACATTTACAGAAGGTATAAGTAAATAGCTACACAGAGTGTTTGATAAGATGCTAGTTCTCTTATGTCTTTACATGATCATGTTCTTTCTTCCCCGTTTTCAAACAAGCAAATCTGTGTAGGCATCTAGTCCATGGCTGCCCAGGCACTGCCTGAGCTTATTGAGCGAACGGCTCTCCAGCTGGCGGACCCTTTCCTTGCACAACCCATACATGTTACCAATCTCCAACAACGACACCCTTTTGCCATCGTCGATGCCAAATCTCAGCTTGATGATCTGCCTCTCCCTTGGGCTCAGAATCGTTAGTAGGCCACGAATGTGCCGCCTCATCAGCTGTTTCGCCACCTCCACCTCTGGTGTCATGACCCCCTGATCTGCAGTAATTTCCTGCAGGAGTTGGAGCATTATTGCACATCTTTTACACTTTCTCCATCCTCAAAAGGCAATGAGAGATATGGAAAGAGTGTTTATTTACTTGGAAAGTAGTGTCTTGATCCGTCCAAACAGTCTGTTGCATTGAGATTGGTATTCTTGCAGCAAACTGCAACTTCTCCAACTTTTCAACAGTGATTCCAGCCTTTCTTGCAATATCTTCTTTGCTAGGATCATGATTGCCTTCCCTATTACAGCCTCTCTTGGCTTCTATTACCTTTCCAAGTAGCGTATACAAGTTATCCTGCAAAAAGCAAACTTGTCTTAAAACGGGATGGGAAAACCTCTGCTTATAAAACATCCCCTTCATACATGTTCTTCAGGGGTCGTTTGATGCAATTACAATTGTCTGTGGTGGGGCAGACTATTCGAATAGGCTCGTTTTAAATGACTCGTTTTGTAAAATGAAACAATTCTCCAAATTGTCTCGTTTTTCAATTGAATAAAAGGTAAACCCATAACCTCAAACGACTTGAGGAAAAGACAATGAAGTTAAAGGCAGATTGTCAATACCGGTAAGCGAATTGTCCTAGAATGCTGATATATGGCTTTTCTAATAGTTTGCCTTATCCACCAATAAGCATAAGAAGGAAAGCGACAACCAGCTTGAGGTTTGAACTTCTCAATGCTCCTCATGAGACCAATACTTCCCTCCTGCAACAAAGACCATGCACATATCTGAGCTCCACAAATCAAAATCATCACACGTCCAAACAATAGAGTAACTTTTAAGTGTACCACTAAGCAAATAGGTTGCAGTTGACCTGCAGCAAGTCCTGGAGACCAAGACCACGTCCTTGATATTGTTTGGCAATATGAACAACCATCCTCAAATTCCCATTAATCAGCTTCTCTCTGCAGCTTGTACCAGAGTGAAGTCGTGACTTCAAGACAAAACGACTGAGCCCTACAGCTTCAGCCCATTCAGAAAATGTTGGTTCACGGCCAAACTGGGATTGAAGCCTGCTCTTCACCTCTTCCAACTTCATCATTTCCTGCCACATATTTCCATGTAAAATTAAAAAAGACACTATAATGCCAAGCAATATGACCAGTCCTGGATTCTGAATCACTAAATCCAAAACATATCCCAAATGTCAATTCTATTGTAACTAGAGATAAACCTGAACTTGGATGACAATGTTAGATTCCTCCTCAGCTGTCAAAAGTTGTTTTGTCTCAGGAGCAGCCAAGAATAATCGAACAGGATCATTCAGCTGGAAAGCTTCATTTGTCCTTTTCTGTACATTATTAGGCTTCCTAGAACTTGGAGTCTGATCAAATGCATACTTTGTTCGTGACATTCTTCGACTCTTGGAAGGCCTCTCTGAATGGCGAGTGGACCTAACTATTTTCACCCCATCGGCTGCAAATCCAGATGAAGTAGGGGATTTCAAGCTGCAAAAGGCTCTAGAAATCAGTTCTACAGCTATAGATGACAGTAACAAAAGGGCATAATCAAGGAAACAAGAACATGATATAAACCTGGTGGCACTATCAACATCAGTGATGTTTTCAGCGAACAATGCTGCTTCTTTTGAGGCACTTAAAGCTTCCTTCGCTAGATCGATTGCATTGTATGGTCCAATAGCTGGCTCTGGTGACAACCGATTTCTCCCCGCTCGTATACATGGCTCTCTTCAACATGTCAGACCACCACATAAACAATGTCATTTAGTATCCATGTCCCAATCAATAAATTTACGATTTTGGGTACCGAAAAAAAGCCATGGTTACAGTACAGTTCTTACGCATTCCAAAAAGAATGACTGTGAAGCAGCTGTTGCTCTAAGTCCCGCACCAATTTGTCTACATCATCTGAATTCTCCCCTTCATGGATCGAAGTCCCAATATCAGTCTGTCTTCCGTCCGTCAATGCCTTCAAGGAAAGAAAGAGAGAAAGACTGTGTTCTTCTGAGGAGCCAGACATGGTGGTTTAATCTTAAAGGACAGTAATATCAAACACCACCACCCATTACCAAACACCCATGTCAATCTTCTAATTAGAACATTGGCATCTCTATAAGCCCAAAGCTATTGTAGAATGTTCACAACTTGGCAATACCTTCCAGAAGGCTTTAGCTAAGCTCAAGAGTGTACACATAGGGCGACATTTTAGTTATGGGGCACCTATTGTGTTAACAAGGAAAGATTCAGAAACCTGAGATGTCGGTTCATCCTTGGACGGGTTGAGGAGAGGCCAATACTCATCGCGCTGCTCTTGTAAAAGCGCAGAGGTAGGCAGATGGCGAGCGGTAGAAGTGGAAGGAACCGTAGAAGCTAAGGGGGCAACGTGTTCGTGTAGCATCAACACTGCAGAATTTCAACCATAGTCGCGCATTACTTTCAATATTAGCAGCCGTTTGCCCTCTCCATACATTCAACAAGCGAATTCAGTGGGTCACCTGAAGAAGAGACGGAGCTTTTCGATTGGATTCTTGCAGGGAAGGGCGGTGGTGAAGAAAGCAAAGTTCTTGAAGCGTCCATTATGATAGAATTCCCGAGGCTCATAAACCCAAACCGGCCTCCTTTATCATCTGGAGAAACCAATTCCCTTGCTCCGGTGCCGGGGTATTCTATTGAGTTGGGAATGTGTCAGAGAAGAGAGTGAGAGGGTTTCTGCTGCGTATTGCAGCAGAGTGTAGATAAGGGGGAAATAGAGGAAGGTTGGAGACTTGAAAGATCTTTTACTTTGACATGGCACATCGGCCAGCCGTAGAAATGGGAACCAGATTTTGCTCCGAGTGGATGAGGTTTTGCCGTTTTGGCTTTTTAAACTCTGGCGCAACACTAATTTTATCAAAATGTCTTTCTTTTTTTTAATAACCTACATCCTCACGAATACATCTTCTGAATGATGGCGGAGTGAGATCAAATTTAAGATTTATCGGTTTGAGATCTTAGAGAACTCTACGAGAATTTAAACATATCTTTAACAAAATACTTATTTGGTGTCTACCCGTTAATCGGAAAATCACTTAAACAAAATGTATCTATAATGTGTATGTTAATTTTTTAAAATTACTACATAATAATTAACTCAAATCTGGCCTTTGATGAAGCATGAGCTCTACTGAGTGTACGTGATGGCAAATCAATGAGCTTTTGGGGCGACACTTGGCTTGCTAGTTGGTTGAACTCGGATAAACATCTTTTGCCGCCTTAAGGTATCAATCTCCAGACTACGAGAACAACATCATCGTTGAAACTGATTGACTACAATTAATACGAATTGATCACTCAGGAAACCAAGGTCTTGGGCGGCAGCAGGTGGTGTGATTCGATATCTGAATTTATCAATATTTGATACAATAGAATGCCTAGTTAATTTTTTGGGTTTATGATTGAGATTGATTTTTTAGTAGTATTTAATGTTCGAGATTGGAATTGATATATGCCAAAATATGGAAAATATCAAAATTTTGAACATGATGTACAATGAATCTTTCATTAACTTAATGAGCTTTGACCCCTCTCAAATAAATAAAGGTCATGGTTCACCCTTAACCAAAATTTATAATTATCTATGTGATTGTAACTTTGTAAGAAGTGACTAATTCTTATTGAATTGTATTTATGCTGATGATGGAAGTATTTTAGAAGAATAAATTGCTTAGTCAAAGTGAAACTAAATTTAGATTTAGACAATTATGAGTGATTTAATAATATTGAAGTATAAATTTAGTCCATTGTACACAATAATCCACTATTTATATTGATGGACCCAAAATTTCACCATCTATCAACCCTTATACATGAATAAAAAGGATGCAAACAAATCCCTACGTGAAAAAGATTAAGGATGTTTAATTGCCTTCTTAACCAATTAACTTTTTAATTGGTGGTTCCTTTTCTCCCATTGAAGCCACCAATCCACTTCCCCAAAACAAATCTACAAGGAAGAGACAAATAATGCACCAAATTACCACCTCATGGCCACGTGTTCAAAGGTGGAACTTGAAGGGTTTGAGTTTAACTCCTCTTAACAACCCACCATTCCATTTTAATAGGCTGATAAATATTTGACACCTCATCAATTTCACTCTCCTCCATGAGTAAAAGCTATTAATTGGTGGATGGCTTGTAGCAAAATCCCATTAAGCTACACGTGGACCTGAGCTGGATTTGGATGATAAAAAAATGCCTAACTCTTCTTACCACTTCACATATATGGAGAAGAAGTATAAGCTCTCAGGCAATCAAACATTATGATAGTTTGTAGTGCTCATCTCTTTTATCCACCCAAGCCACCAAAACCACGTCCCTTTTTGCCTAGGTACTACACGTGGACAGGGTGAAGAGGAAGGTAAGTGGACAAAGTGGTTTGGTTCATATGTTCCTTTTTGCCATCAAATAAGTTAATTGAGGTAATAAGTTTGTTTGAAATGTGTTTGTGTTACTCACGCCAACCATTGCACATTAGGTTGGTGGTGAGATAAAAGTATTTTTATATTATTTTATTTATCACACGCCATCCACGTTAGAAGCATGAGGCACCTATAAATAGGATGCTCATTTATGTTTTCTCGGCAGTTCATTTTGAGAGTTCATTTTGAGAGTTCATTTTGGAGTTGAACTTCTAAATCTCTCTCAAGAGACAGCTCAATATGTCGCTCCCGGTTACTCTCCTCTCAATACTGACTTGAGCTTCGGAGTAGGTCCCCGCCGACCACCGGCCGGCGGGTCCTTTTGTTTTGCAGGTGTCCATCTCGGAGGCTGGTGGCGGCGGACGTTGGCCAGGAAGATCGGCGCTCACCGGACCTCAAACACATTGAAGTAGGCTCCTCCAAGCTTGGCATCACATATATACACAATTAAAAAGCTTCTAATATTTTATGTTCAGCTGAAACTACCTTATTATTATTTGTATATTTGATTATTAAATATGACAAGATTTAATTTAGTATTTGTTATGTGTTGATACTGTATCGAAATATTTCAAATTAAGATTGATTTTGGTATTATTTAGTATTTGGGAATGGATTAGTTTCTAACCCTTATGAGATTAGCACCGTGCTAATTAAGCTCACGACCATTATATTAAAAATAATACTAGCATCAGAATTAATGGAGCATAGTTTAGTCTTTTTTTTTAGCAATAGATAACTGGCATTACCAAATCAAAGATATCAAAGTTTACAATCCAAAAAGAAACCACTGATCAAAGTCAAATCTCGCAACAACAGCAGATAACAAAGAGAGGGTCTTCCTGGCTACGTCATGAGCCACCCGATTGTCATTCCTGCCAACAAAAGAAACACCAAAAGACCGATAGTGCCTCCGCAACTCTTCAATTTCCGCAAGTATGCGCCCTCCCTTCAAATCCCGAGCATCCCGACGCTGAATCTTCTCAATCACCCCCTTGGCATCCCCATAAAACCAAACTTCATCCATTCCCTTCCCTAAGCACCACTGGATAGCGTCCCGAAATGCCACTAACTCCACTAGAAAAGGATCAACAATACCTGCATAATAAAACCCCTTGACCATACACACCCGCCCCATGCCATCTCGAACAACCAAGCCCCCCGCACCATGCGATCCCGGCGCCACCGCCCCATCCACATGACAGGAAAACGGTAACGCCAGCTGTGACTGGGCCGGACCCCGACCTCCGGACGGAATTCGCCGCTGAAGCACCGGTACTTGCTCTGGCTGGACAAACGCCATCCATTCACGCACCTGCACCTCGAACTAATGGACTTAACATGGTATATCGTACTGCACATGCTCAAAAACTACCCAGTTCCGGCTCTTCCAAATTCTCCAAAGCAAAGCCACCATACGCACAATCCGCTCCGTCCCATCATCCTGTTCAACAACCCTACGGAAGAACAAAGCAAAGTTAGACACCCCCGCCATCCCATCCACACCTGTCACACCCGAGCGATTCCAAAGGGCCACTGCAACTCTACAAGACAAAAACAAATGCTCAAGGGTCTCCACCGGCGCCCAGCAAACCGGGCATCTGGGAGAGAGTGTCTCTCCGTCTTCAGGGGGGTCAAGGACCTCAGCCGGATTTTGTCCCTTCTTCTCAAAGATAGCCTCCGCAGTGGGTAAAACCCGCCTAAGAAGCTGCCACACAAAGAATTTCAACTTAGGAGGCAGTGGAAAACCCCACACTTTCTTCCAAAATCCCATATCAAAGAATGAAACCTCCTCCTTCCATCCCGGCGCTGCACGGCTGATCTGAAGAGCCAGATGGTATCCCGACTTCACCGTATACTCCCCATCTGATTCCCAAGCCCAAACACAAGGATCTGGTACCTGTCGAACTGGCAATGGAATAGAGCAAATCCTCTGTACCGCCGACTCAGAGAAACAATGTTGCAGACACTCAACACACCATTTCCCCGTACCAGGGACCAAGAACGACTCCACACGGGCTTCTGCCAACACCGGGGCTGAAGGGAGGACAAAACACTCCTCACGCCGCACCCCTGGAATCCAACTATCTTCCAGCACCCTCACTTCTTTCCCATCACCAATCTGCCAAACTAACCCCTGCTGCAATAAATCTCTGCCATGGAGCACACTAGTCCACCCCCAGGACGGTCTAGACCCACGCTTAGCTTGAAGTATCGAAGTTTGCGCAAAATACTTCCCCTTCAAGACCTGTGCCAGTAATGTATGCGGTTCCTGCCAAACCCGCCAAGCCACTTTTGCCAACAAAGCTTGGTTGAAGTCCTCGAAGCGTCTAAACCCAAGCCCACCATCGAATTTGCTACGACACAGGTTCCGCCAGGAAACCCAATGTGCCTTCTCCTTGTCCACCGAGTACCCCCACCAAAAGCGAGCCATATGCTTGTCCAATTTTTGACATAAGGTCACTGGCAAGAGAAAACAAGACATAACATAGATTGGGAGCGCAGCAGCTACCGCTTTAAGCAGGACCTCCTTTGTTGCCCACGACAAATGCCTCTGCTTCCATCCTTGAAGCTTTGCCATTAATCTCTCCTCCAAATACTGAAATATCTCCACCTTAGACCGCTGCACTAGGGTGGGCAGGCCCAGGTATTTGTCCTGAACTCCTACAGCCCCAACACCAAGCACTCCCGCCATCTCCTCTGCCTCTAGCGGGTCCACATTCCCACTAAAACATACTGCCGACTTATTCAAATTAACTTTCTGACCACTCAGCTCCTGATACCTTTGCAGCAACTGCACCAATGCTTCACACTCCTGTCTAGACGCTCTCAAAAACATATAAGAGTCATCTGCAAAAAATAAATGAGAAATGCTAGGGCATCTTGGGTTCACCTTAACCCCCACTAGCCTTTTCTCCGAGATAGCCTGTCTCAACAATGCCGCAAATCCTTCAGAACAGATGGCAAACAATAACGGAGATAGCGGATCCCCCTGTCGTAGCCCTCTCGTCAAGCGGAAATACCCTGCAGGCACTCCGTTTATCATAACAGAGAAAGACGCCGTCGAGACGCATTCCTGTACCCATTCTATCCATCGCCGACTAAAACCCATCTTAGTCATGATTGCAAGCAAGAAGTCCCACTCTACTCTATCATAGGCCTTTTCCATGTCAACCTTTAGAGCTAGGTAAGACTTCTTCCCTCGCTTTTTGATCTTAAGATAGTGCATCACCTCATGCCCAATCAGAACATTGTCAACAATCTGGCGACCACGAATAAACCCATTTTGCTCCGGTGAGATAATGGAAGGCAAAACAACAGCCATCCGCTCCGCCATGATTTTAGAAATAATCTTGTAAAAAAGTTGACATAGACTAATCGGTCTAATCTGCTTCATAGACTCCACCGAGTCCACCTTAGGAACCAATGTCAGCCAGGTGTGGTTGAAGCTTTTCAAGAGGCGCCCAGACTGAAAAAACGACTGAACAGCTTCCACCACCTCCATCCCAACGATATCCCAGTATGCCCTGTAAAACTTCCCAGTAAACCCATCAGAACCTGGGGCTTGGGTAGCCCCGATGGAGAACACCGCTCGTCGAATCTCGTCCGCAGAAACATCAGCTGTCAGGTCCCTGTTCATCTGATCCGTCACAACCTCCGGCACAGGGAGCCCTGCCATCCTTGCCTCTAAATCCGGCAATTGCCTCTCCGAATTGAAGAGCTCCTCATAAAACTCTCCAGCCACGGCACCCTTCTGAGCTTCCTCCATTACCCAAGTACCATTTTTATCGAGCAACCCTTCAATAAAATTGCGCCTACGCCGCGCCCGCGTAACCGTATGAAAATAAGAGGAATTCTTATCCCCCTTATCCAACCACCTAACTCTCGATTTCTGCCTCCAGTATTCCTCTTCTGCCGCCCATTGCGCCGATAACTCTTTCTCCAGCATGGCAACGCTATCCCAATCCACACTCGTCCCCTCCTTCAAAGCCCCAATTTCCGTCTGCAGGATACGGATATTCCGAGCCGAGTTATTCGTCCCCGCTCGGCTCCAATCAAAAAGTAAGTGGCGCAGAGCTTTTAACCGCTGCCATAACCGGAAAATCGGCGACCCAGTATATGTTTGTTTCCAAACATAACTGACCAGCAATCTCGCCTCCGGGTTCTCTACCCATCGCGAGTCAAACCTAAATAATGGTTTTGCCATCCTGCTGAATAGCTTGTCCGCTACAAGTAAAGCTCTGTGATCCGACCCCAAGTCAGTACAGTGCTTCACCAAGGTTTGCGGAAACTTATCCTCCCAGAGCGGTGATACCAAAACCCGATCCAACCGCTCCATAATGCAAGCCACCCCCATACGTCGATTAGACCAAGTGTATTGCGGACCCATGAACCCAATATCTTGCAACGCAAGATTGTTCATAAAATCCCTAACACTTGCAGAGCTAATAGGGTCCCACGGTAGACCTCCTGCTTTTTCATTGGGTTCCAACACACAATTCATGTCCCCTACTACTAAGAATGGGACATTCAATTGCAAACAATACAAATTAAGCATAGTAACCTGCTAAACACGTGCATTTCGGTCTGGAAACAAATAAACACAAACACACACACATACTCCAAATTCTCAATATCATTCCCAACACCAAAAGCAATAAAAAATGACTCATGCGCCAGTACATGGAGGGCAAAATCACACTCCCAACCAATAGCAAGCCCACCGGCAGCACTAACAGCATCAACAATAAATTTTTTTTGAAAACCTAACCCGCGCAACCGCCGAGTAACTACGCGCCTACAAGATTTAGTTTCTGACAGAAAAATAACCTCTGGCTTATTCGGCCTACACAGACCAAGCAAGGATTGGAACGTAAGAGATGGCCCGATGCCTCTTACATTCCAGGAAATCATCTTCATTTAGCGGGCTGGGACCATTCATGGCTGGTTTCCTCCACCGCAGCTTCCACACACATTTTCTTCACTGGAGTAGGATCAAATTGAAGCCCTGCAACTTCACCCGCTGCCCGTTTCCTTTCATCGATCTCCGCTGGATCCGGCGCCACCATACGAAAGGCCTCCTTCCCCTTGCTTTTCGGCCCTCCCCCTGCTGCCCTTGGCCCAGCATCATTTGTTTGCCTCCCATGGGGCCTGCGAGCTTCATACCTATGCTGCTGCTGCCTGGGTACACTCTCCCTGCTCCTCTCCAACCCTCTATTAGCCTGCTGGTAATTGCCCTGGCCACCCTTGCCTTTTCCCTTCACAAATTGTCCCCGATACCCACTGCCACCACCAACCACATTCCCCCTGTGCACCTGCCCCTGGCCCGACTTCCCTTGCAGATCACCAATCCCTCGCTCCAAACTCCCTTGAGCAGGCAAGCCCAGCACAACATATTTATCTCTCCCACCTCTCGGGTCCTCCTCTGCTTCCCGACCCCGTTTCTGCTTCCCACCTCCTGCTGCATTGGCGCCAGAATTGGGGTTGACCCACACCGACGACTGCGCCGGCTGGCGCAGTGGGAAAGGCACGACAGCTGCCTCCTCCACTCGATAGCCGATGATGTCCGTACTAAGCTCAGGGCCGTAGTGCTCTATTCCCATCGGGTCTGGGTACACACAGTTTGGGGCCATATGCCCCAACCTCCCACAATGGTAGCATAAAAGAGGTAGGAACTCATAAACCAGTGTGACCCAGAACTCGCCGACCAACGGATTGCTTGCATAGAGTTGAGAACGAAGTGGTTGAGTGATATCCAGCAGAACCTTCGTCTTAATAAAGTGCCCCGAGATCCCCTGGATAGCAAAAGCACCGGCCTCCAAAACCTTTCCTATCTTCGACCCAGCCACCCTCTTCCCGAAGGCCACAGTACGGCAGTGATTAGGAATTCCCCACATCTGGACCCAAAGCGGGACCATGATGAAGGAATCGACCACCTCCTTGGTTATTTGACACCAAGGCTTCAATTGCAGCACCCTCTCCTTCACTGTCCATGGCGACCTCTTAAGGACCCAATCCAGATCAGCTTCATCAGCAAAGAAGAATTGCAGAAGCCCTCTTTCAGCAGCAAGAACCCTGACCTCCACCGCACAATTCCATTCGCCATTCACAATCTTACTGATAACAGCCAGACTCGGCGGGTTATCCATGAACAGCCTTCCCAGCAAGCTCATCTTTGCCCACTGCACACCTGCCGCCACATCTTCCATGGTGAACTCCACAACTTGATCCATGGCCAAAGCCTGGATCCCAGCAGCCACTTCATCGACCTGCAGCACCTCCTCTGGCTTCTCCTCCCCATCAGTAGCCTTCTGCACCCCATCTTCTTGAGCCCGTGGCGAAGCCGCTTTCATCACCTCATCTGCTTTGGTCATCTCTGTTATTTTAATGGCATCCACCGCAGGAGCAGCCACCTCCATAGCCTCGCTAATGGTCACCATGCTTCTTCTCCTTCGTAATCTCTGGATACACCAGTATAAACCCCCCAACAGTCCAATTAAGACCACAACTGGGGTACTCATAACACAAATAATACCCACCCAACTAATTTGAAGAGCGGTATGCATACCTTTCTTGATTCGACGCCAACGAGAAGGATACTCCTGCCGCCAATACAGTTTCCACCACTGGCTACACTGGGTTTTGTTTGGTGGACTGGCAAATCGCACCTGGGACACTAAATAGGTCCACTTCGGAGCTAATCGGAGAACCGTGCTCTGGACGGTCTCCTGATTCGGGTTTATCCCCTCTGATCTGCGAATCTGGATGTATCGGGCGAAAAGATCGACCTCCATTCTTCGCCGATTAAGCCTCACCGCGCCTCCAATTTCTTCTCCTGTTCGCCGAGTAAATCGCCCTTCTCCTCTTATAGGAGACCATCGGTTTGTCTTCAAACCAACCTCACCCTCTCTACATGCAAAGGGGAGTACCAATCTTGCCACTATCCTCAAAGCCATCCATTGAATCCCCGCCGCCAAAACCCTAGGTGATTCGAGAACCGTCGCGGAGAGCCAAAAGAAGAGAGAGGCAAGAGCATTTTTCATTTTTTTGTTCCTTTAATTTTCCTCTTCGGCTCTTCCTTCTGCATGGAGGATAGTTTAGTCAATACGCACTCATACCCTAATATAAATAGTTATTTTTCACCTTTCATCCCATCGGTTCTCTCTCTCTCTCTCTCTCTCTCTCTCTCTCTCTCTCAACCGTTTCTCGCGCGATGGAGGAGGCCCAGCGATGGAGATCTTGCCCCAAGAAAAGAACTGCCTCCTCCCTCCCTCAGCCTGCCATACCCCCTGATACCGCTTTGCCACCGCCAAGTATCCACTCTTTCGAGGTACACTGTGATGGATCGTTTTTTCACGATTCCCAGGAGGCGGCTTATGGCTTCGTTATTACGAACGACCATGGTCAAGTTATTGATGGTAAGGCTGGGCCCCTGCACTGTTTCTCACCGATTGAGGCGGAAGTGAAAGCTCTTCTAGAAGGGACCTTGGTTGCTGTGGATCTTAATGCCCCATGTCGGGTGCGATCGGACTGCCTGATCTTGGTCAAGGCACTCCAAAGGCTGCCATGTTTCTGGCCTTGGCGGGCTGCAGCTTGCCTGGGAAGAATACTGCAGATTGCCAGCGATTTTCCTGACATCAGATTTGAATGGATCAATCGGAAGCGGAACTCCAAAGCAGACTGGGTCGCTAGATCTGCGCGCGGAATCAGCTACCCTCGGAATGGATTCAAATTCTTAATCTTGTCTCACCCCTTCTGTAAGCTTTGGCTTTCGCCGATATTAATGAAAAGTTTGTGCCCTTGTAAAAAAATAAAAAAAAATAAAAACAATTGCCAAGAGTTACTAGTCACATACTCACGTTATACATCTTATCAAGAAATACATCGCTGTCTATATACCTAACTGATGCTATGTCGGATATGTTACAAAGCCCCAAAATACAATAGTTTCGATCAAATTTGCTAACAATAACATTACCCAGAAAATGGGAGAGTGACAGACCCTGGGGAAGCCTTCTTAAACCTTTAACTAATAACAAGCCAAACCAGCATCTATTCTATTTCCAAGGCCTACTACTCTACCGGATGGTGACCGACACTTCCCCGGACCCAAAACTTACACTTCATCTTTCGTATTCAAGTACAGTGTTCTCCTTCTTTCTCTATATCAAGCTTAACAGCAAAGCTTCCATGACTACAACAAATGTGTATTACACCTTGTCCACATGAGCGTTGTTGAGCTTATTCCAGATATCAGCATATTTTGACAAGGCTTGGAGAGCACATTCGCATAAACCACCTGCTTCTGCTATGGTCTCGCGCTCTTGAATCAGCTCTTCTCTTGTTTCCCATTGACACCGAGCTCTTGAAACTTCGTTCAGGGCTCAATGGCTCTGTCGATGAGTCCACCACCCGGCTCACCATTTCCAGCACCTCACTCATCTTCGGACGTGCCTTTGGGTTTCTGACCAAACACTTGTTTGCTATGTTCGCAAGCTTCTGGGCGGACCTTAGCCGGAATCTCCCCTCCAGCCTAGGGTCCAAAATATGTGGGAACCTCTTCTCTGATAGGTACGGCTTCACCCACTCCAAGAGCTTTTGCTCGTTCTTAGGCCGGTTTCGATCAAGGGGCTGCCTACCTGTGAGGAGTTCATAGAGGAAGACACCATAACTCCACACATCGCTTTTGGATGTGAGGCGTCCCGTTTGGATGTACTCAGGAGCTGCATATCCCATCGTACCAACAACCTGATACAAACAGTATTATCGATTGGGCATCAGAAGTCATTTAGTCACAATGTATTCTGGACGTGTGGTATGCATGTATTTTCAGAATGCAGGGTTAAGTTTGAAAGGATTGTTAGAAGAGATTGTTGGCACACCAAAAACATGTACTCCGAAAAACTTTAGGGGGGTTACAAAAGATTTCCAGAAGACGTGAATTCATGTATTTTGCAAGTGCATGGGTCTTGAAATGCATAATTTTCATATCTAACTTAGACAAGGAATAGTGATATTTAGTTAGAATTCATGCGTTCACAAAATCAATTAGAACAATACATGGTTAACTAATGATCAAAAGCATTATCCTAGGAAATCTTGGGTGAAAAAGTTTCAATATAAGGGGTGTTGAACGAAATGGTCTGATCTACATGCAAGGAATTTCATCGCAGAACTTTGTATCTATTTACCGCTGTCGAAACATGAGTTAAGCCTTCATCTGGGCCAAGCCTTGCCAACCCAAAATCCGATAATTTGGCATTCCACTGCTCATCGAGAAGGATATTTGAAGATTTGAAGTCTCTGAAAATGATCTAAGTAGAGATAGAACGCACAAGGAAAGAGGGATCGTTATCTTCACGATAGCGTTCTTTTATAGTAGTTTTCTATGTAAGAGATTGTAAATGAATTAACTTGAACTGTACATCTATGCAAACTGCAATTAGAAAAGATAGATACCTGGAAGTCCATTTCTTCATGAAGGTATGTTAAGCCACGAGCAGCATCTTGTGCAACTCGTAGTCTCATGTTCCACGGGAGAGCTGTTTCAGACCGACTGGACAAATGATCCTCCACGCTTCCATTAGGCATAAATTCATATATGAGAAGACGCTGGATTCCCCGTTCATCATCATCAGCACAATACCCAACTAACTTCACAAGGTTCGGATGCTCGACCACCCCGAGAACATTGACCTCTGTGACCCATTGTTTATGCCCCTGTCAACCACTGACAAGATGAGACCATAGAAACTAATTTATGTACCAAGTCAAGATATACTATCGAACGAGAACTCAGTAACGAGGGACCCTCGGAAACAAGGTCAATCTAAACTAGGCCAAATCTAAAAAAGATATATATGCCTTGTCCCACTACCATAGCTAAACTACCATGTTAAGTCTCGATACAACAAGGACTCTCCACATTCTTGTAGGCAATCCATACTTTGTAGGTTGGGGGAAATTAGCAAGTAACAACAAGTGAATGCTTCCCTTGAAGGACGGACAGGAAATACTTGATCAATTGTATTCAACTGAAAGAGTTGCATGAAACTAAATACAATCACTCATTCAAATGGACTACAAAGACGGGCTGACAGAATAGGCATACCTTATGGGAATAATTGAAACAATAAATACACCCTTAAACAGACTAGTAAATGAAGGAAAAGACACACTTCCAAAGGTGAAAAGGACTTGCCTGAGTTCCCCGTTTACCAAGCTGTTTCACAGCAACTTCGATCTTTTTGGTTGGTTCCTCAGTGCTCTTTATTGAGCCTCTGTAGACGCATCCAAATCCCCCCTCTCCAACCATAACAGAGCGACTGAAGTTCCTGGTGGCGGCCTTGAGTTCAGAAACTGTGAACACTCTCATATTACTGGGTCTCTGGGACAAACTAGGGTAGCTAGGCCTCGCCATAGATTCTACACTAGTAGTTGATATATTTTGAGAATTCAACTCAGACCCAGATCTCCCAACTTCACGGTCAGTACAATTAGAGTTCATTGACATAACTGATGCAGAGTTTGTGGTCTTCAATTCAAGCTTCCTGTCTCCAATGTAGAATGAAAAGCACTTCATAGCCCTGACACATGCACATATAATAGTATCTGTCACAAGGAGATCTAACAACTGAAAGCCACTTCATACTTCATATAACGAGGTTCGTCTAAAAGATTCAGGTGATCAAGCGGAAGGGAATGACAACAAAAACGGGGGGAAAACAGAAATGCTTGCGAATCACGATAATACATTCAACAGCAGGTGATTGTCTCTCAAGACCCGAAGTCTTCCTGAAGCTCATATTACCAGACCATAGCTTGGATTGTACCCTTTTTTTTCTCTCAACCTCCATAGGAAGAATGGAGAACCACTAGAAATACACGTAAATAAGGGCAAAACCTATCAAATTGATTCTCTATAAAACGCTCGAAGCAAGTTAATTGTCAGCAGAGCACGAACAATTACTCCAGGAGGTAAAACCATTATAACCTCACCCCAAAAAAAAAAAAAAAAGAGATAGGAACTAGCTAGTTAATCAATCTACTTTGTTTCATTCAACCCTTTCGTCGCAACCTATAGGCCAATTCGGTATCTACTTGCTTTCTCTCAAATCCGAAAAGGTGTAGAGAAGAGGAACCCAAAATTCAAGCCAAAACTGTCAGATTACCATCAGAATCTACTTTCCGATTCATCGCCAACGCAAAACTAGCCATGGAACCCACAGCAAGACGTAAAGAGACAAGCAGGGAAAAAGCACGAGAACTCACACCCTTTCGTTTCGATTGTGCACAGCAGGAGGGGTTTGCAGACGCAGCAAAAACTTGTTCTTCAACTCATGAACTTGACGGAAGGAAATAAGAAAAGACAGCGATTTGATCCCTGTACCCGCCCCGGATAGACCTCCAACAACAGAGAAGGGAAGACTTGGGTGGGAGTTGGGAAGCAGTGGGATGATTTCGGACGGGAGATGGAAGTCAAAGCACACCAACCAAAAATAAATAACGCACTCATCAAAACTCTTGAATAATATTAAAAATATAATATCTGTAGTTATACGAGTGGCGAGTGTCGTCGCGTGCGTCAAATGGCGTTTGAGTCCACAGTCACGCAGGAACCTTCGCTTCTTGTTCCGGTCCTCGCTAAAGTCTTGGAGGATGGGGTCACGCCACACAGTATGAAGCTGCCATCTCACATATGAATAGGAGTGGAAATCGGGGTGGGTGTGTAGTTACCCGCCCTGAGTACTCATACGGCCATACCAACAAATTTAGAATTATGCTACTTACAACTCAAGTCGCAGTGGTTAGTGGATGATCATTACCTATTGCGGGTTGGGTGTGGTTACCTGCAAAAATTCATTTTTGCAAGCACAAAGTTGATGTTGTCGCTAACGTATTTGTTGTTCGTAGCTAGACTATAGGGATATACAATTGGGTTGTTCGTGGAGATACAATTTTGTATATCGATCTTACTCAACGTAGAGGGATTTTCTTTTCGAGTTTGGTATTCAACTTTTGTGTCAGAGAGCTGTGATTTCATATTTCACCGACTAGGTGTGGAATATGATAATTAAATATGATTTTTTATTTTATTTCACACAAAAACAAAAACATACAGATAAAAGTTACTAAACATGTCCACTTTAATGAATCGATTATTCTCCACTCTCTCGCTTGTAGTGTTTATAAACTAAAAATATCTCACATAAAACTGAATAGGTGAGCATTTATTTTTTGTGGCTACTTTAATTTGTAGCCTCCTACTTTTTACATACTATTATATTATAAAGTTAATTCAATAAATAATATAATTAATGCGGTTATTGTGGATTTGGTGGATTTATCGGGTAACCACTAACCACAAAAATCATTATTTTACTACCCACACCAAACTCACTACCCACAATTTGTGGGTATGGTTACCCAAAATGGATGCAGGTTACCCACAACCCACAACCCAAACTTCTACCCCTACCTATGAAGATGAAATGAACAACGCAAAGGTGATGCTAATAAGATTTAAGGTTTCCATTATCAACATATGTTTTAGGAAGACAGTACTCCAAGCTAGGGCCAACCCATTGTATTCAGAGGTCTTGTTCGAAAATTAAAAATGTGGTCATAATTAGAACTACCTGATTCAAATTTTCTAGTTGACATAAATAATTTTTTTACCAAATTTTAATGATCTAAATTTCCAATCAAAAGCTCCTGGAAAAAAAAAACACAAATTGGTTAGAACTCATTTACTCATTCGACCCATTGATTTGAGCCCATTGAGCTCCATTATCCCATTCGGCCATTCATCATTCAGCCATGAGCCATTCCCTATCTCCACTTTCCTCCAGTACCGAAAATAATTAAAGAAAGAGAACTTACCAATTCCCAATTACCAAACCACAGACGAAATTGATGAAAGCGGCCAAGCGAGATGTTGGTCCTGGGCCAAATTACGAGGGCCCATATTTTTGGAGGCCCTATGTTGTAGGCCTGGCCAGCACGAGACCTGGGTTGGGCCTACTCCAGGAAGAGCATTGTTAAGCGGATTTCTCTCGTAGACTACTCCAGATAGAATAACAATCCCAAAGTGTTGTTACCCTCACATCAATAATTACTAAGGCTGTAAAGTAATTTGGTACAATTTAAAATAAATATTAAATTAAGAAAAGGAAAAATACACTTATATACTCATAACTTTCACATTTGGGACAAATATAGACATAGTTATCGGGAAACACAAAATAGCCCAAAAATTACAGAGAGAGGGAGAGAGAGAGAGCGCTGCTGGGAAAGTAGGGGAAGTGGCATAATGATTTTGGAGAGGGAAGTAGGTTAGTGTTTTTGTTTTTCTATTTTATTTTTTAATTTTCTTTCTATTAATCCACGTGAATTAGTAGATCAATAAATCGCCAACTCAGCATTTTCTGTCAGTCCAGTCATACCATTATGATATGATCCCAATTCGTCCACTCTACAAGTTTCTATTGCTTGACAAAGAAGCAATCTTAAGTTGCAAGAAGAACCCTAAAAATTGGCTAAGTGTTTCTTCTGTTTTGGGGTGTCCACTTTGCAAGGTCATTCCTCACAAATGGCTTGATAAAAATTCAAGGAGAAGGATTGGAAGCGAAGTCCAGATGTTTATCTACATGTTGGAAGGATTGAAGGATCAGAATCAAGTCATTAAGGCCATTTTCCAAAGCCCTTAGAGATGTTATGTCAAAACCGAAAAATTGCCTAGATTTGACCAAGTATGGAAACGTGTTTAGAAAGCCTAATTTGGAGTCCTATTCGTGCTAGATGAGTGAGAATCGAGGCAAGAGGGCTACACCACATGAAAGTACAAGTTCTCTACTACAACCTCAAGGAATTGGTTGAGCCCAAACTTACCTCTAAGGCTTCGAATGAAGATTTCGAAGATCGTATGAAGCCTGTGTTTTCTGTCTAGCCTCTTAAGCAAACTGTTTTCCTTATGCTATTAGGATTCGAGCTCCTTGTGTTGTTATGCGTTTAATTCTGAGCAATGCAGTTAAAATTGCGCTTTAAAACTTAAAAGCTTACAATTTTACCCTTCTAGGTTACCAAAACGCTTCTACATAGATTCGCTCATTTCCCTTGCAAGTGTAGTCAAAATCTACGCTTTAAATCTTAAAAGCTTACGATTTTACACGTTTATGTCACCAAAACACTTCTAGGTAGAATCACGCTTTTGACTGCATTGATTCCTAGTTGTGTTGAGTTTAGGACTTCTTTATTCGTTTGTAAACCTAGCTAGCTCTATTTAAACCTTTCAATTGCATTGTAAAGTTAGTTTTTTTTCAATTGAATAAAAACCCGAGTTTGGCTTATCAAGCATCTTGCTTCGTGAATTTGAGTGAGCAACTTTGTGGATTCTAGGTTGTTTGTGAGCTTGTATCGATCAATCATACACAATGATCGTGGCCTTGCATCGATTTATACTTTTCGAGCCTCTCTCCCCCTTATGAAAGTTGCACGAAAGTTCCATACCAACATAAAAAACCTATCCTGTTTTTGTGTTACATTCGAAGGTTCAATTCAATCTTTGAATTGATCTTTAGCTGAGCTACTCTGATTCAAATCCAACTTTAGGGTTGCATCAAGTGGCATCAGAGCCTGGTTCAACACAGTGGCAACGACGAAGAAGAAGGATTTACCTGTTGCTACAAGAACGAGGAAGAAGGATCTGATTGCCCTGCGGACCAAGAAGGGTCAGAGTCTGACGAGCAGACTCAATTGGACCAGCAAACCATGTGCGATTCATCTCTCAATGCGGCCGAGGTTCTGTAATCGATGGTTGCAACCTTTCAGGACCAGTTCAATCAAATTAATCGGCAGTTAGCCGAGCTAAACATGAAGTTCAACAGCCATGTTCCGTCGGCAAATGTAACAGAGCATGCTGAGATGCTGGAGGCAACTAGGAACCAGGATGTTCCAATTGGAGATGACCTGGCCTTAGTGGCACACATCCAACAATTGGAGCGTCAGGTAATTACTGCCGAGAACGAGCACCATCACGAATTTCGTGTTCAGGTTTGTCGTCCCACTAAAAACACGATGGTAGAGCTCCTATGAGTGAAACTTACTGTCCCTTCCTTTTATGGCTCCAACAACGCCTCAATATATGTGGATTGGGAGAGAAAAGTAATTCTTTTCTTTCAATGTGTGAATCATACGCAATCTCAGAAGGTTCTCTAGTCGACATGCGAATTTACGCATTATGCTGCTCATTGGTGGGAGCAAATCCGAATTCGACGTCAGCATAATTTGCAGCAGGAGGTTTAGACTTGGACCGAGTGAGAGGTCTCATGAGAGATCGATTCGTGATTGGATATTACTAGTGCAAATTGTACGGATCTCTCTAGCAAATTCGGCTGGGAACTCGGCCTGTTGAAGACTACTTCAGAAAATGGAATTGCTTCTGATGAGGGCTGACATAATAGAAGATCGGGAAGCTACGATTGCCTGACTCTTGCACGGATTGAATTGTGACATTCATCTAGAGGTGGAGCTGAGATCCTTTGTGGACCTCAAGGAAGCTATTTGATTCGCCATTAAGATCAAGAAGCAGCAGAAGTCTTCAAGCATGAAGTTTGTTCCGGCAACCAAACCGGCAATAGAGTCAAACTCCGACTCTGATTCGCCGCAATTACGACCCAATCCCAAAAAATACTCCCAGGATTGTTGCTCCAGCTGCCATAGAGAAAATGATTCATCCAATGCTTTAAGTTCCACGACCAAGGACATAAAGCTAATCAGTGTCCAAACACCAAGGATTTGGTAATCAGAGACGGTGAATACATCACAGATGACAAGAAAAGCACATGAAGGAAGAAGAGGTCCATGAGGAGATCGAAGTGGAAGAAGCTCCAACTAGGAATCTTTTGGGAGTCAGTAGAAGAGCCTTGACATTGGAATTGTCGCCGGATGCAAGTCAGCGTGAAAATATGTTTCACTCCTGATGTATTGTTTATGGAAGTTTGTTGTCTTTGATTGTCGATGGAGGCAGTTGTGCCAACGTAATCATCCAAGACGTGGTGACAAAGCTTGGCCTAAGCATGATCAAGCATCCTGAGCCATATAATCTTCATTGGCTCGATGATTATGGGGTGACCAGAGTCACTAAGCAGGCACGGGTAAAGTACGAGATCGGAAACTACAAAGACGAACTTATGTTCGACGTCCCACCGATGCAAGTTGTACAATTGCTTCTAGGGCGTCCCTAGCAGTTCGACATAGGCATATGTCACTATGGTGGAACGAATTGCTACAAGGTCTGGCACGGTGGGAAGAAAATCCTACTAAAGCCTTGTTGTCGGAGGAAGTTCGTGAAGATCAGCGTCAGCTGGAGGCTAATCGATGGTGAACCATAGGTGAATCGAGTGAGAAACGTCCAGAAGAACCCAATGCAGCAAATTTCTTAGCTCGACGTTTCATGTTGACGACATACAAGCATAGGTTGTATAGCAAAGATAGCAATATGTTTGAAGTACGGATGCAATAAGGGCATCTTTTAATGGGTCATGCAAATGCAGATGGGAATGAAGCATAAATGTCAACTCAAGTGATGCGGGGTGGGAATGTCAAAAAGGTAGAAAAGAGAAAAGAGTTATAGAGGAGCTTGACATAGAGAAGGAAGGAGATCTTCCAAAGTTACCCCATTTAAAGATCAACTTGGAAGGTGTTCAAGCAATAGAATATGTGAGTGCTTTCGGTTTCTTTTGTTGTGGTGTGATTTATGTAATTAGTGGGGTTCCTCTGTTTTTTTTTATGGTTTTCTTAGTTGCGTTTTTGGTGTGCATTGAAAGGGTTATGGTTTCTATTCGTCCGTTGTAGGTTTATGCTGATTATTTTCTAGTATTTATTTAAAGGGTTGTGGTTTGCATTAGGGTGTTTGTGGTGCACTTTATTATGTTTCTTGTGTGCATTCAAAGAGTTGTGGTGTAGTTTATTTTATGTTTTTCAACAGTGTTAATGGTTGTGTATTTTCTGGTGTTTATTTAAAGGGTTGTGGTTCGTATTAGTGTGTTTGGGGTCTACTTTGTCTGCTTCTGGTGTGTATTTAAAGAGGTTTATGGTATGATTTTCTAGTCATTAACATTGTTTGGTTTTTCTCCGTTCTGGAGGGATATAAGTTGAAGGGTGATCTAGAAGCTCATAAGAGGGTTTTGTTAAGGGTTGTTGAGCATTACAAGAAGAACATTGGACAAGTTAGTGATCATATAAAGATGTTGGAGGGGCAAAGGGTAGGGAGAAGTCATTTTGATCTAGATATTGATGATAATGATGTGAATGATGGTGTGGGTAAGGACAACAAGGATCTCTAGATATTAGTGACAATGATGGTGGTAATGATGTTGCGAAAGAAAATGTTGGGAGTCATGGTGAGAATGATGAGTGACTCATTCCTAACTACACATCCCAATCGACGACCAAGTATAACCGACGACCGGGTGTAGCATAGGGTAAGCAAGCAATAATAATTTATCGTACCACGGGGATCTAAGCTTACCTTACTTTGAGATTAGGGTTCGTTATCTAGCCAACCTAAGATAGCGATTAGGAAAACTAAACTAACTAACCTAGCCAACCACTAACCTAGCTATTTACAAGGTTGGAGCTCACTTAGGTTTTAATCCCCCTAGTTCTATCATTTGGAACGATGTTGAGTATAATTCTCGCTTAATTGATTCACTACTCTACAGTTCCAAAATAGACTCCCTCGCGAATAACCCGGAACGGTGAATCGATGGATGGGTAGGTGCTCTATTCAACCTAAGGTTTCATACATTGCTAGGAGACCGATTGAATCAACTTCCTCGAGAATTACCTGGACAATAGACGATAGGAGTGACCCAAAGACGCCAATAGTGGGCTCTAAGGGGATTTTCTCCCTACTAGTTCAAAAGCTCAAAATATGAAATGGAAACCAAACCCATGCCACTCATTAAAACATCCATCAATTAAGTAAAATCATCAATCAAGCATGGAATTTTTGACATACATCAACATAAAACCAAAACCTAGACCTAGGGTTCTTAAACCCAAGAGAAGAGGGCAAGTTTCTAGAGAGAGAAGAGATAGATTACAAATTGGAGCACAAGATCTTCTTCTTCTTCTAGGCTTGATTCCTTGCTTCCAAACTTGATCAATGCCTACAATTAAGCTCCAAGATCACTCAAGAACTCTCTCTCTCACTCACTAGAACTTCCCTTTGGTGTTTTGGGTCAAAAACCTAGAGAGAGAATTGATTTCTCCTCCGAAAATTCACCTCCCCTTTCTCTCTCCGCACTGTTGTCTTTATATTTGCTCAACAGTGCCGACTTCACGGTTACTGTTCATGGCAATGATAATAGATAGAAGTGGGTGATCTCGGCCAAAAATGCAGCATTTTGGGCCATTTTCACGGTTGGGGGTGATTTTCACGCCTGGGAGACCGTGACAATAAGACTCAGCCTGTGACTTTTGACTGTTCTTCACTTTTTGGCTCTTTTCGACCTCCAATCATCCCGAAACTCGTCCCAGACCTTCCCACATGTACTAGGACCTGAAATGTGAGAAAAGAAGCACAAACTAGCGTAAAATAGGTCGAGGGACAGGACGATGATATACCAAGTCAAACGGATAAGAAATAAGGGGTAAAATGTGTACAATTGGACCCGAATCACACCTCCACACTTGAACGTTTGCTTGTCCCCAAGCAAACCAAGTACAAAACAAGGTAAGCTTACAACTTATTTTTAAACAAAAGTTTTGGGGCATGTCATAGGGCACAAAACAAATGAATCTCGATGGCCATTAGACATCAATACATGAACAACAACAACAACAACAACAACAATCATAGTAACAATCATAGTAACCATGGAAAGGAAGAGTTCTCATCTTGTTCGCAAAACCAAAACATAACATGTAATGACGACTCACCAATCACAGTTAACCATGCATAAAGATCACGTCATAGGAACGAATGAGTGAGCAAACTAGGTCCTCATCGGGATACATGATCAGAACAAGGCATGAGGAATGAATCACTCACTCTCGACCAATGGGGTCAGAACCATTTTGATGCAAAATATGTGCATACTCAAAAACTTAGCCCTATAGTCTCTTCACCATGATGATAACCTCTAAATGTTAGAGTTCACAAGATGGTTTTCATCACCAGCTTGTCTGGAGGCCTTAGACATGGGTTCGAATGACTGGCTAGGGTGTAGGACATGGGGAAAATGCTTTTTGGGTGGTGGCAAACATAGCATGAGATTACACATCTTCAACCTAAAACCAACACAAGATTCTATTGTTTCGACTAGAACCCTCTACTACAAGAAATGACCACTAACATCGGCCAAAAACCACACTTCCCACAATTTCAAACCATAACTAATCACCAAACCATTCACAACAAACTTTTTTGCCTACGCTTGCTATCAAACTTTTCAAGCACTAGAGTGAAGGAGGTAAACAATCATGTACGTGTTTCTAAGCTTGACTGCTAAGAAACACATTTTTAGAGCATATACGAATTTTGGTGGCAACTCTCCTTTCTCCTAACCCTCTTTATTTCTTTTCTTTTTTCTCTCTTTTTTTCTTTCTTTTTTCTTTCTTTTATTTCCTTGAGGGCTAGTAGAGTGCTAAACATGCTACATTCTTTGAACTTTATAACCAATGCTCACTTCTTAAGAACTACCTCCAACACTCACTTTCATTCTTAGCAAATCCATGCACAAATCACTCATGTGAAACCTCAATTAAGCTCAAATGATATGATGGGAGATTCCAAACACAAGGGTGACTCAAAAATGGTGTAGACTCGAAAAAAGTAGAGTCGCTCTATCTATCTCAATCAAGCTCAAGTAGCAAGAGCTACCTAACACGAGAGCGAACCTAAGACACACGACTGAAAAGAGTTGACTAGGGGATAATTCAATCGGGACAAGTCAATTTGGGTCATGGACTAAACATATGCCTCCATCTTTCTTACTAGTGACAACGTGAATGCTACTCTTCATGGTAAGAGGGAGCTATCACACAAGAATAAAACGAGCGACACAAATCTCACATGGCTACCTAGATGCTCAATCATTCATTCCAATTATTAAAAAAACGATGCATGGAAATTGTGATCAATGAGTAATCAATCCAAAACATCCATTGGTTTGCAAACACATGAGAACTGAACATTTACACAACCCTAATGCATATCTCAGTCATCATCATAGGTTGTTCTCAATCACAAACAAGTCATCCATACATCAATACTAATAGCCATGATATTCTAAACAAATCACCAAAGGTGCCACTATGATCATGCAAATGCAGAAGTTGCTATGCTTGGAGCCCATAATTTTTTTTATTTGGGCGAACAACTAAGCTCCAAGCACTTGAAATCGCACCAAACATTCACACACACAAGCATAATAGACTATCCCCCCACACTTAAGCTTGACATTGCCCTCAATGGCGTAAAATAAGAAGGTAGAATGATGTTACTGGATAAAGTGTTAATGTTGGTGATCAGGAGAGGAGGGTGGGTGAGATTCGGAAGAGCAAGGAGACGGAAAAACACCAACAAAAGCTCTCCAAAGATTGTCTTATTGAAATGAAAAGAAATGCAAACCGATGGAATGGGTTGCCTCCCACCAAGCGCTTCTTTAACGTCGTGAGATGGACGGTTACTCTTCAAGTTTCGGTCCATCCAAGAACCTCCTTGAAGTTGAGGTTCTTTTAGGTGAGGTGGTGTCTCAAGTACGAGCTTTAGACGAGTCCATGATTGAGTGCTCGTGAACTTGATTAGAATTGAGGCTCCACCCATGAGAGATGAGACCTCTCCTTCTTTCCTTCTTCTTCCTTCTCTTTGCCCCACACCATGTAATGCATCATCCATTGACTTCCATCGCATCCACCAAGGTGGATTGCCCATGGTTTGGCCTTGGCTTGGCGAAGAGTCGTAAATGGGTCCTTCTCCCAAAAGTGCATTGAGGTTGGGTGGAAAGCTTTCATAGCACTTGTAACTTGTGGATGATTCATCCACCTAGACCTCATCCTCATCTTGGACGCCCTTTGCTCTTTCAACTTCATCTTCAACCTCCCTTCCTTCTTCAAAATTTGATTCCTCCCTTTGGGAACAATCAAGATCTTCCTCTTCTTCAATGCTTACTTCCTCCTCTTCAACCTCTTCCTTCTCCTTCCCATTCATGTCTTCAAGCACGGTTTGGAGGGCAAGATGACATGCAAGATCATAGAAAGGATTCTCTTGCTCCTCCACCCTCGTGACTTGATCTTTGAAGTTGTTCTCGGGAAGGGGAAAGGTGTGAAAGTCATCAATGCAACCTTCTTATTCATCCTCACCATGGGAGCTCTCCGGGGTGAGTTCCTCTTGCTCAGCACGGTTGTCATTGATCGCCCCATCAACATCTCTTGCTCTTCCATTGGTGAGAGGCGCTGGAGGGCACAAGCTCGTGCCACCTTCTCTTCAAGTGTCAAACCGGGTGGAGGGAGGGGTTGGAAATCCGTGTAGGAGCATGCTCTTTCAAAGTTCTCCCTGGCAAGCTCTAATTTATAATTCACTTCGGGTTGCGGGAGATCCAAGATTGAGCACCCTTCATCGGTGCCTCGAGCAAACCGCTCCACCATGAGCTCCAATTCGCTCTTTGGATCCGGTTGTGGAGTGGCACATGCTCTTGAGGAATGTCTTATGAAAGCCTCCATTGCCAACTCCAATTTGGATTTCTCCTCAGGTTGTGGAGGGATATCTTCTTGATATGGGGAAGATTCTTGATACCCCATTAGTATGGTTTTTCTTCTTGGAAGAGAGGTTGATCATAGAATTCGGTTCCTTGGCTTCCACCCTGTTGGTTACTCCATAAAGCTCCGTAGTACCCCATTCGAGTGGTTGTGTATACCCCACATGTTATGAATATGTATTCTATATTAGGGGCCCAAACAGGTCCATAAACGAGAGAACCTTTCTTACTTTATGATTGATAAATTATGAGAACCATGTATTAGTTCTTTGCTCTAGGAAATCAGAAACTTCCACCACTAGTCCCAGATTATAAAAAAAAAAGTTCGTCAAGAATGACTTTTGAACATTATGTTACATTGAGTCACACACATCATTAATTTATTATGGTGTACCCAGTTAGCCCCTGCTTGTAGTACAATCATTTAATGGATAATAGACAAATACTTTTCTCTCAAAAAAAGAAAAAATAAAGCTCTAGAATCTTATTTTGAAATACTAGGTCTGGTTATTCTTAGCGACAATACCCAACATACCATGCACGAAAGGAGTAAGCATGTGGACCTAGATTATTATTTCTTATGATAATTGTTTCAGGCAAAAGAGATTCTAGAGATGCATAAACATCATATTTCACCAAACTTAATCACTAATGCATTCAAATAAGATTTTGATTGGACAAGTTGCTTTGCAAGTTGTGTATCACTAATATTCAAAAAAGAGCAGTGTTGGAATTAATGAACAATATAGTCGGACCGTACTATCATTGGTTATTGGAAACTATGTAATTGTAAAAAGATCAAACACATTGGAAAACATGTGTTTGGTAATTAAAATTGTACGTCACCATACAAATTGTACGATGCAGAGAATATAATGTGACAATATGAAAGCAGTGTAATCTACCCCCTACCAATAAAAGCTTAGAAGTTTAATAAACGTAACTGACGTAATCACCACAATTTCGCAAGTTGCTAAACATTCTTAACTACCGAGAGAAGAGTACTCGATATACTTATTTTGATCAACCAAAGATACATAACATAAAATTAACATCCTATGAATTTTCTTCCTCTTTCAGTTCTTTTTCTTGTACATTTTACATTTATAGTTTTTCTAAGAAAAACAAAAGAATTCTAGACTAATTAATCAATTTCTCTCGCTTATACATGTACACCTAACCTATTATTTGCTAGTAATTTTTTTTTTTGAAACAATTTAATTTCTTTTCTTACCACCTTTTTTAAACCATTGTTATAGTCTTTACTTGCTAACTGCTCATATGTTTTTACAGTAAAACAAAAATGTACATTTCTGATATGTACAAATAATGTATGTGAGTACCAAGGTTGGTGAGGTAATTAACTACATGTATTTTCTTCTACGTACACATCATTTCTTCTGGAATGTTATCAATAAGAAGTATGCTACAAAACGAGAAATTACTCCAGTGAGGATGAGAAGGGATAAAGACAAAGACCAGTGACTGAGAGCATAGTTGCTTTGTCTTAATGAAGCACAACGAGTTAGTAGCCAGACACCTGAGTACCTGTGCAAATATTTTGAAATCCTTTTGTAAATAAAAAGTCTCTTAATTACTGCTAGACTATTGTTAATGTTACTTGAGATGACAATAATTAAGGAACAAGAAGTTCTTAATTTGTGACCAACCTTTGGGCATTTGCAATGATGAAAGCTTCCATGGCCCATTTGGGGAAGCACAAACGCCCTACATACTTCACCAACCCTGTCTGTTCTTCTTGGGTGGCAACCAGAGTCAAAACGACAGGAACCAAAACTGAGCACTAATCAAACAGATAGATAGATAGCTTAACGTTAGTTAGTTTTGATGTGATGTAATTAAGAACATATATATTAGGTGTATATATATATATGTTCTTACCAACTGAGCTGAACTAGGTTCAAGATAGATGGCGAAGATATAAGCCAAGCCGGTGACACAATACACAAGACATAGCAAAACCACATAGTTGTCTTCAAAGGTTGATCTTGGGCTGTTGAAGAAGTAAAACATGGACAAGTATACTAGAGGCTTGAGTATTGTATTGAAAAGGTCCAGCGTATCCTTTGATAGAAAATAAGCCAGGCTGCTGATTCCAGAAGCACTTTCTCTCATGTAGTGTAGTTTGTCAAGAGAGAATGACCTCAATGCAGAAATCATGCATAGTAATGCTGCATGCAAAAATAAAGTTTTGATATTCAATGTTAGATTCACAAGAAATTTTAGAATAGAAAGAAACTTGTACGTACCCATGCAGAGATTTTATCGATTAATTGTCAACAACTTACAGACAGCAATGACAGTATAAGTGTAGCCTGTAGACCCAAATGTTTCATCATCCACTTTGGCAAGTGTTCCTAAGCAGGCTCCAGCTAGTAATAAAATCAGCAAATCAGCTGCTTGTAGTCTAGCTTCTCTTAGTCGTTGTTTGGTAACCCTACCAAGGTAATATCTATACTGACGAAGTATGCTAGGGTTTCTTCTATTGGACAAGTCCTTCGACTGAAGAAAGTTGAGATGAACTTGATCTTTGTGTAGCTCTACATGGCATCTCACATCCTGCCACAATTCCCCGGCGAAAGAGTGTTCTTCCTCGACTGCATGGTGATCATCTGTCAGATCACCCATCTGGGTTTTCTTCTCAGACGACGACGAACCACCCTTGGCAATTTGATCACATAGCTCCAACATATCAGGAGGGACCGTGTAACCATTGTGTAGCATCCATCTGACCGGAAGCTCTTCATGACTCATATTGTTACTTGGTTTTATTATCCCTTCCAGAATATCAATGTAGTGATCTGGAGGTGTGACACGGTCTGGCACCGTGATACCAATACCAGAGAAATACTCTTCCACTTTCTTCGTTGGCCCGTGGTATACAGTGAGACCGCCTTTCGCCAGCAATATGAAGTCGTCAAACATCTTGAACATAGCATAACTTGGCTGGTGGATGACCATGCAGATGTTGACCCCCTCGAGTGCTTCACGGCGCAAGGCTTTCAGAAGTAACTGTGAAGAGGAGCTGTCGAGTCCGGTCGTGGGCTCGTCTAATATCAAAAGTGAAGGCTCCATAACCATCTCCATACCCACATTAACACGTTTTCTTTGACCTCCAGATATCCCACGCTTCTCCACACTTCCAACCAGTGAATCTCTCACGGCTTGCAGTCCCAACGATTCAATCACTCTTTCAATAACTAAGACTTTGTCTGCTTTAGGCATGTCCGCGGATAATCTAATTAATTAACAATGTAACATAAATTAGAAATGAACCAAAACAAGATCAAGAGATGCATGGGGTTTGGTTTGGGTTTGCTTACCTGCATCTTGCATTAAATCGAAGATTCTCTTCCACAGTCAAGTTTCCATGCACAGTATCATCATCTTGTGGCACAAACCCAACAATTTTCTTGTAACAAAGGATGGATTCATTCTTTCCATTTATAAGGATAGATCCTGTCCTTGTGCACCCAGTTGCCTTCCCCAATAGAGCAGATAAAAAAGTAGTCTTGCCGGCGCCTGATGGACCCATGACAGCAGAAACCCTACCTGGCATCAGCTTCCCAGTAACACACCTCAAGAGATGCTTCTTTTTACCTTTCAAAGTTAGAGTTAAATCCTTGAAAGCAACTTCAATAACAGGTCTACTCCTGACATCTGTGTCAGTTGCCATTGAAATAACACCCGAAAATGTCATGTTGCTATGGTCTTCTTCCATGGCTTTCTCCTTCTCCAGTTGGCCATACGCATACTTGAAGATTTGGCTGTGGGTGTGCAATTGTTTACCCTTTGGAGCATGTTTTTTAATATTTTTATCACCAATTTTCATATGAAAGCCATCGTGACCATGATCAGGATCATCATCTATTGAACGAACCATATTTGTGAGGTCTTTTGAGTCTTTCTTGTTTCCACCTCCTCCAGATGAACCATCATTAGAAGATGTCTGAGATTTGTCCATCTCCATAGCTCCGAGACCTTGTTTGTTGGACTTTTTGCGAGAGAATGTCCTAGAAATTTGCTCCTGCAACCCTATTTGGCGAATCTTTGACAGATCTTGTGCTGCCTTCCACCTGTGGCGGGCTTGTGCTGTTTCACGTGCATGTTTTGCTGCGTCTTCCCTCCTTTTTGCTGCTCTTCTTTCTCTTGTGGAAAGAGCTTGGTCTGAGCAATTCACTATTATAAGTAGGGATGTAGTTAGAATAACCTGCACAAATTGATTCACGAAAAAAGTAGACAATAAATTATCTTGTCAATCATAAGATTTTTTTCCTTTAAAAATGAAGAAAAATATATAATTAACTCACGATAAGGATGATTCCATAAGCATGAAGATTTTGATTTGCAGTATGTGGAGGACAACTAGTCAACTTAAAGCAAGCTGCAAAAAAAATTTATGGAATTCATAGCAAAACATCCATGCAACATTAATTATTAAATCTTTAGAATTCTTAAATTTAACCATTATTATTTTTTTATGAATTATAATTCTTGATTAGAACATAATTAATTAAGGATACTAGTTTAAGAGGTCTAGCTAAGAAAATACTCACATGTTTGAGAGGTTGATCCCATTTGACAGTAATGTCTGCAATATTTGGGCATAACATAAATCAAGCAATATTGATTATCGTTGAAGAACGACAAATGAATACTAGAATAAATCATTAATCTAAACCAAGGTTTTAAGGTGATGAGATTCAATACCCACTACTGCAAGGAATAGTAATAGTCGTAGTTGGACAATATGAACCAGGTGAACAAAAAAGTTCTCCTCCTTCCCCAACAGGCACCCATGAATCAGCACTTCCACATGTATGATTGTTTTTTCCAGGAGGTATTTGGTAACCATACCTGCATGTTTTTCTCTCTCTCTCATCAAATCTGAGTTAGACTATATATGAAAGAAACGCGCGTGAAAAAAGATCAACAAGTCAAAAGATCAACCCTAAGATATGGACTTACGGGTCACATACTCCAGTTATTCTATTGAGACTTGCCATTGGACAATATGCACCTAATGGACAAGCTTCATTTACCGTAAAACAAAACAAAAATGGATGGTGATCAGATCCAAATATTGTATACAACCAACCGAAAGAAAGTGTAAACATAACAATGGAGGAGCGAGAGAGATAACTTCATAAATAGTATACTTACGAATCATACAAGTGAGGCCTCGTGGGCAAAAAAATCCTTCACAACATGGTTCACAATCTTTATTCCTTGAAGGCATGATTGTTGTCTTTATATCAACTTTCTGACTAGTTCCTGTGCTGCAAGCCCATCCCGGTTCACATCCGGGAGACCAATATGACAAATTACAGTTCTTGTTAGGGCCAACGTGATGGACATCCTTATCAACCTTATCGAAAAAATTACTGAAGTAGACTTTGATTTCTGCTGCTGTACACAATCGATGCCCCACATCACCTATTTAATCAATGTAAAACATATGTAATTTCATAAGGAACTAGCTGATAAATAAAAGTGTTTAAAGAGGATGAAATATAGTAAGTAGCACAAGCCTTAAAAGCTAAATAGTGCTAGCAGGCAGCAGCAAAGAGAGGGTTTTATGGGACTCCGTCATATTTTGAGAAACTACTCAAACCCTACCGTTTCGACATTAATCCGATTGTTGAAAATTTAAGATGCATGATCATGAATTTGTATAAACGTGTTTGATTTCAACATTTAACTTTCTAGAAACTTTAATACCTTTTGTCTTTCTAATGCAACTTGTTAAGAATTCCAAATGTCCATCAAAATTGAAAGCCCCATTCCAATCTGTTTTCCTAGAAGACAAATAAAATGGAAAAAAAAGTATTTAGAAATATTTAAAATATTTAGAATTGTAAACCATACCCTGACACAAGTTCAGAAATTGTTACAAATATGTACTAACACATTTTTAACGCAATATCCTAAGTTCTTCTCAATGTCCTTTTTGAAAACTGTAGAGAGGCTGGAGAGGTGGTTGTAAATCAACTTTGTGGTGCTAGGGAGCAAGGCTGAATTTCCTGTTTGACTGTAATCATCTTCATCCAATGAAACACCATTTTGAGCCAAACTTGGCAGAGCAAGAAGCATGAATAAAAAATGTGGCCTTGAGAAAATCATAATTCTCATTGATCCCTTCATCTTGAAAATCATACAAAACCTTTGTTGTAACCTCACTTGCTATGGTGATGATCATCCAATAACAACAAATAAGGATGTGAACACACAACAAAATTATCGTGTTTTTTTCACGAAAATTCGAATCGAAAAAAGTCCAATGTCGAGCAATCATGGCATTCTCGCAAATGATAACAATGAACTCTCTCTTGAAAATTTCAAAGTTTGTGTAATGATGAACATCAATGGATGTGCAATAGGAAAAACTAGCTAATTCTAAAAGGCAACTGTATTACTGTATTTTTCCTTTCATTTTTTTTTATGCCTTCTTCCCCTTCTATGGATGGGTTTCTCTTTTTCTTTCTTCCTATTTTCCCTGAAAATGGAAGTTGATGGTTGTAGCAAAATGGAAGAAAGAGAGAAATTGGACTTGGTGGAAAAGAGAAAAGATGATAGGGGTTGACATAAATTGAATGATCTCATAAAATTTGGAATAGAGACCTTAAATTTTGGGAAATTTAAGGATGAAGGAAAGAAATGGCCGGGAGAAATGAGTGCCTATATCGAAGGGAAGCTTGTATGTGTGTTTGTTCCCATAGTTATTGCTTTTAATTGTATATCCTTTTAACCTACAGACATCATATTTATACAAAGGAGAAATTCTTGGGTGCTCCTTGAGTACCACGGCAGCTGATCGCTATGGATATAGTGAAATGTAAGTAACAAAATCCTAGATAAACCAGGGTCATATTCTACAAGGTCATTCAATGTATAACATTCACATCCAACTACTCATGTTTGACACAACAATTAAAGTAGATTTGTTTAGGTGATTTTCATGTAATAAAGCAAAGAAAAGTAAATCAAATCATAAAAGTAAATAAAGGCAATTGAATAGGAAGTTTACTCGATATTAACATGCATCTCAATTCCCGTTCATATCATCCATCAATGCAACATCTATTATGCTACTCCATCCCTTCTACTAAAACATTCCTAACTAACCTCCTGTCATATGTGAGAGAAACAATAATTAGCTAATGCGCACTTTTTTCTTCAAGCCCTCAACTAACCAATGAAGAACAAAGAAGTAAAAACAACACATAGTTAAAGGTGGGCCTCGTGAGCCATAACACATTGTCTATATCATTGATGATCTAAAAATAAAGCCTTGATTCTATACATGTATGTATGGGTTATCAATCCTCACATACACACATAGGAAACTGGGATATCACAAGAAAGTAGTGTCCTAAAAATTTAGATGAAATTATAAGCAATGCATATAGTAGAATACAATAGAATCATAAGCATAAATGATAGTAAGTATTAGATCACATTTACATAAAAAAAAAAACATATACATAAGCATCAAATGAACAAGCATCAATCGCATAACATAGGGATACGAAATTCAAGAATCCAATGGAAAGCATCATATGAAATTATGGAATGAGATAGTCATATTATAACGAGTTCAAATACCTAGACATATGAGTAATACCAAATAAGGCCCCACGAGAAGAATACCTAGTAATCTTCTCCTTCAGAAACCAAACGAGAAGAATACCAAATCAGGCCGCACGGTGGGCGCCAAAATGTTTGACCTGGATTAGTGCCGGGCAAGGTTGTCAACCCGCGGGTTGACCCGAACCCGGTCGAGCTAGTGGGTTAAGGGTTAACAGGTCACCCGTTTTTGCCCGGAAATATGAAAATACTCATTATATTGTACTTATCCTGATAAATTATATCAAATCTCATCTAACATATGAGTAATAACATATAACATTCACTAAAGTAACATGTTGTACTTAGATCCAACATATAGTGAAAATTCACACACTTATATAACATCAATATTCAAATGTTCAACTAAGCATTCCAAAGATTTAGTTAGGTGAAAAGAAAAATCGGAAAATAGCCGCAGATCGCAAACCAAAGAAAAAAATGACACAATTTGACCTCCAACCCGATACCTTGTAGCGGTCGACCCGGCGGGTGCGTGCGGCCCGTTTGTCTCAGTGGCTCAAGGTCAAAGTGGGTCGACCCCCGCGGGTTGACAACCTTGGTGTCTAGAGCCTTGATCCGGACTCCCTCGTTTGGTGTCATCGGGAGTGGAAGAATCCTGTGGAGAGTCGGGTGGCGGCCCCCGTGATCTACACTCCAATGCTCAAGTTAGGGGAGGATATATGATAGAGTATAGGGAAATGTAGAGAGAGATAGAGTTTAGAGAGAGAACCATCAGAGGTAAAATGTGGGAAGGGAGAGAACTCCCTTTGCTTGGAGGGTCTGGCCTCCATATATAGGAGTCAGAGGCATCCAGTGGACGCCTCCCGGTGGTGGACGCCTCCCGTCGACGGACGCCTTCGGGTAAAGGATGCCCCCGGGTGGACTAGACACCTCCCGGTGTACTAGACCTATAATGGACTTGAGCCCAAAATGAGACGCTTTGTAATGGGCTTGGGCCCATATTAAACAGGTTAATACTAGACCCAACATTAACCTATTAATTTTCTTCGTATCTGGGCTAAACTGATTCGTCCATCAATCCAGAACCCACTTTACCAACGGGCTAACCGTTTAGACCGGGTTGACAACACTGATTTTAGAACGTGAAAGCTTGTGGGAAACCGCTAGACAAAACCGCAATAGCCGAACTTGGGCCGAGCAGTTCCATTAGCCCACAAAAAAGCTGGACGGACGAGAACAGAATTTCGAATTATGAAAGAAAATTCCCATTAGCTCTTTACTTCTTCAACCACTGCAATTTGTCCAGAGATTAAATAACAGAGACGGAAGAAAAGGGACGGGAATGAAATCGGCATTTCGAACCGCGTGCTTCATTACACGCTCCGCTAGCTTCTTAAACCCTAAACCCAATTGTCTTCCCATTTCCCGCCCTCTCAGTCCCGCAATCACTACGCCTGCGGCCCTTCCCCTGGTAATAGCTTCTTCTTCCTCCCTCACTCGGCCATTTCGCCCATTCTGCTTGTCTGCCTCCATGACCGGCGCCGGTGCCGATGCGGGCAACTCTTTGTCCTCCCTTGAAAGCCAGTTCAAGGGTTTCCGCAGCCAGCTGGAAGAATCGGGCTCCTTGCGCGATAGGATTCGGACGGTGGTGAGTGATATTGAGTCCACTACTCGGGTCATGCAAGCGAATCTCCTCCTTGTTCATCAGTCTCGCCCGGTCCAAGGTATTTGAAAGAAATCCACCAAGTTATCTGCGATTTTTGTTATGTTTGAGGTAATTTGCTGAACCCTAATTTTGAATTCATGAGATATTGTTTTTTGTTGGCTACTTGCTTTGGGTGAAGATATTTTGGAAGAAGCGAAGGCTCAAATTGTCAAGCTGGGGGATCTCTACAAGCAACTTGCTGAAATTGTTCGTGAAGTCCCTGGACAATATTACAGGCGAGACCTCTGCGGCTCTGCCTCGTACAACTACGTGAACTGGTTTCTCTTTCTATGCTCGTGAATGTGGATTTAATTGGGTGGGCTTTTTGGCTGGATTGATTGATTTTAGGTATCATGGTGATTGGAGGAGTGAAACCCAGAGTGTTGTTTCGCTGCTTGCTTTTATGCATTGGTTAGAGACAGGAAATCTCCTAATGCACTCCGAAGCCGAGGAAAAACTAGAGCGTATGCCTCATTTCCCTCTTGACTAAACACTCAGAACAATTGGTTTTATTTTTTTCCTAAGGTGTTTAGTTTCTTGGATGAGCCTGCTTTATCTGTAGTAATAGAGCTAATTTCTGTTCTGTGCAGTGAATGGTTCAGAGTTTGGTTTGGACGTTGAAGACTATCTTGTAGGTGAGTGATGCTGTTATTCCATGTTTGCTGGACAATGATGTTGTTGGTGCTGTCAGAGCTTCAGAGCATTTCTTACAAAGATTAGTTATCTAAAGCCTATCAATTTGATGGGAATTTCCTGAGTTTGTGATTTTTAAACACCTACGTGTTGTTGATATGCAGGTATTTGCTTCATGTCCAATGAGATGGTAAGACCTCTTCCACCGTTGAAATCACGCGCGTTGTTTGCAGCTTGGTCTTTGCTCTTGTGTAACTGATCAAAGCTAAAGTTTTGGTTTTGCAGCCTAGGTATGTAGTGAACCAAGTGACGGCTGGGAACTATGATTGTCCAAGAAAAGTGATGAAGTTCCTCACAGACCTCCATGCAGCTTTCCGAATGCTCAATCTCCGCAACGACTTTCTTCGCAAGAAGTTTGATGGTATGTACAAGAGAATGTTGCTTGTTTTTCATCGAACCCAGACAGTGCAGGGCATGTTCATCCATTAACACTATTATTATTGACGCCTTTCTCATTCCTCTTACCCCCAGGAATGAAGTACGACTTGAGGAGAGTTGAGGAAGTTTACTACGATGTCAAGATCCGGGGTTTGTCTCCCAATGGCGAGCCAATGTCCACCGGAGAACAGGGTGTGCAGGGCTCGATTTAGAATAGATTGCAAGGCTGGTTCTCCATGTATTGGATGTGTACGTTGCGACTTTTAGAGTGAACTTTTCTGAACACTACTTTTGGTTATGAGAAACAATGAGCCTACCTACAGCCGTGGCTGTCTTGCGCGATGTTTGTCTTTGACATAGTCCGTTGCAGCAATGACAGCCATATCACATTCTTCTTTCTCTTCGTCTCATCTTGCTTCACTGGGTCTGTAGTATGGCACCATGCTTTGGGGCTTCAGTGTGCGGATTAGGAGAATGAAATCATCTCTACCCTAAATCGGTGTGCCGCCGCGCCGTGGATTGTAACCAACGAGGAGAAAAAGGCGTACCATAACGCCGGTAGCCAAGTTAACGGATCAGGCAAATAGCAACGAGGAAGAGCTTTAACGCCGTGATCACATAAGTAAAAGGCGTAGTAGGGTGGTGTCAGAATTCTGTTAATGGCAGCCACCTGTCTCGTAGCGCCGGACCCGAAATCACAAATTATTTCAAGATAGTACGCACACAACGTTATTGCTGGTCAGAAGAAGAATCAGAACGAAGAATACATAAAACTTTTTCGATTCCGTCCAATATTGGGTTTTGGCGGTTACACGAAGAGACTCTTTTCCTTCTGTTACAGCCATAAAAGTTGGGACAGCGGAATCTCTCTCTGGTCTCTGCCTTGCTGAGCGAGCTCTCACTCCGCTTCTTCTACCACAGCTAAGGTGAGGAGGGAGGGTGGCACCTTTTCTTTTGTCTTTCTTTCCTTAATTTCCCTCATCTTGTTGCGCTGTCTTAGATTGTTCATGTTTTTGTTGCCGTGATGTCCGTTCGTCTGTGTTCTTGTTTTGGGGTACATTTCGAATTTGCTTTGTGCAACTGTCCCGGCGTGATTTCGACGGAATCGCGTCGTAGTTGGTGTTGACGGTGGGATGAATGGATGGAGTTGCTCTCTGGTTTTGGGGTTTCCGCACTGCTCTGTTGCGGGGCTGCGCTGCTGTTCTGTTTGGTTTCCTGGAAAACGAAAAAGAAAAGGGGACAAGTGTGTGGGAAAGGTTTCTTGTCTTTTTGTTCCATTTCTCTTTCCGTAGTAGGTTTCCCGTTTTCTGCCGTCTGGCTTCTGATTTCATTCCGTATCTCTTGACGTTGTTGGGTTGTTGCATACCTCTCCCCTTAAACTTGAGACACTTCCCTCCTACAAATTTTTGCGGGAATGAGTTGTTTATATATGTCTGAAAGTCCCACCGCCATTTCCTACCGAAAACGAGGTTACAAGCTTTGCCGCAACCATTGGTGGTATTGAAGCGAAAACCCAATTAGCAACAATCGGGTTCTTTGGTTTAGGCATTTTCCTCCACTACTTTGCTTCTAGTGGTGGGTTGTTCAAGTTGCGATGATTCTGCATACTTATATGAACGGTTGTTTACCTCGCCTGGAGTGCCTACAGAAAGAAGCTCAGTTTCATCCTTAGTAATTCAGTCGAAAGAGCTGAAAGCGATGTGTGTCTGTCCTGTTTCTCAATTCGTGGAAGCATTGGCCCGCAAGTTTCGGTTGCTATAAAATTTTGTCATGTTGTGTTGACATATTGGCATTCACCATGTCATTCTGCTTGCCAGAACAATGGTGAGAAATGGCTGTGCTTCCCCTGATTTGAGGAAAAATCATATTTTTCTGCTAATCTCTTGAGTGTCTTTCGGTTGTTACCTTCTGGTAGGCTTCGATGGTTTATTGTTCAAAACGGTGAACTCCAGCTCAGGATCATCGGATAAAATGGATATCAAGCCACGGTTTGATGCATTTGGATATACGAAATCTCCGCAGGTGAGAAATTTGTGGCTGTTTTATGCATTTATGTTTTGTCTTTATTTTTGGCAACGAAGTCTTGTGATTTTGAAGACGTTTCCTGTATCCTGTTTTGTTTAGGGAAAAGATGATGATTTCTTGGTTCCTGCATCACGAGGAGAAGCGGGTGATTTCTGGCCCATGCTTGCTGAACCTAAAGCAGAGAATCGGTCTGTGGATGGCTTCGTATGGTATGATAACAAGAGTTCTTGGAGTTGGACCGAATCCGAAATTGATGAATTCCTGCAGGCCTTAGAGTATAACCCAAAAGGTATGTTCTTGAGTGATTCACTTTCTCTAGTACATTGTAATGTTTGACAGATTAGGCAGACTCATACAAATTACAATAGAGAGCTCTACCTTGTTTGCTGCATCTCTGTGGTCAATTTGTTGACCTCTTCGATTCTGCTGTGCTTGTTAAGGTGGGCTGGGTTACAGTGGAGCCGAAGCACAAGATATTGTAGAGCTTGAAGTAAGGATTTTCATCCTAATTGTTCTCTCTCCCGATTTCTTTGCTAGACTGATCTTTTCCTATTTGCAACAAAATGTTTCAACCATCTTCTCGTATGTAAATTTAATTGCTAATGCTGTTTTGCCCTTTCCCTTTCCCTTCACTTGTCTTGTTAGTGAGCTAGTTAATTGACTTTCATGATGTCATTTAGGCTCTAGATGAACTGCTCGGTGGCATTTATGAAGTGGATAGTTTTTTCGAAGCGAGCAAGTCCACCACTAAATGTGAAGAAAGTCAATCTCCTGGGCTTAGCTCTCGTAGCAATGGTGATGCTGCAAGAGCAGCTGTTCTTGGGTCGGCAGAGTCAGCAAGAGCAGCTGTTCTTGAAGCTCAATGCAACAATGATCCTAAGAATCTCAATCAGATGGACTCAAAGCCCTCAGTAAGTGGATATGAGAACATGAAATGTGTTCAGGCAACCCAAAGCTGCTCTTGCTTTCCTAGTTGGAAGCGTTTGGGTAAACGGTCTAAGAGATTTGTTAAACAAGTTTCTGGTACAAAGTCATCTTGTCTTGAAACACGAAGCGGGTCTTTGCCACGTAGGGTACTTCGAAAAAGACAAGCAGTTCCTTTGGTAAGAAGTTACTTAATTTTCCACTGTTTGTGTCTGCAAGTTGTGTGATTGGTTTTTCCCAGTCTCGGGTTCTGTAACTTATAGCTTCTTTGGACCACCTTCCGCAGAATATTGATTCATCAGATGACCTCAACACCCCATCCGAGTCTGAAGATGACTTCAAGGAGAAACACAGATCTAAGAGGTGCAGCGTTAGAAGGAAGAATCACACAATGTGGACTACAGAGGAGGTGCGTAAACTGGTTGATGGAGTTGCACAGTTGGGAACTGGGAGATGGACCGACATAAAGAAGTTGCAATTCCCATCATCTTCTCATCGCACGCCTATGGATCTCAGGGTAATTAAAAAATGAATGATCAATATTTTGTTGACATTTTAAACTGTCAAGATCATTCTGCTCTAGTTGCTGTTGGTGCTACTTTCGCAGGACAAATGGCGAAATCTTCTACGAACCGCCTGTGCCGAGCATGATCTCAAACATAAGAGACGAAACAAAGGGGTGATTATTTTCTTCTATTTCCCTTTGAAAACTGCAGTTAATTTACACATGATTTCAGTGGTAAAGAGTGTTGATTGTTTGATGAATCACAGGTTGGCGAAGAGAAGAAGGCGGGCATAGGTGGGGTGACGGAACCTCTGCTGCTACGAGTCTCGGAACTGGCCAGCATTCATCCCTACCCAAGGATTGTACGAGGTGGGAGGTATATGAGGAACAAGGACTGATCTTTAACCAACCAAATGTTAGTTCATCAAAGTAAGCTGTGAAGCAAAAACAAAAGAACCTAGTATACCTAACTGGCTATTACTGATTTCTGGCTAGGTAGGTAGGTTGTGACGAGAACAAGAACAGTGTTGTTCTTCGGAAACTTAGAGTACCAGCCGGGTTGGACAGGCTAAACGTGTAGGGTGAACTGTGGGGATTGTGTTAGATTTTGAACTGTAAAAAGTAGCTTGGTTTTTTGCGGATCAAACAGTCTGTTGCTAGCTTATACATATGAAATAGATCAATATCAACCAACTTTGGCTCATGGTTCTTGATATCATATTATCAAAGATCCTATGAGAAGTTAGCATAAGCCAGAATTAATACGAGAGAAGTAAGTGGAATGAAATTTAATTTTGCGATTTTAAAATCAGACGACGGAAATGTGTACAAAAGATTTCCAACCTCTTCAAAAATCGCAGCCCCTCTTCCTCTAGCGTCCGTAAGCATCTCAAGCTGAGAATAGGTAAATAATAATCTTTGTTTACTGACATCGAAAATTGATGTTATGTTATAGATGCTTGTGAGTTGGGATTGACTTTAAGGTGTAATTCGGTATTCGAGATTTCGGTATTTTGTATTGAGATATCGATACCGTATCGATTTCCACCCCTACTCGTGGTAATAATTTCTCATCGATGATCGATATCGTGAAATCATTTTTGAGATTCCAAACCTTTGACAAAACAATTTTCATCGACCTCATATTAGGGTTTCGTAGAGCGACAAGTCGCCCAACTAGACCTAGTTTCTGTACCGCTATATCTATCCAACGGTCTTGTCTGTTTCCTCAATCACCAAAAAATTTCCTCATCATCGTTAGCAATTCGAACACAATGTAACTGAAGTCGAATCTCTGTGGCTGCAGGTTCCTTCTCGTTTTCCTTTGTCGTCTTCGCTTGTTCTTCATGGAAAAGCCAAGAGTCCACAGAAGAATGAAGGTGTAGTCAGGCTAAAACACACTCCCTAAAACTGGATGCAGGAGGCAATCCAGTAGCTATCGAGACCAAAGGGATGATGGATCGCCTATGGAAACTCTCACTTGAGATGATTCACTGATGAAACCTAACTCTCGTCGATGAGAAAACCTTAAATGCCGCCTTTTCTCTCCGAAGAAAAGTTCACATTTTACATTTATTGTAAAAAAATATTAGATACTTATTTTTGTTGGGTTTTAATCACCTCCATAAGGTTTATATTAACAAAAGATTCTCATTCTCCCAATCAGTGAGTGACTGAGTCAGAAATCTCGTCGAGGCTTACTTGAATTGTGTTAATTTGGAGAGTGGGCTAAAGACTTGTAGACTATTATCATTTCTAAATTTATCCAAAATTTACATATAATTTTTCAAAATTGAAAGGGATTACAACCTTTCCGAGTTTCAAACTAACTCCACCACTGCTCTTAATTTTTTTTATTTTACTTGGTTGAAGCAACATTATATTAGGTCAAATAATGATAATTTTAATAATGAGTTAGATTAGCAGGATTGTTAACCTATTCAACAATCATGTCAAGTCGCAAAGAATCACCACATTATTGATAAGTATGGTGGGTAATGAAAATATTTTTTTTAGAAATATAAGAATTGAGCGAATTTATTAAGAAATAAATTTAAATTGTTCCATCACCCATGATGGTCCTACTTATTTGTACCATATCATGGAGTACATTGATGAAACTGGAATTGGAAATCAAGTTAGCAAGATTCTTTTTAATGCTTGAGGAGGTCAATTAAGTTATTTAGTATGTTATATAATCTTTATCTAAATACTTAATAAGGGTGGCTATTAGGGCTGGAAGTTTGGTACTGGTATTTAGGATATATATCGAATACCGTATCGAATTTATCACTATTTGGTATTACGAATACCGGCTTATTTTTTAGAGATTGGGATTCATTTTGGAGTGGTATTCGGGATTGAGATCGGTATATACCGAAATACCGAAAAATACTGAAAATTAAAAATTAATGAAATATAACACACAACCTTTAGTCATTATTACTCACTCTTTCACAACTTAGAAGCCCCCATCCAACTCAATTTTGACTTTCCAGATTAAGTCACTCTCGTTTGTCACCTAATATCTTGTTATTTTAATAACACCAAAAAACAAACACTAGTATTAGTCGGCTCTCAACCTCCAATTCGTCAAATTAAGGATTACCAATGACAAGAATTTGAGATATCACCTCTCCTCCATTCTCCTTATCCATATCCTAGCTCTAGGCAAACTCAAGACTCTTTGCTTAATCTCTTTGCCCTAAATTAAACAATCAAATCTAATTTATGTATTTAATTATTACTTGCAAAGGTAATTAATTTCGTATTCGATAATACCGATTGGGATACCGACATATTTAGGGATTGGGATTGGGATTGGGATACCGAAACTATTTAGGGATTGGGATTGACTTTAGGGTGTAATTCGGTATTCGGAATTTCGGTATTTGATATTGGGATACCGATACCGTACTGAGTTCCACCCTTAGCGGCTACAACTAAAATTTTCACTATCATATTAAGCTAAGGACTAGAACTTATACCAAGTATAGATGGAATACATTTTAGTTTGAGCCACATTTGTCGATTAATTTGAAAAGTTGGCCATAACTATAATATTCGAAAGTTCGAGTCAAAACTGTCATTTACGCCAAACTTCAGGTCTACATATTAACCCTAAAAACTTTAGTATGTCCAACACAAATCTAACTTAATTTATTAAAACTATTCTAGATATTTTGACAGGATTCAAACTGATAATGTAATATACCGTTACACCATTATTTTACTGACCACGCCTACACTGCAACTTTACTTTCGCTATATACAATCTAAACGTCGCCATTTTGGTTATCTAACTTTGTTTCACAAATAATCTCAATCTTCAATTTTGTAGTAATGAACAAAATATAAATGTATGAATTTACAGAAAAGAAAATCTTTTATAATTTGCTCATACTTCACATATTCACAGACTCATTTATTGACTGTTGTAAGGGTAAATTTATCGTTAAAAATGTACAAAGTAGTTTTTTTTTTTTATCGAAGAATTGACATGTATGAAACGGTTTAAACTATAAGACAATGTCATCATTTTGAACAATGGAGATGCAGAAAACAGAGTCATGGATCTGGGTGAGAAGAAGAAGAAGAAGAAAGCAAAACCAAAATAATATCAGGAAAGGGAGGGGAGAGAGATTGCTTCCCAAGCGGAGGCATGGGACTTGTTATGGGGTTGGAGTGGGTTGGCTTTTCGTTGCAAAAAACCAGTTGAGATTTCCTTTCATTTCCAATCAAATTTATGACACGCGTCGATGGGTCTCTTTCTCTCTCACACTCTTCCTCTTCCAAGAGCTTATGGCCAGCTAATCCGAACTCAGAACTGCACGTGCAAATGGCTCAGAGATAACAGATACAGCCAATCATAAATCCAAAACCAAAGAAATATATATGAGAAACGAAGATGAGCTATCCAATCAAGTGAGTTGTGGTTTTGGCACAATTGGGTTGTCCTCTGAGCCGGAGGGAGGGACACAAAGATATTCTTCGTTTACATAGCAGAGCCTCCTGTTACAAGACTCAGACACATTTTACGCTAGGTTGGAGATGAGCCGAAGGATTCCCAACAGAGTTGTAGCTGTATACTAATACATGTAATTGAAATTACAGTTCACCACAGTTGTTTTCACCTCTCTGAGAAGGGTGCAGTCCCAGTCGACGAACAAATGATGAATGTCTAGTGTACTGTGTGAAAAAGCCTGCAAAGGTAGTTAGTTGGTAGTTATGATAAATAGTACAAGCTACAAGGAAAGATCGAGCTGACCAGAGCTGACTTGAGCTCCTAGTTTTTTCTTGTCTCGAGGGGATGTACCAAATGTGCTGGATTCTTACCGACTCAATCATGTCTGACTCCTCCTCCGCCGAAAAGAAGAAGAAGAAGAAGAAGAAGAAGAAGAAGAAGAAGAAGAAGCAGATAATAATAATGTAAGGCAAAAACAGTGCCATTATGGGTGCAGCGAAGCAAACTTTCACTAATAGCAAGCAGCGGCAGTTTCCACTGCTGCATTTTCTGCTGATAGATGGATAGATAGAATCCTGTATTTCCAGGAATTGGAATTTTAAGAATGCAATTCAAATCAAGGATGTGTGGAATTCCATACGTTTCCCCTTTGTCGTTTTCAGGCTCTGCAACCAATAGATTTTGTTCATCTGTAATATTTTGACTGCTGCAGTAGCACAGGCCATGGCGCAACACCCATCTCCTGCGCCTGCCGAGGGAGAGGCAGAGATCCAATCCCCTAATTTCTTTCTTTTCTTTTCTGTGTCTTGTTTCGCTCCTGACTTTCTGCTCATTCAACTCCGTACATATCATGCACCCATTTCTCCTTAGACCGTTATGGATATAGATCTCTGCCAAAGACACTAGCTAGGAGGAGGAGAGTTACTACTGCATATCGAAACCTCACTTTCAGCAACCCTACCTACATCGCAGAATGCAAAACAGGGTTTCCAGTTTTCAACTAAACTAATCTCTGCCCATTACACAACACCCCTGGCTAAGCCTATTTCTGCAACCAAGTTCCCAACTTTGTCACTCGCTCCCAATTTCATTGCAAGTGACATGGAAGGGGAGAAAAGAAAACGCATGTTTTACTGTTATCCATTACCACTAGAAACAACTGAAAGTGGGGATCAAACGCACTTTGCCCAAGAAGAAGCTTATCTATCTCTCTTCCCATCCCACCTCGTGCCTTTACTTTGTAATGATAAATCATTATTGGGTGTTATTCATATCTTATCTTGTGTATATTTCCTCTCCCCCACCCCACTCTCTCTCGCTCAACTTGTGGGGTCTTCTTCCCCTTCCAAAGATCACTCATCCATTTCCTTCACTAAAGTCTCCCCCCTGAGCTACTTGTTTCCCTGGATTGCTGATGTACTTTACTAGTAATTCATGCAAGTTCGTACAATTTCGTATCAGAGAGATCCATTGCATATTTTGGCATTTTAAGAAAACAGCTAAAACCCTTGAAAAAGCCAAAGGAAAAAGAAGGTAAATAGGTACATACAACCAGGCACAATATATCAATTTAGCACTTCCATCTCCCCCTCTAAGCTACCCGTCATATCACCCATTTATTGCTTTTGCCAAAGCTAGCACATACTCTTTATCTTTCAAATGTATATATAGACCTTTCTCTCTCACTTTCATGCAACCATCCATCCAGCAGTTCCTTCTGCTCTTTCCCTAACTTCCAGCTCCTCTCTCTTCCGCTACTTACCCCTCATACACACTCCATTCATTCAAATTACAATGAAAGGCAAGTTTGTGGAGACATGCGTGAACAAGTGGAGAAAGATGGGGAGCAAAGTCATACCTTGTGGAGGCTGCGACTACTGCTGCAAACACTACTGGGGATTGTGGCCTGATGTCAGTGAATCCAAGTCGATTCCTGGAGACGTGCCAAAGGGTCATTTAGTTGTATATGTAGGGGAAGATTACAAGAGGTTTGTGATCAAGATTACCTTGCTGAAGCACCCCTTGTTCAAGGCACTGCTGGAGCAGGCTAAGGACGAGTATGACTTCACTGCTGCTGACTCCAAGCTCTGCATTCCTTGCGATGAAAAGATGTTCCTCGATGTTCTTCGATGTGCCAGCTCGCCCCAGCAGGGCAGAAGTTTTCTCTGTCTTTGATCTTTTGTTGGAGGAAGGACATGGGTATTCTCCATGGGATTCTTAAAAGGATCAAGCTAATATAATTGTGCTATTAATGTATAACTCCCCACCCAATCAAGCCATAACTGTTTCGTGCCTGCACTAAATATGTAGAAATTTTTAACATAGAGGAAGTCTTCTTCTGGGTAGTAATTTGGGTTGGAAGGAAAGGATGCTATGTAATCAGAAAATTGGATGGAAATTGTGCAATCGAAATCTTAATGCCTTCAACGTACATCTTGGGCTTCTTCTATAGTTACCTGAAGCTGCCAAAATTTGCAGTGCGTTCATAATGATTTATCTATTTTCTATCGTTATTTTGGAACAATGAGCAAACTATGTTCTAGAGGTCCTGTTAAATGACTGATCAAATAGTTAAAATGCAACATCAGGCTTCTGCTGATAGATAATTAAGGGATTCTCGAATCGACAAACCTCTTGGAATATAGTAAGCTGCTTTCACATTCCATTTCCTTTTTGTCTTGTCACCGTATTCGAACTTGTATTGAAGCAAGCATTTCGTACCAAATGGAGGCGACAGCAACCGATTTTGAGCTGAATTGGTATGGTTTGGGCTCAGCCACAAAATGCACAAAACTGGAGGACCTTCTTAACAAACTTTCACAAGTATCTTCATAGCTTTGATTGCTCATAAGCTACTAGCTACAAACAGTACAAATGCATGTAGAAGTTGAACAAGTAGATAGAATAAATGAAACTGCTGATTATTGAGCCTTGCTTAGTTCAGTCAGATATAGAGCAGCAAAAAAGCACTGAACTTAAAAGAGTTATCATGCACACAAACTCTCAATAAAGAGTAAAGTGGTACCACTATGTAAAGATCAACAACAGAAACCCGTATTTTCTTCAGAAATCAGAACAATGATTAGCAATAACGGAAATATACACATGGAAGGCATTCATTTATCTCATAAAAGAATATACACAGTAGTATATTTTGGCCTCATTTGTTAAAAGAGTGTACATACATGATACAACAGATAGGGCTCACTGCAGAGTGAGCAAAATCAGACCGATGTTCCCAGTGCCGTCTTACAAAAACATCAACACGCAAAAGCACAGAAAGGTCTTCACTGCTTTGCTATTCTAGCGTCGCAGCTGCTAAATTGGCATATGCAAATGGAAGCGTTCATTTCCATAACCATCATGGATCATCATCTTAGGCCATCAATTAGCCCTTCCAATTCTCTCCTCCCAAACCTTCTTCCTTCAGAGTTAGCTTCCTTGCACCTCGCTGCAAAGTAAAATATCAGCCAAGCCACCATGAAGTAAACCTCCACAACCGATTGTAGCATTGCAGCCAAGTACTTCCCCAATACCCGGGCTAAGACCCATCTTGTCGCAGATCCACAGAGTATAGCTTCCATACACTTCAACTGAACAGCTTGGTGAAACATTGTTGATATCATGTAACAACCTTCCTTCACTATCTCCCTACCAGTCCTCCTGGAATCAACAATTGTAACCCAAGCATCCACAGCAAATACTAACCCCACCAGAGTATCCAACAGAAACCAGGTAAACAAGAACCCTGATATCTCCTTCTCGTACCCACCAATCCATGGAGACATAACTGAGAAAGGCATCAGCTTTAGCCTCACAAAAAGCTTGAAAAAAGAGTACTGATCCTCAATTTCTCCAAAGTACCACAATCCCACAAGCTGAGTCAAAGCATCCCTAACTGCCCATCTCATAAGAATGAAGCCTGTAAGTCTCTTGAGCCCTAATCTCGACCCATCCCACAAGATACCAACAAATGAACTGAACCTCTCTAACAGGTCATTCACCACGGCAACAAACACAATCCCTAATATCCATGAATACATTGCCGTGAACCCGAGGATCACCCACCCATAAGCTGCAGACAAGAAACTTATTAGGTAGAACAGCGCCGCCGCATCTTGGCGGCCGAGCTCGAACCCCTTCACAAAGAAGTGGAAATCGACAACCCCGTCCAAGTCGCGACCTTTCTGCAAACCCATCGACGATCCATTTTCATCCTCCGGTTGATGGTTCCCATTGTCGTCGTAATCGATCTCTTCTGCTCTACTATCGTCAAACCGCAGGCTGTCGGCCTTGAATTGAACCCCGGAGCGAACAATTTCCGGAACCCTGATTCCGTTATCGACGACGAATTGGGAGAACCCGAACCCTAGCTGGAAGTTGTTGAGAATTACGGAGCTGGCATTTGGGGGAATCTTGCGATTCGGGCCGAAGAGCGATCGATCGGAGTCGTCGTCCCCGGAGAAGAAGTCGTCATCTAAGGTTCCGACACGGGTGAGGTGGAGGAAGGGACGGCGGTGGTGGGGTCGTCGATGGAAGCGAGGATTGTGGTTGTGAATGGTGTTGGGATCCTGGTGGTGGAGGTGGTGGCCGGCGAGGTCAAGGCGAGAGAGGAGAGATTTGAGGGAAGGGTCACGATCGATGAAGGAGGTGAGAAGGTGGGTGCCATTCTCGACGAGGGCTCGGAAGGAGAAGAGTAGGAGAGAGAGGAAGAGAAATGTGAAGAGATTTGACGAGAAGGAGGCGGTGGCTTGTCTGATTAGATTGGTCGTTCGCCGGAGATTGTCGATGCTCAGCCGCTGCGGCTGATCGGTCATCGTTTGAGAAAAAAGAACAAGAAAATGAAGAAGACTAGGAAAACCAAGAGAGAGAAGCAGAGAGAGTTCAGGGATAATGGGGGAATGAAAGAGAAAAGCATGCGGATTCGATTGCTGAGAGATTTGCGATTCGGAAACGAAACGATGGGGTTTGTTTCTTTGAAGTTTTGTCAAACCGGTTTATGCTGTTACTGGTTTAACCAGTGAAAATATTCGATCACTATGATTAGTTTGTTTGTCAATTTAACAAAAAAATGTATAAATGTAAAAAAATTATTAACAACAAATGAAATGAATTTAATTATATATATAACGGACAATTTACTAAAAACTTATATTTATATTTTATTTAAATACAACATTTAAAAAAATATATACTCATATTTAAATACAACATTTAACATCACTTAAACGTTTATACTTGGATACAATAAATAATATCAACATTTAATTTTTAAATTCATGAAATAAATAATAAACTAATTTTCTATTAATTAAATTCACTAAAACAACGTCATTTTGTTTAAAGGTCGTAAGTCAATCATGTCGATCATTCCTAGATAATCAGTTCGAACTAGCTATACATAGAAGAGAAGGAGGGTACCACCATCAATGATGACATTTCCTTGACTGTGCCCCCCTCCTATGGATGCTAAGCTCTCCACTCGAACATAGTGTAAACTGAAGATTGAAGTGGATTTTTGTAGCGTGTGTCTACAACTGAGTCCTATATCTTTGTTTATACTACAAGATACAATGGCTATTCTAGGTTTTTCTCCTCCTAAAGTCACCCAAAAGCTTCTTTGTGTGAGTGGGACTCTGAAATCTTGAATTGGGAACAAAATAAGGATTTTTAGAATCTACTAGGGCTTGGACAACGAGGCACGACTCAATGACGGGTAGTGGTGCCTCTCTCCTTCTTATCAGGTTGGGTTGTTTGTGGGACAAGCAACGTTTCCTGGCAATTTGGGATCGAGCTTTATGATGTGGACTAGAAGCAATTGGACTTGTATGTAAGGCACCGTCGATTCCTTCTTTGATTGGACTTGAGTTTTCTCCAATGGGCTCTAGTTAAGACTTCGAGAAGACTTTTCCTACTTTAGGATTTGTTTAATGGGTGAAAAAACCCTTGATCTTCTCAAACCTGATCCTTTGATCCTCCATAACCATTCAAACTTTGATCCAAAGTATCCTAGATTGTGTTTGACCTTGAAAAGAACATAAATATACCAAAAAGGCATAAAAATATACAAAAATAAAATCTAGTTCTAATAATAGCTCATTACTCAAATAGCTATGATTTTCATAAGAAAATAAGTAAAAACTCCCAAAGGTAAATTGATAAAAGAGAGCGATAAAAGGGAGTGACAAACGACACCTATCATTGGCTGGAAAGAAGACTTTGTTGAAATCGATCGCGACAACACTACCCGTTCATGTAATATCACGTTTCAAACTATTAATGACGCTTTGTCAAAAATTGAATAAGCATAAGGGTAGATTTTGGTGGGATGCCAAGGCAAGGCGGAGCAGTGGATCTCCTGGCATAACATTTGTCGGAGCAAACATGACGAGAGGCTGGGGTTTCGATGTTATGCAAAATTTAATCAAGCTATCATTGCAAAGATTGGATGGTGAATCTTATAGGATTCAGAATCCTTATATCCTAGATTTATATAGGCAAATATTTCCCGCATGGATCGTAGCTTTTAATAGTCAGTGGCTCGCGACCATGGCAAGGGTGGCAGAATATCCTTCATGGGTGTGTGTTGTTGAAGTAGGCTTATGCTGACAGGTGGGCTTGAGAGACTATACTGATATTGTGAATGCTAAATGGGTTCCACGAGAACATTCACATCTATCTGGAGCGTTGTCATCCGCTCCCCTTATGGGATTGGAATGCGTGGTGGAGAGAGTGTTTTTAGGAATGTTTTCATGCAGACACGATCAAGGTGATTCTGGATAGTCATTTGCCTATGATTCTTGTAAACGATAAGCTTTTATGGCACGAGGAAGGTTCTGGTCAATAAATAGTGAAATTCGGGTACCACTTAGTAGTTCGATTGAATCGGGGTTGTGGGTGAATAGAAAAAAGAAATTAAGATTGATGGATAAGAATTTCTATATAGAACTATTGTATTATCCAATTCCACCCAAGCTCCGGGGGGTTTTTTTTGGGCAAATTTTCTGCCTAATTATCCAAACTATATAGGCCTTGTAACAAAGGAGGTTGGGGTGTTTGCCTTGTGTCCTGTGTGTTAGACGTAGGAGGAAACATGGGAGCATATCCTTATTTTTTGTCCAATGGTTGTGGCCCTTTGGGAAGCTTATAGTTTGAGGCCTCTAATGGCAGAGTTAGAGGTTGAGAAATGTGCCATCTTTACTCAACGAGTATTGAGACATGAAACCCTCACAGCCATCGGGTAAAGTAATTCAGGTTGTGGCGCTGCTTTGGCGTATTTGGAAGTCACAAAACTAAGTGGTGTTTGATTGTAAATAGGTACGCATCTCGGTTTTGGAATGTCGATATGCGACACTGATATAAGATTGGCTACTTCTACCTCCATATCATAAAGTGGGCATTGCTGAGATGGGCCATGGGTGACAGAAACCCTCAAGAGGCTTATGGTATTTAACTTTGGTCTGATGTCGAGTGTTCTTTTGATGGGGACATATATTGGATCTTATGGGGGTAGTAGGGATGATCATTCGAGATTGTTTTGGAGGTGTGGTGAGGGCTTGTGGATCATGATAGAAGGGTCTCAAGAATCTGCAATTATGGAATTGGTGGTTGTGCGTAATGTGATCCAATGGTGTAGTCAGAAAGAATTTCCTTCAGAACGTTTAGTTGGTGATGCGAAGTTGGTGTTTGATAAGGTGAATTTGGGGATTGCTGATGTCAAAGGGGGTGATATCTTCCAAGAATTTTGGTGGTTGCTTCAATCAAACTCAGAATTGTCAGTATGCTTTATAGGTAGGTAGATAGGCAGAACAATAAGGTAGCCCATATAGTGCCTAAGAAAGTCCTCGCTTTGTCTCCTGATGATGTAACCATTTTTTATTTTTGAGTTTGGCTCCATGCCGAGTCGTAAATGCTATATTATTATTTTCTTGGTAATACAAGTGATATTTGGTTAAAAAAGCTATTTTTATTATGCATTATATCATACTGAATAATTTCGTCCAGTAAAAAAGGACTTCACGAGGCTTTCATTGATTTTGCCCTTAACAGAAAAATAGAATATTTCACATTTGCTAAAAAAGTCGATTCATCCCATTCAAAAAGGCGTGTGATCTTATACAAAATCATGGGGTTTTTTAGTCCTACAAAACCTAATCCAGTGGTTGTAATTTGAGAATTGAAGATCTAATAATTCGAATTATATTGGGGTAAGGAGGGAAATAAGATATTTTTTAGAGAAGCAAACTGTATTCTTTGGGATAGTTGACCGGATTTGGGTAGGTCGGCACAGGTTTCTTGGCAGCTGTTAAGCCACTTTTCAAATCTCCTATAGAAATTCAACACATAGTAGCTCATTCGTTTTTTTCGGATTTCAAAATTTTGTGCAAGGAAAATCAGATTTTTTGTGCTCTACAAGATTATATCCATTTTGATATTTTATAGAGCAAATTTTTTACGTTATCTTACCATTGTCATATCACGATATTATCACTGACAATGGTATGATATCATAGTGCTATGATGTTGATATGATAATGGTATAATGTTGATACGATAGTGATATGGTGTTGGTATGAGGTCATATATTTATCAAAATAATTTGATGACATCATATCATTGTCATATAATATCATGATAGTATCACTATGATAATGATATGATGTTGCTATGACACTAATACGATATTGGTATGAGATCTTATATTTGACAAAACATAACAAAATATATATAATTGTATAGATCTTCATTAATGCATTTTTTCTAATGATTTTGTAGAATAGATTTTTTACCATATACTTTCTTTTAGGGTAAAAATCTGATTAGATAGAGAATGATATGGAGAATGAATGATAATGTTTTGTAGTGATTTTGTAGAATAGTTTTTTTACCCTATACCTTCTTTTAAAAAAATAACAACATTTATAAAAAAAAATCTAAATGCATTCTAAAAATCTGGTCGGGTATTTTTGTAATATCGCGAACCTTTCCCGACGAAGATATTGTCCGCTTTGGGCCTCGACACTCATGATTTTTTACTTGGAGTGAAATTCAATGTGACTTCCCATAAGGATAAGGTCACCCATCATTGTTGTACTTCACACTGAGCACGTTTAACCTCAGAGTTATCATAACTCTTCCATTTTCAGTTTTAATAAAGTTACAATAAAAAAATCATAATTCAATTTCAATAATGTTACCCTCAAAGCTCATGGACAAGACAACTTCTTGAACAATTTATATTTTTATAGATAGATGATAATACACGAATGGTGTGATTGACTTGTATATGATTTCCAATGCCAGGTTTTCGGTTTTGGATTTATTAGAGGTATGGTCCAAAGATTCGTGTCCATTTTTCTTCTTATACAACAAGAATAATTTCATTCCACAACCATCTTAAGCACAATCAAGAATTCAAGATACAATCAGTAAAGTAGTCAAATTTGATCATGAATGGTGATCTAAAGGTTCGTGTCCAAAAGAAGAGAAAAAGGTTCTTAGTTTTGGTCAAATGATAACGTTAAGATTAAGTTCATTATATTATATAAAATCTCGTAGCTATACTGTAAAAAATTGTCAAATAGAGTCATCAAAAGTTTTTACTCCAGGAACGGCCGATGTATTTGGTTGTAAGATATCTCCATGTTCCGCAACGCTGCTCTAAATGTCAGGAATATGGTCATTGTGAAGGAGAAGGTAAAGAGTGTAAGGTGGTGCAGATAGCTACAGGAAAAGAACTGGTTCTGGCTGAGAAGATGACTGCAACTGTTGCTTGGGTTCCTAAGCAAGGTGTTACAGGTTTGCACCCAACTGATGGGGCAAGCTCTTCATCTACAGCTGCTGTCACAGACTCTGGAGGAGATAAGGCAATTTCAGGAGCTGCTACAGTCTCGGCTACTGGCTACTGAAACTCCTCCTAATGCAACTCCTGCTTTAGGATCAAGTCCACTGCTGTTGTTACCTTGACGTTAGTGGGTCAGCTAAGCACACCCCCTGCTCAGTCTAATGGCAAAATTGTTGATGGTGATGGATTTCAGCTGGTGACACGAAAAGGAAAGGTTGTGGATGTGGGTTCAATCAGGATTCCTCCATCAGTAGTGCAAACAAGAGTCCCGTTGAATGAAAGGAGTCAAGCACTGGTTATTCGTGGCTCTCCTAAGAAAGGGAGGGGAAGGAAGAAGAAGTGATGTGTTTCTTATGTTGGAATCTTCGGGGGTTTAACTCCCCTGAAAAGCATAGGTATATTAGTACTAAAGTAATACAGAATAAAGTAGATTTGTTTGCTGTTTTGGAAACTAGAGTATTGGCTAGTAATGCTTAAGATATAGTCCAACGTAAGTTTAGTAGTTGGAGGCATATAAATAATTACAAGTATTCAAAGTTGGGTAGAGTATGGTTGTTCTGGAAGCCATCTTTGAAGGTCTTAGAAGTGGCAATGGGAGAACATTTTATACAAGTTAGAGTTGAGGGCATACAGGAGGTGTTGGTGACTGTAGTTTATGCCCCAAACAAGACTCTGCAAAGGACTCTTATGTATGCTGAACTGCTTGCAAAGTGTCAGCATGGGAAACCTGGACTGTTTATGGGGAATTTTAATGCAATTGCTGAAGTGTCCAATATGACAGTTCTGACTCAAAGTTGTTTGGAGTTTAGGCAATGGATAGCTGATATGAAGCTAGTTGATCATGTTGTGCAGGGTTCCTGGTTGACTTGGTGGAATAAACAGGAAGCAAACCGAATTGCTAAGAGGCTTGACAGATTCCTAGTTAGTGGAGAGTGGCTGGATATTTTCACAAATAGTGTGGCTCATACTTTATCACCTGGTGTATCGGACCATTGTGGATTGTTGATGGATTCTTGTCCAGAAATTGAATCTCTTCCGAAGCCTTTCAAGTATTTCAAAATGTGGAGGCAACATCCACAGTATGAGGGGCTGGTATTAGAAGCATGGGAAGAGGATGCTTAGGGGCTCACTATAAACAGTTTATATGAAGTTGAAAGTTCTTAAAGATAAATTGAAGAAGTTGAATCGAGAAAGCTATTCTGATATCTCTACTCGTGCGAGAGAGGTTGAATTGGAGTTGACTCGCGGGCAATCTGAAGTTCTGCTTTTTCCTAATGAAGACAATGTTGTACTTGAATTGGAGCAAGCTGCTATCTGTAGTGAAATACTGAAGGCAGAGGAGAGTCTATACCGCCAGAAATCTAGAGTCAGATATGTGCAGGAGGGTGATGCAAATACAGCCTACTTCTATAGGTTGGTGAAAGTCAGGAATCACAAGCAATCTATAAAGAGGCTATTAAAAGATGATGGTACAAAGGTCACTGCAGTAAAGAAAATGAGGGCAGTTGCAGTGGAATTCTATCAACTTCTGTTGGGTAATAAGGATGCAGCAGTACAGGGTAAAGACGTTGCTTATTATAGAAGTTTTTTGAAGCACACTCTTGATGCAGAAGCATCAGCTTCCTTAATGACTCCAGTAACAAGAGAAGAAATTAGAAAGGTATTCAAGAATATGCCAAATGATAAAGCTCCAGGGCCGGATGGTTTTCCAGCTGAGTTCTATAAGGGTGATTGGACTATAATTGGGGAATCTGTGGAGGAAGTTGTGCTAGAGTTCTTTCGAACAGGCATAATGCCAAAACATGTAAATTCCACTATCTTAACTTTAATCCCTAAGCTGCCAGTAGTAGATCGAATGAAAAATTTAAACCAATCTCTTGTTGCAATGTAATGTATAAAGGGATATCTAAAATACTTGCAACTAGGCTGGCAGATATACTCTAGTCCTCTTGTTTTGTCTAGCTACGCGTGAAAGAAGCGCTTGGTGGGAGGCAACCCAACATTTTTAGGTGTTTTTTTTGTTGGTCTCCTTGTGAAGCTCTCTCCCTCCAAACTGGTCCACCTCTAGTCCGACTTTCATTCGCCAATTGATTCAATAACTTTGTTCCACCCTTCTCTATGCTCCACGGAGGACAATGGTGTGCTTAAGTGTGAGGGTGTGTACATATATGTATGATTGGCATGTGAATAATTAGTGTGAATGGACGATTTGAATGTGTTGGAGCCTTGTGATGGCCAAATTCCTACAATTTGAGAGTTGCAATCACTTGTGTATGAATGAATGAATGAATGATGAATGGCCCATATTGAGATTTGTTTTGGAACCTAGATTATTGCTTAAATTAAAAATATTAGGGGTTCCAATCACAATTGTTCCTAACATTATCTTGCTTAGTGTTCTTAGAGTTGTTTGATGATTGGTGGTGTGAACTATAGGTAATAGTGAGGTTCCATGAGAATCCTTGATAATGAGTGGCTTTACTTCAATTACCTCTTGGTCATGTGAAAGTGTTTGTATGGAGTTTAGGACATGTGTGTGAGAGTTCCCAAGTAGGACTCCTTAATGGTTTGCAAAAGGTTCTCCAATTTGATTTTTTTTGTTCTTTCGAAAAATTATGGTTCTCACGTGAGAAGCCACCATGCATAGCCTTTGATTTGAGCTGTCAGAGGGCTATTCTCTCAGTCCAGAGTGTCATTGAGGATGTGTTTGGGATTCAGATAGCTTTCTAGCATCCCGATCATCTTTCACTACCTTCCATCCCCCAAACACCCCTCCTACTCACAGACTCGTATAGCAAGAAACAAAGTCTATTTTAGAGAGTCGCGAGACCTCGACTCTTGTTTGCACACGACATGTGTGGCAACTCGTTTATCTTTGAGACATAGAAGCTAAGTGCATGATGGGAAGAAGTGCTCGGGCAATGAATCCGACCATCATCTTCCCCACATGGGGCCTTGATAGGGGAGACAATGTTTCTTTCACTCTTGGTCACGAGAGAGAGAGATGGATTTATTTGAAAAATTGCTAAGTGGTGTCGTACATGACAAGTTTAAGTTGAGTCCTCTTTTGAAAAGTGGGATCACCACCATGGAATACTGGGATTTTCGATTTTTTCTATGAGTCCTGCAGTGCACAAGATTCTAGACCTTCTTAATTGACAAGGTCCTCAACAGAGAGTGTGCTTGGCACAAAGAGATGCAAGTAAAGTTTACCCAACTTAGATTATTATTGAGCCACCAACAATGATTGATAGTGCATACCATTGTTTTTGTCGTACAAGTTGTACTGGTTTGAGCAGATTTGCTTGGGGACAAGCAAACGTTCAAGTGTGGGGGTTTGATTTGGGTTAGATTACACACTTTTATACCCCTTTACTTGCGACATTTTATGCATTTTCATCATCATTGGAGCCAGATTACGCAGTGTTTGTTCGTTGTTTTATCATATTTCATACCTAAGCACATAATATTGGCACCGAGATCAAAAGTCGGACAAAAGAGGGCGAAATTGGAGCAAAATGGTAAAAAATGCGAAGGTCATGGCAAGGCGGAGATTATCATGGGTGGCAGACCGTGATGTCAAAACTTAGACCGTGAAGATCGCAATGTTCCAGGAGGGTTTGTAGAGCTCACATGCACTACAAAGTCACGGTCTACTGACCGTGAAGTAAACAAGAAGACCATGAAGTTAGCTAGTGAAACTACACGTTTTGTGCCAAGATCACTGTTTCGCTGCCAACTTCACGTGTGTGAAGTTGGACAGTGATTTTTACAGTGGGGAGCTATAAATAGGAGAGTGAGCTGAAGGAAGAAATGAGTGAGTCCTAGAGAAAGATTGGAGCTTCTTCTTCAAGATTTAGAGAGAGAGAGAGAGAGAGAGAGAGAGAGAGCTACGAGCTAAGAAAGAATGAAGAAGGAAGGAGAATTTCACATACCCAAGGCTAGAGGAAGGTTGATTTCTTCTTTGAAGGTTGAATCAATCTTCTTAAAAGAAGGAAGATAAACTTTCAATAGTTTTTTATTTTATCCTATTTGTATTTTCTCCTCTAGCTATTGAGTAGTCTTCAATTTCACTTGGATGTTGTGAACCCTAGTCTGGATGTGTTAGATTGTAGGAATTAAACTCTACGTGTGTTGAGTTTGTGATTTATACAATGATTGAGCTATTATTCATGAAATTTGGGTGTTTGTTGATCATATCTCTCAAATTAGGGACAAATGGACCTAGAAGGAGGAAATCCACTTATAGCCCAATTTTGGCAATTCGCATAACTTTCTCTAAGGGAATTCGGGTCATCCCTCGATCATCAAAGTAGTTCCATGATTTAGTCTTGATCGGTTAGTTTTCTTCATTTCAGATTAACTTGCGAGGGAGTGGTTTCGCAATCCTTAGTCAATTAATTAAGAGAGTTGGGGTTTCCTAACTAATTGTAACCTACTTACGGTATATTATCAGACTTATCACACTAGAGTTTCATTCGTTGTATCTTGAAACGAGGTTAGGGGGAGCAATGTCTTAATGATTCTTTCTCAATCAAATTCACCAAATTTTAATTGCTTGCTTATTTAATTTACTTAGGGCTTGTTTGCTTGACGAATTTGGTTATGCATTTGGTGAGGGATTTGGATCTATCATGGACTTTATCCAAAATCCATTGTTTGCTTCATGCATTTAGTGGCAACAAATTTGTGGGTCCCACGAACTTTAAGGGCCCAAATCTGTGGACCCCACGGGCGTACGGTAGGCTAGGGTACGTCCGGGCGTACGCTAGCATTTGCTATATATATATATATATTAGGTTCAGGCTAGTGTACGCCCGGGCGTACGTTAGACTACAGTACGCCCGTTTGAGTTTTATATCATGAATTAGCCAGAGTTTTGGGCATGATACTATACCCTAACCACTAATGGATAAACCCTAGTCCCTAGTTTTCTAACCCAAATCATGAGATTCGTTTAATCTTAAAATGAAAATCAACAATAATTTTGTCGAATCAGAACCGTTGATTTTCATTTCAAGATTAAATGAGTATTATGCTTTGGGTTAGTGAATTGTGGACGGGGCCCATTAGGGGTTAGGGTATAATATCATGCCCCAAACTCCGGTTCATTCATAGTCTAAATAGCAAAACTCAACGGACATACGGTAGGCTAGGGTACATCCGAGCGTACGATATATATATATATATGGGGAGTTTACAGTACCCAGAGTGAAATCCGGGGTACCACATACCTTGAGTAAGAAAATGCTATCAAGAACTTGAATTGACTGATCTTCGGACATGATACTATACTCTAACCCTTAAAGATCAAGATCTAGGTCTTAAATCTCTAAATCTTATACCCCAAGATAAATTTAATTAGAAACAATAGTCGACGGTTATGATTCGTCCAAATGTAGGCAAAAAAATAATGCATCATCTTAGGGTTTATAGTTTATAATTTAGATAATTAGGACCTAGGGTTCACTCATTAAGGGTTAGGGTATAGTATCATGCCCAAAAATCCTTCTAATTCGAGGTCTTGATAGCGTTTTCATACTCAAGGTATGCGGTAACCCGGATTTCACCCGAGATACCGTAGAAGGCACCATATAGTATTATGTTTCCTAATTAAATAGAAGTTGATTTTGTTAGAAACCGAACAAGAAAAATTAGGGTTACCGATCTGGCTGAGTCGCGGACTAGGTCGCTCTCTTTAAGACGTTCGCGGCACTGCCTCGTTATTCGCACAACAGACTATCAGCCGGTCGCCTCCAGGATAAAATAGCCACTCTAATTTTCTTGCTCATCGGTTTTGTGCGAAAAAACCGGAGCTCTATGAATTCACTCTCTCTCGTGTTTCTGCTCTTCTGAGGTGTGTTTAGAGGGTCTGGGTAGTCTCCTATTTATAGGAGCAGAAAACCCGGAATATTCCCTCTTTCTTTGGGAATAAGTCACATTTTAATTAGGGAGATAATTACTCCCATAATTAAAATATAATCTATTAAGATAATTATTCCTAATTATCTCCATAATATTGCTTTTATTAATTATCCATCTTAATTTCGTATTATGAGAAAAATACTGGATAATTAATTAGGAATTTCATTATAGCTTTTCAAAGCTATTCATCCCAACAGATTTTGTATAGGGCATTTTACATGCAAATTTTATAAAGCCTTGAGTACTAGACAAAAGTATTATGTCGAGTTTTCTGTGTGAATTCACAACTGAATTTTACGCATGAAATCGCTTAAAACTTTATCAATTCATCACCAAGATTGTTGGTCATTTGTTAAGCTTGAAGCTGTATTTTCGTGGTTCAACTAGTTATAACCCGCTTTATTTCTTCACTTTGCTTTGATGATTTGTATCGTTAGTTTGGTGCATACTTTTATTGGCGATGCTAAGTCCAACTTATTAACTAGCTCGATATCATACTTCAAAAATCCTTTTTGGGTTTTGTTTTGACCGCCAACTTCCTCGATTTCATATGCTTGAGGGAAGTTTATGGAAGTGAGAGGGATTATAATGACCAGCCAGGATGCAGGATCACATTTGTGTAAATGAATATACTTAAAAAGATATAGTTATAATTGTGTATTATTGTGCTTTCTTGGTATTGTGCTCCAAGAACCAATCTAGAAGAAAACAATCACAAAATAGTAGAATAATAGTGGTTCGACACCAGATTCAGAAAGCCAATTTCCAAGTGTTTTTCACTCGAAATCAGGCTTTTCTGGGTATGTGCAGCCAGACCTTTGGATGACAACATTGGACGCATAGCAACCTGCTCTTACACATTCTTCAATGGGTTTCTTTTGAACCAACTGCGACATAAATCCTCCCACAAACGCATCACCTTCATAAACAACACATAGAAATGGGTTGGTTATTGGGTCACTGTTTACTCAATCACAAATAACTGACTTTCACCATGAATGGAAAAATGTGGAATGAAATTTTTTGATCCCCGTACGAACCTGCACCATTTGTGTCGACTAGCTTCTCTTTTGGCAATGGAGTGACAGGAAAAGTCCTCACATTCCCATCTTCAGCAACAACCACAGGATCTTCACCTTGAGTTATGACAGTAATCCTCTTGTATGTTCCTGATGCCTTAGGCCATTGCGATATCTTGATAGCTATCTCTTTCACATTCTTCGTCTGATCAATATGGAGATTAATTCGTCTAAATAAGATTTAACATAAAAATATCTCACAAAGAACAGTTAAGATTGGTTTAGTATACATTGAATTTGGTTACCTCCCAACCATGAACTCTTGAGAAAGTTCTTGCTTCAGTCTCGTTTCCAAATACGAAGTCCACGTACCTGTAGTACACATTCAATGGAGTCACTGTTAGAGAGTGGTATAAGATCCAGCATAACCTTCTCCCAACAACTCGAGTTATTGGACAGGACAAACTCACGGAAGGACTTTCTCTTGTGCATCCCTGAAGAACTCGCAGATGAATGGAGCTGAAAGGTTCATAGTGAAAACCTGCAGTCACATTTTCATTAACAGTTTAGGGTTTCTTAACACACAATGAGAAACAATCCAACAATATACCTTGTTGGTTGCGGCTGCATATTCAGCAACAAGTTGGATGGAGTCAGGGGACACAGTAAGGAAGAATCCAGCAATGTAGAAGTACTTAGCCTTCTCAACTGCATGAAAAGAAAAAAAAAAATAGAACCCCTTCCAAACAAGTTAGTTCCTCCATATTTCCAAAGTGAGTAATAACAACAGAAGTATAGATATCTCTTTAGAGAGGAAGGAAAGTTGTTACCCAGTGCCCAATTGGCTTGTTTCCTGAGATGGTCAGACTTATAGCAGTTTGCTGCTGATAGATTTGCTACAAGTGATCTACATGTATAGAAAACAAAGGCTCAATAGTTAAAGATCACAATGGAAAGTGGAAAACTTTGATTCTGAATAGGATCCAATTGAATATTATGAACAAACCTTTCACCTCCAAGGACACAGACAGCACAAGTTCCTGTGGGTGTGGATTCATCCTCATAATAGCGAACCTATATTTATTTTGAATTCAAAGCAGGAGAGTTAGGTAAGTGTAAGTGTAGTGTGAATTCAAGAAAATTTGGAAAGAGTCAGGATCAACAGAAATTCTCACATTAACACCAGCAAGTTTACAGTTTTTCTTCATTTCCTCCCCAAACTTGTCCTTCCCAATACACCCAATGTAACTTGTTGCACCAGGGAACTGAAGCATCCACTGGAAAAAAGAAAGGGACAAAAAGTTTGCTTTGGTATTGGAATAAAGATTTGATCCAATTTGCTTATGTTGCCTAAGAGTATATTCTGAATTTATACCTGAGCCACTTTGATTGAGTTTTGAGTAGCACCTAACAATTAAAAAAAAAAAAGATTAAAATGATCCATCACTAAAAAATAAAACTAACAAATACATGTGTCGTTTTTTTTTAACCTCCTGCAATAAACTCCACTTTGTAGTTTTTGGCCATTTCTTCGTACCTGAGAGACAAAAAAAATTTCTTTCATGTCAAATGATAGTTTGCTCAACTTATGAAGAACCCAAATATTTTAAACTAAAAACTAGTAATCGAGATCTCGCAATTCTAGTAGAGCATAACAAGGAATTGCGGGAAAAGTCAGAAATCATCACAAGCAGAAAAGAAAAATTATCATCTCATAGGCAATACGTTTGAACACTTACATGGGGAAATGTTTTTCCTCGGCGAGGATCGCATTGTTCAACTTGATATCATATCTGTAAAGAGAATAAAAACATAAATCGGTATCAAATTTCGAAGAGAATCAACAAACCCAAAAATCCAAATTGTGGGAAATATCTAAAACATTATATACTTGTTCAAGAAATCTTGGTCCACGACCGCAGATATATCCAACAATGGATTTCCCATCCCTAAGAGAATTCCCTCAGAAACACCCATGATAGCGTGAAGCTAAAACTCCTTCTCAGACTTAATCACAACAGAATTGATGTAGGAAAATGGCCAAGAGGCAAAAAGGAGACCCGATGAATGAAATAACAAGATGGAAACGGATTCACAAAGAGCGTATGTATCTGGTGTAAATGGAACAAAGATCTTAAGATTGAGGAGGGGGATGAAGTGGTAATGTGCTAATTCTTTTATCACATGAAATTCCTGGTGACAAACAGGGGGGGAATAGGTGGTAGAAGAGTATTGCAATTTGCAATTATTCTCCAATTTTTCTGGTGCTGCCACCACAATTTTTTCTAATGGGCGAGCGCGGCATGGAGTTTGTGTGAAAGAAAGAAAGAAAGAAATATAAGCAAAACTATAGTTTACGCTTCCATGTTGAAAATGTTCGTAATTAATCCAAAACGTATTATAAAAATATATGTCCATGAGGTAGGAGATTAAAATTTTAATAACTGAAATGTAATATATATTGATAGGTATCATGTTATAAATCCATTCAACAAGTGGCAAGAAAACTTTTATTTAAACTGAACTAATTGTGCCTTTGACTTCTAACCAAATGAATATCGTTACTAAACACGATTTACACATTTTTTAACAAAGTTCAAACAAGTTTGTTCGATGTTTTTTATGATCTTTGAAACAAAACTACATTAAATTTATCTATTCGTATAGAGGTTCGGTGCAAGTTCTAGAACTACAACTATTCCTAAAATTGTAGAGAAAAAGATAACTAAGACACTGGATTGTCTAGCATGAATTTGGCGACCCACTCCTTTGTCATTTACACCTCCTACTTATGGCTACAAAAAATAACTACCTTGAGAAACTGCTCGAGTGACATGGAGTGATAGTTACCTCTCCACAGCTTCGATGATGCCTCGTATTGATAGTTGTCCCCTCCTTAGTCTTCTTAGCTCCTCTTAGCTTTGTTGGTGTCGAGAAAAACAAACTAAGGCATAAAGGTCCCCTCTTGTCACATATGAATCGATACTCCGATAACTGGGGTCATAAAGGTCCTAATCACATTTAGGCTAGCCCAATGTCGATAAAAGAATCGGTTACGTAAAGCTTGTTAAGAAGGCATGTGATAGTAAAGTGCACCAGATTAACAACTTTTTTAGTACTATGTGATGTATGTTGGGAGTTACATTTTCCATTGTCTACTTTTCAGAGTGCTCTTCCTCGATATGAAGCTTTTACATTGCTTGCACAGAGTTATGTGTTTCTCCTGATAGTCTTCAGAATTGGTGCAACACATTCTTCTCCTCGCATAATCTCTAGAAACTCGTGTGTTTCAATGGAGAAAGTTTCTTCATTTGAATTCATGGGGTATAAGACTCTTGTTTGTGGTTAGGATTCATGGGAGACTCCTAAGAGGAGTAGGATTGACCATAATTCTCCTTATCCATGTTTCCAAAATTTAGATGTCCGAAAGCAAAAATGTCTCCCCTGGGAGCTTTTCCCACCATTTTGGCGATCACATAAAATGGGTTTGCTTCCAAAATTTCAGCATTTTTCTATCTCGCTTTTACCAATTACATATATGCAATTTTTTTGTTAGGTAGGAAAGTGATGTGGGCATTTTGCAGCACATGATTCATTCCCTTTTTCATAATTTTTTACGTCTATATGACTTAAAGTCCTGCATGGCCACTGCAGAAAGCTCCATAATCAAACTTAGGTTGAGTTCTGGATAATTCTCTATAGGAATAGATGATGAGGTACCATTTTTTTCCCATATGGGAGTTTCCCTTTTAGCTTCATATGTCAGGTTCTTAGCCTTTGTTTGACATTCCTGGATCAAATTCTCTTCATAAACTGATTTTGGATGAGTAAATTTAGATCTATCAAATGTTTCATGAGGTTCTAAGCTATGTGTGCTAATAATTTTGACATCTTTCAGTTTAGGATTACCTTCCATATTGGTCGGAGGAGATCCTTGAGTTCTGGCATCCAGTTCAGCAACTAAGCGAGTTATTTGTTCCTTCATAGTCTGAAATTTTGTTGGTTGCTACGGTTGGAGGCTTCTTTGATTCATAAATTGTTTGTATTCTTGGAGATTGAGAACCTAATTATGCGCGGTTTCATCACATTGTCTCGCATTTTGATGCATGTTCTTCTGTGTCCTCCTTAGATTCATCGACATCATAATAATAATAATAATAATAATAATAATAATAATAATAATAATAATAATAATACAATAGCATACTATGGGTTCTCCAGATCCGTGGTTGTTATATTATAATAATAACGGTGGGGTTGGAGCGGCAATAATGGCGTACCTGAATTATTTATTACTTGTGTGTCCACTCTCCGCACCTTAGTGAGCTGAGCTGAGCTACTCTTGGAATGAAATGAAATATCTCCTGGGCCTAACACTGCACTGCCCTACTGTTCCAAACATGCAGCAGCAGCAGCATTCAGCTAATCTAATAAGCAAGAATTGTGCAGCAAACGTAGCGCCACGACCGTCCGTCCTTGGCAGCCATGTGCACCACCTCCCCTCCCGTCTATCTCATAACTAATATTGAAGATTTCTATGTTAGGTCGGATGACCGGTGCCGGGCAAGCCACACCACACCACCAATTCATTCTGGTTTCGATGCAATTTATGTCAATTTGTGATAATGGTTTAGTAATATAATAATTATTACTCACTGTCACTGGTGCTTGTTCATCCCTATACTCGAGATGTTAAAGTAAAAAAATAACTATAATTCGTTAGAGTATTCAACACGTTTTAGATGACACTTCTTGTCCCAAACTATGGGGTCATTTAAAAATGAGGATTTCGTAATTTAAACATTCGAAGATTTATCAAGAACTATGAGGCATAATGGATTTGTAACTATGTTTTGCTTGTTGAGATGTTTTATCGTTGATTTAAGGGTTGGGGATTTAAAACTTGAAGTCAAAAATTACATTACTATGCTATTTTTATTTGTTTGTCATGTTTATGATACGTACACAGAACAAGGATAATACATACTAATAAGCATAATGTTGCCACAAGACAATAATAATAAATGGTGAAATTCCGTTTAATTTTTAGCATATATCAATTACTAATTCTTTGTCCTCCTTTCGAAAAAGTAACATATAATAGAATTGGGAGAACAAAGAATAACACTTTCTATGAAAATGTCAAAGGAAAACACAAGAAAGGGGATAAAAATCTTACTCATGTTTGCACATTAATTGAATATTTATATTATTTTATTATTAATTGATTGATTAATTATAATGTACAATAGGTAAATGTGAGAAAAACTTTGAAATATTAAAAGTTCAGGAGAGTATTTAGGTAAAATGTCATCGTGAAATTATAGCATGTTCCAAATCTCATATCAACGTGTGGGATTTACAAGCTCTTAAAATTCGTGGGTCCTACCAATAAAAAAAATGCAATTAAACAATAAATTTTCTTTAAATTCATGATTGAATGAATTTAGGTACCAAATCCACCAAGCACCATTTGACTTGCAACGTGGCTTCCACTGCCATTTGTTGTGACCCACCGTTGTTGTTACCCAGATTTTAGTGCAATGGTCCCATAATAAGACAAAAGGATGTTTCGTTGGAGTTTTTGGTGGATTTCAAGCAAAGGTTTCCTTCATTCCAGACTTGAGGTTGAGGACAAGTCTTCAGCAAAAGGAGGGGACTTGTGATGGTTGGACTGAAACGTAAATAAATAATAATGTGGAGGGACTTAATTGGACACCGGTTAATTGGGAAGGACTAAGATGTAATTAACTGATAGTATACATCCGGATTTACTTTGTAACGGCTCATTATTGATCAAATAAATACACTTAGGACCTTCAAAGATTTCAGTGGCTTTACACATCGCTGGTATTTAGGGGTCGTTTGGATTGGAGAACAGGATTTAGGCCGTGGATTCACTGAATCCATAGATTTTGTAGAATGTTATGTTTTTTTGTTTCTTTTTGTATGATGAATTTTAGTGTTAGATATTTCAAATCTCCAAAATCCGTGGATATCATATCTCTCATAATCAAAGAGATTATATATCTTGATTCGTGAAAAAAAAATTTCTCCTACTTTATCTCTTCCTTTTATTTATTTATCACATTAAATATATTTATCAACAAAGTTTTCAATATTTCTCGAACCACTCTAATTTTTTATTATGGATAAATATGATATTTAATATAAAGTTATCATTTTTATTTTTATTGAACGTTAACAATCAAAGTTATCAAACAACAAACTTTTTAAAATCTATTTTCAACAATGCAAAGAGTTGGAATTTTTAGATTGTTGACAATCTATAGATTTAGACTCATATTCTCCAAACGAGCCCTTAGATGCAAATTAGTGAGCATATGATTAAAACGATTATAGAACAACCTTTAATCGAAATCGTCATTTACCTCCTTTATGTCACATATAAGTTACACTACACAATCACGAATGGACGCTACATGGATGCAGAATAATTTTAAATTCCACAAAAGGGGATGAAGCAAGAAACCAAAGAAGGAAAATAATCCCAAGCGAAATTAAAACTGGCCAAACCACTGACTAAAAGAACCCTTTCATGGACCATTTCTAACAAATTGGAAGAGGGGCACCGTTCCATTCCTCGAGGCACGCCATCATCGGATCAATGATCTTCCCCTCGCACAGAGCAGTGAACACCTTATCGAATTCCTCCCCCGGCGACCGGACCCTTTCTCCGGTGAGCAACTCCGTCCCCAGCTCCTCCCTCACAAACTTGTACAGAGGGTAAGATCTGCACTCCATTATCTTGTTCGGAATCGCAGCAGTCCCATTGTCATACGCCGCCCTTGCACTCTCCACTTCTTTGGGCAAAAGGGTCTTCAGCTCTTCCTCAAAAGCGCCAATCTTTTGGAAAACCGAGGTGCTGGCATTCTTTTCCGTCTCGCCATTGGCCAGCGCGTGATCCACCAGAACCTGCCTCAGCTTCTGCATCAATGGGTAAGTTCCGCTGCAGGGATCATCAGCGTAGGCAAACACGTACTCCCGGTCAACCACCTTCAACAAATCCTTCTCGCAGAACCTCGACGGGTGAAGCTCACCGTTGGAGCCGGTAGTCAAAACCCTCTTGGCCACCTGGCTTACAGTGTTCTTCACCGCACTCTTCAAATTCTCCTCCAGATGCCTCAAGTCAACAGCCTGGCAGAGCGCCACCAAGTAAGTGGATGTCATCAGCTTCAAAATGTCAACAGATTCAGCAGTCTTCCTCGAAGAGATCAGCCCCAACGAGTTCACGTCCTGGTTGTGCTGCTCAGCGCTCTGCACATGGCTGGTGACAGGGTTAGCAAGGTACTGAAGCTCGGAGCAGTAGGAAGCCATGGCAATCTCTGCTCCTTTGAAGCCGTAGTCCAAACTCGGGTTCCTGCTGGCAGTGAGATTCGATGGCAACCCGTTGTTGTAGAAGTCGTTGACCAGCTCACTGATCTGTGCAAACAGCAGCTTCCCAATTGCAGCAATCGCCAGGCGGACATTGTCCATGGAGACTCCAATTGGTGTCCCCTGGAAATTGCCACCGTGGATAGCTTTCCCCCTCGAAACATCGATCAAAGGGTTGTCGTTCACCGAGTTGATCTCCCTCTCAATTGACTTGGTCGAAAACCTTATGACTTCAATCTGCGGGCCGAGCCACTGCGGTGAAGTTCTGAGCGCATAGCGGTCCTGCTTCGGCTTCTGCAGCGGGTCCTGCTCGTGCAGCTTTTTGGCTGCTTTCATGTAAGCACTTCCGTCGAGGATGTGCTCCATGATAGCTGCGGCTTCAATCTGGCCTGGATGGTGCTTCAACTTGTGAGTCAAATGGTCGGTGAACTCGGGCTTCCCGTTCATGACCTCGGCGAAAACTGCGGACAAGATTTCGGAGAGAACAGAGAGCACGTTGGCCTCGAACAGAACCATGGATGCCAGACCAGACCCAACGGCCGTGCCGTTGACCAGAGCGAGCCCTTCTTTAGGCTGCAACTCGAAGAAGCCAGAGTCGATCCCTGCGCGGCGGAAGGCTTCGGCGGCGTCCATGGTCTCGCCGTCTGGGCCGGTGGCCTTGGAGTTGGGCCTGCCGGTGAGGAGGCCCGCGATGTAAGACAAGGGGACCAAGTCGCCGGAGGCGGTGATGGTGCCGCGGAGGGGAAGGCACGGGGTTATGTTGCTGTTGAGAAGCTTGGTTATGGCTTCCAGGATCTCGAATCGGATTCCAGAGTAGCCCTGGAGGAGAGTGTTGATTCTGACGAGCATCGCCGCCCTTGTGGTCGGGTGAGGCAGAGTGTGGGATTTCTCGGTGCCGTTGCCGAAGATTCCGGCGTTCAAGAACCTGCGAGTAGGCAAAATCGAAAACCCCCCAATTCATCAATTAGTGAACTGCAAGCATCCAAAAAGTTTCGATTCATTTTGCTATCAACCCAGATGCAACAAAACAAGGGTGGGGATTGAAGATTTAATTACCTGATGAGTTCCTTCTGAAGGGCGCCGCCTTGTTTGGTTCGCCGGTGAGAAGTGGCGCCGAATCCGGTGGTGACACCGTAGCTGTCGGTTCCTTTGCTCATGCTGTCCATAACCCAGTCGCTGCTGGCCTTGACGCCGGCTCTGGCGGACTCGGCGAGCTCCACCGTGACATCGCGGGCGCTGGCAATAGCGGCGACCTGAGCGATGGTGAGGGTTTCGCCGCCGAGTTTGACGGAAGGCTGACGGTACTCGCCGACCATGCGCTTGACCTCGTCTAGGTGGCTGCCTTTCATGGCCTCCGCGGCGGCGCCCCAGTTCAGCGGGTCACTGGGAAGGTTGGCGGTGGCGGTGGCGGTGGCGGGCAGGCATAAACTGTCCAAGGAGCCATTGGTGTGGTGGTGGCCGTTCAGAGCAATCGGTGTCGCTGTGGTTGCTGCTGCCGCCATGTTTGATACCGTTTTTTTTTTTGTTTTGCGAGAGGGAGGAAAAAACTAAACGGGAGGTTTTGAGTTGTTCTGGAGGAGGCAGAGGAGAATGGAGAGGAAAACTGTGCTTGAGGAACCAGAGAGGTGTGAGGATTTCCTGAGGAGTGGAAGAGGGAAAGCGGTGCATTTAAATAGATGGGTGGGGGGGACTTTTTTTTTTTTCTTTCTAGGGTAGACTGCTAGAATATTATTTGTTTTTTCTTTTTGTTTGTTTGGATGAGTAATTTTATATATCTAATATTTAGGGATCAAATTATGTCTATTTTTAGATGTGACGTTTATGAGTTATGAGTCCTTTTTTATTATGATGAATGATACGAGTTTTTTTTTTGTTGTTGTTGTGGTATTTTATAATAAAAAGAGAAAAATAAGAGTTTATTAAGATGAATTATTTTAGATAAGACGGTATTTAAATTAATTCATTTTAAGTTGTTCCAATTACATCACCGTTCAATTATTACATTATTTTCCAAACGAGTTATAACAACCCAAATGACTCGTCTCAACATGATTTACTGAAACAATTCATTGAATCAAAATTTTAATTTTTTTATGCTAAGTAGAGTTTTTTTGGGACTATGAGAGCAAGATAGATAGAAACATCAGAATGATGATAGTGTTACAATTACAACTCTTCTCTATTTTTTTCACAATTACAAGTTATTAGCGGTGAGTTGCATGATGGAAAGATTGTGGTGTGTTGTGGTTTATTTTAAAGTTCTAATCTAGAATGTATTGAATGATATTATTTTTCGTATTTTTTTAGTTTATTTTTTTCTTCTTCTTTTTTTTGGGTATATAATTCCTTTATTATTTGGTGATACTTAGTTGAATTATTAAGCCAATTGTGAGAATCAGTATTTTGATGATCTCAAGGTAAGCTTAACAACCTCAACTAGAATATTGTTTTGACGTAGGTCTGGTTGTTTGTGAAGGATGGCATCATTTGAGCTTGAGCGCAAAAGAAACAATTTACGTGGAAAATGAAAGATGAGTAATATTATATAATATATAATGAAATCAAAATTGATTCTGAAAGTCAGTCGTGAATCCGAGTTTGTTTTTTTATTGGAAATGTCGAAAGAAAAGGAAAACAGAAAAGAAGAGGAAAGAGAGTGAGACTTGTGGGGGTGGTGGTAGGTAAGATAAGCGGAAGGAAAGGCAGGCGACGAAAAGGGAACTGGCGAGGAGAATGGTTGGTAGCCGTGGATTGGGTGAAGGAGATCGGACGGCTGAGATTGAGGAGGCGTGGAAGGTACGTTCGCCTGCTCTGCTTGTGGGGTTGGGCTGTGGCAGCAGGAGAGTGAAAGAGAAGAGAAGACAAGCACAAGCCCAAAAGGTTGGTACGTGAATGAATGCAGAGCAGAGCAGAGTGCAGAGAGTGTTGAACTTGTTCACTTGTTCTTCCTCCCATCGTTCTACCAATGATGTTCTCTTCTTTCTCTTATTGAGGTTGTCAAGTACAAATGTAGTTGAGTACTTCCCCTTTAAAAACATTGATTTGGATACTTTATAATTGGCAGGTGGCAAATGTATTGAATTCGTGGACTGATGGATCAAGTGGATTGGATTCGTAGATTCGTGGTTTGGATAAAATGGATTGGTGGATAGATAGATCCATGGATCGAGATGGCATCCATGCTTTTGACCATTATCTAAAATTTTAAAAGTTGAGGTACTAAAATGTCATAAAGAAGAAAACTTTTAGATACCGAATGAAAATTTTCAATTACATTTACGTCTAAAAAAAATTAGATTTTAGGCACCAAAATGTGAAATATTAAAAGGTATAGCTACTAAACTGAACTTTGTCATTTGAATATAATGAATTGGTTTAGTAAGATATTTTAGTGGATGGATCAGATTGAATTTATGGATTTGGATACTAATTGCAACCACTATCTATAACGCATTTCCTCTATTCTACGCTGCGGGAAATATGTTGAAACTATGGTAAAAAGTAGGAGACATGATTGGGATGTTAATTTGAAAATTATTGTCCAAATTACAAGTATAGTTGATTGAATATATACTTATGGGCTCGATTGGACCGAGCTCCTTCTCGGCCTAGCAAGGTTCCCCCGACATCAATTCGCAAGACAAGTAACAACAGGTATGCTTTGGAAATCCTAAACTTGTCTTCTCGTTGATTTGGTCTGAGTTTATATACAAGGTTTGATCATTACAGGCCAAATTGTTTGTAGCTGTAATTGACAGGGAAGAAGTACGAAAATGCAGAGCAAGGAGGGAACAGAGTCTGAGCAAAATGAAAGAGACGTTGTAGCCTTAGGACACAACGCCGACGTCTTGGTCTTTCAACAACGGCTGCGTTTCAACGATCTTCAAGTCATTGAGTTGAGACGACAGTGTTCCAGGTGAGTCTTGTTTTGCTTTGCCTGAAACGACATCGGACCAGCTACTCTGCTTCGCTTTGGCTGAAACGACATCGGACCAGCTGCTCCTGCTCTTAGCCGTTGAAATGGCGGAAGAAAAATTTGAATTTTCTCTGATACCCCCCCCCCCCCCCCCCCCCCCGGCAAGCTGGTGGGCAGAGATTGTGGACACCGAGCTTGGAGAGTAGATTGGAGAAGATGGCAGGAGGTAGGGCTTTGGTGAAGATGTCGGCCAATTGGTGCAGGGAAGTGACATGGAGCAGTTTGATGATGCCAGCCTGCAATTTCTCCCTTACCAGGTGACAATCCAGCTCTATGTGTTTTGTTCTTTCGTGGAATGTTGGATTTTTTGCGATGTAAATTGCTGATTGATTGTCACAGTACAAGATTGTTGGTTGATGATGAAGCACCTGGAAATCACGAAGGAGGTAGAGAAGAGACTGGAGTTCACAGGTTGTATCTGCCATGGCCCTGTATTCAGCTTCGCAAGAGGACCTTGAGATTGTCTTCTGCTTTTTGTTGCGCCAGGAGATCAATGCATTGCCTAGATACACGCAATAACCAGTCACTGATCGCCTGGTGTCCATACATGCAACCTAGTCAGAGTCACTGAAGGACTTGAGGTGAAGAGTTGATGTAGAAGGAAAGAAGAGTCCAGTGGATGGTGCGGATTTGAGGTACTTCAAAATTCTTGTGACTGCTTGATAATGTTGATTGTTGGGATTGGACATGTACTGGGCTACCTGTTGTGTGGCAAAGCTGATGTCAGGGCGAGTGGTAGTTAAATAGATCAATTTCCCAACCAATCTTCTGTAGAATGAAGGATCTGGGTAGGGGTCAGAATGCTTCGATGATAGATGTAGTTTATAATCCATGGGAGTAGACACAGGCTTGGATGATAGAACTTCTGCCTCTTCCAAAATTTCCAGTGTATATTTCCTCTGAGATAGATGTATTCCTGATGAATTTCTGGCAACTTCAATGCCAAGAAAGAATTTGAGTGGACCCATGTCTTTGATACTGAAAGTTTGGTGAAGAACCTGCTTCAAATGTGTGATTGCTGCCAAATCATTGCCCCCAACTAGGAGGTCATCAACATAGACCAGAACACAAGTGTATGAATCATTGACTGATTTAGAGAAAAGAGAATGGTCAACCTGACTAGGTGTAAACCCTTGTTGAATGAGACAATCTGCTAACTTAGCAAACCATTGTCTGAAGGCCTGTTTGAGGCCATACAGTGACTTTTGAGCCAGCAAACAGGATTTGGAATGTTTGGAGGTGGTTTGTAGCCTTTGGGCAGCTTCATGTAGACCTCATCTGTGAGGTCTCCATGAAGAAAGGCATTGTTCACATCAAGTTGGTGAACATGCCAAGATTTTGATGCTGCAATAGCCAGAAACAATCTCACTGTTGTCATTTTGACAACAGGAGCAAAAGTGTCTTGGTAGTCTATCTCTTCCTGTTGATTGTAGCCCTTAGCAACCAACCTGGAATTTTGTTTTGACCATTGTGCATAATTGTTTTAGTTTAGGTCTGGTATCAGCTTTTGATAATCTACAATGGTTAAGAAATACTTATGACCATCATAGGTAGGATAAGAATAGGGGCCCCAAATATCAACATGTATAAGTTGGAAACAATGTGTAGTTACAGTTGAACTTGAAGGAAATGGGAGCCTCTTTTGTTTGGAAAAATGACAAACATCACAAGGGAGGCTGCTGTTGGTTTCTATGGATGAACAGAGTTGATTCAATGGAGGAATTCGACTATGGGAAATATGGCCAAGTCTGAAATGCCAAATGTCTAAAGTAGGTGAACTAACAGCAGTTGTGATGTGGTTAGGGAAACTAGCTAGACTTAGGTTGATGTGGTAAAGACCATGGGAAAGCTTAGCAGAACCAGTCACTCTCTTTAGCTCCAGGTCCTGTATTGTGCAAGAGTTAGAAGAGAAGGTTAAGCATAGAGGTCTGGTGGTGGTTAACTTGCTTACTGAGATCAGATTGAAGGTAAATTTGGGAACAAATAATGCATCCTCAAGGATGAGACCATTGAGGCAATTCACTTGACCAATGTGTGTGGCCTGAACTCTATCCCCAGTAGGCAAGTTTATGTAAATATGATCCACCTTTCTGGATGTATGTAAGAAAGTGAGTGAAATGACAATGTGGTCAGTTGCCCCAGTATCAAGAATCCATGGGGTTGCAGAAGTGCTATTGTTGAGGAGATAGCAAGAATGATTACCTGATGATTCAGGTTCATAGTGAGTGGTGAGGGCTGCTGAGTGAGAAGTGTGAGCATGTTTGCCCTTGAGGTTGTCATTCATGAGAGACATCAACCTATCATAATCAGTCTTTGTAAGCTTGAACTCAGGCTGAGAGTCTGAAGATGGTCCGCTGTCAGTGGTATTGATCATTGCTCTTGAGCGGATGGTAGGTGGTCTGGGTTGAGAAGATGGTGGGTATCCATGCTTCTTAAAGCATTTCTCTTCAATATGACCAATTCGTTTGCAAAAAGTGCATTCTGGGGGTTTGGTTGATGGGTTTTGAGGCATGGAAGAACCTCTTGAGGACAATCCTGGGGGCCAGCCATGTTTCTGATAACATGTATCTTCAATGTGGCCTGGATTGTTGCAGAAAGTGCAGTGGGGACGTTTGCCAGAGGAAAAAGGGCGTTTGTTTCCCTGAACAGCAAAGGCTGAACTATCAGCAGTGATAGTCGTGCCTTGTTGAGTGCCATATAGCTGGCGTTCATGTTGTAAAGCCCTCTGAAAAACCCTATCAATGGGAGGGAGAGTGTCTCCAAATAACACTTGAGATCGGACAGTTGCATAGTTATCATTCAGACCACGAAGAAACTGGATAACAGAGTTGACATCACGATAGCCAAGAACAGCATTCATTGAAGCACAATCAACAGAACTAGTGGCTGTGCAACGACATGGGTTGATGGGCTGATAATTGTCCAGCTCATCTTGAAGAGCAATTAGATTTCCATAGTATTCAGTCACGGTTTGGTTACCTTGTTTCAGCGTGCCAATTGACTCAATGAGCTCAGCAACGCGGATCATGTCACCTTGACCATAACGAGTCTTGAGGCTAGTCCATGCTTCTGATGCGAGCTTGGAGGACAAGATGGTTTTCTTGATTCCATGGTCAACAGCCTGTTGAATCCAGTTGAGGACCATAATGTTGTTGCGACTCCAAGAAGAGAATAGAGGATCAGTGAGATTAGCCATTGATGAAGCCAAGTTTGTTCTTGGCGGCCAGAGCATTAAGCATTGCTTTGCTCCAGTCATTGTAATTGGTGGTGGTCATCTTCTCGCCTACCAGAAGAAGTCCAGGTTGCTTTGAACCATGGAGATAAAATGGATCCGCGGTGGGATCTTGTGTTTGTGGTGTTGTCATTGTTGAGCGGCGGCTAGGGTTGCTCTGATACCATAACAACAGGTATGCTTTGGAAACCCTAAACTTATCTTCTCATTGATTTGGTCTGAGTTTATATACAAGGTTTGATCATTACAGGACAAATTGTTTGTAGTTGTAATTGACAGGGAAGAAGTACGAAAATGCAGAGCAAGGAGGGAATAGAGTCTGAGCAAAATGAAAGAGACGTTGTGGCCTTAGGACACAACGACGACGTCTTGGTCTTTCAGCAACGGCTGCGTTTCAACGATCTTCAAGTCATTGAGTTGAGACGACAACGTTCCAGGTGAGTCTTGTTTTGCTTTACCTGAAACGACATCGGACCAGCTACTCTGCTTCGCTTTGGCTGAAACGACATCAGACCAGCTGCTCCTGCTCTTAGCCGTTGAAATGGCGGAAGAAAATTTTGAATTTTTCTCTGATAACAAGCAACACTCCTCTTAACTCTTTTCACATTTTTATATGGGATTCTTCAATCATCCAAAATCTCATTTTATATATATGGACTATGGTTGTATACATATGACAAATGGCATTTTACACCAGACATATAATATATAATATGCATAGGTATTCGCACCTATACGTTAAATGGTTACTTGAGCTGTAATGTTTGTAACTAATAGGGAGAAAAAAAAGTCAATATTCCAATTTTAGGACACGAGGAATCCTAAAAATCCTACAAGACAAATGTATTTTAAACAAGTAGGAGTGTGTGGTAGTGGGCAGAGAGGAGGGAACGATGGCATGTGATGTGTGACGGGGAGGAAGGATTAGCTGTATTCTGCTAACACTTGTGGTTGGTGGCAGAAGCAAATGCTTTTATGGCTGGCCTGGCTAGCTACTGTACTGTATGCATATATATATATGTCTATTTCCTCCCCCAATTTGTGTTTGTTCTTTGTTGTGTGTTTTGAAATAATAATAATAATAATAATGATAATTGTGGTGGTGGTAGGCGGAGGACGGGGATGAGAATTGTGAAACGCGGTCATCCATTCCTCCGCTCCCAAACCAAACCAACCAAAACTCCATCTCCTACCAACCCCATCCCAATCCCCATTCCTCCCACCACACCAGAAAGAAACCACCAATCACCCTTTTCAGAATTTTTTAGTTTTTTTATTTTATTTTGTAGGTATTAGTTAATATTCTGCATTTAGTTCAATTTCTTTTCCAGAAGAAAAAAAAAACAACAACAACATTGACTTTAATAAGAAATTTGACCGGATAGACATCGTTCGGTATTTAATTTGTTTCGATGACAGCAAGTAATATTTCCATCGTCAATATGTTCTCTTTGGCCCCCTAAGCCATCTTGTTTCTCCGGAATCCAAATGCTCGTTGGCACGCATTTTCATTGTTAATATGTGTTCCCTAGATCAGTGATATTATTTTCGGCATACCTTTTTTTTTTTTTTTAGTAACGAAATAGTCTAAGAAAGTAGTTAACGAAAAATTCCATTTCGCGGCAGGGAAGCGTCTGAGAGAACATTGGCCACCGAAGGTTGCAGAGCTGCAGGCGATTCCTTTTGGGTTGGAGATGGTGGAGAGACAAGTTTTTTTTTTGCCCGGAGAAGTGGAATCAGATTGCTTGACAGCAGTAAATCTGATTTCACGAGAGGATAGGACGTCGCTGGTGGAGGATGGAGATTTGAGTGAGGAAATTAAGGAAATGACGGAATTGATTGGCCCGGTTTCGATTCATATCTAGGATCGGGCCAATAACTAGGCATCACATTTTATGGCACATACTAATTGTGATTGGGCTCAGACTGAGAGTTGTTTTCCTTGTTTCGTCTTAATGATATAGTACAAGTGTTTTATAAAAAAAAATGCGGGTATGTAAATTAAGGTTGTCAATCCGGTTTAGCCCGTCGGTCCAAACGAATAAGTGAGTTGAGTGTTAGTTGTCCAACTGTTTTAGCTCGCTTTAGACGGATATATGAAAAAAAATTCACAATATAGTTCACACGTTTATAAATTATATCAAATTTCATATAACATTACACTAAAACAACAATTCGTACTTGGATCTAACATGTTATAAAAATCTCCACGCACTTATATAGCATTAATATTCAAATGTTCAACTTAGAATCCAAAAAAGGGTTATATGAGAGGAAGAAAACCGAAAAGAGGCAAATTTCACAAAGCAAAGTGAAAAACGGCGTCGAGTAACCTCCAACCCGATAACCTAGCAACGGGTCAATATTACGGGTGTGTGTGTAAGGCCCATTTTTATCACTGGATCAGAGTAAAAACGGGCCAACCGATAGATCAACTCGCAGTTTGACAGCAAGTATACGCGCAGCACAATTGGCATGCATCCTCATCAGTATGACTGGTTCCCTTTCTTGTACACCTTCAAGTTGCAAGTTAGATTCACCCATTTAAGTTCCACCAACCTAAATATATAAACATTTTAAATTAACAATAAATAAAAAAACAATCGTCCAACGAGGGACGAAAATAGTTGGTGTAGGTCAAATGTGGCCACATTTCAATATCTAATCATTGAATTAGTTAATGATAATAAAATTCTGGGAAGATGCCGATTGTGGTTGGTAAAGCAACATGTGACGAGCTGGTAGCCATATGGGAATATAACAGTTAATTAATTAATTAATTAATCAATTAGTAACTCGATCAATCTAACAGTTGATTTCGTACGTAGCAGCAGCTGAAGTTTTGGTGCAACTTCCTCGCAATATGAAGAGTAGTGGCCTAGTGGGATGCTTTCTGCTACACGCCAAAAACCAGGACGAGCAAGGAGCAAACCAAAAGCCAATGCTTGGTCAAACCTCGTGTTCTTTTAATTTAACGTATTTCATTTATTATTATTCTATTGTGGACGGCTCTCTCTACTCTATTTCCGTAAACATTTATTTATTGTTTTTTTGTATCTTTTAAAATGACTTGGCCTTGACCAAACTTACCTAACTAGTAGTCTTGACTTGAAACGAGAATGATAACACACACCCCTTTCTGTCAGTACTCAGTGGTCAAGTTTGACTAAATAAACATGTAATATGTATATACTAATTTTGCTTTGCTGGCTGGGGCTGGCTACATCTTTGGTAGGGGTGGCAGTTAGGTTACCGGTTAACCGGTCGGTTATCGGCGGTTAAACTAATAATTGGCCGGTTATCCACTAATTGGTAACCGAAATAATCAAACTTCGGTCAGTTATTGGAGGCTGGACGAAATGGTTTTTGGTCTTAAAAGTGTTTCGGTTAATCGATAACCGAGAAACCAAAGCCTATTTCAGACGGTTTTCAGTAGGGGGAGTGGTTATTTCGGTTAACCGATATTCGGCCGCTCGGTTACCAGTTATAACCGGAAAAACCGAACTGCACCCCTAATCTTTGGTTCTGATGGAAAACTAGTGTAGTGGGCTGGCATTTATATCATACCCAACTCAACACTTACATCACAAATGAATGGGTGCAGCTTCTACGAAATCCCGAGTACCGTATATCTTAAGTATGAAAATTCTATCTAGACCTCTTTTTTTACAGGATTTTTGGACATGATACTATACCCTAACCCTTCATGAGTGAACCCTAGGTTCTAGTTATCTAAATCATAAACTATAAACCCTAAGATGGTGCATTCATTTTTTGCCTATCTTTGGGCGAAACATAACCGTCGATTATTGTTTCTAATTAAATTGATCTTGGGGTATAAGATTTAGAGAATTATGACCTAGATTGTGATCTTTAAGGGTTAGAGTATAGTATCATGTCCGAAATTTCAATCAATTTATAGGTCTAGATAGCGTTTTCATACTCAAGGTATGCGGTACTCCGGATTTCACCTTGGGTACCGTAAAACTCCCCCAAGGAATGTTATATAGCATATTTATTTATATACTTTAAACTATGCTTTTAACAAATAGTGTGATAAAAATATTCATTTTGAGTAATTTCACATCTCAATTTACTTTTTGAGATGTGAAATATCGCAACTTAAATCATCAAGCTAGGGGTTCCAAGTTTAGAAACAAGGCTAGGGTTTCAAGAATCGCGAGACTACGACTTCAAGGTAAATCATCATTCACTTCTACAAAAGTTTCCAGCATATAACACTATAACCAGTATAATTTTCACTCTGTATATAACTACTCATGATTCGCTACCATACCATTGGATGCCTTAGTCACGTAATGCTTAACCATTGGATGTCTTAGTCATGTGATGCTTATGTTATTTGAGTATCTTAGCTTTATTGTATGCTATATCTCAAAAACCACTAAGCACAGGGAACCTCATCCTATTGATTTTTGTTGTATCTTTGTTTGAACATTAGATGATTGGTCATGAGTAGTTATTATTAAAAAATTTGTTCGTGTCATGCACACATCATAATATCTACTCACAATTCTAACAATTAAGCACACGTCGGTTGCACATATATATTTACGCCTACCGCATTCAACAAACAAATCACAATGTTAAATGATTCAAAAGTATCTAGAGCTAGAGTTGGATCAAATGTAGCTTTTGCGACAAGAGACATATACAAGAAAGAACAAGATAAAAGAGAAAATTCCCTGAGATCTCAACTTGTAACACTTTTCCTCCTCCGTGGCAGTGAAGTAAATTTCTTGACGAACTTGGTGGTGTTTGAATAGGAGGAGCTTTGATTCAAGGTTTGGGCAATGGAGGCGGAGTTGGAACTCCGTAGGTTTGAGGAAGAGAAGCAGCTTGGGATCGGCCTCTTGACCTTCCGAAAAGGTAACACGCCACCCCCACTATTAATATGAACAGTACCATTGGCACCGATATCACCAACACGTAACCCATTTTCTCCTAATCAGACTTTCAACTGGGCCCTTTGCTTAGCATACAAAAACCTGCAGTATACCAACACGGCCCATCCCTCGTCAGAATAATGGGCCGCCGTCGAGCCCATTTAATGAAAATCTCAGAAACCGAGACCAGAGAGAGAGAGAGAGAGAGAGAGAGAGGTGGATGGATTTGTTTGAAGGAGAAAAGAGATGCGTTTGTAGATAATCAATTTGAGCTGTAAACTTATGGCTAGACAGACTAGGCTAATAATTGATTGAATTGAAAGCCACAACTATAGTTAAAAGGATCACAGAGAGAAGTTATACGCAGACTCACCTAATCCAAAGGTCATTCAGAAAAATTTCGAAGAATCAAACGGCGACCACCGACGAGAGAAGCGGCGGTTGGACGGCAAAACGGCGGGGGGTAACCACCAGCTGCTAGCACCAGCACAACCACCGGCACAGCCACGATGTGCGGATCTGGTCTAGGAATTTGGATGTACGGCAAGGGAAAAGGATAACTATCTTATTAATAATAATAATAATAGTAGTAGTTTATGCAGACGCTTATTAAATTACTTTTTAATGTAAGGATGGGGATTGTTGTGGCAGGAAGATAGAGTAGACGCGCGCGCGCGCGGCAGCATTTCGTTCGTTGATCCCACATCGACGCCACGCCACTACACGTGCGTCCTTTCCACGACGCTCTCGTTGGAATCTCATCCCAATTTGGTTTTGGTCAGTCACAAGAATAAACGACTGGTTTATATAGATACGTTATGTTTCAATTGATTTATACTAGTTGACGAGACTTCATGAGTGACGAATTGTGAGATTAAAATGTAAAAAGAGTGATCACTTATATAATTAAAAAAAAAATTAATGGCACCAAAGGTAAGATAGGCTAACGACAAATTACCGTGACAGTGAAGATTTGGGAGTTGCATATCTCATTTTCGATCCAAGCAAAGTTTGTTAATGCTCCCGTAGGTATGAGGATGCTCGGGATTCGGGAAGAAGCTCCATTGACGATAAATTGAATGCATATAGCCCCTAAATATAGTAGGCCCTGCTATCACAAAGTGGCATGTGGGGCTGTGGTTCCAAAATAATAAAGATATCAAAACAAAAAATGTCATTTTGGGGAAGAACTTGAACAACAAAAATATCAAACTTTTTCTTTGTTTTCACTGTGCAAATACATCCGAAACCCAGTAGCGAAACTCACCTGGCTAACAGTATACATATGTTTCGCAGCTTCACCAACCTACTATTAAGATATTGGGAAATCGCCAAAAGCAACAGAAACTGGGAAATGATTTGTTTGGCTTGCACCCAGATCTTTTCATAACTTTGTTTTCCTGCCGCTGCCTGCTATTTTACATTCATTATCCATCCCCAAGCAGAAGTAGATGTAGAAGTAGAACAAGTAGCGTTAAGCGGTCGTCTGTTGGTAAAAATCCTATGTATATGCAACATACAGGGGGCAAGGCAAGCAACAGAAGGCAGCACCCACCCAACGTTTCCCTGCTCTTTCAACATATTTTCTCCCCCCTTTTGTTACAAGTGAGAGATCAGAGAGAAAACCAGTAACAGAAAATGCCCCCTCGATGATTCACATTCTTCGCTTAATCAGCAATCTCTTCAGTTAACTAACCCCACCACCAAATTTTAACATATTGCATCATCCATCTTACTTGCTCTTTCACTTCCCAACGGGCTTGTTGGACAGCCGCCGCTTGTACCGTTTCAGGACGGATGCCAGGTTCTCTTTACCCTTGGGGAAAGCCACATCCCCTGCAGCTGTCCCTGATCGACCCTTCCTGCATGAAATGGCGATCTCCACATCCTTGATCAAGTCCAACACCATGGCTGCTGTCGTGCATTTCCCACCTCTACCTGGCTTCGCCGTAGGAGGCAGCATCCCATTTGATGCTACTGGTTGAGGCGACGACAGTCTCTGCTGGTGCGCTGCTGAGAGTTGCAGGCAGAAGCATGGCTGCATGGGAGTTCGCGGTCTCATGAATGCTGGCTCCACAACCCCCTGTATCAGAAAGAAAGGAACAAAAACAGCACATTGCTGCTGCCTTTAATACCCTACCAATCAACAAGTTTTTTTTTTCTTCTAAGAAACAACAAGTAATAAATGTTAGTCACATAGATCCCGCAATAATAAAAAGTCACCCTCATCCAGAAAAGACTTCCAACTTTGGCCTCTTCAAAAGACAAATATTTCTTCCTAATGTTACCTTAAGCTTCTGCTGACTGTTGCTACATTAGTCAACTATTAGAACATTGGTATTTTTATGCTATAAATGTTAGTCAACTATCCAATGTACACCTACATGGATTGCTTTGTTGATATCAGTTGATCGAACACATGGTTGAGTAGCTCCACACCCACACATGACACATCATTACCACTTCAGTAAATTCATGATTTTGCTCCTATAAATTCACACCCCAAGTTTGCATTTCTACCTACAAAGAGTGTTAAGAAGGTCTCAGAAAGAAGGGGGGGAAACTAACCTGAAGGCGATTGAGCACATAAGTGTATTTCCCCCAAAGCTCAGGCCGGCTTTCCATGAGCGATAGATCAAGAACCCGGTGAATGCACCAAACCCCAAAGCTCACAATCAGATCAACCTTCCACACACAGCCTTCTCCACAGTGAGGAACTGAGGAAACCAAGATGTTGGCGATGCTATTGACCTCGTCATTCTTCTGCCCAGAACCACCACCTTGCTGCTTCTTATCACTACTGCTTTGAGACTCAATGCCCAGGTGGTGGACCACCCCATGCTGCCCCATCTCTCTTGCTTCAGCTTCGTACAAACACCTCTCCCGTGCTGCCACACGGTCAATCAAGTCCTCGTCAGCACCATCGTTTTGCCTAAACAACCAATCAGAGCCTTCTAATTTCAGCAGCTTTACAATGCAGCATCTGAAGGACCGAAGAAGTTGAGCTTCAGCATCCACTATGGAGCTACTAGCTTCACGATGGGTAGTTGAGTTAGGCCTGTTGCTTCCTCCTCCTAAGGCACTACCCACACCTACTGCACGGCTTTTATCCCCCACACCAAACTGCTCAAACGGCTGTTTTGACCAAAGAGATCCTCCTGTACTTGGTGCAGTGGTGGTGGGAAAGGAGAAAGCATCTCCATAAAAAGAAGGGTCATAACTCGTTCTCCCCCCTAAGGAGGAGCCAAAACCACCAGCAGAATTCTTGTCCCACTGAGCATTACTCTTCCCGGATAGATATAGCTCCCTGTAAGGGGCAGCAATTCCTGAAATGTCGGGCAAACTGTGGTACTTCTTTGTACTAGTACCCGTTGGTCCTCCTGCATTGTCAACAACAGAAACAGGAGAGCCAACAACATCATAGTATTGTCTTTCAGACTGTAACGAGTTGTTTCTGGATGAGGCAAGGTTCTGATATCCTGCTGTTGCCTGTTGTGGAGAGCTTAATCCATTCTGTAATCTCTGACCCAAGGCAATTGCTGCATGTGGATCCCTGTAGTTCCGCATGCTGCTCATGGATGAAGAAATTGGAGACAGAGATTCCATTCTACCATTCAAGCCATTAGCACTCCTCTCCTTGGCAATCCGGTTCGCAATGGAAGCAATCTGATAACCATGTATGGTAGCTGGCTGGTTGTCCCAGCCATCAGAAGACGGTGGTAGCGACCGCATACTAGAATATCGTCTTTCAGAAGGGTCCACCACACCTGAGTTAGGTGGTGCTGGTACATATGAATCCAGCAGCTGACTGCGGTTGGGCCATAATGAGGAGGAAGATACTCTTTGAGCCCCACCAGCATATGAAGAACATTCAAGAGTGTTCTGCTGCATCATAAGCTGCTGCTGCTGCTGCTGCCTGGGAGAATCACAGAAACTTGAATTCATGAAAGAATCCGGTGATCCTCTACCACTGGCCAATGCTGATGGATTATACCCACTACTGTATTCTTTTCCAAGGGGAGGGTCGACTTTCAGGAAGGAAAATGATGAAATCTTTGAAGAATCAGCAGCAAGTAGCAGATCAATCCTTCTATTCTTGGCATCCTGTGTTGCTTGACCATGGAAATCATACAACTGCCCCCAGAATTCATCAAGAACCGTAGCTAATTGACGCCTAGCAGCTCTGCCCAACCCTGCCAGTCTCGAAAGACTTCCAGCACCATTCCCACCGTCATCAGATTTTCCACTGAGACTTCTGAAAGAAGCTGGACCATCAGAGGTCAAAGATGAGATGCTCCCAGGAACACCTTTGGATGATGAATCTTCAGGTTCCCCCCAGGTATCTCCCTCGTCATCCTCTTTTTCTCCGAGGAAATCACCTTCCACACTCACAGTCTTCTCAACTGGTTCAAGTGATTCAACAACCTTCATCTTTGACTCAGGTAAATAATCAAGATCAGCAGCAACAACTACATTAGCTGCTGCCTTGGACACTGATGTCAATTCTATTGAAGGTGCTGATTCCTGATTCAGTTTCAGAGGGCAAGGAAAATTCATATCAGGCTGATTCTCTTCAATAGGTGTCAAATGAAAATCCTCATGAGACTCCATAATAGTTTCAGGCAGATGGGGATCAGGATTTAAGACACTTCTGTCTGAGTAGCCCACAAAGGACTTCACTGGGGTTGGTGCAGCAGCTTCCTGTCTATGAACGTGGCCTTCTCCATACCTACTACCACCCAGATACTTTTCATCTCTAATACGCATCGATGGCTCCTGCACAGTCTGCTTGGCATCCCAGCTCAATGCTTGAGCAGCCTCTACCTGAGTTGTTGCAGATTTCAAAGGTGTTGCTGCTAGCCAAAGCATCAAACAGAATGATGAAAAAGAAGTTGCGAGAAGTACAACATAAGGAAGAGAAGAACTGCTACCCATGTTCCATCTCAAATTACCAATCCAGTCACTATCCCCGAAAATCATTTCCACCACAAATATGATCTTCAATCCTAGCATCCCCATGAATGCAACAATTGCCAAGAACTCAAGAATTTGAGAGATTTTGTGTGCCCCCATTATTGCCCTTGATGAAACAATTCGGAATAGTGGTATGACAGAAGCTGGTAGCAGCAGGGCTACTATAACCTGAGAAAATATGAGCAATTGGTATGCCCCTTCAACTCCAGAAGTCCATACACAATAAAGGGCCGGGACAATGGCAAGAATTCTAGTAGTAGCTCGCTGTAACCAGTTAGGTATATCGAGGCTGAGGAAATCATTCAGAACTACTTGTCCACCAATGTTCCAAGTTAATGCTGAGATTTGATTTGAAAGGTATAAAATTACTACAAAGAACAGAGGTGCCACTGGATTGCGAAACACCTACACAGTACATTTGAAGAATAATCTGTCAGACTGCATGTCGACTTCATGCGGAAATATAATACTAGTCCACCACTGAAAGTATCATCATTTGGATACACGATGATGATAATACATTAAATAAGTGTTTTCTACCTGTTCCATGAGTGACATTGCATCCGGAAAGGTAACCAAAACAAGGCCAGTACTGTGGAACACGTTCGCAGCTGAATTCATAAGCACATAGTTCACCAGAAAAATGCCACTGAAGATGCATAAGATTGCGAAAAAATTGTCATAGCATGAGGCACTTTTGGAAACATTTGGAGATTTCTGATGATGCTGCAAGAAGTTTCAAATATAGATTTCAGAGTTAATAAACCACGTATAATATAAAAATTTGCAGTGAAGCAATCAAAATGATAATATGAGTGAGCAGAGAGAATCACATGACATCTAGGTCTAGGATCAAGATTTCATGAAAAAATAACCACATAATCTGACTTAGCAAACAACGCAGCTTTCTTTCTGGGTGAGATGGGCGTCATTCAGCGCAACATCATAGTAGTATTACATCACTCACACACACAAAAAAAAGATAAATAAAGAGGAGTGGAACAAATACCAGAACGATGGAAGAATGCATATAGAAGTTGTGAGGCATAATGCTTGCTCCAAGAAGACTCATCAGAGCGAATGCACTTTCCTCACTTAACTTCATCGGCATCCCATTCATTGAAAGAGAAACCTCTGGTTGACTAATGAGGACCCCAAGAAAATAGAAGAGCAACACAAACCCTGCCACAAATATGGATGGGAAATATCCCTTGTATTTCTCCTACAAGTATAAAGTAGAGAACAAAGTCAGATTCATATCCAACAGAAGATGACAGGGTAAAATTGTGCATGACTCACCAGAAAGGCAGCAAAAAATGGAAACAACACAGCATCAACAGCAGTTAAGAAGATACAAGTTGGCAAGTCCACCCCAAGAAGAAGATTAAGCCCATGAGCAATGCCAAGTATCTGGAAAAAAAATAGTATATCCAATCACTAGAACGAAGCTCAACTAATCAAATGGAAAGAATCAGCAGTGTCATTATCTTAACAGTCATATCTTCAGAAGAAGCACTACAACATGCATTTTAACAAAGATTAAGAAAGACTACCATGCTGAGGTCCAATGCCGCCACTGAAATTGCTGTTTGAACTCCTAGGAACATGCATGTGAATTTGTTATACTCCTCACTGCAAATCTACAGCATTGGGAAATGGAAAAAGAAGGTTTAACTTTAGTACGCGCAAGTATTACAAATTATCGAATTGAAGAGAGAGCCAATCATCCAGATAACAAGGAGCTATTAAGGTCCAGAAGACATGAATATGTATATATCCTGATACCATGTATCCCGTTCACCGCCAGGGTTTATCAAATGTACAGGAAGGAGGCACATCTCAATATCACTCCGCACAGTGAAATCAAATGACAGTGAAATTAATAAAATTATAAACTAGGGAAAGAAACTCTAAATGGAAATTGTACCTGGGCAAGATCTCTACCAGTAATAATACCCACTTTAGCTGATAGATACTGGCACAATATTCCTGCCAAATTAAAAATGAACATTGGCAGGACTAGATCAACTCCAAAACGGGAACCCCCTTCCACGGTGGCTGCCCACTTCCCAGGGTCAACATATGCTACTGAAATTAAAAGCCCAGGTCCAACAGCAGGAAGTAATCGCCGAAGAACAGCTGGTAGGTGGTTAGCACTCCCCGACTGTCTTTCCATTATATTGAACAGCTCTGCCACTAATGCAACTCACGGCTATAGTATTACGCTAGCACGTCAAAGGAAAAGCTCCACTTGCGATCTAATCATTCAAAAAACAATCTTCTGTGACTTAACCAGGTGAACGCACTTTACAGAGTGCACCCCAAGCACTACTTCACTGTCTTCAAATACTTGATATACACACATATACAGGAGGCAATAGCATGTTTGCAGCTGAACTAGGCCAAAAAAAACCCTGATGAGATCGCCTCATCTGATATTTGTAGGATGATGTCATCAAGCAACTCTTTTCACTAGCTGTGATCATCCGACACAAGGCGAAAGGTTTTATTTAGAATAACTTGAATGCTCCCACAGCAAGATGTCGAATGAAATCTTCTGTTCATCTCCAGATCATGACAAAAAGTTGCAATCCAACTTGAGAGAAATTCTGGCACTGATAAGGAGGAAATTTTCAACCCTTTAACATCTATTCCTGATGCAGTAAGAAAAACATAAAGAAATAAGTAACCTTCACATGACAGCAAAGAAGATGTTTCCAGAAAAATCAAAGCACCAACAGATGTGGATCATAATATTGATTATACACCAGAGATCTTAAGATCACTCAGTACAGGATGTGAATCAACAATATAAGAAATAAGTAGCTAATCTCATAAGGGGATCAGGTAATGGCGGACAGTAGAAATGAGCTTTGACTTCAAACTAGTCCACAGCAAAGTGCAATGTAAGAGTCACCGGAGAAACGAAAGAACTAGTTGAAAGACCACCGTATACAAACACAAGATCACGGCATTCTACAGTTAAGTTCTATTCACATTGATTATACGAAGAAGAAGAAAAACCAACTGACTCAACAGAAAAAAGTTGTATAACACTCGTAAAACAATCAGCTCACTTTGAAAGGCGCCTTTCATCAACTCCAACAAATCAGGAAAAGATAAAAAAAACGATTCCCAAACCAAGCAGCCATAAAATCCAACAGCTAAGCATAAGAAAGAAACCCTATTGACCAACAAAACAAAGCAGCCAGAATGTCAAAACCATCTCAGATCTCACCAATTAAGAACCAAGAAAGCAGATTCAGACGACACAAAATTGACCAAAAGAAAACAACTACCAGAGAGATAAACCCTACCCATAAACCACAAGGAATTAGACAAGACAGCCATAGCTGGGATTTATCATTTATCAGAAGCAATCCATCACAAGAAGAAGGGGAAAAAAAGCAGAAAGAGAAGAGCTCCTCCTCTATTTGTGCGACTTTCCAAAGCTCAAATTGCCAAACTTTCTCGAATTAAACCAATGACCCACCGGGGAAATCATAATACAATCCGTACTACAACAGTGACGGAAGAAGAAAATGGTGGATAAACTTGAATGAGTAGGGTTTGAGAGATTAGAAGATGATGAGCCGTTTCGTTTTACCTTCGTCTCTGTAAGCTCCACTCTGTCCCCCCCTCTTCTCTCGCTCTCTCTCTCTCCTCAGATTTCAACTTCCAATAATCTCTCAAATCATATTATAGTGGCGTACAAGTAGATCTCAGGGACGGCTTTATGAGAGAGAGCTGAAGCAGTAAGCCCCCGTAGACCAAAAAAAGGAAAGCAAACTTTTTCCTAATAAACAACAAGAAAAATGGTATTCTTTTTTTTCTCTTTTTGCTTGCTAAAGAGAAGAAACGGATGAAGAGAGAGAAAGCTCAGTTCCTAGAGAAAGTTGTAGAAAAGAGAGAAGAGCCAAGCCAAGGACTGAAAGTGAAAAAACAAAAGGATAAATACAAAAAAGTTTGCATTTCGCAGAAGTGAAGAGGGGTATAACCGTATACTGGGTTTTGCCCTTTTCTCTCCATCCATTCATGCACATAAATATAGGTAATTATAGTTTCCATTAGACTTTGTTAATAATAAGTCATTGCTCATGAGTAACCTATGTGAGATTAAGTGATCAACTTCAATGAAGTACTTGCTTAGTATTTGCAAATTTGGACGGCTAATGTTTGCTAAGTTGATTATTAAGATCGATTCGATTAGTAAAACTAAAAATCTATTCGTACTTCCTATTTGGAGTGGCTTAAAATGTATGAACTGAATTTTATTTTCCACATTTTAATCAATTCCTATGTTTGGTGACTCATATTTAAGATGGTATTTCTGCATACCATCTTAAAACAAGGATTCAATCTGTTGCAGAAGCTTCTAAACCCTTCATGATCAACAATTGATAGAGGGTATCCATGCTTGATGATTGCCCTTGCAAGTTCTTGTCGAGAATTCTGTTGTTCAAAGTTGAAAGAAGAAAGTTGGAACCTTTTGTCCTTGTCCAAGTTGGCTTGCAAGAGTTGTTGCCTTAAATCTGTGCAAGCAGTGGCGGATCCATAATTTTTTGTAGGGGTATCTTCTTCCAAAAATTAAATTAAATCAATAATTAAATTAAATAATACAATATCCAATTAGTACAAATGTTGACAAAAAGCCACGATGTGTTTTCATATTTCGAAAATAATATAAGATAGATTTGGTGTCTACACTGCTCAACAAATCGGTATATCCTACTATATCGCATATTCAATTTCTAACCTTGTTCATGATGTAATTCAAAGTTGAAAAGACTGTTTCAACACTTATAGTGTAACCATAAAATCAATTCAAATTAGGGGCACCCCTGGAGATAAGAAATCGTGTTTTTACCATGACATAGTGTTTAAAATCGAACGATAAATGAGTTATAACCTAATGGAGAAGATGTTTAATAATAGGAGTGTCCTAGATTTGAATAACACAGAGTACCACCTATATTTTTTTAAACATACGCAAACCACTATCGATGGTAAGATAATCGTTTATTAAAATTGTAAGGGTGTCCCATATTACCAATTATATTTCGTTTATCCATACGAAACTACTACAATAAATTGGATAATCATGTTCCCAAAATTTAGGGGTGTCCCGGGACACCCCTAAAGCACCATGTATCCGCCATTGTGTGCAAGTCCTCTTAGAGAATCTATGGTAGTGCTTTTTCAGGTGACTGGTCCCGTGTTGGCTCTCCAAGCATCAACCTCTTGCAGTTTTTGCACTTGGCCTTTTTCACTCCTCCAACTGTTACTCCATCATAATGTGCCCCCACCATTAAGAGAAACTTATGTTGTTACCACCCTTGGCATCCCCTCTTCTTGTACAAGCTCAACAACCTCATTTGGATTTGGCTAAACCATCTTATTTGTATTTGGTTGATTGGCTTGATCTGCATTTGGAACACCAGGGGAAACTTCAACAACGTTTGGAGTTGGAGAAGCTGTTGGATTCGAGAGAGCAACATGGCTTGCAGTTGGTGGAGCTTCATTGGCTTGTCCTTGTTCAACCATGGATTGTGTTGCAAAAAAAAAAAACATTAATACGGTAAATCTGCTTATTGTATAGGCGAATGGAATCATTTAAATATCTAAGTCACTGTGAAAATGGGATCAATTACCTACCCATGCCCCAGAAAGAGTTCTTGTTGAGTTCAGAAGAAGTTCTTTTCGAGTCGAGGAGATGAGCAAATCAGCAAGCACCGATTCTGGAAATAGGGTTTGGATTGTGGTCTCTAACTCTCTTAATTCTGGAATATGGAGAAAAAGAATCAATTGTCTATTTATGCATTCTAAGTAGGAACCCTAAGGGATTAAGAGTAGGAGACTAGTGAGCATTGGATTTACGAGATACATTTTCTTGGAAAAGGTAAGCATTCATAATGAATGAGTATCTCTTCGTTTCAACAGGCATAGAAGATGAACCGCTCGACTTGGGAAGGTGCATGGCATAATGATTGATGAATGTGTTGGAGGGATTAGGGAATAGGGGATAGGAGATGAATTGATCGTCGGCGTCCTGTTAGTTGTAGGGAAAGAGAAGTAGGGTGGGGCGGGGCTACGGTAGTACCCCAAGCTCGGCCTGGCCTGTCGGTGGGTCAGGGCTGCCTCTGCCGGTTGATAGACGGGTCTAGTTTACACCTGAAACTGTATCATACTAGACAACTAGTTGTGAGTCGGCCCGTTGGCCAGAGAAATAAGCACAAAGCTAATAATTGGGTTGTGGTTTTGCTTAAGAGCCAACCCAACCAGACCCCATAAAGTGTTTAGCTTGGCGGTTTAACGAACCAGACTATATCAGGAGAAGGTATTCCGTGGTTGTGGAATTGGGTCCAAAGCGTGTAAATTGAAAACCAGGCTATCCTTCCCCGTTGTCCTCACCCAATGAATACATACCAATAGTATCCCGTTTAAGTGGACACTATTAAAGGGTACAGAAATGAGAGAGGACATGTACGATGTCGATAAGTGTCTGAGGAGAAGGCAAATACAAAGTTATACACTGTCGTTTGGAATGTATAGACGAAGTTCTTCTATGTTAGACACAACAACGCCTAGGTATATTGAGCAGAATTTGATCGACTACTAAATCGAAACCAAAAACCTCCTTATCGGTTTTGGGTTCGGTTAAAACAAAACCGAAACCCCTAGGATATGACCCAGGTGCTATGCGTTAAGGTGTTTAAGCCGAACCCGATAAGGAGAAATCAAACCCGATAACCCAAAATCTAAAACAAAACCAAACTAAAAAACTCGACAATGCATATAACCGGTTCGGTTTGGTTAAAACAAAAAAACGAATCCGGATGGACACCCCTACTATCAAATCAACTTGATGAACATCATCTTCATTTATCCTATTTAATTTCTTGCACTACGAAATGTCAAAACTAAAACATGTGATCATCGACCATCAATCTCTTGTAATCCTTGAACAAAACATATGATCATCGACTTCTCTATCAAACTTGTAGAAATCAAAACGATTTTGCAACCCATTCACTGTATCATGAATAAACAATTGCACGAATTTCGGTGGCATACCTTCAGCTCGTACCAGAATTCCTATATGAAGGTATACTTGATCACCAATTGAGTATACATACACACATGAACCATGATTTGTAGTTTATCCACCTTACCACCAAGAGATATAAAAGTAAGACACTCTTCTACCCACGAACGAACTCATGAAAATGGTGGCCAGTCACCACTTGCTCTTCCAGTAAGGTTTTCAAGAATTTTGGTGGATCTCTCCGAGGTGGTAGTCTGACCTTGCATTGCTTACAACAAAGCGAAAAAGGGAATCTTCGATATTTCATGTTTTCCCGACAGTTTCTAACCACCATAGCTTTGGCCAACAGAAGGAACATACATAAGATGGCTCTCCTATGGAGAAAATTTCAACATCAAGACAAACTAAATACAGTAAAAAGCCATAGCTTTCGTTAGTAAAGGATCGATGACAATAAGTAATTAACTTGAAAACTTAATAGCAGCGAGACACAATAAATGTTAGGAATATGATAAATTATACTACTTACTGGTAAGTCGTATGAGTTCACTTCCAAAAGTAAGACTCTCATTTTCGTTTGTGATGCAAGTAAATCCTACGCAGCAATCTATCACTGGCTACATTAAGGGGTTGCAAATTCATCCTCCAGTTGTTGAACTGAAATAAGCAGCAAAGAGTTCCAACTTCAAGTTGCATGATTTTCATATTGAAAATGATGGTGGAAGGACATAAAAATAATGCTCATCAAACAAATGACAAGAGTGGGTCCAACATATACAATTGTTTGTTGCTATGACTGCGCTTATTGACAATGAGAGCAATGGCGTCTCCTCCTTGCAAGTTTAGGCAATCCAACAGTAATTTTAGATAGGTCACTCTCTAAAAATTGCAGTTGTGCCAATTGTCGAGTAAAATAAGCATAGGTAAGATTGAGAGATTATGAAAAGTGGATAGCTTGAGGAAACTATGAATCTTGAGTCAGAATGCATACTCTTGTCCAAAAAACTGTAATTGAAGGTGAATCCTTGATAAATAATATTAAATTATATTATATGCAGTATGTTACTCTGGCTAATGCATCACAATCGTTTTGAACTAACATATGATCATTAATTATAGGCACATATAGGAAGTAGCACGACGTTTTCCTAGGTCACGAAAACACACGGTACAATATCAAAATATCGTTCATTTGGAAAAGATTTCTCATCAACTGTAGCTTTAGTGGAAAAGATTTCTAAGCATGTTGTTTACACTGTGTTAGGCAAGTGATGTGTCTACCTCTCTTTCACAGGCATCCGTAGCTTTAGGTAGAATCGCGCTTTTAACTGCATTGGTTCCAACAACTAATGTAAATAAGTTAAATCACATCAATTCATCTCAGAGAAAACAACTGTAGAATCCAACAAATTTATTAAATCAAATTACCCAATTTCAGCAAGGCATAAAGACTGGTGGTAAAACTCAAAATCAACCTAGATTTTTCATTACAGACAAAAAATACAACCAAATGTACTTAACAAACTTCATTAACACCCCGTCCGAAAAGAATGCTTACTCCAGTAACAAAGTCATCTAGATTGTGCATAAGAACATCAAGCAAACTCGTAATTCATTAGGGATACAAACATTCCCAGGGGAAAAATCAATATTTCTATATACCCAATTCATAACCTAGCTACCAATTCAAAAATTAAATACTTGGGGGATATGAGCTTGACGATGTGAGTCGCCGAGCCTGATGAACCTTCCTCCCCCCAAGTTAGAAACTACTAAAACCAACCCTATTGTGTGCGACCGTTAGAGTGAATGAGATTGGTAGATTGTAAAAGAACATCTCTCATAGGTGTCCACTGCGCAGGCAAACTCAACCCCCTTCTTGTTAAGTAAAAGAGGAAAGAAAACGCAACATACCTCAAAACAATCTCCCGGCGAGGAAACCCTTAGAAAGAGGAAGCAAAGTGAGAGGCAGCTGATGGTCGTATCACCACCACCAAACGCCAGTTGAATTCCAGTATGTTGTAATGCCTTGACTTTGTGGAAGGGAAAGCCACAAATTGAACCAGAGGAAACGTAACACGAACGAAGCAATTGATCTCCTGGTCCACTTCTCCATTGTTCAGGGAAGGCACAACCAAAAGGTGCAAAGCATGACCAATAGATTCACATGGGAGACATCAGATTTGTTATTCCAAACGATGGAAGTGAAGAGAAGAGAAATCACAATCAATTGAGGTTTAGATCGTGAGTAGAGAAGAAGAGGAAAAAGAATAGGGCCCGAGAGAGGGGAGAATGGAAAAAACAAAGAGGCGATCCAGATTTTTTGTCGACACATCCCGCGTCCGTAGAAAAATAGATGTGAGTCATTTACAAAAAAACCCTTACCTCAAATGAAGGGGAGAGGAGAGATTTTGAATTGCTGAAAAGTACACAAAAGTGTGCAATATATTAATGGGAGATGGGGAAGATGCTCGATATTGTGGCAAAACTTGGGTCACAAGTTTGGTGGTGCCTTTTACTTCAATTTCAAATATGGTTCAATGAAGTGCAATGCGATCCACCAATTTGAACCCGCCCCGTCGGGTTTTATCCGACTTTACCTTTATTGCAGCGGGTATTATTCGATTCGTAGTAGCGTGGGACGGGACATGAGTTATTACTTTCGACTTGCCTCACCCTGTCATGCCTCATTCTTGACCCGCCATATCTCAATTTTCTTCAATAATTATATATTTTTTCTCCTATTTTAATAATAGGTTCACCAATGAAACGTAAAACAGGTGTCAACTTTCAATTATTTATACTCAATTCTCATTCTATCATCACTAATTTTTATTCATGAAGTGTTTTCCTTGCTTTATCATAAAATATTTATCTTTTTGCGCTTATTTCTTCAAACAACACGTGAGATTGTATTTACCTACTCTGCTTGTACCGACAAGGGTGTTACCCGACCTTATCCACGCTTGATGCGGAGCGAGTATGGGTATTAAGGTACCCGCTTCAGCCTACCCATTTGCCATCCCAATCGAATACACACTAATACCCACTCCTATTCTACACTAGTGAATTGTCACACATGTCTTCTAATATAAATAAATTGTAGGTTTTCGTTCGTATTTCAAAGATTTTAATTGTTCTATTAAGGTATATTTGAATATGTGTATTTCAAATGCATCTATTTACAATGAATCTATTTAAAATCATGAATTTGAAATGCATGTAAATCAAAATCATGGTCACGATACTCATTTGTAACTTTTTGGTATGTAAGATTTTATGGAAAAAAATTCAAATTTGGATTTTATGTGGTTTTTTCTTCTTTCCTCCTTAGTCCTTCAAGGTACCTAAAACCCCCAATTCTAGAATTAGGTTTTGAATATAGATGTGATTGTGTTAGGGTTTGTGTATGAATTTGTTTGTTTCAATTATTATATGTTTCATTTATGTTTGATTATGTTGGGCTTGTTTCTCCAACTCTTCTCTACTGGCCTACAACTGAGTCTTAGAACTAGGTATGAGTTTTAGAGCTAAGCTGGATTTGAGTGCTTTAAGGCTAATTATAGGTAGATTAATGATCTTAGGGTTCCTTTTAGTAGCAAGGACACCATACACTGGAATGTATTTCCAAGACAATGCTAGAGATGATGCAAGCGCCATTGATCCATTGCTTTACAGTACAAAATGAGAGGAACTAAGCAATTACTCCTTAGAGCATCCACATTGGTATTGCATTCTCAATTGCAAAATGACATGACATAGGTGTTTGCAATTGTAAAACCAATTGCATATTTGCAAGCTTGCAACAAATGCAATTCCATATGCAAGTCAAAAAAGCCTTAAAAAATGGAGATTTGATTTTGTTTTTTGTATTATTTTCTTTTCTCTTTTACTTAATTTTAAAAAACATAATATTTAATTATATTTGCAATTAAAAGTTAATTGCATTGATGTAGGTGAATGAAATGAATGTGATGTGGATTGCAAAAAAAATTGAGTTAGACAATAAAAAACACAAATGCAATTTCTTTTGCAATTGCATTGACGAAGATGCTCTTATTAGCTTTGAATGAGCTTCCTGAGACGCCGTAAAACGAGGAGCACTGGAAGCAAACGCCACGAAACTCCACCAACATTTCTTGTTAGCGTCAAACGTAGGACAACAAGATGTTCTTCTTAATCAACTAGTTCAAACAAATACAGGCGAGAGCAATGATAATATAAGGTAGCTGCTCAAATGCCTTATAAAGCATACATCCCTGACAGTATCATATGGAGTACACAACGTGTTTGCAGGCCAAGTTTTGCTCAAATGGGAAAACACAATTCCGAACCATCATCACCAACATCCCACGAAGATCACACACGCACCTTCATCAGCATACCAGAGGTACCCAGCACCTGCAAACGTTATTTCTGTAAGAATCGTCGGTCTCTTCATTTGAATAAACCCAACACCAAATAGCAAACACTGGTAAAGCACTTAGCCTCAAAATCAAATGCATCAATCCTAGCAGGCCTAAACCGAAGGGAAAAGGAGCAAAAAGCCCACACAAAATGCTCACATCAAGAACAAGTAAGCAGTAGCATCCAGAGGCAGAACCAAGGGACCTACGATTCCTTAATCAATCTCAGTATAAAGACACTGCAAATAAGGTGGAACAATCAAATGAAGCTAATATCGCAAAGCATTATATCATCTCTAAAGGAAAATCCTTCCTCCTTCCTATCCCTCTATGGCTACCTAACCAATCTAATGTAACAAATATTGGGGGGATCCATCCAAGATCTGTGCTTGAGAAACGATCTAAAAGACCCCAGTTCGGAAATCCGTACCAAATCAGAATTGGTTACAATGTGTGGAATACACTGACCTAGTAACAAGGAAACGAGAACTCTTCAAGAGAACCATAAGCTCTGTAACATAACATCCTTTAAACTGGTGATAATAAGAGAGTAATAGACAGAACACAAAGGTATGGCCATATTTCCAGATACTTGGAATATTGCTTGGTTTATTTCAACCCTCCGGCGTCATGGATCACCACCAACGACCAAAATCAAGCATATAGCTCAATTCACTAAACAGGAACTAGAGCTATTACCCAAATAAAAAGGAATTGGTGGGATGAAACTGAAACACAGCACCCTACTGATCCACCAATTTTCAAACCAAACACCATAACAAAGGGGAATTCAGCTATCAAAAGCTCCACATAAGAACAAACAAAGCTCTAGCGGGACCAAAACTCACAAACATCACCAAGCCGTTCCCCGTGTACTAGTCCAGAATTGCACGAAAATATTACGTCCAAACAAAGCAGGCTAACCAAACCAGAACTAAGAATTACAGAGAAAACAAGACCTAGGGAAGAACAAAGAAAGGAAAGAAAAAAAAGGACCTTATTAATTGTAGTAGAGCTCGAGGCCCATGCCGTCGTGAATCTCATAGTCTGCGAGAGTGATATGGTCCTTGTAGATGGTGTACCACTTCTGGATCCTTATCTTCTCCGCCTTGGTTCCAGTCTGCGCCGCCACCAGCTTCTTCAGGTCGCCGATGGTGTCATCCTCGTTGCACTTCACCCTCACCTTCTTCCCCAGCCTGTCGTTCAGCACCACCTCCAACATCTTCTTCTTTGCAGCTAACTTCCGACCTCGATTGATCGATTGCCAACGATCAACGGCAAAAATCCAATTTCTTGCAGAACCCTAGCCCCCAATCTCGATTCGTTGTATCACGGAAGTCGCGTGATATATAAAAACGAACAGTCCACCGCCTTTACCAATCCGACAAGGACAGAAAGAATAAAAGACACGTGGCAGCGCGTAGAGCATATGGATAATTACATAATATTAGGCCCGCAAACCATTCTCCTGGGCCGCAGCCCAGTTATATCTGAGTGTTTTGGCCCAGATATTCTAATAGTCCAAACAGACAGCTGGGCGTTGACTTGGGGGAAGCTAGTAGCTGACGTGGTAATCCACGTCAGGCAAAAGGAGTGACGAAGCGGAGAAAGGGACTCCAATTAAATTAGATTAATTAATACCGACTCGACTCGCATCAGAAGAATTTCAGTCCAGTTCCCTGTTTTTTTTTTCTTTCTATTCCACCCACGCAGAAACGGCGAATGACCGGCGAATCGTAGCTGGAGAAGATAAGCATGAGCCGGCCGACGGTGCACCCGGTGGAGCCGCCGCCGGCGAGAGATGTGGCCAACCACCACCAGTACCAACCGAGGGTGAGGATGAAGCAGGTTCAGGGCATGCCGGGGACGAGAGGCGGCCTCACTCTCCGCGCACTCCAGGTGGCCTTCGGCGTCGTTTCCGTCTCCTTCATGGCCACTACCAGCGACTTCCGCTCCGTCACCGCCTTCTGGTACCTCCCTCATTTCGACTCTGCCATTGGATTGATTTCCATGTTTTTGTTTGTGGGCGAATTTGGAATTTTTGGGGCGAGGAACTGAAATTGTGTTTTCTTTCCTTTTTTTTTTATTTTTTGGCTGCTGCTGCTGCTGCAGTTACTTAGTTATTGCTGTGAGCTTGCAAATACTATGGAGCTTGCTACTGGGGATTGTGGATGTGTATGCGCTTATGGTTAAAAGAAGCCTCGGGAAACCAGTGATGATTCGGTTCTTCGCCATTGGAGATGGGGTAACGACTCATTTCTTTCCATTCCAAGCTTTCATCATTTCTTAAATTGACATCTAATCCTCACTACTTTACTTCCCCTGCTACTTGGGTTCCAATGTGTTGTTGAAATGTTGGCGTTGATTAATATTTGATGGTCACTTTCTTCTATGTTTTGGGCTTTTTTCTGGGACTGATATCATAAGTGGTTATACTTATTTTCTTTCCATTTTTTGGAGCCTGAATTGCGAGCTGACCTTTTCCTATCAAACTCAAATGAAGTGTGAAAGAGGCATATCAAGGAATGGAACTCTATAGTTTTGTGGTTAAACCTTGTTTGCAACTACTGTCAGTTGTCCTGCCATCCATGTTAGGAGAGGATGACTCGCTGTTCATGAGCTATCTTGCGTTGCTTGAACTTCATGTGGATTGTTTCTTTATAGGTCTAATATATTGGTACTTGGTTTAAGAAGGCCCGCGGTTGAATTATTTTAGATGTTTGAATATGCTCCTAGCTGTGTGTTTAACATTGTTGGATGCAGTTGAGTGTGAATAAATTTAATTTGCATTCAATTGCTAAGGAATGATTGGTGGTGTATCTTCTTCCTGAACAGATAATGTCCACCCTTACATTTGCTGCTGCTTGTGCATCTGCTGGCATCACAGTGCTCATAGGTAACGACCTGAATAGGTGCTCAGTGAACCACTGCGTCAAGTTTGAAACAGCAATCTCTATGGCGTTTTTGAGCTGGTTTGCAACGATGCCATCCTTCCTCATGAATTTCTGGTCATTAGCGAATTCCCAGTAGGAATTTCTGGGCTAGAGAAAGTAGGATCTTGAAATGTGAATTGAACAAGGTAAGACTCCATGGATATTTGATTGTGCTTGATGTATAGATAGATCGAGCTTACTTCCGGTTCTCTTACTGTTGGAAAGGAAAACCCTTGATTTGGGAATTTATGAATATATCTTGTTACCATATTTGTTTGAAAGTTTCAGATTTTTGCCTGCAGTATGTGTTCCTCACCTTCAAATGATTTTCGTGTGAGCAATTTCAAAGGGTCTCTGACTTGTGATGAACAATGTCGGTATTCGTTATTGATTAGTTATTGAATTGGCGGTCCTTTTCACAGAGCTGGAGTGAAATACCACGCGAAAAGACACTGTGAGCAGAATGATGATATGGAAGCTGTCAGAATAGTCATGCTTCTTACCCAGAAGCATCGGCCTTGTGCTGAAGTTGGGAATTTAAATCCTTCTAGATATGGATGGGTGTAAAAGAAGGGCGAATTTTGTTTGCAGAATGCCAACTTCAATGCAGTCAAAACTGCTAACTCGTTCTTGACGGCCATCTTTGACCCAATCTGATCAATTACCTCACATTCTACGAGTATGCTGAAACGCAGGGCTGCCATATTCCTAAGAACAATGCTGGAAAGCGTAACTTATCTTGGGCACATTTCCACACTTGCTTATATTCGGCCAACTTTGATTGCCAAAAGAAAGAAGATATGGGAAGACCAAATCTTGACTTAGAAAATAGTTTGTGGTCACAAGGATTATGCTATTTGCCTGCTTCTGCATGAAGACTGGACAAACCCCTTATTCAAACATAACGGTCTGTCTTGTTTCTCCATGGTCGGTTTGGATGGCAGTTGGGTAACCGCCAATCTGGTATCATAGAGATTTCTTGAAGCCATTACCAATCTCTTGCCTTCCTCCTTTTCCATCTTTTCATGTTCATCCCACACCCTTTCCCCTACCTATAAATTGAACTAAAGGCCCTCAATCCTGAGGCTACACTACGGATTCAGGAAATTTTTACGATGTCGAGAATAGACGATGACGAGAGAAGACTATATCAATGTGCAAGGAAGTACGAGCAGATTGTAAATCAAGTAAGTTGATGTCCATCCCAGAAAACCTTTAAGAGCTTCTTTCTCTTCTCCCTCAGTTTTTTTTTTTTTTTTACTTTGCTTCGGTAACAAGAAACTGAAAGTGGGTGGCTCCCCTGTGTTTTCCTTTTCGGTTTGACGTGCTGGTTGAGATGATGACCACCCGATCCAGGCCCCCCAAGCGACGTAGATTAACATCTGTGAGCCTCAATCGCTTTCGTTTCATTCACCTCTACCTTTCAGAACTGACTACTGAGCTGCCTTCCTTTCCTTGTGATGAATGCATGCCTGGTTTTGTGTATACAGGGTTCCAAAGCAAGTAAGGACTCTGCTGCGCATCTTCCTTCTTATGAAGCTGCGGGCAACGACGGTGAAGTGTTCGTGGAGTCCATAACCAAGTTTCTCCAGGAATTAAGCGCGGAATCTGCAGCTGAAACAGACTCCTCATCCAGCGCTAGCTTGCTCTAATCCATTGCCCGCTGTTATTTGCAAGCGCAGGCATGGAGATAACATGGATAATGTAAATGAATTCACTCATCTATCAGCGACAATGGAAAAAATATATATCAGTTAGGTTTTGCAGCAAACCTTGGTTCCTTACACAGACAAACAGCAAAAATTCCACCTAGGGGAATGACTACCATGCAGCAAACCTTAGTGTTCTCCACGCAGAGCCACCCAAGTAAACAGAATTTACTCGAGAACTGATTTACATTCTCTGGAGTAGAATAGGGCAACATAAATGTATTCAAAATGGACCAAATCTTCTGTTTCGTTGAGGTAGATCTTATAGATGGGGAAAGGGGGGAAACATCCCACAAAATACAAAGAACAAAGATTGTTCCGATTGCCCATTTACATCTCTCTCCGCTGGCCAGTTTAGTACCATGTAAGCCGTATCCCCAAGAACAACTACTCATTCACAAAGAGCTAGATTTTAGCAAAGTAATTACACAACATTGTCATGCTAAAAGCGCTGCTATGACCATTTGACTATAGTCTTGTGTATCTCGAGCGACCACATTTTGATTTGCTTGCGGCCAGCTCCTTTTTCAGTAATTCCATACGTTCAATCAAGGCCATGTTTTCCTGTAAAGGAACAGAGAAGTCAAACCACATAGAGAATTTCACCGATTCAGACATTAAACAACCAGAAACTCAAGCTATTGAGGAAGACGTCATGAAGAGTAGTTCATGTTAGATGTAAATAAGAGATGTTTCCTTCCCTATACACTGTTGAACTATATATCTCAAATAATCCAGGTAATTTAACTTCAACGCAGCCATTCAGAAGTGATCTCCAAATTCATTTTTCAAGCTCACCTTCTGTAGCACTGCCAACTGCTGGTTTACACTAGCTGCATCGTCCACCTTCTGCTTGATCTGGCATAAGATTCACAAACAAAATATTCAGTGAACACGAATGCTTCAAGTTTCAGCCCTTCCAGATTTAGCTGGGGCAAACTCACAATTGATTGTGACAAAAGCACAACATAAAACAGCAAATGTGACTATCTCGTCACAATCTTCTGCCCAACCACAACCTGAATCAAACTTCTCTTCTACATATAGGAAGCAACATGAAAAGACGACATCCTAACCACCTTAAAAAACACCAACTTTAAGTAAATATTAAAAGATTCAGGTTATGAAGGGAACCTCTATCAATTCCTTGTCACACTTGGCTGCCCTCTCTGCCTCTTCATCATACTTCATCCTCCACTCAGCAGATTCGTCCATGGCTTCTCTATTGGCCAGATCGAATTGTCTTCTGCAGAATCCCAATGTTATCAAGCAAAGCAATCAAGTCATCATAAACAGGAACGAGCCACTACATATAAATGCTGCTACCCACGTAGCAGTTTAATCCACCAACAAAGACACAGAGAAGAAGAGGTCCTGATGGAAAATGCTGATCAGAAATCAGTCAGCTTTTCTCACTGCAGACAATGTGCTACCTATACAGACTTGGAAATTAGAATCGATCAAATGAAGGTTAATAAGCCTGCACTAGAGCTCACAAGCGAACTGATTTCAGATCTAACCTCTGAAGGTTTTCACAAGACAAGCTAAATTTAGGATTTTGGGGGCAATATCTGGTCACCAAAGGATTAAAGAGGACACCCAGTAAAACGGACTGAGAACGGATAGCTTCTATTATCAACACATTGGATTGAATCCGAACCGCTGCCCAAACATGCAGAGACATTAATGGGAATTTTGACTCTCTTCCGAAATGCAAAACTCGGAAGCCAACAGAAATCAACCACTGTAAAGGCAAATGGAAGAGCAGGCGAACAGTACAAGCAACCAAATTTTAGAAGGGGGGAATTAATGGAGAAACTAAAACCTTATGAGCTCAGTGTCCTCGGAGGAAATCGCGTAGTCAATGGTCCAAAGCCTAAAGTAAACGGCAGTTCCCAAAAGCATTGCCACTATCAAACCGACCAGTATCCTTTTCCTCTCGCCGGCCATTCTTCTAGTTTCAACTGGGTCTCTCCCCGTCAAAGGATTTCTGTCTTCTCTCTCACCAAAAAGGGGATTTCTTGGTTTGTCTCCTCTCCGGCGGAGAAGAACCCATCTGAAACAAAAGGGGGAGCTTGCTATTACTATATTTGTTTGCGTTAGGAGGAGGACTGGTAGCGATTAGCAAACCAGGAAAAGATGCCCACTCGGAGGTTGTCGTCGGGCTCGGGGCGGGTTTGATTGCAGATTGGATTGGACTCGGTGGCGGTGGGTGCGGGCTGCGGCCGTTTCTAATTCTTGGCCCTTCCTCGATCACATGGATCCGTCGATCTTATCAATTTTTTATTGGGGCTTTACTGGCCGGGTAACCCAACTAAATTATTCTCCTTTTCCATTATTAATCAGAACGGTCCCACAATTTGGGCACCATTAATTATTATTTGTTGTTGGAATATTTGTTGACAACCAGTGATGGCAATAGGGCGGGCGGGCCGGGTACCTCAATTCTCATGTTATTATGGAGCGGGGCGGGTAAAACCCGCGCGGGTACGGGCGGGTCGACCCACTCTTACATGTTATTCGAAAAAAATACAAATAACTTTTACTTTTTACGATAAAACGAAGGGAAAAACACTTTAAGAATGAAAAATAGTGATAATAGAATGAGTAATTGAGTCTAACAAGTTGAAAGAGCGACTCTAACTAGTTGAAGAAAAGTCAAAATAGGAGAAATATGTATAGAAATTGTAAGAAATTGAGATAAAAATGAGTCTATAATGGGGCGGGGCAAGGCGGGTCGGAAGTAGATACCCATGCCATGCCCCGCCCCATCGCGGGCCAGGTCGGGTAATACCCGCGGGGCGGGTTGAAATTGCCATCACTATTGACAACCATACCCATCGTCTATGGAAAGGACTACAGTGATAATCAAGGTTAAAAAAGATGTTAGGCAGGTGTTGGGATTCTATCTAATGTTTAGCACGTCTAAGTGGTATTTAAGCAGTGCCTAACCATTTTAAGTGAACATAGTGTAAGGTATTTTCAACCGTATATTGCATTACATGGTTAGTGGTATTTATACCCAATTACATATTGGAGATACAAGTATAGAAATATGAGTGTGATAAGGAATAGGAGACAACTAGGTACAAGAAATATGAGTGTGATATGGACTAAGATTTCTCCCTATTACGCCCCCGATGTAGGCAACATCAACAAGACCAATCTTGCGGCTAAGTAAACGAAACCAATAACAGGAAGCGCTTTGGTGAGTAAATTGGCAAGTTGAGAAGTAGTCGGTACACGATGAACAACAAGTTGTTTAGCATTGACAAGGTGATGGACGAAGTGATAATCGAGGGACAAATGCTTCATGCAAGAATGAAATACTGGATTAGAACTGAAGTCGACGGCACCCAAATCATCATAGAAGAGAGTCGGTGTTGCGGATAGCTTGTAATGAAGCTCGGATAAGAGATTTCGCGGCCATATAGCGTTATAAGTAGCCAAACCAATCGCACGATATTCAACTTCTGTACTTGATCGAGCAACCTTCCGTTGTTTCTTGGATTTTCATGATATCAATGTATCAAAGATAAATGAGGGGCCCACATGTGGAAATGTGATTGTAGAAATCCCTTGTCCAACCAGAGTTAGAGAACAAACAAAGAGCTAGAGGAGAGGCTCCAAGTCGAATCTGGAGACTATCACGCGTCCTAGCAATGTAGTGAAGAAATCGCTTAACGTGTTGTCAGTGCAAAGATATCGAAGCATGCATATACTAAGACAACTTGTTGATAGCATAGGCAATGTCCCGACGAGTAGTGACCAGATACTAAAGATCCCCAAGTACCTGATGATATAAGGTTGCTTCATATGGGTTGGAGCCATTAGAGAGAGTGAGGTGTGTCGTCGAAGCAAGAGGAGTGAGTTTTGGCTTAGCCTCGTGCATTTGAAAGTGAGTTAGAACATCAGTGGTGTATTTGTTCCGGGACAAAAGAAAGCTAGTGGAGGTCGAAATGACTTCTATACCAAGAAAGTAGTGAACATGTCCCAGATGCTTAAGAGGGAACCGATCACAGAGCTGGCTTGAAATGTGCAAAGAAATGCAACATCATTCCCAGTGAGAAGCATATCATCAACATACATGAGGACATAAGCAAACACATCTCCACGAGAAGTAGACAAAGAGAGAAGCTTCGAAGCAAGTCTTGACAAAGCCATAGGAGAGCAAAAAGGCACTAAGAGCATCATACAAGACAGGTGACGTGATAATTGTCAAAAATATATTGATTCTATGTGTTTAATGTTATTATTTCGTGATATGTGAGATACATAATGTTTGTTTTAGATCTAACTCACCCTTAAATGGTTATAAGATCATACCATCATATGTTAGTATTGTGATATATTTTAAGCGAAAAACAAGAAGAAAAAAGTGAAAACACAAGCAAAGGGACAAAGAAGTACATGAAGGATTTGAATAGGCAAAATGAACCAGATCACGAACCAACTCACTGAAAAGGCCGCAACATCTAAAAAGCCCATCACGATTAAATAGGGCTTGCGGCCCATTCTACTTTCTATATCGGGAATTAAATGGACCAGAAGGGAAGATTGGAGAGGGAGAGCCAGCGAGCAGTGCAAATTGAAGAGAAAAGGGGATTAGTTGGATCGAAATTAATTGGAGGCTGCAGGGGAATTTTGGAGATTTAATTGGACACGGGATGAAATTTTGATTCGAGCATATTTATATATGTTTTACCTTTTCTTGCCTTGAGTGTTTGACTCGGTAATGGTGATTCATCGATCTAGTTTACACTAAGTTGTGCTTCTTTTTTCACATTTCAGATCCTAGTACGTGTGGGAAGGTCGGAGATGAGTTTCGTGACAATTAGAAGTCAAAAGGAGCCAAAGAATGGTGAAGAGGCAAATATCACGGGTTGTAGGTGAAGATCACGACCTCAAGCTGTGAACATTGCAAGAAGGGTGTTATCTTCGCAAGGTTCCAGGAGACTTGAGCCAATTCAGGGGCACTTAGATCATGGTCTCATACTGTGATCTTTACATGGAGAACTTGATCTCGGACATGAAACGCGACACTTTGGGTCGAGATCACGGCCTGGGTGTTGAGATCACGATCATGATATTTGACCCGTAATCTGGGCACTCGGGCAGTATAAAGAGGCAGGAGGTTTGGTTTTAGGTGGGAGCTTGATTTTTCCTTTAGGTTTCGACCCAAACCCCCAAAGAGGTGTTTCTAAAGAGATAGGTCTATGAGGGTTCTCGAAGCTGATTTGGAGGTGCCAATCACCATTGGAGCTTGAAGATCATCCCCTAGAAGAAGAAGATGGAAGAAGTTGAGCCTTGTATCGTAATATAACTAAACCTCTTCTCTTAGGTTGATGAATCCTAGCTCTAGATTTTGGTTTGATGTTGTTATATGCGACAAATCCTATGTTTGATTACTCATATTATCTATATGATCGATGCTTATTATAAACTGCATTAGTGTTGATTCCATTTCATGACATTTGAGGTTTGACCTAGGAGAGAGAAAATCCCCTTTTGTCCCATTCTTGGCAATTAGGATCACTACTTGATCTATGTCGTTCCTGGTTAATCTTTGAGGGAGTGAATTTGATTGATCTCCTAATGAAATAGGATTTGGATTATATCCCTCTAGGTGAATAGAGCACCTTCAATCCTTCACTTTGCATCTTTGATGCGAAAGCAATAAGGTCCATAGTGTCATTTTGGGTAGTGCCAAGTAGAGTATTCCCAATCATGGGGAATTAGCGATTAACACCCTAACTGACTTCGCCATTGTTTGGTATGCCACTCCGGGTAGCGTAATTGGACTGGGTTGGATGCACTCGAATAAGGGGTCCAACCTAGTCTAGTATTCTTCGCGGCAAAGATATCGAGTCAAGCAATCTAGGATAGTGATCAACATCGATCCAAGTGACGGAACTAGGGGGATTCAAGCTAAGAGAGCTCCCAACCTTGTAATTAACTAGTATAGTGGTTAGGTTATATTAGTTAGCTTAGTTTCTTAATCACTATTCTATGTTGGCAAGATAAATAAGTCGAATTAAGGTACATCTAGAGACCAGTGGTTCGATATTTCTATTACTTGCTTACCATATGCTAGACCTGGATGTTGATTATACTTGGCCTTTGATTGAGAAGTTGTATTCAGAGCGAGTCAAGTTTAGGTCGTTACTTTAGTCGTTTTGTATTTGTTTTGTGTTTTTTTACCCATTCTTCGTCTTGAAGGGTGGTGGCTTAGTATAGGCTGACAGTGCCTATCTTGTCAGTGGTGGTGCTAGAGTTCTCTTTTTCATGTGGTCGGGGCTTTGAGGTGGCCGTAATTCTCAATACCACGTAGAAAAATAAATAAAATAATAATTACTTGAGCTAGGGAAATAAAATAATTAAAGCACATGATAGGAGTGTTTAGGGGTTAATGAAGGACAATTTGGTAATTTTTCAGTTAATTTAACGGCACTTAACAAATAATTAGATGGAAGCGTAAATTTGTTAAGTTTTAATATTAGAAGAGTATGTTCATCCAAAAATTTCGTAGACGGGTATTTTTGTTAATCTACAAAAATAGTTAGGTACAAAATGCTATTAACCCATTTTCAATATATATGTATTTTTGCTCCACGTTTTATTATGAATGAATAATAAATCAGTTATGTTAATTTACTTATCGTTATTTTTAGGGGGTGAAAATAAAGTAGTTTATTGAAATTCAATCCGTGAAGCTGATCATGCGTAACAGCTCAAGATCATCATACTAATGGGAAGTTAGGAAGAAACAAGCAGGTAGCAGAGACGATGGCGCAACCGCGCAAGCTGAACCTGCACGGAAAAAACACATCTCTTTGCTGTCTTGGTTCCCATACTATACATGCAAAAATAATACATTTCCCTCATTTGGGCGTGAAGGAAGGTTTAGTCTATTTTATGCAATTAACCATTCTATATGTTTCTTTGGTTATATGTATGATATTTTTGCTTGTGCCAGAAATAGTAGAGGTAAATAGAGATTTGATACATTTTTGTTAATTCATGAACATGATCTATATTGAAACTGGCGAGGTTTCAATATCTTTTTAATCGATACAATATTATCTTTTGTAAAAAAAATGATATTCTTGAACTCCAAATTCGTAAGCATTTCGATATTTGTCCTCGAGAGTGAAACACTATTTTATGAACATTGTGCGAGTGTTTAATATTTGTAAGCATATTGATTTTATTCTCGAGAGATAAAGATCAAAATTATAATCCCATTTTGGTGTTGTGACGACTTTTCAATCATAGTACAAAGTTGAACCACTAACGACAAATAGTAAGAAAAACTGTTAGGCTGATCAGTGGTACATATCCGAAACAAATTTGTTGACTTCTATGAATTCCATAATAGCACGTTAAATCATAAAAAAGATAATAAATAAACAATTACGGGAGCTTCTAATAAGGTGCTAGCTGCTGTAAATGCGACGAAAAGGCAAAGGTGTCGACTCTCGACAGCGGAGCAGCGCGTAGATAAGATGATCAGGAGTAGGGGCTAGAAGTGTTCATGGAATGGCTGAATGCTGATTTGGATTTGGTATTTTAATCACCGATCTATATACTATAATTTTGAAAATAATAAATCCAAATTCATCAAAAAATTAGAACTTTATAATTGAATTGGGTTTTGGTGAATTGTATATTAAAGTAATAACCCAACACAAAAATATGTTATATTTCTGTAATTATACAAAAAAACAACAACATGATTGCTTGTATTAAGTCTTTATCAAAATTTTCAGTTGAAGAATGTATCAAGTTATTAAGACAACGAAAGAAATTGATGACAAAATATCTTAAATTTCTCATAAATATGCTTGTTTATGACAAAGATACGTTTTGGGTATGAACACTTAGGTATCGTTTGCTTGTGAGATTTGAGTGATGTATTTGGTACCCGAATCTCAAGCATTATATATTTGCCAAAATAACATTTTTTGTTGAGGTATATAAATCCGTGGAACCCACGTATTTGCAAATACCATTTTTCATTTGGTATTTGGTCATGGAAGGCAAGGTTTTGTGAGCCATGGTGCAAAAACCTTTAAATCCATGATCAAAATGAACTAAACAAACAATGTTATCTTTCAAATACAAAATGCAACAAATCCATCATAAATTCAAAACTCAAAACCTTCATTTACAAATCCAACAAGCAAACGATAGTACAATAGTTGTATTATGAGTTGGGTCGGTATCTACCACAGATGGTGTAAATCCAAATCCCGCACCCAACCAAATTGTGCACCAAATGTCTTTGAATAAATCTAATAAAATAAAATTTATTATATTAATCCAAAAAATTAAATTATTATATTATGATTTGAAAATAATGTCCTTCAAGTACTTTTTTTTTAAGTAAAACTATTTATGAGCTTTTCAATTTTCGTATTCTCCAAGTGATAATCTCAATTGGGGTTGACAATGTGCCTAAAATGAGTAGGAATTCCAGTAGCAACAAATAGCTTTTTTGACACATTATTAAATTTTTATATATTGAACTATGTTGTTTTTGAACTAGCATATTTCAATTAAATATTAGATCTCAGTGGTTAATAATACATCCTTTCTCAACAAATTAATAATGACAATATGCGGCTTCCATTCCCAAATTAGAATTTGGACCCTATGCGTTGGCTTTGTTGTGATTGAAATGATTCCCATTATTTCTTAATAAACAATAAATATAAAAAGACTATCAAGTATGTATTTTCCTCTTATAATTACCCATACATTTTGAAATTGATCTCTTGCGTGGGCTCACATATAAATTAAGCCCAACATTTATGTGGTAATTATTTGTATAGTGTAGTGAAGTGGAGATTAAGAAATTCGATGGCGTGGACATGGTTCCACAAACAAAAAGTATCGCCCGACGATAAATTTTTATTTCAAGATAAAATAAGAGTAGATTAAGTCGGATTGGACAGTTGTATCGATGACACCATGAAAATTTTAATAATTTATTGAGATAAACAATATATCACACAATACAACGATATATGTGATTTTCCCGTTCAATGTTAACGAGACTACTCCACGAAGAGTTAAAGCTATAAGTCAATCTTATTATTATTGTTAGGGTTTTCTTTATGCACCAATATGCCTTACATACACCTTAGACCCCTCACAAGCAGCTAGGGCTCGGGGTTTAACCAATCACAAAGGGGATATTTTCTGCAAAATCCAAATAAACAAATGCATTGCATTTTACATATGTCTCATCTAACGAGCTTCATCTCGCGGTCGTGAAATGAGACCGTGAAATTATCTATCTTGTGAATGCCTATTTTATTTGTCTCACGACCGTGAAACCTAGCCGTGACATGACATGTGCTTGTCCGGCAATATGATTCATTACAATACAATGAGTAGTGTGTGTGTTTTTTTTTTTCTCAGGGAATACGCACCTCTTATTTGGTTTGGTGTACACGGCTAATTAATTAGAATGCGAATTTCATTGAAATGATAACATAGACTTGTATGAATTAGAGAGAGAGAGAGGGTTGGAGGTGCAGGAGCATAGACTTAGAAGATAAGCCATGAATTTTACTTCCAAGTTTCTTGTCTACCAGCCTCCCACCACCGCCCCAATCTACACGTCTCTCTCTCTCTCTCTCTCTTCTTTCTTTATCCACTTCCCTCGCAAGATTAGGATCCCCCGTCAATAATTAAACTATTCTAACACGCAAACAATGGGAGAAGTAACATAAATCCCAAGGATCAACACATATATTTATCTATAGATTAACCAGCTTCTTTTTCAGTGGCGTAATTACTGAAAATGACAATTCGATATTGCCCGGTTTTTATTTATTTATTTCAAATCTGGATATTGCAAGTTACTAATAAGACATGTTCAATGATTGTAACCGGAACACTAAACACGGCTGTTCTAAGAATATATATAAAATGGGAATAAACAGAAAAAGCCAAAAAGGCAGCCCTCTGATTTACATTCTAAAAACACACACATAAACACAGAGGATCACGCCGCGCTACCTCACTAATCACCCTCTAATCTAATCCTATCCACCCTACATAAAAAGCTAAAAAAAAAGAAGAAAATAAAACACACCAGAAATCAGAGGGATTAATAGAGAAAAGCGAAGAAGACAAAAAAGAAAAGGGAAAATTACACCAGTACCCCTACCAGCCGTCTGGATAAAACGTAAAACAAAAGTAGGAGTTAGAAAACTACAATCAGTCCGCCGGTGGAGTGCATGAGAGCGAAATGATCATATATATATATGATCATGTTTAACTCCCACATTAATCCAATCCTGTTCAAATAATTAGTACCGCAGAGTCTACGATACAGCTAATTAATTAATTAATTATATCATTTCCCCCCTCAAAAAAAAATTAATAGTTAACAAAAAGAATTAGGTTGCGTCGCGTTAATCTTCAAACCCGACCTTCTTCCAAACCGCATTTCTGACCTGCCTCAAATCCCTCCCTTTCAGAGTCCTCCCCGCCCCTTCATGAACCGACAACGACGCCCCTCGCCGCCGCGCCAAATACTCGTGCGGCGGAAGCCTCTCCGCTCCCCCACCCGACGCCCACTCCTCCTCCTCCTCCTCCTCGTAATCGTCGCTGTCCTCCTCCTCCTCCTCCAGATGATCGCCTAACTCGCTCATACTAATACCCACCTCCGCCGCCCTCCTCCTCCTCCGCCGCCGCCCACCGTAGCTCTCCTCCTTGTAAATCTTCGACCAGTCCGGTATGTTCAGCGGCAGCGACGCGCTCGTCGGCACCGCCGCTGATCTGAACCCCGCCGCCGGAAGTCTCTTGTTGCCGCCGCCCTTCGATCTCGACCGGTAGTGATTGGCGCCGCCGTCTCCCGACGACGACCAGACCACGTCGGACTCCTCGAATTCGAAAACAGTACTCTCCGGATTGATCTCCACTTCCGACCCCGCGAAAATGTTGCTGCGGAACAGTTTCCCTGACCTCGCCGCCATTTTCCGATCTAGCGGTCGATTAGGAAAAAAAAGAGAAGAGCGGAGAATGAATAAACCTTTGTTTCTTGGGGAAGGGAAAGGAAGGAGATGGGTGTTTGAAATGGGGAGGAGGCCGTATGGTATGGAAGTAGTTTTATAGTCCAGCAAATGGATAAGCATTGTGCTTTTCTGTTTTCTTCTCTCTCCTATTACTTCCTTCATCTCTCTCTCCCTTTACTTTTTTACCATTTAGGGAGTGAATTGTTAATTAACGTCGCTCTGGGGAAAATGGTATTATAATAATTAAGAATAATAACAGCTGAGCTGTGGTGGTGTGAAACGAAACATTTTTCTATCTCCTATCCTGGCCGTCTAATGGGATGACCTCCCGCAGATTTAGATGACAGGAGAACGCCACGTAAGAAATGGTTGGTACCAATGTAATTGCAATTAAGGTGACACTCTTGAACAAAAATATTACTTGTTGGTTGGAAGGTTGGATAGATTGAATATAAACTATTATCAATATTGAGATAGTTATAAGAATTCGAATATGCGACTTCTTAATTGAAAATTTTGATACTATGTTAATGAAATAATCATACAATCCCACCATTTTGAATTATTAAAACAGATTGATTTTATGAGATTTTGATATTATTGTTTGGGATTTAATTAATTTCTGTGTAGCCAATTATTGGTGCAGCACTGCAGCTCTAGTCTCTAGGGTTAAGATAGGGACGAATTTATCCATTCAGCGAGGGGCGGGGAGGACACGTGTGCCAATCAAGGAGTGACGACGTAGCGCTAACTGTTCAATTGGCTGGGTTGATGGATGCTGGTCGACTACTGGTGCTGGTTACCAGACAAAAAATGAAGACCCAAAGCCCACACCTTTTCCTAATTTTGGTCGTTTGTATATATTACTCACATATAAAAAATATTAGATCTGTTTTAAAATGATCAACTCAACATATAAATACAAACTAAAAAGAAAATAACAAAGTTTAATAGCACATTCTATTAATTTGTTACATATTTTATACATACTAAAATCTCCTAAATTTGTTTTTGTTTTCAATTTTATTTATAGAAGAAAAAATAAATAAAAGTACACGCATCTCCTTTACACCACAACCCCCCGAGTTTTGGGTTGGGATCCTATCAGTAATTATCGGTATCCACTTCCTCTGTTCTCCACATGTAAGCCTTTACCTTTTGTTTAAATTAAACACGAAAGGGCAGTACGATCTATTTAATAATGAGTGCTCACACTAACTTTTGACCAGATGTGAACCCCAATCACCGCCCCACGCACGTTCCCCCCTCTCTCTCACTCTTTGTTTTGTTATTAAAAGAAAAATTACATTATTTCTTATCTCTCTTATCTACAAATAAAAGATGGAGAGAAATGTATATGCTCTCTACACTCTAACTCTAACTCTACAACAAAAATGAATCTAACCATCACAACTATCTGTGGTCTAATTCCATACAATACCATAGGTAAAACATGCTACAAAAAGGTACAAATCAAACTACCATACAATAACATAGGGTATAACATGCAAAAAAATTACAAATCGAACTACCATACAAATACCACATGGTCTACAAAAAATTATAAATCTAACTACCATATAATACTACCATAGTAGAACATGGTAAATCGAATTATCATAAATTAATTATAATTATCATATAATACCACATGGTAGGAGAAGGTAAAACCATATAAAGTAGTATACATCTAATTACAGCCCTATACGACCAAATATAAACATAATTTCTCTGAATTGGTGTCGATTACCACCCAATACCATATGGTATAGTCTGGTAATATTACATGATACCACACAATAACATATGGTATAGTGTGGTAATATCAATATATATTTCGTTACCACACAATACCATATGGTATAGTGTGGTAATATTAATACATATTACCTAAAAGAATAAGAAAAAAAAATCAGAAGGAGGGAGAGAAAAAAAACTCGTCTTTTGTCTCCTCTCATTTCCTCATCCGCAATAAAGAACACCAAATGCCAAAAAAAATCAGAATTGATGAAGAGAAGGAACACAATGAAAGATGGTGGCTGCAATTTTTTCCGTCAATTGCCGGAGAAAAAAAAAATGAAGAAGAAGAGAAGGGAGAATATCTAGATTTAGAAAAGGAGATTGGGAGAGAGAGAGAGAGGAAGAGAGAAAGAAAAAGGAGAGTTGAAGAGAAAATACAATTTATCTCTCTTCCATTGAAAAGTGACCTAGTTAATATCGGATAAATTTAAAATTTAAAATTTAAAAACGGAAAAATGCCCCTCTCCACCCCCGCGTCCAGCCAAGTCGCACAATGGCTCCGTTCCTAGATCTACGATCCCTATGTGGTCATTGACTTGTCAGTAACCAGTGGTTACTGACCGTATCCCAGACCCAAGTTTTCCTCAACCGGCATCCCAGTACCACACACCCCACGATCTTGCTCGTTCACAACATCTTCTAATTTTTCTAGCCATCAATAGTCAAACCTTCGTTCTCTTCCTTCAAAAACCCATTCATTTCCAAAATTAAAAAAATCCTTAAACTGAAAAATTCTCGTACCAGTTCAAACAATTTTTAGATCAGTGGCCACATCAATAATCTCATGGAATATATCTCTTTCAATGTAGTTCCGAGCTCTTAAACTGATTGAGTTCATGGCGACTGTAAAGAGCGGGGATTCTATAAAGCTTTAGTCATCGTTGGTGATTTGCAGATCACTCGCTTGCTGATCTTAACCCTGCAAAGAGCTTGTGATGCAATCAATTAGTTTTTTTCTTTACTCTCAACCACCATATGTATGTCTTTCTTTAGATAAACAACCGACCATTGTCTTTCGAGCACACCTATTAATTCGTGAATTTCCATGCATAATTCGCACTTCTAACGTATATCAATTCTCAAATGTTTTTTTCTAATTCCCTCAAGTTTTCACTTGCATGCTCTAAAGCATTTGCGCCCACCCATGTCCCTCTAATTGTGTGACTTAAAGATTAATTAACATTAGAGAATGTGTAAATACTTTCTAGCATTACGAAAGAAGTTAAATAACACAACCATACACATTTAGATAAATATGTCACTACGTATTCCTAACATCCATGTCAAAGATACTCATTAATTGCCCTCTGTAAAGTTGAACCAAATATTCCGTATTTCCAGTGGTAGAGATGAAGCTATCTTCCTAAAAAAAAAAAAAAAAAAAAGAGATGGAACTATCAAGTTTGGAAGTAAATAAAATTAGGGATGGCAAAAATATCCGTAACCGTGGATATTCGTCCGAACCCGGCCTAATCGGGTAGGGTAAAACCCGAACCCGAAGGACATTTAGTGGGTACTGGTAAAACCCGAACCCGAATATTGCGGGTAATGGGTGGGCATGGGTTTCTCAGTATCCAACCCGAACCGCCCGATTATACACATACATATGTATTTTGTATAGAAATAGTCATTATTTTTCTCTAACATATTTTATATTTAGCATATAAATATAATATTTTCATGAAATTGTGTTGTTTTAACTAATTTTCTTCGTTCTAGTGAATTATTTTCATACTTTTCCTCTTGCGTAATGTGAGAATACGTGTGAATGTTAACATATTAGTTGGAGTTATGACGATAAATCATTACCCATGGATAACCGTGGATACCCGAAACCCGAACGGGTATGGGCATGGTTTTAATTTCTACACGTTTCATATGTGTGTATGGGTATGGGTAAAACCCGAACTACTTTGGGTAGGGTAACAGATATGCACTATCCGTCCCCGACCCGACCCATTGCCATCCCTAAAATAAATCAGGCAATGCCAAAAATGTTCAGTTCATCTATTGTTTACCTTCCTTCTCATTGTCCACCTGCCTGCAAACATGTCTGATCATCTTTTGTTGTAAATAGGTATGGTATAAGGTTTTTTCAAAACTATGTTGGATACTTAAACAAGAGCAAAACGTCTGTGGTGTTCATGCAGAACTCTATCGTGATTATACTCGGAACAAACTCATCGACCTTGTACTTTGATATTTTTTTGAAAGAGGGTTCTTCTGTTCTTGAAAATATGGAAAACTTCATTACTTCAATATATGTAATTACAATGTAATCCAAATATAATGCGTGGAGAGCCAAATTCCATAAATAATCCAATTATATCTTCAGCTATAGCTTCCCACCATACAACACTAGATAGGAATCTGTCATGACTTAAACACCAAATCTACACATAATATAATACACCGAAGAGAAAAACGGGAGCCCCATTTCAAATTTCCTGCAACGAGAGTGAAAGTAGGAAGGACATTTTGGTCTTCACAATTACTTTTTTTTTATTCATTAAAAATATATGTACTGGGATTCAAACCATGACCATTTTAAAGAAAGGCAAGGATCATAACCAATCACACTAAGTACATTTGTTGTATCCTTTTAAATTAAAAACATATAATAGCAGGGTGGAAAAAACTCTTCCCCCATTTCAAATTCCCTGTTCCATGAGCGTTTGTAGGAAGGGTAGAATAGGGAGTGTCAATTTTTTTCTCTTTTCTCTGTGGAACGGGCCAACTTACCGTACACATGCGGATTTAAACGAGTCCAGGAGTGTCAATTTTTTTCTTTATACATTTTTATTTATCTGTGGTGATAAAATATATATGAAAAGGCAAAAATAATACTTCTTTTTATTGTTAAAAATAAAAAATTTAACAATAGACTAATGCATGGTATCTAATGGGCTAACCGCTAACCATAAAATAAAAGAGTTGAATGAGCCTGACCTACATGGGATTTGGTCATCAAGTAAAACAAATGAACATCATGGGTTTGCCATTCTAAAACAAGCTATTTTCTCTGGCATAATATATATTATGCTATTATTTTATATCTTAGTGGCTAAAATATAATGTATTTTAAAGTTATTCAATGGTTCAACCTCGACCAACCCAATTAGTCCAATTTTTATCATTTCAAATATATATTTTATAATTATTTGACATCATAATGATCAAATTATAGTATATTTTATAGGGAATCGTTTGGTATTTGTTAGTAAAAAACTAAACATAAAAATCTATTTGGTTATTTTAAACATTAAAACGATCCTCAACATTTTCAGTTCCTTTTGAATTTATATGGTTTTATTCCCGAATAAGTGATGTGCAAATGGCGAATTGTAGTCGTCTTTTTTCTTTCACTATTTTTTATTTTCAAATAGAAAGTTTAAAAGTAAAGAATAATTAGAATTTGGCATGGGTCGGTCAAACATGTTGAATTTCAAGTTTTGGCCCATTTGTTTTATGCATTACAAATTTATTAGCATGTTGATGGAAATGGCTTGGAAAAAAGACATATAAGTTGTATCTTTGCATAAATGTCCTCAAATGTTTGAATGCTTTGTGAATCAGGTTCTGTGACTTTTGTGATGGTGTATGTGCTTGACGATTGCTCGATGTTGTAACTACTTAATTTAAGAGTAAATCTTTTGATTTTCCCTATGAGTTGTGATACCAGTTCTGGTGGTTGCAGCATGTTGTCGTTGTTGGCCTGTAAAAGTTGTTTCGCCGTGATGCTAAATATCTTTCTTTCTTTTTTAACAAATTGTGTAGTAGTGCTATGAAACAGACCACCCATGAATGCTACGCTTATTATGGTATGTTCTTACTTCCGGTGGTGAGAAATTGTGAATTGAGAATCATATTCGCCTACCGCACTATGTCTGGTTGGTGGCTACTTACTGTGCTCTCTAGAGTTATGAAACAGACTACCCATGAACTTTACCCTTAAGAGTCCATAACTTTGCGAAAAACCAAATATAGGCAATCAAAGGTGGTGGATGTGTGATGATTTTTTATGGCTTAATTGTTTGTAAATTAGATATCTGATCTTTGTATGATTAGAGGGGATGTTTGCTTAATAGAATAATCCATTTTAATTCATGTTTATTTTTAACATGAACTTTAGTAGCTCAAAACCTTCGAGACACATATCACCTACTGCATTGTATCATTTTGCCTGGGTGCTTGCTGTGTTGTCAAACTTCTTTGCTGCTGATGCATTTACACTAACAGGGGAGTTAAGAACCCATGAATGTTTCCGTTTGACACAAACAAGAGGACTTACTTCTAAATCGTGCACTAAAGATGATTGGAGGAAACATCTCTGTTGCAGTTGATACACTGGAGACCATAACAAAAGCAACGTATAACATCAAAACCAACCATCTGAACTATTAGCATTGTTGCTTTACTCTTTTTTCGTGGTTGAGTCTCCTTCAGAAAATTTAGTTTGATTTTATAAAATTTTGCTTCTGCAGTCTTGTCTTGCCACCAACGCGTTCAGTAGATGGAGATGGCAGAGGCGAAGGCTATTTTGTGTTGTTGTTGCTGGTTTAGGGATCGGTTTGTGAAGAAGAAGGAGAAGAGAGGGGGAAAGGGAAATGCATGAGAGGGGGATAACTCTTTTCTCCGACAAAAATTGAGTGAAGAAAAGAATTATGATCAGTAAGGATATGGTTATCTTACATAACTGTGTCTATTCTGTTTGAATTGAGCTTGGGAGGTAGTGATAAGGACGAGCTGCAACCAATTCATAGTGATAAGAGTGCTATTAACTGTGATCATGTCTTATTTCAAGTTAGAAGGTAGTTTCAGTATAGGAATTATTTAATTTGACAAGTTGTTTCGTCCATGATTCTTGGTAGTTTCAGTGCCATTCTAGCCATTGTTTAGTCTGTAATTTTTGAGAATTGATGTGCGAGTAATGACTTTCACTTAGCTTCAACTATTATGTGTGTATTTATTGGCATGTGATAGAATTCTCTTTTTCCTTTTCTTTGAATTCAGTTTCATACTCTAATTGTATCATTTGTACATAGGCAAATCATGCTCGAGATGACAACTCGCTGATATGGCTGGTGCAAGGAATGAAGCCATCATTAAAATTCAGACCGACAACGGGGAGGGATGCCCAGGACTAATTCAATGATGATTGATGATGGTATGATAAAAACTGCCGTCTGCATCAGCACCAATTTCTAGGCCTAAGTAAAGTTATTCAACCCAGAACTCTGCTTAGCGCTAAAAATTGCCCTCACCCAACCTTTATCCTGTTTGACCCACTTCTGAAGAGTCAAGATATATTACTAATTCTCTCCGTTTGTATTTTCTTATTGACTCTTTCTGACCCTTTAGGTTGGGGCGGGTCGGGAAGAATCGGATTAGTGGGCCGGTCTTAATCAAGTGGAATCCCAATCTCTTCACTCTCACTTGCTTTCTCTCCCATTCCACAAGTGGGTAACATACAGTAATCCGGCCAACGGGCCGGGTAATAAGCTAGTTCCATATAATCCTCGGCTTCAATCACTCCCATTATGTCGTAATGACATTTTATCTTCTGAAACCCAGGCCCTTTAACACATTTCTACTGATGAGCCCAGCTCGCAATCAGAAGGGCCATCGGCCCAACAGAGTCCCAAACGATAATTTCATAATTCCCAGTCCAGTCTGCAAAACCCTAGATCGGCCCCTGATTTAATCTCATAACACCAATTCACCTCCCATATAGCAGCTGCGCCACCAAACAGCCTCGCTTCCCCCTTTCTCCCAAACCCTACAATCCCCGACAGCCGCCGCAACCATGCCGCCGAAGTTCGATCCCTCTCAGGTGGTGGATGTCTTCGTCCGAGTGACCGGCGGTGAGGTCGGAGCAGCATCCTCCCTCGCTCCCAAGATCGGTCCGCTGGGTCTGTCACCGAAGAAGATTGGTGAGGACATCGCCAAGGAGACCGCTAAGGACTGGAAGGGATTGCGCGTCACCGTCAAGCTCACAGTCCAGAACCGTCAGGCGAAGGTGACGGTGGTGCCGTCGGCTGCTGCTCTTGTCATCAAGGCCCTGAAGGAGCCGGAGCGTGACAGGAAGAAGACGAAGAACATCAAGCACAACGGGAACATCTCGCTTGATGATGTGATCGAGATTGCTAAGGTCATGAGCCCTCGATCCATGGCGAAGGATTTGAGCGGAACGGTGAAGGAGATCCTGGGGACTTGCGTCTCCGTGGGTTGTACTGTCGATGGGAAGGACCCGAAGGATCTCCAGCAGGAGATTACCGACGGTGATGTTGAGATTCCCTCTGAGTAAAAAGGTTCTATTCGAGAGCAGGAAATGAAACTTTTATGTTCGTCTCCTTTTTGCTCCCCCCTGTTTTATTTGTTAGTGTTTTCACTTTGTGAAATGTTACTACTCTCAGTTTTGGATTGTGAAAGGAGTTGAAACTTGAAAGGTTTAGACGAATACCGTGAATTTATCTGAATGCTGGATCAATGGGTAGTTCATTCTCTGGTTTCTAACTTGGTGCTTGATGATGTGAATGGAGGTTCTATTTGAGGTAATTGTGTTGTTACTTGTTTGCTATTGGGGTTGGAGATCTTTGCCATTAAGCATTGCTATTTGGTTGCAAGCTCAGTTCTGATTCTTATTTTGGGTTGTCTCTGATTGCTTTCGTGTCTCTGGTAATAGGGTCATAATATGATGTAATTCACTGATCTCATTCATGGAACCAACCCATATAATGGATTTAGTTGCTTGAAGGGTAGTAGGTATGTGTTACCGTTCGACAGCGGTGGATGATGCTCGGTACTAAAATTTGGATCTTGGTCCCGGAGACTGTTGTAATTTGTTCATGAGGGAATTGTTTTCTGTAGGATTCAACTTCAGCTAAGAATGTCTATTGTAGAATTGGCTAAGTTTTGTGTCTTTTAAAAGTAGTTTTATTAGCCTGCCATGTATGGGATATTAGTAAGCTTATGGAGTCTTGGCTGAAGACTCTTGCAGCCTTGACTTATGTTTTAGGTTTCTGGTGCAGTTGGATGGTCGTGTGTTTGTACAGGAGGGAGACAACAGACAAGCTCTGTTTTGTTGCTTGGTTAAGCACTTGGCAGAATCCCTTTGCTGTTAATGAAATGTTGGTTACGTAAACTGAGCAAGGAGATGCTGTTTTTAGTCTCGGGAAATAAACTGTAGAGGTTGAATACTTTCTGGTCCGTTCATGGAATGTGATTAGATTGTTGTCCATGGCTGTGACTTGTCATTGGGGTCGTGTGCTTGCTGTATTATGGGAGCAAGGCGCAGGGCTTGTAATGAAGAGACAGTACTCATGGGGCAAATTGTGTATTCTTCTGGGCCTAGCGAAATGTTACAGCTGGGCATGAAAACGAGAAAAGCAAGCAACTGGCTGGGCTTCCTCCTCCGGCTGCTGCAACTAGCTAGTATCGTCCTTTGACGCGTATGGTGTGATGTATAGTACTGCTGTGGTTGTCTTTGCCTTGGCCGTCGCTTAGTGTAATATATCTGTGAACAGTACACAAACAAACGAGCACACAGACACACGGTTTTGTAACATTTGGTTGGCTTATCGGGTCGGGTTGGGTAATTTCGGGTTAGGAACTTCGGTTATGGTTCGGGTTATATTTGGTTGGTTTATTTTGGGTGAAATATTGACCCAATCCATTCGGTTTCGGGTCGGGTTACAGGTCATTTCGGGTTATGAGCGTTCTCAGAAACAATATCAAACATGTTTCATATTTTCTTAACGAACACAAATTTTCACATATGCATAACAATAGTTTACCTAACACATGTCAATTGATATATTATATTCTCAAATCCTCCCACGCTAATGATATGAAATATAAATTGCGCAAATCGTCAAAAAATAATCACAAGAGTAATACTACCACAAGAAACATATGATATTTGATTATCCTTAAAATCCAAACATGTCATTCAAATCTTTGTGATTTTTTTAAACATCTCACCACTTTATGAGTGATTTTATCATATTTTTGGAGTACTATATTAAATGGAACGGGTCTAACGAGTCGACCCGCTAATCCACCCAACCCGACCCAAAAAATCACGGGTTATCGGGTTCGGGTCATTCGGATTTCGGGTTACAAAAATCTCTAGTTTTCGGGCGGTTTCGGGTCGGGTCAACAAATCGAGTTGTAATTTGCCAGGTCTTTCTTGCGTCCCTTCTCGAACTTTCCTAATAACCTGGGCTTACGTGGGTTTCCCGGAAGCTAATAAGCTCTTTCTCTCCCATAAAAATCTGGGTGCTGTCCTTGCTGCCTGGAGAAGACAATTGGCAGTGTCAGCATCCTGCTGATATTTTCGTTTGGGAAACAATTATACATAGTAAATGAATAATGAACGCGTGGAACACTAACCCACCGTCCCACTGCTTCCTGTGGCTACTATACCAGTGGGTGGGGCCTTAACTAAGCAAACAAACGTGGAGAGGAACCAAGTAAAGTAAAGTGTATCTTCAGTTCTCCTCCTGATTCTTAGGGTAATATCTGTCTTGTCTTCATCTCCAGCTTCCGCCTATTATAAAAAAACAGAGGGCCATCTTCAGCTTCCGCCAAAGAAAACACCAGCTATCTACCAAATCGCATACTACAGAGTCCGTCGCCTCAAGTGAAGTGCAGCAGTGACAACAATGGTGGGGAAGGAGAGCAGCAGCAGCAGGAGGGGTTGGGTGGAGGTGGCTCCGTCTCCTATAATCCGTCCTTGTAAACCCTCCAAAAGTAGCATCACCAAGTCCCCCAGTTTGGAGACCATCACTGAAGAAGAACCCTCACAAGCCCAGGATTTTCACCATGCATCCTCATGATCCATCAAACCCTCTCCTCTCTTCTTGTTCCTTTAATTTCGTCGGCCAATCATTGGATGGATGGATGGATGTATGCTGTTATAGTTGCTCATCTTGTAACAGAGTAGTATAAGATCCATACGTTTTTATATAAATGGACCGAGGAGGAGTTCTATGTCACTGCATTTTGTGTTTGGGTTGGGGATCATTTCTCCCCTTCTTCCCCTCGCATTTCTGTTCCCCGCCCCATCCAGTGATGATGATTGACATATGGGATTCCAACAAGTTAAGTTTATGATCACCATTCCCCCCTGAATCTAAGGCGCTTTTGTTCGTTTTGCCATCTACCCTCCATCTAAATCATGGCTGGGATGTACGTATCCAACTCGCACAAGCAAATTTGATACGACTAATTTAATAAAAACAGAGCAATGGAGACCCATAGTGTGATATCTGTCCAAACCAGATCATCACCAAGTTATGATTAGGCATCCTTCCTTATGTGATGCAAAATACGTCAAGTACTGATCGTATACCATTTCCATGATTCATCCTTATGCGACATTCAGTTTACTACTCCATACATATATTGATGATCGAACAATTTACAAGTGACAAAAAAAACCCGAACGCAAATGGAACACGATTAATTGTCAGCCAATACACGCAAAAGAAGGAAGAACCAAAAGCTACGGTTTTCGCATGAGCACACCTCCAAAACCCTTTCTTAACCCAAATCCCTTTTTAATCACACTCATCTTTAATACTCGTGCACAAATATGTCTAATTTATAAATTAAAAGATAAATTATGTATGATAAATCATTAAATTTTTACGAACTACACAATATAATATATGAGCTCGAACCAAGTATGCGAGTTGATTGATGTGCCACAAAGTCGAGTAGAATTAATAAATTTGTTAATGAGTCAAGCTCTCGTCAAGCACAAACCAATATATATTAGTAAATAAGTCAAACTCCACTCAATTATTAGCCAATGTTTTAGTAAATAAGTCGAATTCCGCTCATTTATTAACTAGCTAAACTAAACCCAAATTATGCCAAAACTGGTTTTCCACTCTACACATTTGCCTGGCCTTTTAAGCACAACTAACATGTGACGAGGTGGAATTGGAGTGAAGAGCAATTTGCGGCCGTCAATCACCAAGAGAGATGCAGAGCCAAGCCAAAGCCAACCAGCAAAGTGTGCCGTCGCCTAGCTCTCCACGTTTTCAATTCCACTCTCCCCACTTTACCTTTTATTATAGCTTTTGACTCCTTCCAATTAGGTAAAGCGTGTTTATCAGGAAGCTTCTTTGTCAATTCCCCCCCAATTCACTTGGGTATTAAACGGACAGACAGCAAACCAGCTTATCTCCATAATCGACTGAGCAGCCACCACCTTCATCGGAGTCGAATTTCAGAAGCAAGCAAGCAAGCAATCAGCACCTTCCACTCTGGTTTTCTGAATGGCTAAGGCGATCGTCGCCAGAAGGCCTTTCATCAATCCGTGGGCTGAGGTTGCACCGCCACTGTTTGTCAAGTACCCTTGTGCTGCTGATTCCCCTGCTACTACTAGATTTAGATTACAGCCCATTGCAGAAGAAGACGAAGGCAGTGAAGATCAGCATGATCAAGAATCTCAAGTTGTAGAAACCGGGAGCTAGCTGATCATCTACCCCCAACCCAACCCCTTTTCTGTTTCCTTCTTAATCTCATTTATATCTGCTCGGCTCCTCTGGCTCCGAGAAATTGTGTATCATTTGGAAAAAAAGGGATGTGTTTAATGTTATGTTGTCGGGGTTTCCAAGTCCGAATGAGGATTTTTATAGTTTTCTTTCTTGTCTCCGCCAAGTTTTTTCGAGAGGAGCTTAAACAAGTTAAAAGCCTGTGTTGCTTTTGGGTTGGATTTCCATTTTTTTAACCGTTCGACAACCTCCATCATGTTGACGGAATTCAATCGGCCGGCGGCGACCGGAGCCTCTGTAGCCGATCTGGACCATATAATATTCTCTTGTTGTGTACCTGTTATCCGCTGCCTTTACAACTACAGTGGGCCGGACCACTTAACTAAAAGCCTTGCCTACTCTTTCCGGCCCAATTCCATGCCACGTATCCATTTTTTCTAGCTAGCCCAGCCCACTCATCGCTAGTCCTCGCTCGGCGTCCCTCGCGGCATAGATCTTCAAACCCCCACGACCTCAATTACTCTTCTCGCCCCCAATCTTCCTCTCACGCGTGGCCCCATCTCTTTTCTTTCTCTATTAGCTTGTTGCCGTGTAAAAACCATACCGTATTGGTAATCCGATCAAGAAAATATCATACTAAAGTTTAAATTGACAGACATGTTTTAGTGATATGAGATGGTTGAATTACGGTTAAACCACGATCTATGCATATAATATCGTATCATTCATTTTTTCAGTACAACCTCTGATATGATTTTATAATCTTCGGTTTGATATCCAACCTGTGGGTCGGAATATCATTTCAAGACTACTTATTCACTATGTGTATTAAAGACTGGAACACGTCGGTTTCGTTTTAACCGAAAATCGAAATTTCGATTACCGGTTAGCCGAAACACTACCACATGCCCACTGATAGCCCTATTGAAAGAAAGTCTCGGTTAACTGGCCAACCAACCAAGCGATTTTCGGTTGTTGGCTCAGTTAGCCGTGACACCAAAATTTTGATGGTGAGGTCAGTTTTACCAGGTAACCGACCGGTAACCGACCTGACACGAGCACATGCCCGCCGATAACTTGACTCGCCTGCACCAGTGGCGGATCCAGGGGGTGGCCACCCCGTGCCACGCCCCAGCCCTCCTCTGGATCCGGAACTAGTATAGCCCTTATGCGTTTATTGATTTTAGTCATTTGGTCTAGTGTTATTTTATAATAAAATTGTGTGTAATTAGGAAAATGGTTAGGATGACCATATTCAAATCATAACTCTAAATTTAGTCTAGTAATTCTAGCTCAAATGAGTCTCGTCTAAAGAAAAACAAACAATGAAATCTAAAATTCTAAAAGTCTAAAAAGTAAAAGGCTAAAAGAAATATGAGATTTGTTCACTTGAAAAAATCACTAGAGCAGGTGGTGTAAATAGGGATGGATACACGATACAAATTGATTAGTCAATTGATTTGTCTAGTGTTGACATTGTACGTTTCAACAGCTACTATGGAGAGAACATTTTCAACAATGGACCATGTGAAAAATGATTTGCACAACAAAATGAGCGATGAATTTCTCACTGATTGGTTAACTATTTTATTTGAAAAAGAGTAGTATGCGATTAGTATAGATGTAGACTCCTTTATTGATCATTTCACTATATTAAAAGATCGACGTGTATGATTGATATTGTAAAAAAATTATAATTTTTTGCGATATCTAATTTTATAATGAAATGCGGTCCAGTACTCTACTATGTCCTAGATCCGCCGCTGGCCTGCACAGTTTTCAATTCTCTTCCTCCACGCCCATACCATTACCAACTCATACCAACCCATCAAAGTGTGAGCATAATTGAAATCTAGTGGAGAAAATGTAATTGTAGGCGTAGCTAAGAAACGTGATCTGCATCATTGTATTCATCTATTCTTTGTACTGAAGTATAGGTGAGTTTGTGCAGAGTTTGAAGGACAATTTACAGGGGAGTTGAGTAGTGAGATACATATAGGTAGGGGGCTAAAACAAAATACAAAAGAAATTATTATTCTTTTTTTTCTTTCTTCGGAACGATAGCTTGCATTAAACAAGAATAGATAGCTATTATTCTTTCTCTCTAACACAAAGAAAAATCCACTCAAAATCCCTCCCTCCCGAAACTGATCCCCATCTTCTCGCGAAACCAAGAAAAAAGGGAACTGAAATCAAAATCGTAAGGAGAAGAAATCTCTGATCCCTATAAATAGGTGGGTTAACCCTTAGTTTTGCAATGCGAATGAAATGGTAACTGATTAAGAAGAGCAACCTTATTCAGGATGAGAGAGAGGACTTCAATGACTAAAGTGAAGAGGTACGGTGACAGCGAATCACCCTGCCTCACCCCTTTACAAGCTGAAAAGAAGCCACACAAACCCAATTTATACTAACACTGAAGAATGCATATGACAGACAGGTTTTGATCCAATTGATGAAGAGCTGAGGAAACTGCATAGTTTCCATGACGTGGAATAAAAGCTCCCAATGCACCGAGTCAAAAGCTTTTATAAGGTCAACTTTGACCGCACATCGAGAGCTAATATTCTTGTGCCTATATTTAGAGATCATTTCCTGTGCCATCAGCATATTCATCCAGGCCTCAGTTTTGTTTTAGACTTGAATCTCCAACGTCCAGACAATAGTATCCTTTGATTTTTGTAATATGACAAGAGTTATTGTTTATATATATACTAAAATAGTAATACACACCAGCACGACAGCAAAACGTTATTTTTATTATTATCATTGGAAGAGAAGGTCGAAGGAAGAGCAAACAAGCATTGCTGCAGGAAATCACAAATTCATTTTGGCCACACAAATTAAAACAAGATGGCCCAGAAAGAAAGAAAAAAAAAGCACTCGGAGGAAGAAGCTAAACCCAAATTGATGTCTCGACGACCATACTTGACTGATACAACAACAACAACAACCAATGTACATTTTCCATTGAGAGATTACTCTCCAGCTACACCTGGAACCCCATTTTTCCCCGCCTGATTGATGGGATGGAGAAGCTTAGATGTTGGAAGAGCTCCTGAAGGACCCAAGAGCCTTGATAGCTCCAGCTCTCAGTATGTATTGATGGTAGAATGCAGCAATTGCAGCTCCAATGAACGGTCCAACCCAGAACATCCACTGTGGAGGAATCAAATATATTAAAACAAGTTAGGTTAACTTCCCGATTCTAAAAATACTCTGTTTTTTTTCCCCCGAAGCAAAGACCAAAAAAACAGAGGATGGAAGGAAAGAATTGAATTGAATTGGTACATGGTCATCCCAAGCCTTGTCCTGGTTGTAGATCACCGCCGCTCCGAAGCTCCGAGCCGGGTTGATCCCGGTTCCAGTCACCGGAATTGTAGCCAGGTGAACCATGAACACGGCGAACCCAATTGGGAGTGGCGCCAGGACCTGTAAAATTGCAGGGGGGAAAAACCTTCAATTGAAGCTGAATTCCAAAACTAGGGTTTGGGTTCATTCAAAAAACAGCGCTACTTACGGGGACATGGGAGTCTCTGGCGTTTCTCTTGGGGTCAGTGGCGGAGAAGACAGTGTACACAAGAACGAAAGTGCCGATGATTTCCGCACCGAGCCCAGTCCCCTTGTTGTACCCATCGGCGAGCTCGTTCGCTCCGCCGCCGTACCTGGTGTAGTAGCTCTTCTGAAACGCCTTGACGAGCCCACACCCGCAAATTGCGCCAAGGCACTGGGCAGCCATGTAGAGCACGGCCCGGACGAGAGAGACCTTCCTGGCGAGGAAGAGGCCGAAGGTGACGGCGGGGTTGATATGGCCGCCGGAGATGCCGGCGGTGCAGTAGACGAGGACGAAGATCATGCCGCCGAATGCCCAGGCGATGCCGAGGATGCCGACGCCGCCGCAGGGGTCGACGGCGGGCTTGTTGGGGTCGACCTGGCTCTTGTATCCGATGACGGTGAGGACGGTGATGTAGAGGAAGAGGAGGGTGGCGATGAACTCGGCGATGACGGCGCGGTAGAGGGACCACTGGGTGAGCTCGTCGGCGTCGATGAGCGGGGCCGGCGGTGGGTCTTGGTAGTCCTTGGGCTGGTACTCCCCGACTTGCCCTTCCACGTCTTTCGCCATTTGATGATGATGATGATCAGAAAAAGGGAAATGGAGTTGAAGAGAGACAGAGACAGAGAGAGGAAGTTGATTGTTTTTTTGCTTTGGTGGTGGTGGTGGTGGTGTTTGAGTGTGTGGGGATGAAGAGGGTGTGAATGGTTTGGGTATTTATGGGAGTGGATGTTAGGGGAGTGACATTGTTGCACAAGTTTTCAATGCTTTTTTTTTCTTGTGGTGGTGGGGCTTTGGTAATATTGGTACATGAACGAACTGATGAATGAAGCTAATATTTTAGCTTACCTTTGCCGCCCCATTTTGTAGCTTTCTTTCTTTCTCTCTATCATTCATTGGTTTGGGTTTGTGTCATAGTGTGTGTGACTCTGCGGGGAGTTGTCATTGGATAAGGTTCCAGCAATTTCTTGCATTTTTTGGGGTTTGGTTGGGGTGAACATTCCAGCAATTTTCTATGGCATGCATGCTAATTTTGTTTTTGGTTGTGTGGTTGTTGGTTTCTTGATTGCTGGGATGCAGATCAGTGAAGAAGTGGGGAGGATTATCTTCAGATTCCCTCTCTCTGTGTGCCATGTGGGTGTTGGTCAGGTCACTTGCCAAGGAATAGGATCAAACTCATGTCATCGGTAAGAATAATTATAGCTACTTACTTAGCATACATGGGCTGTTAGCCAGCCAGAATGCCAGATACACTGTTTATATGGGATGGAGGAACAATATCCTCTTTGCTCTTTTTTTTAAGGGAAAACTGTAATTATTTATTAATCAATAGGAGCAAAGTTTTCAGTAGCATCCTCTCTAAGGAGAGGTACAAGTATTTGCGGTGGGTTGTTATCCCAAACCTCTTCACTATCCCAATTACACTCAAGATGGGCCATCTTATGGGCCGACTTGTTTTTATTTCGGCCCACCCAGCTCCAACAAACCCGGACCAAGGCCAGGGCTTTGATCCGGATTTCCTCGCACATCAGCCCAACCTCGGTTTCCCTTCTCTCTTCTCGGCGTAGCTGCTGGATGATGCCCTGACAATCTGATTCCATTTCCACTTCCCCCATTCCTATCCTCCTCGCCATTTCCAGACCGAAATCCACCGCTAGCACCTCTGCTTCTTCTGGGTTCCACTGAGTCTGGGATCTTTTAACTGCACCGAACAGAAATTGGCCATTCTGATCCCTAGCCACCACTCCCCATCTCGTTCCTTGTCCATCGAAACAAGCCGCATCAACATTAAGCTTCACCGACCCTGCCGTCGGATGTTTCCATCGCTGTTCCTCCTCCCTCGGCTCCGATTGGGACTTCATCTGCTTTGTCAGGTAATCATGCAACCATTCACTGGCTCTGGGTAAGATCTCCCATTCTTCTAATTTATTTTTATTCCACAAATGGCAGTTTCGCTGATCCCAGAGGTACCAGAGAGCCACCAGAAGGGACCCAAGCTGATCCTCTGACTCCGTTTCCTGCAGTTCACAAAACCATTCTTCTGAGGTAAGATTTTCGCCCCTCCCAACCAACGAGTCCATTGTGCTGTATCTCCAAACCCTGCGAGCCCATGCACAGTCCCGAAGAATATGTTCTTGGGTTTCTTCTAGGCCACAGAAAGGGCAGTCATCACTTCCTTGTTGGGTGCGTTTTAGAATTCGAAATCTTGTAGGTAGTATATTCCGCAACCATTTCGAAGAAAATATCTTTACCTTAGGGGAAATCTGTAGATTCCAAACCTTCTTCCAATTGACTGGCGAATAGGGCTCGCCCTCCTCATTCACATTTCTTTCTTCCTATAATTTGTACGCCGACTTTACAGTGTACTCCCCCGTTCTTGCTTGTCCCCAAATCCCTCTATCCTCAGCAGGCTGTCTTGGAATAGAAATTTTTAGGATTTAAGAACAGTCTGTGGGATTAAAATGTGCTTGAATTAGGTCTGAACGCCAGCTTCTAGTGTCAGTGTCGATCAGTTAAGCCACAGAAGTTGATGTTCCCCAATTGACTGTTGGGGAAGTCACCTTGAAAGTAGTACTTGAGGGTATCCACTTGTCCAGCCAGATGTCAATTTTAATCCCATTTCCCACTCTCCACCTTGCACCTTGTTTCACCAGGTTCTTTGCAGCCATTAAACCACGCCACACCCAACTAGGGTTCCTACCTAGTTCAGCCTCCAGAGGGTCACAACCCTTAAAATATTTTGCCTTCATTACTCGTGCCACTAGGGAATTAGGGAATTGGGATAGTCTCCACAGTTGCTTACCCAGCATGGCAAGATTGAAACTCTGCAGGTCTTTGAAACCCATTCCCCCTTGTTTTTTTGGTCTGCAAAGCTCCTTCCAGCTTAACTAGTGAGTTCTGCCTTCTTCTTGCTGCTGTCCCCACCAGAATTGAGCTATGGCTCGTTTTGTTTCCTTCAAAATATTAGTAGGGAGCTTAAAAACTGACATTGCATATGTCAGTTGAGATTGAGCAACAGATTTGATGAGCACCTCCTTCCCTGCCACTGAAAGAAGTTTCCCCTTCCAGGTTTCACTTTGGCTCTAACTTTATCCACAAGATATCCAAAAACCGGTTTTTTCGATCTGCTTATGATGGTAGGCAGACCCAGATATTTTGATGGTGATCCACCATTCTCATATTAAGCTTCCCAGCTAACTCCCTTCGTAGTCCTTGTCTGACATTAGGACTGAAGGATAGCTCTGACTTGTGGAGATTGACCTGTTGTCCAGATTCTGCTTCATAAACCTGTAGAATAGATTTCAGTTGCTCACATTGAACTCCGGTAGCCCTAGTGAACAGTATGTTGTCATAAGCAAAAAGTAGGTGAGTGATATGAGGAGCAGTCCTCTTCACTCGAATTCCTTCAATTTTCCTTTCCTGTTCTGCTTTAGAAATCAGTGCCTAAAAACTACGAAAATAACGTTATACCTAAAGAAATGAATCGAAATTTAAATAAAAAGAGTTTGAAGTTAAAATAGAAACAAAGTGAATATAAAGGTTTACTGTCCCCTTAATATTCTGTTTGTGATAATATTTTGTCTATACATGTACAAAAAGTGGCACATGATGGTAAACTACGAGTTCCAGTCTGTCGGGATTCAATTTTGCGACCAAAGGTAAGGAATTCACAAGTTAATTAGTTAAAAGCAAAGGAAGTTTTGTTGGAAAATAGACGCGGATTAAGCACTTTCTTCTTGTCTATAACTCAAATCCGAATGCACGGCGATTGGATGTCGTTGAACTAATCATCAAATGACACGTAGAAAATGGGAGAGTGGACCAACAAAGCTACAACAATGTTCACCAGCTAGTTCACAGTACTGCTAGTTTTATGGTGATATGCAGCAAGTAGAGAATACATAGTTAGCCCGGGTGTCGACAAAGTCAATTCTCTCGTGGGTGGGTAATTTGCCATCCCTACTTGTGTGCCGGCTAGCTAGTTTAGTTTGTGATGAGACGAGGACAGACAAAGAAAGAAAGGAACCGACCAAAATGGAATGGGGCTTCGTCTCTCTGTCTATTCGAGCTGAGCTATCAGCCACCACCGCCCATCCCACCTCAGTCCTCGTCACTGTTTTGTTTCTCCCCCGCGGCTCAACCACTCCCTTTGCGCCACCTGTCCCCGTCCCCGCCCGCCGCCACGCTCAATTATTCTAATGTTTTTCTGCTCCGCCAATCCAATCATAACCACAGGAGAAGCTAAAGAGAAAGCAAACCAAATAATAACGTTGGTATACTTGTGGATGGAACTAGGACACTTGGCGTGCGCACATACTAATTATTCCCGAGCAAAATGATTGTCAATATTATGGTCGGCTGGCCTGTCCACTTTCTTCCATGTATACTTTAGTTTATCTAAACTGATAGAGGCATTTATTTATTAAATAAATACAATCGGGTTAGGTATAAAATTTAAATACTAGACAAATGAATATATTTTAATTATTTTATATCATTTTTTATGGGTAGATCAAAATTTCATTAAGAACTGACAATCAATAACAAACTGCGATGGGCGCTTCTAAAAAAACAAACAAGTTTTGTGCAATAAAAGCCTTCCTACATAGATGAGTAAAAAAAACTCGAAGCAAAGTGTAAACTACCCCAAACCCCTAGACTCGTAACAATGCAGCAGCTCTAGCCTAGTTGACAACGAAAAGCACGAACTATCCATTTCGCCTCTCAAGCACAAGCCGGGAAGGACTCCACGCACACCCTTTGAGCCATACATCATGGAACAACGTTCATGCCACAAATTAGACTGATCACCACACTTTAGGACAAACCGATTCAAAGCTTCTACAAAATGATTCGCCACTCCACCAAAAAAACACACCACTGTAATACTGCCTGCCAATCTCCCAACTCTGGAGGAATTGCAACCTGTAAAATTATAGAAAGAAGAAAACCTGATATATGCACACCCAACAAAGAGATGAAGACAAGATTCATAGCCTCCTAGACAGAGCATACACAGGCCAGATAGAAGCTTGCCCCAGTCCCACGCAATCAATTGTCCTGCAAGGCTGCAACTTCATCCTATCATTTATAAGAAGCCATGGAATAAATCCATGACGAGGGACAATAAGCTTGTTCCAAACAAGTTTATACCATGGCACAATATTCTCGCGCTGCCTCAATGAGGTGTAGCTGCTTCACGACATTTTAGAATGTGTTTCCATACCAAGAACCAGAAGTCGAAGCCCTTATATCCCAAATTGAGTTCTGCTTAACACGATAATGTATTATCCAGGCAACCCAAATGAGTGTATTTATTAATTAAAATACAAACGAGTTTATATTTATACCCATTTATTTGGATTGAAATTTTAATATATGAATTTTGATTTTGTATTCATATTCAAATTATAATTTTTTTTATCTAAATTTAGGGAGTTATACGGTACCCAGGGTGAAATCCGGGGTACCGCGTACCTTGAGTAATAAAACACTATCCAGAACTTGAATTGACTGATCTTTCGGACATGATTGATGATACTATACTCTAACCCTTTAAGATCAAAATCTAGGTCTTAATTCTTTAAATCTTATACTCTAAGATCAATTTAATTAGATCAATAATCGACGGTTATGATTCGTCCAAATATATGCAAAAAAATCAATGCACCATCTTAGGGTTTATAGTTTACGATTTAGATAACTAGGACCTAGGGTTCACTTATTAAGGGTTAGGGAATAATATCATGCCCAAAAATCCTGCTAATTCAAGGTCTAGATAGCGTTTTCATACTCAAGTTATTCGGTACCCCGAATTTCACCTGGGATACCGTAGAAGGCACCATAAATTTAATATATTTTAAAATTTAGTATCATAAAATTACTTTTCTGGATATATGGCTTTAAACCACTTGGTTGGTTGTTTATTTTGCCTCTAGGAGTAGATTAGATTAGTTTAAACACCCAACCTTCCAATACGATGAGATAGTAGGAGCGAAGTAATAGTAAGCTAAGGGTTCTCTTGAAATACGAGCAAGTCACTTTACTACAACCCTAGTTAGGTTATGCTTGGCTTAGTTAGGATTGAATAGAGAGGGTGCATCGACTTATAAATTTAAAGGTCAATCATGCACGCACGATCAAGTACTATGTGACAAGTTATTAAAATACATGTCGTGAACGATATTTATAATAATTATAACCATTAAGAATACAATGTTTGATCATTGATAAAAGTTACCTGTTTAAAAAATTTTAAAAATATTTTGATGTCACCTTTATATAATAGGAAATTAAGCATTACACTAAATTTGAAAAGTTTCGAATATACATATGGGTGGCTGGCCGGTTTTTGGTTAGCGACTAACCAGAGGTTTTAACCGATAAGCTTCGGTTAGCGGCTAACCAAAAATCGACAGGTTAGGAGCTTTGATCGGTGGTCGACAAAGGAGAGGGGGTCTTCGGTTAACCGAGTAACTAGAGTTGATTAAGTACGGTTACCCAGCTAACTGAAGCTAACAAACCTCTGCCCCAATGTCTGCCAAAGACCGTCCCAAGACAAAGCATCCACAATCAAGATCTGGTCCTCCGGCGTATACCCCTTCAACTTCGCCGCCGTCTGGGCCCCGTGCGTGAAAATGTAAATCTCCTTACATGTTGAATACCATGAGAGTCCCGCTCGTAATCGTGATTACGGGGTGGAGCATGCAGATAAGCCTGAACGCCAGCACCTACGGCAATGGCAGTTGCGGTGACGGTGGTATTAGAAGGAGAAGAACGAAGAAGATAGAGATCATAGATTTCAGGAGAAGATAGGGATAAGAGATTTCGGGATTTTTGTGAACGACATCTTAGAATTAAGGTCCAGACCAATAATGTGTTCGGTTTGCTTTGGTTCGGTCTATGATCCTTCATTACTATTTATAAAATAGATAAAAACAAGGGTCGAACCACGTTATATTCAATTTGATATGATCCGATCCAAGCATTGATTTTATTCGATGCGGTCTGATACATACCAACCAGCATAGCACACCCTAAATGAGAGATGGAAATCTAGGGGAAAGTGTATGCTTCCATTTAAACGTGACCGAGTGCAGGACTAAAGTGAGCAGAAACTGAAGTCCAATAAGAGGTGCAAACGGGAGCCCACTTGGTCGTAACTTTATCAAGGTCACAGCCCATGGGCCCAAAATCGTCCCAAGGAATCCATAAACATCGCATCACTCGAAGCACACAGAAATTACTGTCGATATTATTAGGGAGACCAAGACCGACCCAAAACGACAGCTCCTTCACCATTGAATTCCCATAAAAACGACCGGACTAGTTTAGTGAGCTGTTGGCCAAAATCAAGCCATGTAGAAGTAGATGAATCATAATGTAAAATTTTCCCTACGTTGTTCTATCTTTCAATTATTTCTATATGCTTTTACTGGTTTATGAATCTGCTATTCTGTCTCTCCAGCTATTATTTCTTCTTTGGGAAGGAAAATCATCTCCACTTAGGCCTCTTCAATGAATGGGAGCATCTACATTAGGTAATTGTCTTCCTCTTTATAGTATTTGCGGATAGTTGTGGTAAGCTATTTACTTTAACATTAGTGTTCCACTCTGCAATCTTTTGGTGTTTGGTTTGGTCCAGGGTGTTGTTTAAGTTGGGATGAGCATAATGTTTGCTCTGCTATGGATTAATAGCTTGAACAGTAGTTATCAGTAACAATACCATTCTCTTTATCCTTTGAAAAAGTTGCAGAATTTACTCTTTGTTGTTCATGCTGCGTTAGTACGTGCTGCACTTTGGGATAAGGTTTTCGTATCTTCGTTGTCGCGTCCTACAGTGTCGGGTGAGATGATGATACGATGATGATTATGCCTGTGGCGAGGGCATCTTTGCTTTATCTAAAGGGCAATTATTATTTGCTAAATGCTGTCTAATTATTTAGTTCAGTTATGTCTTAGGATTATTCTTATTAATTTTCTGCCTATGGACTGAGGATTATGGCTCTGTCTTGCTCTCATGAGCCTTAGCTTTTCTTCGATTTTCATAATGTTGTAGCTTAATCCATTCTAAGCCATTTGGAAGGTTTAAGCAGATTGCGGTTATCATTGCTTCATGTACTTGACACTCTGCCTGAGTTTACTGAACCAAAGATGTTTTTTGTTTGTTTGTATTTGATAGAATAGCTTCAAGAGTAACTAGATTGCGTCATGTGGTTCATGGGCAAAGGAAGAGCAAAAAAGTAAAGGTTTAGAGATGAAGGAAGATGGAAATGTGAACTTGAGTTGCCCTCAGGTAACTGGATATGATAATTACTTGGACTGGGCAGTAAGAAAATTTAATGGTGATGGCCATGGTAGGACGATTGGTTTGGAACTTAATGGTGAGTTTGATTTGGAGGGAACGTTGTGGACGATTGTATGGAAGTATAGCTGTGCAGTCTGGGGAGTTGGTAAGGGAAGTGCGCAGAACAGTCGAGCTGGCTAGACATGGCAATGCAGCTCTGGATGCTGATTGCAGGGTGATTTTTAGTCAGTAACAGAAGTGGTTAGGATAGTTTCTGGTATTGTAGTTAGCTGTGTAAATGTAGTAGACTAGAAGCAGTAATCCTAATGTTGTTGTAAAGATCCAGATGTGTTCATCCTCTGTTTTAAGAGGAGGCACATAGAACTTCAATAAAATTTTTGATATTGCCCATAAAAAAAAAAAGATGGAAATGGCCAAGTGGGTACACAAACTTATCTGCCAACATTTCCTTATTGTGTTTCAGGTCTATTTCAGTCGTTCTTCGCTCCTTTCCATGTTCTTTCTCCATACCCTAATAACTATCTTTTTCTCCTTGACTATTTAGATTATTTTGTTTAACCATTAAATGATGGTGGAGATAGAAGCAACTGAAAAGCAATGTCGTGGAGGTGCTATGGCTACTTATTGATTTTACTCATTTGGTGCTTTTTCAGTGGGTTTTCCAGCGACGACGTAGGAGTTCGGCGATCAGAGCCGGCAAAGTCGGATTTTCCAACGACAGTGATAGATTCGTGATGTTTGTCGACTTATTTTGTAATGTTTATCAGTTCAGTTTGTAATGTTTATATCAATTCGGTTTGCATCATTTATCATCTAGTTTGTTATTTTTGTCTATTGTGTTTGTAATGTTTACATGACTAATTTGTATATATTTTGATTTATAATATTTGTTGCTCTAGTTTGTATACTTTTATTTTATGATTTGTATACTTTGTATTCATTGATTTGTAATACAATTTACCGATTTGTATTGTAAGTAGTGTTATTTTGTAATGTTAGTATGCTTTGTAATGTTTGTCGGTTTCTTCAGTAATGTTTGTAAAGTTTGTAAGCTTTGTTATTTTTGTGCACCATGTTTGTAATATTTTTTATGTAAAAAACAATCTGGTTGACTTTTGGATGAAACTCCTCTATATTAGGGGGTGGGCATTCGGTCGCTTCGGTTTCGACCGAACCGAAATTATGAATATCGGGTCCCCGAATTCTCCCAAACCTCAAACCGAATTCGAACCGAATTATAATTCAGTTGGATCGGTTTAAACCGAATTATAATTTGGTTCGGTCAGTTTAAACTGAATTATAATTCGGTTCGGTTTTTCATACAAAACTGAAATTGTGAAGCTACTTGTATCTTCTCACTTTTAATTGATTTTTCACCCCTAATATGAACAATAAATATGCAATTATATGCAACATCAATGATAAAATCAAACTTTTCAACACACAAGTCATAAAACATTTCAAATATTTAAGTCTAAAAACTACTACAAACATAAACATCCACCATTTGGAGCTTGCAATTATAGTATTTCAGTTTTTCGGTCGGAAATTCGGTTCAGTTGAAAGAACCCTGATTTCCGAACTATCCATATTTGCCTTCCGAATTCCGAACCAAATAGCATTAATTCAATTTCGGTTCGGTTTAATTCGATTTCGGTTTGGTTCGGTTTACCGAACCGATTGCCCACCCCTACTCTATATAGAGATGGAGCCTCCAAAGTCAACCCGGGTGTTTTTCCATTTTGTATGATTTGTCGGTCTAGTTTGTCATTTTTATCCACCATGTTTGTATGTCTAAAAAATAATCTGGTTGACTTTGTGACGGAGCCCCTCTATATAGGGATGGAGCCTCCTAAGTCAACACGGTTGTTTTTTTATTTTGTATGGTTTATGTTGTTTGTCTGTCTAGTTTGTATTGTGTGTATAGTTCATATCGTATTATTTGTAAATCTGTTTGTATGTTTTGTCGTTTTAGTTTGTATTGTTTGTAAGTCTGGTTTGTATATCCTTTGTAATTTTTCATAAATACCCAAATTACCCATGCCACTAATTAAAAATCTCTTCCCAGTTTTTAACCATTGGATTGATCTGTTCAGATCTAATGGCTAATAGAGGCTTAGTCAAGTGACTAAAGACCCCCTTAATCATGGGATCCGCTCTCGAAAACCAATTGCACATCATCATTCAAATACAATAATATGTAGCTTCAACTTGGCAAAAAATTGTGGATTCCCGCTGGGATCCCTCCTAAAGGGGATTCAAATTGTGATTTTGTACACTATACTTTGTAGTACAAATCATCAGCTGCTGCCCAATTGCTGTGAAATAATAATAGCTAGGTCTTTGACCAGTAGTCGTCCTGATAATGGGCAGGACCATTTTTGTGCCTCTTGTGTTGTTCATGAAGGAATCAGACGGATGCTATAGCTAGGGCTTTGACTTGATCCTTGTCATTGTAGGATCTGTCCCCCCCTGAGTTTCCTACCCAGCAAAACCACGAGGATTAACAGAGTGTGGCATTATTATTTGTCTGTCTTCCTAAGTTTCAGCTCCTTGCACACAAATCCTGACTTGATGCCAAGTATCTGATTGAGTAAATTTTATAACTTGTTGGTTAATAAACCCTTCTGGTCCAAGGGACTTTCAATGTTTAGAAAAATGGATTAGTGGGTTGTAGAGAGAGAGAGAGAGAGAGAGTAAAAAGAAGATTCCTGAGAAAAAGGGTCCAAACAGAAAGGTGGTGGGCAATTCTTGTTGAGGTGAACACCAAGCAAGCACAAGCAAGTGCTGTGCTGTGGTGGTAGTCTTGTGTCTCTGACAAACTGCCTCGCTTCTTTCTTTCTTTCTTTCTTTCTCTCTTCTCTTGCCTCGTGAAACAGCTTTTCTATTTTGCTTACCACACAGTGGTGTCTTTTGTCCCATTTGAAGAACCATCATTCTCAAACCTTCACCATACTGATGAAAAGGGAATATTAATCCGTAAAGGAATTTTAGCGCATGTCTTTGAGCTACTTGTCATGGGAATCTCTGCTCTCTCCTCTGCTGCCCTGCCTACCCTATTGCTTCTTTCTTACTTTTATTGGCAAGCCAGGAAATCACACTTGCATGGTTTGCCTTTTTTCTGCTTCTGTTCAGAAAGGGGCAAACTCCTTTCTGAGTTGGGAGCCGGGGAGAGATCACCAATGGCAGATTGGTCTTCCTTCCTTACCTTACCTCCCCTGTTTTGTCATATCTCATAGTATGCTTCTAATGGCGAAAACTGAAACTTCCCACATACCAAAACCAAAGCAGATAAACAACAGAGCACCTCATTGGTTCTTTCACTAAGCTCTCTTCAGGAGAAAGCTTACAAGTTACAAAGTTGAGAATAAATGTGGGCGGTTGAGAGAGAAAGAGAGAGTGATAAAGATTTTCTTTTCTTTGGGTTTTTTGTTTTTTGTTTTTACCTTTCCTCTTTTCTCTTCTCTTGTTTTTTCTTTGGAGAAGAATCATATACTCATCCAAGCACTTGCAGACAAATCCGTTTCAGGAACAGCAGAAAAAAGAACCACAGCACAGCACAACAAAGCACGCCCTCTCCCTCTCTCTCTCCCCCTTACTCTGCTTTTTGACGTGAATTCAAGCCCAAAAAGAATCTAAAGAACAAGAAGAAAAAGGGGGAAAGATATGTTAAAGTCCATCTCTATATATCTCCCCCCTCAAATCTTCGCCATCACTCTCTTTCAGTTTGCAAGTGCTCGTAGAGAAACAAGAAGAAGAAGAACAACAACAACATCACATCCCCACACACGCATCATTCACACACCCTTGGTGCAGGTCGTGCGGTGTGGGTTTCTTGTTTCCTTCCCTATTCGTGCTTTGTCCCCCTACTACGTGCCAAATTGGCCAACTCAAAAGCTGGCCGAAAGGCAAATCAAGAGAGTCTTCCAAGCTCAGCTCAACTTGAGAGTACTGAGTATTGGCCCTCAAGCCAAACCCGCCCTTTCTTTCATCTTCTTCCACCTCTTTATTTACTCATCAATAGCCATTCTCAAAACATAGCATTCTCCAAAAGAAAAGGGTTTCAATAAGGTTGGTTAGGTGGTCATGGTGATGGTGGTAAGTTGTGGGCGTGCCTGGCTCCCTGTATGCCATTTGCAAGAGCTCATCAACACAGTTTTGGTGGGGCTTGGTGGATGGCGTGCGAGGAGCCATGCATGCTTCTGCCACCCAATATCAACTTGCCATCTTCCCTTCCTCATATTGAATCTTTGCTGCTTTTAGGTTGCAAAACTTAGAATGTTGCCATTCTCGCAGCAGCAGCAGCACTATGGCCATGGAAGTGAAAGGGCTGCCTGCTGCTATTCATTCAAATATAGTTTTCAAGTTCAGAACTTGGCTCCCACTACTTGGTTTTGCTCTTAACCTTTTCTCCCCCTTTTCAACTACCATGTATATCGCACTTTCCTTCGAGTTTTACAAGGGATGTCTCCTTCAAAGTTCTGTGTTTTTTTTTCCAACTTTTGATTGGTCAGTTTTAGAATCATGGTAGGACCTATAAAAGATTAGATCCAACATTACCCTCCAATTCCTTAACTTTCACTAAGAGTTTTTTCCCCTTCCTCCCTGTCTGCAGCTCCTATATTCTTGGCAAAGGAAGAGTTTTTAATGGCATGGGCCATTTTATTTATTTAGCAAATGACAGTTTTTTACACATCTGAAAGAATGCAATCATCATTCTATAATTTGTATGCTTCTTGTTAGGGCCTAAGGAACCCGATAAAACCTGTCCCCTATTTGCTCACTTGCTTAAACATGTTATATATGTGCAAAGATTGTAACAAAAACTCACAAGTCAAAAATGTGCAGTACTTTGCAGGCTTGTGGTGGTTGAGCTCTTTGAAGAACTAGTCTGAGATGTGTACCGTTTGTGCAATCTAATCCCCATTAGATCACTGAGATGCCCAGGTTCAGAAATCTCGTAACTTTCCAATTCGATTTCATTGCTCAATATCTGAACCACGGTTGACATTGTAGGCCGGCGCTTGGCTGTTTCTTGCACACAAAGAAGGCTGATCTTCAAGAGCCGTGTAGCTTCTTCTTCTGGGTAGTTCATATTCAGAGCAGGATCTACTATCTGCAGAAGCTTCTTTGCTCTGAAATTGCTCCAAGCCTGCATTTATTCCATTCAAAATAAGAAGGCTGCTGCCGGCTGCCTTGTATGTCGTAGTTACATTCGTCATTAGAAGTTCATGTTTCGTTGTGCAGTATATTTCCTACCTTTTGAACCAGGTAATGCTCACCAAGTTCAACATCAAAATCTACAACTGATCTACCGCTTATAATCTCCACGAGCAAAACCCCGTAGCCATAAACATCTGATTTGCATGTCAAGTGGCCGCTGACAGCACACTCCGGAGCAAGATAACCCCTTTTTGCAAATAGTAGATGAAACTCATTCATTAACCATCAATTTAATCAGTTTGGGAAGAAAGCCTAATGTGCTCCCATTTTCACACTTACAATGTTCCAGCAACTCTTGTACTGACGTAGGAACTGTTGTCTCTCAGAGTTCTAGTAGAGAGACCAAAATCTGAAACTTTGGGTGTAAAATGATCATCCAGTAGTATATTGCTTGCTTTAATGTCTCTCTGCAACACATGAGGCTTGACCTCTTCGTGAAGATAAGCAATCCCACGAGCAACCCCAACTGAAACATGCCGCCTGGCTTCCCAGCTGAATTTCATTCTGTTCTGCTCATTGCCTAAGTAGGGGGAAATAAAGGGAAAAACAGAAAACCCACATTGAGAACTGACTAATTCGATGCTTCAGAACCAAAAGACAGAAACTTTTACCCTTGGCAACTAATTGAGACTATATACCAAGCAGTGTATGTGTAAGGCTGTTGTTCTCCATATACTCATAGACCAAATACCGATCCGACCCTTCTACACAACATCCTTGGAGAATGACGAGGTTGTCATGTCTGAGGTTGGAAAGTGCAGATAATTCAGAAACGAACTCTCTCTCCCCGCGCATCGATTCCACCTCTACTGAAAGAACCTTCACAGCCACCACTGAACCATCTTGGAGCCGACCCTAGTTTTTTCCGTGTAGGAAGTCAAAAGAAACACTAAAGCCATGAGACCAATAGATGGACTAAAACAGTGAACCCTAAAACTAAAGGAAAAGAGAATTGCGTTACTTTGTAAACAGAGCCGAAGCCACCTTCCCCAACCTTGTTCGCAGAAGAGAAGTTTTGAGTCGCCAGTTTTACTTCTTGCAGACTGAAAATCCTCAAGTTACCTTCTTCGCCTGGAAATACAAATACAGTCGAACAGTTGAATTGAGCTCCGAAAACGAAGAACATCAAGCAAAAAAAGTATCAGTAACTGGGAATGGAACCGCATAATTTTCTCACCAATTCTGGTGGTGGGTTGTACAGTTCAGGAGAGAAGAAGCAACTCAAGCAACACAATTTCAGCTTCATAACATATCCACAATTGCTGCACATTTATTTATGCGCATAAGTCTTTATGGAAAAAAATACTCCTGCATAAATATTTGCTTAAATGACAAGGAGGAACTGGAATCCTTGAGGTTACAGAGGAAGGACGAGGACGACTCTATCAGGTTGGGTCGGGTTTTGTCAAATTCAAACTTATGGATTTATTCGTAAAAAAAAACCAAGATAAAATCAACTAGGTTTGGAATTCTCAAACCCAATCCAATCTGCTGGACCGAAACCAAACTCAACTGAACCGAACCGAAACCAAACTATCCTTGTTCGGTTCGAAATTAGGAAAGAAAAACACAATACCTTGGAAGCCAGGGTCTACCCAATCGAAACCGAATTATGAATTTCGAACCGACCAACTGAACTTACCCAAATTCTAAGCCCACAACCCCAAGCCCACACAAGCCCAAGCCCGCTACATCTATTTACCCATTTCTCTAGTCAAATCTAGCCCACCCAAACCTCACAACAATCAAAAGTGGAGGGGTGAAGCTTACCCGTGGTGAGCGGGTTGGGCCGGGTAGGGTACCCGTAGGTTCGGATTTTGTTGTCATCCCTATCTCTAGATACTTGGGGTCCATTACTTGACTCCTTCAACTTTAGAAGTTTTCTTTTTTAGAGAACTTTAGAAGTTTTCAATTGGGTAATGACTATTTATTAGCCAAATCTTTTTCGGATTCTTTTTATTAGCCAAACCTATCGAAATACTAAGAATTAGCCAAATGTTAACTTCCCGTTAACAATTTTGTTATTTATATTGATTTGGCAACATGATAGTGACTTGGAAGATACACATGAAGGTCAACATTAAAAATTTTTAGTATTTTAACTAAGAAAAGAGTTACAAAATTATTAACGAGCACATAAGAATGGCTAATATTTTGATGCATTACGACATATTTGATTAATTTATAGCATTTTAATAGGTTTGGATAATATAAAAAAATCTAAAAAAGGTTTAGATAAAAAAATAGACATTACCATTTCAATTTCGTGTTTGTTTATTGAAACTTGTTAGAAAAGTAGGTTGGGGCCCGGCGCCTGCGGGAAAATTGGAATCTTTATATATTAGGAGGTATATGAGTATGATTGGCAAATGGCAATAACACTTTTGTTTTATAGACAGTCGATGATTTTAGTAGAGCAACTTGGGTATATCTCTTGAAATTTAATTCAGATGCAGGTTGGTACATTCGTGCATTTTGTGAGTAGCCTAAAACTCAGTTTCGTAGTCCAGTTCATCGTATACAGACAGACAATGTGTCTGAATTTTAGTCTATTGCGATGTTGGATTACTATGAGGTTAATGGAATCATTTTACAGACGTCTTGCACCGATACTCCTCAACAAAATGGTGTAGTCGAGCGAAAGTATCGTTCTTTACTTGAGACAGCGCGTGCTCTGCATTTTTAGGCTTATCTGCCGGTAGGTTTTGGAGGGAATGTGTGCTGATGGCGACTTACCTACTAAATCGTCGACCAGTCAAGGCCATCAATAATCAAACCCCTTATGAAGTGTTGTTACATCAACCTCCATTGCTTGATAATCTCCAGGTGTTTATGTGTCTAGCTTATGCGAAAGATGCCCATCACGAACTGGATAAATTTGCTGAACAGGGTCCTTGCATGTTCATTGGGTACCCAACATTGCCAATGGGCTACCGAATTTATGATACACATACATGTAAGATTTATACGTCCCACTGATGTAGTCTTCATTGAAAATGTCTATCCTTATACTCCATCTTCGCCTAGTCCTCGTCAGCCACCCATGGACCACATGCAACTCACGTATGCAAGTGATGATGAGGTGGGAAGTGATGAGCAGCGGGAGCCCCACATTATTTTGTCGGTCGTTGTTGGGTCTTCAACCCACTCAGTTGACGATCAAGCACACCAGGACAAGACGGTGGTGACATCGGATGTGACGTTTTCCTCTCCCTCTCCTGCGTAGGTTATTCGTTGCAACTATCGAGTGCCACAGGTTTCCATCCGCCTCGCAAGCTATGATGTCGACTTGCCCCCTTCCGTTGCTTCACACATCCACTATCTCATGTATTCACAAGTAACATACCATCATTTTCATCCTACTCACTATGCTTTTATTGCTGCTATTACCAAGGACTTTGAACCTTAGTATTTTTATCAAGCAATTCGAGATGAACGATGTTGTGCAGCTATGCAACGTGAATTTGATGCTCTCTTTGCTAATCATACGTGGGATTTGGTTTATTTGCCTGAGGGTATGCATGCTATTGGTTCCAAGTGGGGCTACAAGATAAAATATTACACGGATGGCACCATTGAACGATTCAAGGCATGTCTTGTTTCCCAAGGGTTTACTCTACATGAGGGGATTGATTTCCACAATAAGTTTGTTGCGGTGGACAAGTTAGTTTCTGCACAATGTCTTCTAGAAGTTGCGGCTCAACGTGACTAGACTTTGGAGCAACTCGATGTTAACAGTGCTTTTCTGCATGGCGATCTTGACGAGGAAGTGTATATGAAGGTACCACAGAGATTTGGTCAACCAGGTGATAATCGTCTGTGTGAACTTTGCAAGTCTTTGTATGAAGTTCGACAAGCCTCAGGAAACTGGTACAACAAATTCACTAGCGCACTACTTCATATGGGCTTTGCTAATTCCCATGCCGATCACTCCTTGTTCATGTATCGCACGAGGTCGGTTTTTGTGGCAACATCGATTTATGTGGATGACATTGTAATGGGTGAAAATGATCGTGCTTTTATTGACCGTGTCAAGCTGTTTCTGCATTCACGGTTCGACATTAAGGACTTGGGGCCATTGAAGTACTTTCTGGGCATTGAAGTTGCTCGTTCTTATTGAGGGTCTCGTGCTTAGTCAAAGCAAGTACGCGTTGGACATTTTTTTCTATTGAGGGTTTCACAAGTGCTCGAACTAGTCAGTTTCCCATGGAACAAAATCATTAGTTGACAAAGCCGCTTCCTGATTTGGATCCTGCTATTGATGCCTCTGCCTATCGTTGCTTGGTTGGCCGGTTGATGTACCTCACTGTCATGCGTCCCGATATCGTCAATGTTGTCAACATTCTTAGTTAATCGACGACAGCTCCTACTTCGGATCATTTGACGATAGCCCAATGCTTGTTGCATTATTTAAAATGGGCGCTTGGTCAAGGCCTTTTTCTTCCCACCATAGGTTTCGTTAGACTCGACTTCTTTTTGTGATGCTGACTGGGGAGGGTGCTTATGCACTCGACGGTCTACGACAGGCTACTTTATTATCTTAGGCTCGACACCCATCTCTTGGCGCACCAAGAAGCAGATGTGGTGGCTCAATCATCAGCCAAGGCTGAATATTGGGCAATGGCAATCACTGTGAGTTGTTATAGGTTCGATGGTTACTACGTGAGCTTCTGTTTCCTCAGTCTGGCCCTACTGTACTGTACTGCAACAACCAGGCGACACTTCATATAGCGGCTAATTCCATCTTTCACGAGCAGACGAAGCACATCGAGATGGATAGCTACTTCGTTTGCGAGATGGTTGTATCTCGTGAGATTGCTCCGTCCAAAGTCCACACTTTGGAGCAGTAGGTAGATATCTTCACCAAGGCGTTAGGGGCCAACCAGTTCCATTCCTTGCTTTCCAAGCTGGGCGTTTGTTCTTCACGCCACATATCGAGGGGGATTATTGTGATACTTCCATAGTATACGGATGCTTATGTAATTTTCCCTTTTAGTATTTTAGTTAGTCTTTTAGTTTTTGGCTTAACCCTACGGCTGGTGGAGGGTCTTTCTGTGTCTCTTGTACTCTTGGTTGCGGTAACGTGTGAAAGTGCATCAAAGGTGAATAATAATACTCTGAAATCTCCTTATGGAGTTTTCCGTGAAGTAGTCTCGTTCTTCACAGAACGGAGAAATCACGTAAACATGAGTATCCTTTTCTTTGTAGTTTATCTATTTTTTACATTCACAAAATCGATTAATAGTAATAATTTTTTTTTTTTGTTAGTGGGTAATCACTAACCGCATTACCGATCAACCCGACTATCATCCTACCCATATTTAGGGTTACAAATAGTAATTCAATTTTTCAAATACATCGTATTCGAACATAGGCAATTTAGACAAATCACCCGATAAAAACAAAGAGTGGAGAAATTCCCTAAGCCTAGTGCCTAGAGATAGGCGCATTAACAAAGGAGAATAATTGTTAATATTGAATTAATAAAAATTGTCGTCGAAAAAAGGAAGAGGTGGTGTAAAGAGGCCAACTTTTAGCAACAAACAAGGGTGCTGTGCATCTCTCTCTGTGTCTCTTTTCACCCTCCTAATCTATAATCTATCCCTAAATCATCATCATCATCATGAGATCAACAACAACAACAACAACAACAACAACAAATGGTGGAGCGTTAGAGTGGAACTTCTACGCGATCCCTCGTCTCTCCCTTCCCTACCATTATCCCTCTCCACTCTTGATTCCCTTTCCCCCCACCCACCCATTCCTCCGCCGCCCTCTCTCTCTCTCTCTCCGCCGGCAAAGAAACCCAACAATAGCTTAGCTCCCCCCACCCCACCCTCCTCAAACTTTCTAGATCCGCCCAATTCTCTCGAGTCATGGGCAACATCAGCAGCAGCGGCGTGAACGGCCGGCGGAGGCACGGTAGCCGCCGGAGCCACCCTCCCCCACAGCCGCCTCCTCCCGCAACGCCGCAGCCGGAGATCAGCGCCAACCGATACGTATTCGCCGCCGCCACGCCTTACCCACCCTCGCCGAATCCGAACGCTCCACCGCCTCCACCTCCTCACCCTCACCCTCCTCCTCCTCCCTCGTACTACCACCAGTACCCGGGCTACTACCCGCCGCCACCTCCTGCCATGCCCCTCCCGTTGCCGGCGCCGTACGATCACCACCACCGCCCCGACCACGCCCACTGGGTCGGCGGCAGGTACCCCTGCGGGCCCATGGTGCAGCCCCCGGCGCCTTATGTCGAGCACCAGAAGGCCGTCACGATTCGAAACGACGTCAATTTGAAGAAGGAAACGCTGAAGCTGGAGCTCGATGAGGAGAACCCAGGGATGTCTCTGGTTACCTTCACTTTCGATGCTACTGTTGCTGGAAGGTAAAGATGAGTGAATGGATTTCTTGCGTGTTTAATTGGTCTGCTTTTCTGGGGATATTGTTGACTTGGGAGATCTTCTCACTGGTACAAACTTATGTGATGCGCCATTGAATGGGACAGAGGCGCCAAACATATTAAGCTGAAGTTTATGTGGGGATTCCTTCTGAAAATGATTATTTTTAGAGTTGAAATTATCCTCGTCGTGTGTTCTATGGATAATTGTATCGGTAATTGGTGACTGATAATAGTAGATGAACAGGAATGGTGATGACCGGAAGCTATTGATGTTGATGTTTTTTTCTCCTTGTATCTGAAAACACAATTAGATTATGGTTGATGCCTGAATTGTTTAAATAGGGTGAAACCAAGCTGAACTCTTTGTGCTTTAGGGTACTGCTACTGGCACAACTGTTGCTGTTGGTACAATGGATTTTTGGTTTGCTGCAGAATTGTTGGCGAATGTTTGCTATGAGTTCTTTTTGTAGAATAAGATATTCGTGTGTTGGATATTTGGATTTCAAGTCCTCTGTTCTTTGCATCAGAGGCAACAACCTGAATATTTATGGATCATCTTTCTGGTTACTTGGTCACTCACGTTTGTGTTGCTTGCGCAAGCAGCATCACCATTATATTCTTTGCAAAGGAAGGTGATAACTGTGTCCTGACACCAACAAAGGAAGACCTTTTTCCATCGGTGACAGTGAGTTTCCAGCATGGTCTGGGGCAAAAGTTCCGGCAGCCATCTGGAACAGGGATCGACTTCTCAAAGTTTGAGGAACGGGAGCTGCGCAAGGTGGAAGGTGAAATGGACATTTATCCGCTTGTGGTGAAGGCAGAGGCAATGCCCGCCAGCCAGAGTGGGCCAGATGGAAATCAAACGCCTGCGATCTCTAATTCTCAGATAACTCAGGCGGTGTTTGAGAAGGAGAAAGGCGAGTACCAAGTCAGGGTAGTGAAGCAGATTCTGTGGGTGAACGGGATGCGTTATGAGCTGCAGGAGATATACGGGATTGGAAACACAGTTGATGGTGATGTCGATGCAAATGACCCTGGCAAAGAATGTGTCATTTGCCTCTCGGAACCACGCGATACTACTGTTCTTCCTTGCCGACACATGGTAAGTTGAATTCCTTCCCTTGACACAGCATTCTTAAATCTTAATTTTATTTTGCTGAATCAACTGTTTGGTTAATTGTTTTCTGGTGATCTCTGTATATCCTAGCAAAACTTAGATAATCCACTCATCACTTGTCACAAAATGCATTGTTATGCTTGTTTAAATGAGGCCATGCTTGACGTTTGATAATCGTGTGTGTCGATGCAGTGCATGTGCAGCGGTTGTGCGAAGGTGTTGAGGTTCCAAACGAATCGTTGCCCGATCTGTAGACAACCAGTCGAGCGGCTCTTAGAGATTAAGGTTAATAATGGCGCAGATGAATAGGTGCCTGCCCAAAGCAAGGAAGCAGCAGCAGCTGCTGAAGTGTTTTTATCTGTTTGTTGTATAGTATTACGGTATTGTTTTCGCTTCTCCAGGTCAAGGGCATAATTTTCTGTGTTTCGGTGTGTTTTGGTTTGCTGGCATTCTAATAAGAGAAGATTGATTGAGAGACCAAGTATCAAGCAATTGGCGTTTGCATCTGAAATATGTTAAGCCAGTAATGCTTCTTTCTACATAGCAGTTGGGTGTAGCCTAGTTACAACTTACATGTTTGTTTGGTCAGGAAACACACCCATAGGAAGAGTCTGGTTTACCTTGTAGGACTTATCTAGTTCCTTCAAATTAAGTAATTATATTTAGTTCCTTTAAGTTAAGTTGGTCCAGAAATGATGGTTGAAATAGTTCCTTAAATTAAATGGGGTCTATATGTGATGGTTGAGATTAAAAGATTCTTCAATTGGTCTATAGAATTGATTTTTCTCTTTTAGGTTTCGATTTACAAATTTTTTGTATAAAAGGAATGAAATTATTGTGATCTAAAATAGGGCAATTAAGTTCAAATTCAACTAATATATTTTGTATTTTAAAAGGTTTACCTATGACAAGATTGAAAAGTTTGGCTAATAAATTGTATTTAGTCATACAATAATAATGTAATACAGTCAAATTCAGCTAATAATGTTAATAAATGTAAAACTCTTGCCTCCTGGCCCTGCTATGTCGTGTACGTTAAATTTACAAATTTTTACTCCACATTTGACTTTGGTTGAGCCATCATTCCAACACGATTTATGTGTGTTTGGCCAGCTTTATGCTTAGTTCGGTGTTTTAGTGTGTTTCAGATCACTTGGACTCTTGGAGCGAATTTGATGCTATCTAGATGAAAAACACACTAAAGATCGCGATTATGGAGTTTGGGGCAATTTGGAGCGCATTTGGATGACTTGGGAATTAATATTACGATCTCAACACGACTTGAAGCACGACCATGTTGAGGGGTGTACTCGACTCGTGAAAGGATTTCGACGAATTGAAGAAACGAAAAAAATAATATTATCGGGCATAACAGGGGTAGGGGCATAGTCGTACCCAAAACCATATTCAACCTCGGTTTTCAATGGTATAAAAGGACAAAGTTAGGTTCCGAGCAACTCTTCACCATATGATATGATTTGGAAAGATCAATAAGGGTTTTGAGGCAGGCGTCATCGTCATGGCTGAAAGAGAACAACCCAAACCTCTTCACCGAGGATATCAGAGATCATCCGGTTAAGCAAGGCGTCAGCGCCATGGCTGAAAGAGAACAACTATATATCATTAGTCTGGCTAGTAACTAGGGAGAACCATTTCTTGGAGATCCTTCTCTCCAATTGAAATAAACCAAGTTTACTTTCTCCTTTGTCGATCTTTTGCTTACAATTCGAACCTGAATCGCTAGATAATGAAATTCGTCTGAGCAATAGTAGATCTGGGGACCTGAGAATTCTATAGTTACTACTTAATCGTTATACTGATGTCTTATCATTGGTTAACTTGGCCTTTGGTTGGAGTGTAGTCTATCATGAACCACAATCGATGAAAAAAAAATGATAAACTCAAATTTTGGGTATCGTCAAACCATAATTTATTACGGGTCAAATAATATCACTTTAGGGACAGATTCAAATCCAATTTTTTAGTTGGGGTCGAAAATAGACCTATTACTATGTTGTGTACCCGAAAGAAAATGGATACTCAGGTCTAATGTGGCTTTTGACCTATTTTTTATTCCAAAATAAACATAAATGTGAAAATACCAACATTTAAGGGGTGAATTGGTTGAGACAGATAGTGAGATTGTCAAAAAAAACTTCGTGTGTATAATTATATACACACAACTAGAACCATTTGGGCCCGATCCTTATTTATAAACAAAATTCAACTAATATGTAATTTTCCAAACCTGCCATTTATATTTTTACGTGATTTCAGAATTGGAGAGGCGGAGGGGACTCCTTGAGAGACCACCTAGCTTCGCCCCTGGTTACTATATTCTTACCACAATTTATAGTCTCATGCCAATGATAACATCATATTCGCTCCCGGCATTTGGTTGGACATTTGTTTGCTTTGTTGCCCATTTTATGTTAGGTAGTGCTTGTTTGTGATATTTCAGGTACTAGTACGTGAATGAAGACTTAGAAGCAAGTTTCGGTGCAACTGGAGAGCAGATGGGATTCGGAGGATGCAAAGTGGAAATCCACGGTATGGGTAGTCAAATCCACGACCATGGATTAGGAGTTCAGATCATGCTTTTGAGCAGGATAAATCCACGGTTTGGTGTATGTATTCCACGACCGGGGATTGAAAACGATTGATCGTGGAATTCATACGAGTTCAATTAACCACGATGCACCGTTTTGAAGTTCCACGGTCTGGAACTCAATTCCACGACCGCGTAATTCGACTAGGGATTTCCATTGTCGCGGCTACTAATCCAAAACTCGGGATTTTCGCTGGACATCCATTTTTCCAAGTTCTGGAACATCAGGAGAGATCCCTAGAGAGAGAGAATGTGACGAAGAACAACCTTGGGGGTGATTTGAGTTGTCTAAGGACATTGGAGCTTGATCTTTCACCCTCGGAGTGTCGGTTCCTAGCTTGGTGAAGAATTCCATCCTTCACATGATGTTTTGCACTTCAAGCTTTGTGTTTTCTCTACTCTCCATGGAGTAAACTCTCTTCTCATATGGGTTTGTAGAACCCTAGTCGTGTATGCTAGGAATGATTGTATGGACCCATTTTCGTAGATGATTGACTTTCATATATTCAAGTGAGGCATTATTCAGAATTGCATGAGTCATGATCAAATTCCTATGATTCCTGCTTTAACATAGAATGATAGTATCTGCATTGGTTAAAAGAGCAACATTAATTGGAAGTAGTGAATCGTTACTTTAGCCGAGAAGTTGATTCACTACTCTGTACTGGGATTGAAAACCAGTAGAGGAAGTTTTGTGTGACAGTGTCCCGGTTATCTTATTTTGGTAGAGGTTAGTCGCCTGTCGGGTACTCGAACCGAGAGGGTATGGAATTCTTTAGTTGAGACTCCAAACTTATTAAAAACTTTCTACAGTATATCTATCAATTGAAATTAACTTGGGGGATTACCACCTGAATTGACTGTAGACTAGGATATGACCATTCTCATACTTGAAAAACCAGAAGGTTTACTTGCTTTATGTTTGTCTTTACTTGCAATCAACTTCACCCGACTTCCACCGCTATATAATAGAATTGCATGGAGTAACCAGTAGACCTAGAACATGGGTTGACATTTAGAACCTGAATCCTATACTGCATTCCTAGATTACAATTATACTTTGTCGTAGTTTAGTTGTGTCGGTTTTAGCGAGTCAACCAACATTCTTTATATTCCTGGCATCATGTACCTTCAATTTTAGCAACCATGATGGTCTAAAAATGTTTTGATTGTGATTCGGGCCCAAATGTACACATTTTACTCCTCATTTCTTATTCGTTTAGCATAGTATTTCATCGTTCCTCGACATATTTCATGCTAGGTTGTGCTTGTTTTGATATGTTTCAGGTCCTAGCACATGTGAAAGGGTCGAGGTCGAATTTTGGGATAATTGGAGGTCAAAAAGCGCAAAAACCGAAGGAAAGTCCGAAGCGACCGTGACAATTGCCCCGTAACTGTGAAGTGAAGGCGTCCAAGAAACAACCGCAGTTCACGGTCGGACAATGCAGTTCATAGTCTTCTAAGACCGTGAATAGGAGGCATGGGCCGTGAACATCAAGGCGTCCAAGGCCAAATCCAAAGTTATTGACGCTAGGCGAGTTCACGATCTCTAAGACCGTGAACTGGGGCCATTGACCATGAACCCAGGAGAATAAAGCGGCGCATTTTGGACGACATTGAGTTCAAGGACGCGTTTAGTTGTTCACGGCCGTGAACTGGCCAACACATCCGTGAACTGATCACTTTTGGCAAATATGAAAACAACATCAGGGAGAGAGAAAAGGGAGGTGGTTTGTTGGAGAAGGAACACTTTCTTTCTCTAGGGTTTCAACTCAAAACACCAAAGGGGAGTTCTAGTGAGAGTGAGAGTGATCTTGGAGCTTAATTGAAGGCATTGATCAAGCTTGGAAGCTAGGAATCAAGCCTAGAAGAAGAAAAAGATATGGAGGTTTCTTTGTAATCTCCCCTCTCTCTCTAGAAACTCACTCTTTTCTCTTGGGTGTTGTAGATCCCTAACTAATACTTTGTAATTACTTGTTTAGATGGAATGATTGTCATTGGGTATTATTTAATTCAATGATCGAGGTATTATTCATGTTGATTGTGCATGCTTGTGCTTAGCAATCTAAGGGTTGTGCATGTTTTGTGCTTAGCATCCTTAGGTTTGTGCATGTTGGTTCTTATCAACCTAAGGATTGTGCATAATTGTGCTTAGCATCCTTAGGTTTGTACATGCTGGTGCTTTGTAATCTAATTAGCCACTTTAACCTAGCTAAGAGAGGAAAATCCTCCTTCCAAGGGAGACTCAATCGAGTTGGTTTTCCTTTTGGCTTTTTAAGCCACCTATCTAGGTTAATTTAGGGCAAACCTCAATGTTTAATTAAGAAAATTGGTTAAGCACGATTAAGGCGTCCAACCCTTGAGTTGAGTGAGGGAGTAAGTCAACCACTGATTGCCTAAACCGAGAGGGACGAGTGATACCGCCTATAATGTTTACCTCGGTCTAGCAATTGAGATTGTGGTCTACGACCATATTTGCATCCCTCTACGGTTCGCGGTTACCTTGCCCATAACAATCGTTTCAATCCAGCGAGTCACGGTAGCTAGTTAGGGGGAAGCAACTCCTGGGTGAAGCTCCCTTAGTTAGAATTTTCCTTTATTTACTTTCTCTTGCTAGTTTAGTTTGTAGTTTTCTTAGTTTTAAAACCCAAAACCGTTTTGCTAGATAACAACTTAAGCGATTGAAGTAGGGGTACATGGACCAGCCCGAGTCGATATTTAAATACTTGCTCTATACTGCACCCGGCTAGAGTTTAAAAACTTGGGCCCTAGTCGGGATTAATTTGTGGTGTAGTTTCGTGCGAGTCAGATTGACATTTAATTAATTTATTTTAAAAGATATTAAAGTGAATATAATTTTTTGGAATATATAATATGATTTTTCTGTGAAAAAGTTGAAATGAATGAGATATAGTTCATGGCCAAAACTATGCTTCAATCTCAATCATAGATATCGGATTAATGTGCAATGGTATGCATTATATAATCTCAGTTTTAAATATTTAGATTATTCAGGTAAGTAGTATTTAAGAATATATTATTTAAAACAGATCTCATAGGGATAGCAATCAAACTCTGCAACTGTGAGTACCCGACCGCTCTCGACCTAATCAACGCGGGAAATTCCAGCATTGATTGCGTATGAAACGGGTATATGTAAAAAAATTTTTTATAAGGATGAGGTGGGTATGGTTTTAGCATCCTCCACCCCATACACATATGTACCCACCTTATCAAGATTATTTCTTAATATATAAAAAATGGAGAGACAAATTGTAATCTATCAATGATAAGAAGAGCAATTCATAAAAATAAAGAGCTAAAATGTATTGAGTGACACCTAAATCAAACCTTTGTCTCTTTCCCTCCAATTCTCCCTTCACACATTTTCTTATTTATCCCCTTTTAACAAGATTGAGCAAATTATTTATTGTTTGATAAATGTGTCTAATGGTAGATAAATAATTTGAATAATATTATAATTTTTCTTATGGATTATGGATGTTTTAGCAATGAATGCGTTAAATACATATTAAAATTATCGTGTCTTTGCTTATTTCTTAATTTATTAGCTTGTTTAGTATTATAGTTAAAAATAATCGTATGTACGCGCTGGTATTACTTAGGAGTACCCAAAATTAGAGAATATAAATTTGGGCATGCAAAACCATTACTCAGGAGTACCCAAAATTCGCGAGTATAAATTTGGGCATGCAAAACCTTCTCAAGCATGGTATTAGACAAATATGAGTTTGAATATTCAGAGAATGAGAATGGTTTAAGTAAAGCTGCCCAAACCCACCCCATTACCATACCTATCTTACATTTACATGTTACAAATCCTTTAAATAATAATTTTGCAGATATATCATAAAATAATCTCATGACTTATGACACAAATGTAGACAACAATTTATTAATACACCGAACGAAAACACACCTGATCGTTCAACTACTCTGAAATGGTGTAATCCAAACACAACAAACACTTTCCACTCGGTGGAACTGGAACGACACACGGAATGGTTGCTTATTTAGAACTGCCTCAACCATAAAAGGCGACAACAACAACATGGACGACTTAATAGCATCCTTTTTGGTACGGTACACAACACAACAATGACAAAAGGCTTACAATCTTCATCGTCCATCAATCAATCAGCCATGGCAGATATATGCTCTCACCACCACTGATGGACGAACACACCACTTGCTCGAAGACTCCCGACGAGGCTCCCACATTCCCCATTCCCCAAACCTTTTCCAGAACAGTTCAAGAACAGCTCGTCAACAGCACATATCGCTCCACTCCTGAACAGCTCAACGAGGAACTTCAGCTCGACCTCACCGCCTGCATTCAGCCTCATCACCACGAAATCAGCGTACTTAACAGTTTCCTCGAACCACGCAACGAAATCAAAGCCTTGATCCTCAATGAATGGATCCAAGTCCTCAATGCCGAGGACTTGGTCCTCCACCTTGTCTCCAGCTAGGCCTGGATGGTAAACGAAAGTAACACCAGGCCTCTTCACGAACGAATGCAGAACCGAGGTGTTGTGATCGACAAGATAGACATTGAATGACTTGTGATCAACCGGATAAGCTGGCAAGTACCAAGTTGCAACATTAGAGTTCAATTTCAGATGCTCCCCGACTCCAATATCGACATACACCATACGAGTCCTTGCCGAGACATCCACGAGCTTTGGCAAATACGCAATCTTTTCCTCGAATCCAACTGGTTTGGTCTCCGAAACGGATTCGAGCAACTCCATGAACTGGCCGTTGTTGACAACGGAATGACATTCTGACGGCAGGCTGACATGCTCGAAGTAATCGGCGGGATAGAATCTCTTCTTGAAGACAACCAGGGTATAGCCGCCACTGAGGTAACCGACATGAGCAACGCTGGAGGTTTTCAGCAGTGAGGAAATGGGCATTGCCGATCGGACCAAGTTGTAATGGACCAAACCATTCGACGAGCCACCGATAAGAGCAGCAGCAACTCCACCGGGTTTAAGAACCCGCTCAATCTCTAGGACAAGGCTAGCAGGGACAGGAACCTTGTCCAGATCCCCTGAGAACACGAAGTCAAAGGAATTATCACCAAATTCAAGCTCATACATGAACTTCTTCTGCCTAGGCAAGAAGAATGGGTGCCTATCTGCACCACCAGAAGTGTTGGTGAATCCCAATTCGTGCAATGTATACACGGCAGCGGCCGATCCTTCCCCGACACAGAGAGCTCTTGCTTTACGATCCAACAGTTGCTTGCTCGTAAGCTCCCTGACGACCGTGGCGGTCAAATTGACGCTTTCCTCGCAGTCAAGCGAACCCCAAATGGGTTCCAAGAAGATAGAACCGGATCCAGACCAGTACTGCAAAATGGGTATCGCCGAAAGGACCAATGCCAGCGCGAAACAGCGCATAAAGAGGCGCTCAGCCACAGACTCGGTAACGGCCTGGGATCTCAGACCCTTCAAGTTCATCGCTACTTTTTTCTTTTCTTGGTCAACGAACGGCGATTTGGGTCGCCAAAAGTTCAAAGCTTTGCTTAACGATTGATTGATGTTCAACAGAAAAGAGAGCAGAAGGAGACAAATTCAACTCAGAAAGTGGAAAAGAAGGCGCAGGATTTAGCGAGTGCAAAACCTGGAGGAGGTGTGATTTCCACCCACGAGGAGACCCATTGATTTTTGAACGATTAACCACACCCTCCTTGGAACCTTTGTTCTTCCCGACGGCGCCAACCACATCCCTCCCATCTTCCCCCGATCCCTACTCCGCATCCCCTTCCCTTACATGGTTTATCTTAAACCACCGCCGGCAACAGGGCAAATTGATTGAATCGTCACAAAGATAATCCAAACAAGTAAACAACCGGGACTGAGATGGGAAAATCAGGAAACGGAGCGAAAGTGAAGGAGAAGGAGAAACGGCTCGGATTAATGAATTGGGAAGAGAACGCTGGATCTAGGGACTGAAGTCTAAAAGGTCAAGGAGAGCGTCCTTTCCTGGAAGCCAGTGAGGACAAAAGGGTAAAATAACACAGGGAATGGGCGGTAGGGGTGGCTATTTGGACCGCGACCGGATTAAAAATCGGAAATTGGACCGTATAACCCGGACCGAGACCGGATCGGGACCGGATAGTAAACAATCCAATCCAATCTTTGGGTTTAGATTTGAGGTAAAAAATCGGATAAGAGAGCTCAACACCCAAAACTTAAGGGTAATTTGCATAAACGGTCACAAACCTTTGCACTTAGTACAAAACTTAACCAATTCCTCACCCTTTAAGGCCTTAGGCCACTCAAATGCCACAATCTCAATGTAAAATCAAGACCGAATTGGGACCGGACCGGATCAAAACCGGAGTGTATCCAATCCAATCTTCGGTCCTTATATTTTCAAAAAGACCGGACTGGACCGGATCGATTTGGGCCAATTTAACCGGATCGAACCGTATAGCCACCCCTAATGGGCGGACTCAGTACAGTGAATCACGGGGTACGTGGCGGAAAAGGGATGCACCGGAGTTGTGCTACGCGGAGACGTGTCGCGAGGTGATTGGAGGATGCGGCATTAAGAGCCTGACAAGGGAAGCTCATGGGCTGTCGGGGTCCGGCACGCAACAAAGCAACGATGACGATAATGCAATTATTATTATTATTGTAATGGATACGGGCCTGATATGGCCGCTGGCGGATTGGGGCATCCTTCGTTGATTTCGAGAGAGAGGGGGTTGTGTTTAGGGATGGCAACAAAACCCGAACTCACGGGTATCCATCCGACCCAATCCGGTCAACGCGGGTAAAATTCGTGTTGACGGATTTTGGGCGGATTTTGGTTTAAACCCGTTCACTATTCATCGGGTTGTGTTAGGTTTGGGTTTAGGTAAACCCGACCCATGGATACCCGTCCACACCCATATAATTAATTTTCTCGGTATATTTAATATTCTAAACAACTCATCTTATTTATGTTTGTGGAGACATGTCTAATTTTTTCTTTCTAATTGTGTACAATGAAGTTGATGTTATCGAGTGGAGAGTGAAGAAACTTCGTTTGCTTGTTGGATTTGAAAAATGAGGGTTTTGGCCAATAAAAATTTTGGGATTTATGTTGGATTTATTGGATTATGGATTTGAAGAGTCTAATGTTTGCATGATAGATTTGATGATTGATTTGTTAAATAAATAACTAACCATCAAAGATTTACAAATCCCAAATCAATATGTGGGATTTACAAGTCCGTGAGGTCCACATATTTGATTTCAAAATAAAGACCAAATCCGTGGACCCCATGGATTTAGCACCCTTCAACAAACAATGGACTTATGTTAAATCCATCAAGCTTGGGATTTGGGTACCAAATCCATAACTCAAATCCAACAAGCAAACGACCCATTAATTGAATGGAAGAAGCCTTCAATTAATCATGTTATTTATGGATAATTTATGATTTATTTCAATTTTCTTGAGTTTTCTAGATTGGTGTTGAACAATTTGTATAGTTAATTTGTGATTTGCTTGAATTTTCTAGAATGATATTTTAAATATGGATAATTTGTATTGAGAGATTGATATTTGACTTTAATTTCGATAGGAACTTTTTATTGTAAATTTTTTATGACAAAAACCCGTGGGTACCCATGAACCCGCGGATACCCAGCGGGTTGGGTTTGAGTTTTTCTAACCCAGTGGGTTTTACCCCGAATTTTTTTCACGGATAAACCCATGGGTTTGGGTTTGGCAAAACCCGACCAAACCCGGCCCATTGCCATCCCTAACTGTGTTTGCCTTTATTATCTACGATTTGGTTTTTTTGTTTTACAATCAATTCCCTTAAGGGGTCATTTGGATTAGGGAATTTAAAAATGAGAGATTTGGCCCTAAATCTCTCAATTAAAAACCCAGAAATTTTAATTGTGGGATTTTACCCAAATAACTTGTTTGGGACTCGACAAGTGATTTTAACTAGAAAAACAAAATTACAATTTCACCCTACCCCAACTCTTTTGCTGCGTTTCTTCTTCCTCCCTTTCCTCTCTCATTCCACCGTAATCCAGCAGCGGTCGACCAACGGCAATAGCCATCTCTGCCGCTTTCGGTGACAGGCTCTGGTGCGCGAATCTCAACTGGTCATGGGATACCCTTTCATCCTTCGCCCTGTTCTTCTGGGTTTATGGGTTTCAAACCTAGAACTCAGTGGACGGCGGGATCGGTCGAGCTCCTCTTCTGCCTTCATCGAGTGCTCACCGGTACGCGACCCAATTGTTCAGGAGCCGTTGAGATTAATTTGTTCGTCTTGTTCCAGATCTGATTAGTTTGCCTCTTCCGGTGAGATTGAGAGTTCCAGAACGAGAGAATACTGACGAGATGAGGGGCTTGAATGATGAACAAGAGAGGAACCCAGAACTCCAACGCAGAGCAACCTAGCCCCATAATCCCATTTTCCCCCATAAATCTAAAAATCTAATCATCTGCTTTTGCCGGAGGAGAGGAAGAAGGAGAATTAGTCTGGATGGAGAAGCCGACCGGCGGCGACAATAAACTTTGAGGAAAGGATGATCTGGTTTCAGGGTGGAAGAAAGAAGGGAAGAATGAAGGAGATCGATGAAGAGATTGTGGGTTGACGGGGATGGGAGAATGAAGGATGAAGAAGAAAGGAAGAAGGAAAGAACGAAGTGAGGGAGGGGCAAAGTTTGGAAAGAGTGATAAAAAAAATGAGTGATTCTGAAATAGCTGACGTGGCAGGTGAGGTGGACATTGACTAACGGTCAACAGGTTTGACCATCTAATTTGACGGTCAAACCCGCCTCCATGCCAAATGAGAAAGTTTGCTACATAGTTCAGGCTAGAATAGCAATTTCCAATACCACGGACCAAAGTAGAAAGTATGTGTATAGTTAAGGCCAAACTAAGGTATTAACCCTTTAAGTAATATTGGATGTTTTAGGGCTTTTAAATTCAAATAATTAGGGCGTTAAATAGAAATTCAGAATAATTATGCGAGATAAAATTGGAAGAAAAAACAGTCAATCAGAACGTTTGGTACCAAATGAATTCCTGTGTAGAATTCATTTTCAAATGAATTCCTGTGTTTGGTATATGCTATTAGCGTTACAATCAAATTCTTGTCGACTTTCCTCATACTGCATGAATTGGCACCAAATAATATATGTAGAAGTAATTTTGTTAATAAATGAGAATAATTATGTCCTTTTATCATAATTGGTAAATACTTGTGGAATTCATTTGAAAATTCCATCTCAATTCCTCGGAATTGCTATAACTAGTTCTAATTCCGTAGAATTCAAAATTTAGAATTGAAAATGAATTCTTTTAAATACCAAACAAAAAAAGAATTGAAAGTGATCAGCTATTTCAAATATTCTCAATTGCAGGTTTTTAAAATCACTAATTTTGAAATGTCTCATTTTCAAACGAGTTATTTGGTCAAAATCCATGTCAATGAGGGTTTGTGGTGAAATCCCTCATTGAAAACACTCATCCAAACGACCCCTTAATGTATTCAATAATTGTGAGCCTATTGCAAGATTTATTGTTTCATATGTATAACAAGGAGATTAGGTATGCTAGACCACTCTTAGATGAAAAGGACCTCGAACTTGTAGAAGATGGAGGGAGTGGGACTTCTGAATTAGGTTAAAACCTAATAGGAAGATTCATAGATCGTTAATTGTTAGAAGATTGAATCTAGGTCGAAGAGAATATCTTGTCTAGGTTGAATCAACTAATAGAGTGTTAATACACGAGAAAATCGGGTTAATACTAATTATGGAATTCCTACGATCAAAGAAGATAACACCCAGTCCATATATGTTCAACTGAAGAGGTATGAATTAGCTAGGGAGATTTGAAGTCCGAACAATGCTTTCTCTCTTGAACTTGCCTTAGTGTATGTGAATTGCATGTGTTGAAGTTCATTGTTTTCGCTAATTAGTTTAGATAATTATAAGAATTGATAAGACATCGGTTAAATAATAGCAAACATAGTTCATTACTATTATTTCATAGTCTCTGTGTTAATACATTTGTTATATTTAGCCTAGTTGGATATTCATAAATGCATTCAACGAAAAACAAGATATTCATAAATGCACCCATGTTATCCTTGCTACTAGCTAATTTTTTTGTAAAAGTCAATCTGACCCAAACCATATCAGACACACAAACGTAATCTAATATGAATCGTATAGTATATGATCTAATTCATGATTTTTGTTCTATGAATCGTATAATATATGATCTGATTCATGATTTTTGTTTAGTCTCTTGATATGTACGCAGACCATATCTATAGTCTGGTCAAACAAGACCATTTCCCCGCCCTCATGCATTCCATACATAAACAGTTGCAAATCCGACTACGATTCAGCCCATCCAAATTTTCCAACTTCCAAATGATCCAAAATATTTTCTCCATCTCCAAAATTCAAGGCAAGTGAAAATGGACCCTGATCTCTGCAAGGCACAAAAATTTCCAATTATTTCCTGTCGGTAACTAAATTGCGTATACATATCTTCCTTCCTAGGAACGGCAGCGGTCCGTACTTACAAAGGCTGGGTTTTCTCTCCTTCCCAAGCTCCGTTAAGTGGAAATAAATCATATTTTCATGCCTCAAATGTAGAACAAACTGATCAAATCTCACTGGCGCCAACTTTTGAGGAAACAACCAGCTCAAGAAGACGGAGGCAGAACTGCACCAGTATAAAGAGCGAAACTCACATCCACCCAAAAATAATAACACTACATGGTCTCGGATTGCAGGTGTTGACTGTCTTGTAAATGTCATTGCCTGAAACCAGCAGTGGAGCTCTTGCTCGACAACAAGGGCTTCTCTTTCAAACTGCCCGTCAAATTAGTCTCAGAGTTTGTCGCTGACTGACTCTCACCAACTCCTGGTCTCATCCATACTTTAATGTGGCCTTCTCGACTTGCTGTAACAACGGATTCTTGAGTGAAGATTAGCCCAGAAAGTGGCTCGGTATGAACACGGTGAGCAACAAGAGGAGATAGTTTTGGAACATCTCGCATGCATGGAGCAGGTTGCAGAGTGCCAACTGGGACAACATTGTCCCAGTGTGATGATTGACTGCCGGCGCTAAATGTTGGGGAGCCACCAGGAGGGCATCTTCGTAATGGCACCACAATTTCATCCATTTCCAAGTCCCACAACAACAACTGTGTATCCTGCGCCGCACAGAGACCATGGAATTGTAGTGTTTAGGAAAGACTAGGTTGAGGAAGGTGAAGAAAAGTACAAACAGGTAAAATAATCTATGAACTCTCAAAGTTACTGCTAAAACACTAACATGATGAGGAAGGTTACTAAGTTAATATTTGCAAATATTCACTACTCGTAGTCTAATACAAATAGTAAATTCAAAACAGCTTGCAATAAAGAAAATGACAAAGGTTTCTCTCTATGTACACAAAACGTACCTGACCAACAGAACCAAACCGGTACATTACCGTCTCAGGCGTACCATCTGCATTAGGTGATGACCAATATGAATCAAATGCCACCCCACTCACCTGCCCCCAAATATACAACATGGTAACCAAGCAAAGAGTGTCAGGATTCTGTACAAAAACACACAGAAAATCTCCCAGAATTCACAAGAATCATAGGTACCCATGAGTTATGTCCCTCGCCCCATGCGACAACCTTCCGATCTTCCATACTCCAAACTTGAACTAGATCATCTTCACCACCAGCCAAAATGTACTTCCCATCCATACTGATGAAAGAAAAATTGTCAATACCCAAGTTATTAGAAGCACTCACTGGATAAAGGAAACAAAAGTTACCAATGTCCTAAGAACTCCACAAAGATTATGTACAACTAATAAAGAGGGAAAACCGATGATAGTTCTCGTCTCAAAGGAACATATGTGAAATTAAATAAATTTTGTGCCCCAAAAAATGGTTAATGAGTCAGAAAAGCAGCAAAATTTCACCTCCAAGCACAAGATAGTAGAGCTCCATAGTAACTCTTCCCGCCACAAATAAGTTGTTCTTTTGTATAGTCAAAAACTCTAAGGTATCCTGCATTTGAAGATGTCTAATCTCAGTTTACTTATAGTTACTGCAAAACGAAGCCAATAAAATTCGAATGAAATGATACCATCTCTTCCAACAGTTGCTAAGTGGGTTCCGTCTGCTGAGAAAGTGATACTATTTATTGAACCTTGGCATATGTGCCATCGGGCAATAGGGTTACTCTGCATACAGTTCACAAAATAAACAAAGAAAGTAAACCAAATCAGAAAACTTATCCGTTCAGTTAAGTTCATGTGTAAGGCAAACACAAGACCCCAGGGTATAAAAACTCTGCCTAACAAATTATGTATCAGCACAAGAAATCCCCCAAACAATTTAGTTTTCGGTTACTACTTGATCAGGCATCATCATAACATAGTAACAGCAACAATAGATAACAGACAGTGGTTGGGGATTTCGTGGCGAACTCTAGTTTCTTATTGCTAGAACCAGCGCCAGAATAATATTCTAGTATACCTTGCTGTACCGTGCATGTGAAACAGAAAACAGGGCCTGATCCTTGATCAAGGGGAAAGAAGTATCTCCAGCAGCATCCTTGTTCTAGAAAAAGTTTAGGAATTAGGACAGTGAACACTGGAAACAGCAAGCTAAATAAGACATCCATGGAGATGTCCTTCTCTTCTAACAATTGATGCTTGCCTTTTCATACACATAAAGATTCCCATCAGCATGAGCAACAACGAAAGCACCATCACCTCCAGGAACCCATGCAATACTAGTACAACGACTGTCAAAAAAGAAGATAGGCTAATGAATTACCATACATGTGCACCTTCTGTTACATAATAAACATAATTGTAATTTGACATATAGCAGCCTCAACGTATTCAGAAAACCACATTAACCGAGAGATTATACACAAAAAAAGAAAATAGGATGCGGAAATTTTGAAGAAACAGGTAACAATCAGAAAAGCAAGAATAATTCCATCAGATAATACTTTGCATGATTTAACTTGCACATCACTGAAGAGAGCAGGTGGACAGAAATAATTTTAATTCTTGTTTAAAAGTCCTCAAGGAGTTAGGCAGTATATGGTAAAATTCACATTCACTGCTCAATATATTCATTTAACTACTGGCATACAAAAAACGGACCCTATCACACTCTCAGCATAAAAACTGTCCAAATTCCTCTGGTTACAACCAGGCATCTAAGAGAAAGATTTGCACAAGTGCTGCAGGCACACTGTCTCTTCTATCAAAGCTAGTTACATAGTATTTCACCAATTTGACAGTTCTCTACATCCTTTGCATCCTGATTGAGTTAATTAACAATCTAATGGAGTTGCCATAAGCAAATAAGAAAAATTAGAGAGCAAAATGGTAATCTTGCCTGTTAGTGACAGAACCATCTTTGTTATGATGTTGTGCCCCTACAAGTTTCTTCCCAATATCCTGTAATTGTTGTCTGAGAGATACTGAGTAGACTACAATAATACAAATGTTTAGCATTCAGACAACATGTACATTCGAGAAGGAGATAAATGCAGCTGAAAATGAAGTAAACAGCTTACCATCACCGGAACTCAAACCAATAACCAAATCATGTCCATCCCTAGCATCCGGATCAAAGGCATGGCAAACAGGGTTCGAATTACTAAAATGGATGGATTTGATTGGATCCTACATCAAACAACAATGACATTGAATCTCTGAAGATGGCACCAATGTTAGCTGATAAATGCAAATAGGATTTATAACTCTAACACAAACTCACCTTATCTTGAGAGTTGAGGTCACTAACAAAAATAGCATCCCCAACATTAAATATCAAGTAAGTCCCTTTTCCATCAAAGTTTGGATTTATCATAGCACTACTTGAGCACGAAGCCCCTAAAGAACCAATCCTGCCGGTGCCACTAACATTTTTACTACCACCATTGCCTCCAACAAAGCTAAGTGCTCGACTCCCATTGCCAGCACCCAACAATCTTGCTGCAGCTGATCTCACCCCACTGCTAGCACTAAACGTTGAAGACGAAGATGTCGGGGTCTGTGGGGTTGGCTTGTCTTTCAGATTAGCTAGAGTTACCTGGCCATCAGAACAAATCCAATTGAGCTTTTGAAACCGGGAAAGAGGCTTTTCATTCAAAATCAGACAATGCGAAGCGATTGAAGAATGATTCTGTGATTGACTTGTTACCAGGGGGCGATCAGAAAGCCCTAGAAACAAAAACCCTAGAAACTAATGCATCAGCAGCGCATGCGCCACAATGAACAAAAAAAAGGCAACAGAAACAGAAGAACCAAAAATCCCAGACTGCTAAGACTAAAACTGATTCTAATGAATCCACGACAGACCCATAAATCAAAGCCAGTAATCGTGGAAGCTCCTAAAGAACTAGAAGAAGAAAAAAAAGATAGCAGCTTGGATACTGACCCGAAACCGAACTGAACTTTGAGAATACAGCTTACAGAGGGCGTTGAATTTGACGAAAGGAGAGTAAATTAAGAATGAGGAGAAAGGGGAATAGCGAATAGCAAGAAGCACCTGAGTGACAGTTTTGCCATGGGCATAGTGAAGGAGACCAGAAGGGTGTGTTTTTTCGTAGTGGAGCTTGTACCTCCCTTCTGGGGTTTTGAAATAGGTCTTCAAACCCGGCGATTGGGCGTTAGCCGTCGACGATGACGTCGAAATCATCCCGTTATTGCTATTGATCATTTTGCCGCTGCTCGTTACTAAACACCAGAGAGCATCTGATCATGACAAAACTTCCCCAACGGAGCTGCCCCTCTCCTCTCCGCTTAATCTGATTCGATTATCTAGACTGCAAAGCTCTCTAACATGCCACTGTGATTCCTCTCCAGATTTTAAGCGCCGAACCGCAGCTTCCTCTTCGCTTTCTCTCTCTGAGTCTGTCTCTTGTAATTTGTGCGTTCCTTTTTTGCTGTCTCTCTTCGCTTATTTGTTCTTCCTTCTGTCTTTGGCTCTCAGCTTTACTCTTCTCCTCCTCCTGTCGTGAGTCTTCAATGGAGATCAAAGGATCTGCCGGGACTGGATCACGGTCGACGCTGCCGTTTAGCATTTGGGTAGTTTTCTTTCATATATTTATCTTGTTTTTATGTTTCTTTCTTTTGGTTTTCGTTTCCGCTTGTGTGTGGATTGTGGTTTCAGGTTTGACTAAATAGAGGGCAGGGACATGAGGTCAACAATAATCAATGGTTGAGATGGGTCATGATGGACGGATGTCAAGTGGAACCTCTAATCGAATGTAGTACAGAGTGTGTATTTCAAAATCAACCCGAACGATTTATATATCCTTATTTCAACGAACAAAACATTATCTAGTAAACCTATTGGTGTTTCAATTACTAACAACTAAGCAAGTAGAAAAATGAAATGAGATTGGTTTCAATTGAGGGAAGATACATCCAGACGTGTTTCCCCCTAGTCTAAGTTGTATCGACGTTATGACGCCCCTAATTCGATCCACTCTAACACACGATCGTGACTCTAACCAAAGATGTTGTTTCATTTGCTCATGTCAAAATTGTGTTGCCCGAGTCACGACTAGGTCGTGACCCTTGTTGGTTGGCCGTGACACAAACACAAAACGTTGTGCATTTGTTGAAGTCACAACCTCTTCAACACGTCTCACGACTAAATCATGAGACTGGTCGTGCAATGATATGATCTCCTTGGGATTTTGTTGCTTCTCACTACCGCTTCAGCTACTCTCACGACCAAGTCGTGAAATGGAGCACCTGGTTATGAATGTCCCCTTTCCTTGTGCACTTTTGTTCCGTTTCTTCCCAATTGGTCTAACATCCATCCATTTGCTATATTTAGCTGTTAGAACCTTTAATATACCAAAAAAGCGCAACATAGCATAAAATAGGCTAAGAGAACATCCCAAATCAAGTTAAACGATCAAAATGTGAAAGGAAAAATATGTGTAATGAACCTCGAATTAGTTACTATAACAATAATTTCACTGTGAGTAAATAAGTAAAATAATAAAAATAAACATGAAAAGAAATTAAGGCGGTTAATCGGTCAAACAACTCTCATTTCCTTCTTATGGTTCTCTCCTCTGCTTTTTTTTTATTTCCCGTGTCTCATACTCTCTCGTCCTATCAGATGACCATACTCCTCTGTGAACTAGACTGTGAACTTCCCAACTTTCAAAGCGCAAAGCGGCAAGCTCAAGATCGTGTCCTTCCCCTCCCAGATCGCACCCGCGAAGTCTCCCAACATGACAGTGAACTTGCCGGACTCTTGGAAATCTATAAATAGGGGGTCCCACCTACATTGAAAGCTGAAATTGATTGAAGATTTCTGATTTTAAGAGAGAGAGAGAGAGAGAAAGTTAGGGAGAGAAGCTGAAGGAAGGAGAAGAGGAGAAGGAAGAGAGCTCTCTCACATCAAGACTTCTTCTATTTTCTTCCATGTATCTCCCCCCCCCCCCCCCCCCCCCCCCCCCCCCCCCCCCCCCCCCCCCCCCCTCTTTTTCTTTTTATGGGTAGTTCTCAAAGGTACTAGGGGATAAACCCCCCAAACACTAGATTTAGGTTTTGAATGTATATGTAATTGTGTTAGGGTTTATGAATAGATATGTTTGTTTTGGTGAATTTATGTTCATTTATGCTTAATTTTGCTTGGTTAAGTCGCACAACTCTTCTCTACTAGCCTACAACTGAGTTAACACTAGGTGGGAATTTTAGGACTAAACTGGGTAGCGCCAACTGGCAGATTAATGATAGATGAATGATCTTAGGGTTTCTTAGTGGACGTGGCGACTGAAACCCTCCTATAGGAATGCCTTCCTAAAACAACGCTAAAGAAGTCACACACGTTATGATCAAAGCATGTTTCTAGTATCCATGATAGGTTAAACCTATTAAGAGGAACTATGAGAGAAACCCTAGCATGTAAACTTAGACTAAGGTAACATTGAGTCTTTGTGGCCGTGTTAGGAGGATGGAGAGTAATCACTGAAATTCCCATATTAGAGAGTTTCGCATCCTATCATATAAACTCAACACAGTTATCCATTTACATGATGAACCTAGTTTAGGGCGAGGGTGGCACCCCAAAGTACTTTGCTTTTATTTTTGCCTTTTCCACCAGTATCTTCCGATCAACTTCCAACCCAAAACCTAAATCAGTTGACAAGATAACAACAAAGTGAGAAGTAACCTAGGGTATCAAACCCGTGGAATACAACCTTGGTAGACACTATATAAGCAATGTCATTCTGAGTTATACTTAGCTCTTAATGGGGTAGTTAGATAAGTCGTGCAAACTATTGACAACACCCGCACGGGGGTAGTAGCATCACGACCAATCACATCGCTAGAAAACCCTCTGAATCTCCTCAGCCATACTTTATAGGCTCCCCAACTATGTGAGCCATATAGATGCACCTAAAGAGGTTAGAGTAAGGGGCCTCCCTTACAAGATCTTACTAGTATGCAAAACCTAACATTTGTGTCCAATGGTTGGGGGTTTAGAAACCACATAGAAGCTTCCAACAATCTAAAAAAGGTCCACCTTATAGGACAACAAAGAGACACAAACTACCTTGTAGAATGACCACATATGTATCCTTGTCGATGAATCATATCAGTTCCCTATGGTTATGACCATCCCAAGAACTGCCAGACCCCTGTTGAGGGGGAAAGTTGAGTTGTCCAGCAAGTCAGAGTATGTGTGTTGATGTGGTAAAGGGAACAAAACTAAATACTCTGATGGAAGCAAAATTTTGGGCCTATCCATTGGTCCACATCTCTTGCCACGTCTTTACCAGCATCCCTTCCTCTTGCTTCTCGAGCCCATCTCTTTGATAGACCGACCAATATGTCAAAGTAATACTAGATAAAAAAAAACATTTCTCCAGTCGAACAATGTCTACGCCAAATTGTAATATCCTGCTCTCTAACCTTATAGGAAATAGCGACACCACCCATGCCACTCTCTTGTTGTTTTGATTTTACAACATGGATCTCTCCATCTTCAGTGGTTGAACATGTGTTGGGGGAGAGGTCCTCTCGAACCTTGTCGACATTAGGGGCAGAGTCAGGATTCAAAAGCACCTGCTTCCTCTACTCAAAATATAAATATATAAATAATAAAGTAATTATTATTAATAATAATTAAAACTAATAATATGCAAATAGTTCATTCATAGATAAGAAAGAAATAACAGACTACTACAATCATTGTTTCACTAACAACCACGAGTTCACGACTCGTTTTCATATTCTGAAAGAAGCGCAAAATACATTCGTTGAATACACTCTTAAGCAAGTCTTTTTCAATATATCCAACTAAACATTCAATGGCAAACTGGTCGTCAATTCGACTTCAAAGTTTGTTCTTTATATAGCTCAAAGTTGAAAATGTTCATTCTACACTTGTGGTGTAGTGGTATAGAAAAAAGAATTGCACGAGAGAGATCGAATTGATTAGGGGTTTAATTAGGAATTTTGATTATAGTCTATAAATTAAATTTATGTTACCTTATTCACTAAAATGATTTGTGGTGTAGTGGTAGAATAACCATATACTATTGAGGAATTATGGGTTGAGTAATTGATGCAGGCAAATATGTGGATATTTTTCTTACCCCAAAAGTTACATGTGGCCTGGAACACATCCAATTGGCTCTCCCTCCGCCTATGGTCGACACCTCCTCTTCCTCCTCTCCAGAAAGGTTTTCGTCAATTGGAGTGACATGCAATGATAAAAAGAAGAGACGCCAAGACACACCCATTATGATGATCTAGAATTCTACAGATCCTAATCTCTTAAGAGCACAGTCAATTGAGGTACTACAGTTTGACAAGGCAATTTCAGAGTCTTCTTCATCAAAGTTGGGAGGTGAAAATCTCTCATACTTACAGGAAAAGCAACAAGACGATCAATTTTCTGGCTAATAGAGGTCATGATGTCGATATAGATTATCATAATTTCAATATTTCCGATATAGGTTTGAACGACGGGAACTTGTATGACACTATGAGTCTATGACTATGGACATTGACAAATCACATTTAATTTAAGTAGCAAGTATGGACTCCCTTTTAGCGTCCCACTTTCCTACAAAATATTAATATTAAATAGATAATTTAGATTTTTTTATTCATCCAAAAAATATGCTTGTGAAACGACATCCGCATCAAAACCAGGCAAACTCTTTGATCCACGTGGCGTCATGTGAATGGATGAGACACTCAACCACGTGCATCTAAGTTAGGCCGCGGACTGTCAACGTGGAAATAAATGATTGGTCGAAGCTACGTGGAACAACAAACTAAAGGTCGATAGTTCGTCTACCTGACGCCTTCGTGGAACTTCGGTTTTCTTCTTCGCTACAAAATCCGAACTGAAAAATTCCCACGAAATTGTCGAGCTTCTTCGTGCTCCTCTGCTCTTCTTCTTCTTCGGAACTTCTAAGAAACAGAGCAGAGTGAGTTCATTTCCATGAGATTGGATCCGTAATCCCGAGATTGCTTAAAAGCTGCAGCGGAAGGAGAGGGAAAGGAGCAAAAAGAAAGAATGGTGATGAATCTGGCTAATTATTTTCTGGCGCGAGCAAGGGATGGAGTGGCATGGAGAGGACTGGTCTACACAATCTTCATTCTGCATTTCGTATTCGTTTGCCAGCTTCTGCTTCTCCAGCCTCTCGTCTCCGCTTCTGGTAATTTGTTTCATTTTCCCCCTTCTTATTTGCTGATTCGAATCCAGCCTTTAGTTATTGTCTGAAGCCAAATTTGGTGTTAATGGCCGATGCTCAGATCCGACGTTCGCTAATTGACATTTGCTTAGGGTTGTGGGATCCTCGAAAGTTTCGATATTTATTAGAATTAACGCGAACCCACCTTATTGAATGTGTGGAGGCAACATGGGGTAGTAAGGAAGCAGGCCAACAGGGTTTTTAGTGAACTGAAGTACCTGCATCTCTTCTAGATAGTGAGACTTCCTAGTGAAAATCTGCCTTACCATTTGGTGTTCTCGTTCTATATGATTCAGCTGACGATAAATGGTTGTACTTATAACTTCTTTGGCATTCCATTCCGTTCAGAGTGCATAAGTTTCATAATTTGTGAATGAATTGGTAGTTTAGGAGAGCGCGAGCCTCGGTGAAGTTCGTCTATGTAAAAGTTAGAAAAGTTACATGCTTTCACGTGTTCCAGTGAAGTTGGAGTTTCAGTCAAGACTCAAGAGTAGCTTACTTCTGTTCATTCAAGAGTAACTTACTGTTGTCTGAATTGCCACCAGATAGTAAAACCAAAAGCGCTGCGGAGTTGTTCGAGAGGGTTGCTCAAAGTGTAAAAGTCAAACTCTATAGTGATGCACTTGATGATCTAAATTCTGCCATTGAGGCAGATCCAACGCTTTCAGAAGCATATTTTCGGCGGGCCTCCATTCTTCGTCAAATATGCAGGTTTGTGTTAATTGAACATTGCAAACGAACTTTTGTTACCCGATGATTCCTTGTAGATTCGCTCGACGGATCTGTTGTCTATTCAAAGTAGCTATCTTGGCTCCTCTATGCTTCTCCCTTACTTTCTTTTATTGACCAACTTAACAAATATTTTTCATTGTGTAGATATGACGAATCAGAAATAAGCTATCAAAAGTTTCTGGAGCTAAAACCAGGGCATTCTGCTGCAGAAAAGGAGCTCTCTCAGTTAAATCAAGCAAAAAGTGCTTTTGAGTCAGCCCTAACTCTTTCTAGTTCCGGAGATCATTCAAAAGCTTTGGAGTTTGTTGATAAAGTTGTGCTTGTTTTTTCACCTGCCTGCTCCAAGGTACTATTTTATTCGCAGGATGAGTGTAGTACCATGATTGCATTATACTGAGCTATATGCTGACTGGCAAGAGGATTTCATCACTCAAGTATTCTGGCCAATGAAATGAGCTTCAATTTCTTTTGCAGGCTAAACTACTTAAGGTGAGGTTGTTGTTGGGAGTTAAAGACTTCTCTGCTGCCATCTCTGAGAGTGGATATATTCTGAGGGAGGATGAAAACAACCTAGAGGCCCTCCTTCTCCGTGGTCGTGCCTACTACTATCTAGCAGATCATGATGTCGCCTCAAAGTGAGTACATTAAATTTTTAATATCGTCAGCTTGTTAACTCGCCTTCTCAAATTTTCTTGATGAGATACCGCTAGTTGCATTCTTCATAACCGGTCATATGCTGTCTTTAGGCATTATCAGAAAGGTCTTCGTCTTGATCCTGAGCACAGCGAACTGAAGAAAGCATATTTCGGGTTAAAAAAATTGCTCAAAAAGACTAAAAGTGTAAGTTCATGAATCATTTTTTTTCCACAGCAAGCATTTTCTGTCAGCAAGATTGATTTACCGATCAGTTTCCATTTTCTTTCTTTTCACTAGGCTGAAGATAATGCGAACAAGGGTAAACTTCGAGTCGCTGTTGAGGACTACAAAGCAGCTCTAGCATTGGACCCCGATCATATTGCACATAATGTCAATCTTCATCTGGGTTTGTGCAAGGTCCTGGTCACGCTTGGCAGGGGTAAGGATGCATTAAATAGCTGCAATGATGCACTTAATATAGATGAGGAACTTCTTGAAGCTTTAGTTCAGGTATGCCATGTCTTAAAATTCTTTTTTCTGAGGCTGATCAGCATATTAGGATTCTTAGAAGAGAGCTTTTCCTTGTATTCAATTTTTTACAGAGGGGTGAAGCAAAACTTCTAACTGAGGACTGGGAAGGAGCTGTTGAGGATCTGAAATCAGCAGCTCAACAATCACCACAGGTTAGTAGGAAAGTCGGATTCATTTTGTTTAGGCCTGTTAAGGCCTTCTGCGTACGCTCCTTTTGCCAGTTGCTTAAACATATGGGTAGCTTCCTCTGGCCTCTTGTATCGTTGCTTCTGAGCTCAGGAAGTAGCTATGTAAGTCCTGACATGCTCGAGTATGGTTGGTTTTGCAGGATATGAATATTCGTGAAGCCCTGATGAGGGCTGAGAAAGCTCTCAAGATGAGCAAACGCAAAGACTGGTATAAGATATTGGGCATATCCAAAACCGCTTCCATAGCTGAAATCAAGCGCGCCTACAAGAAACTTGCTTTGCAGTGGCACCCTGATAAGAACGTCGAGAACAGAGAAGAAGCAGAGAATAAGTTCCGAGAAATTGCTGCTGCTTACGAGGTGTGTGATTCCCATACTAATACTTGCCTAACACTCTCATTACCACGCCATTAATTGACTATGGAAGTGGCAAGTTGACATCTCCAACATTCATCACATCCAGGTATTAGGAGACGACGAGAAGCGAGCTAGATTCGACAGAGGAGAAGACGTTGAAGACATGGGGATGGGAGGTGGCGGTGGCGGTTTTAACCCATTTGGCGGCGGTGGTGGTGGCGGCGGCCAGCATTTCTCTTTCCAGTTTGATGGAGGCTTTCCTGGCGGGTTTGATGGTGGATTTCCTGGAGGAGGTGGCGGGGGCGGTTTTCAGTTCCATTTCTGAGTTCCTTTCCAAGGCGGGAAAGAGAGATGTCGTTTCTCCTGATCCAATCGCGCTTTACTCTTCGCCTCTGTTGCGCTACAAGCACTAACATGACTCACCCTGACAAAAAAAAGACGGCCTCTTAGACAGATCATCAGAACTGAATCATAATATAGAGAACAGAAAAGTTTTGTTCCGAAAGGATGAATTCATGAACTTGTTTCCGTTCTTTCCCGTTAAGCTGTTGAGAGCTAATTCAATTATTTACCGTCTCATTGTCAACCATCTTACTACCACAACTATTCCATTACTATAGGAACTGGCTTGTACCCGGCGGAATATTTAGGTTTTATTATAGGCTTAGGTTACTATACAAAATAATACGAAACCCTTTCCATTTGTTTGTAACTAAAAATCTTATGCCCAAAACTATAAATGAGAGAAATAAGAGTTTTGAAATAATTGATTGGAATTTTTCAGCAGGGATTTTCAAATGTGCTAATGAGCTGACTGCTGACCATATCTGATTCGACCGGTATGGATTTACAAATGTGCTGACCATATATAATTCGTTTTACATTGGATTTGAAATCCTATTGGATATGAATATTATAATATTTTTACTCTACAAGAAGATACCCATTGATGCGAGCCTCCAAGGTGTACCGATAGGGATGACAATTATCCACCCACGAGTAATTTTACCCAAATCAAAATAGATCCATTGATTATGGGTAGGATATGGGTGAAGTATATATGGTTTTGGAGGGTTTTAGATGGGTTTGGGTAAGATATATTAGGTACTAAATCTAAAGATATATTAAGTTTATGTTGAAGGCTACGAATCACGAATTCAGCCTGATAATATTCTTTAGAGATGAATAAGTCTATTAAACATCGATTCAGCCAGAATATTTCCGGGGCCATTTTTGGCAGATTTCAAAGAGGTACCATCACCGATTTCAGGCGATTTTTTGGAAAGACCGTTTTCCTTGGATTTCGAAGGCGACGGATCACAGATGTCCTTAGGGTAATCTCTACCAATGATGAAGTCTACTAATCGCCGATTTGGGCAGAAATTTGGTCGAACTTTTTTGGGGGGCATTTTCGTAAATTTTCAGCGATATTTTTGAAAAGCCGTTTTGCTTTGATTTTGAAGGCTACGGATCACGAATTCAGCCTGAGGCTATTCTTTAGGGATGAATAAGTCTACTAAACATCGATTCAGCCAGAATATTTCCGGGCCATTTTTGGCAGATTCCAAAGGGGTACCATCACCGATTTCGGGCGATTTTTTGGAAAGGTCGTTGTCCTTGGATTTTGAAGGCGACGGATCACAGATTCGTCCTTAGAGTACTCTCTACCAATGATGAAGTCTACTAATCGCCGATTTGGTCATAAATTTGGTCGAACTTTTTTGGGGGGCATTTTCGTAATTTTTTTGTGGTATTTTGGAAAGGCCGTTTTGCTTTGATTTTGAAGGCTACGGATCACGAATTCAGCCTGAGGCTATTCTTTAGGGATGAATAAGTCTATTAAACATCGATTCGGGTGGAATATTTCCGGGGCCATTTTTGGCAGATTCCAAAGGGGGTACCATCACCGATTTCGGGCGTTTTTTTGGAAAGGTCGTTTTCCTTGGATTTTGAAGGCGACGGATCACAGATTCGTCCTTAGGGTACTCTCTACCAATGATGAAGTCTACTAATCGCCGATTTGGGCAGAAATTTGGTCGAACTTTTTAGGGGGGCATTTTCGTAAATTTTCGACGATATTTTGGAAAGGCCGTTTTGCTTTGATTTTGAAGGCTACGGATCACGAATTCAGCCTGAGGCTATTATTTAGGGATGAATAAATCTATTAAACATCGATTAGGGTGGAATATTTCCGGGGCCATTTTTGGCAGATTCCAAAGGGGTACCATCACCGATTTCGGGCGATTTTTTGGAAAGGTCGTTTTCCTTGGATTTTGAAGGCGACGGATCACAGATTCGTCCTTAGGGTACTCTCTACAAATGATGAAGTCTACTAATCGCCAATTTGGGCAGAAATTTGGTCGAACTTTTTTGGGGGGCATTTTCGTAATTTTTCGGCGATATTTTGGAAAGGCCGTTTTGCTTTGATTTTGAAGGCTACGGATCACGAATTCAGCCTGAGGCTATTCTTTAGGGATGAATAATTCGATTAAATATCTATTCGGGCGGAGTACCATCACCGATTTCGGGCAATTTTTTGGAAAGGCCGTTTTCCTTTGATTTTGAAGGCGACGGATCAAAGATTCGTCCTTAGGGTACTCTCTACCAATGATGAAGTCTACTAATCGCCGATTTGGGCAGAAATTTGGTCGAACTTTTTTGGGGGGCATTTTCATAATTTTTAGGCGATATTTTGGAAAGGCCGTTTTGCTTTGATTTTGAAGGCTACGGATCACGAATTCAGCCTGAGGATATTCTTTAGCGATGAATAAGTCTATTAACCATTGATTCGGGCGGAATATTTCCGGGGCCATTTTTGGCAGATTCCAAAGGGGTACCATTACCGATTTCGGGCGATTTTTTGGAAAGGCCGTTTTCCTTGGATTTTGAAGGCGACGGATCACAGATTCGTCCTTAGGGTACTCTCTACCAATGATGAAGTCTACTAATCGCCGATTTGGGCAGAATTTGGTCGAACTTGTTTGGGGGACATTTTCGTAGTTTTTCGGCGATATCTTGGAAAGGCCGTTTTGCTTTGATTTTGAAGGCTACGGATCACTAATTCAGCATGAGGCTATTCTTTAGGGATGAATAAGTCTATTAAACATCGATTCGGGTGGAATATTTTCGGGGCTATTTTTGGCAGATTCCAAAGGGGTATCATCACCGATTTCGGGCTATTTTTTGGAAAGGTCATTTTCCTTGGATTTTGAAGGCGACGGATCATAGATTCGTCCTTAGGGTACTCTCTACCAATGATGAAGTCTACTAATCGCCAATTTGGGCAGAAATTTGGTCGAACTTTTTGGGGGGCATTTTCTTAATTTTTTTGCGGTATTTTGGAAAGGCCGTTTTGCTTTGATTTTGAAGGCTACGGATCACAAATTCAGCCTGAGGCTATTCTTTAGGGATGAATAAGTCTATTAAACATCGATTCGAGCGGAATATTTCCGGGGCCATTTTTGGCAGATTCCAAAGGGGTACCATCACCGATTTCGGGCGATTTTTTGGAAAGGCCGTTTTCCTTGGATTTTGAAGGCGACGGATCACAGATTCGTCCTTAGGGTACTCTCTACCAATGATGAAGTCTACTAATCGCCGATTTGGGCAGAAATTTGGTCGAACTTTTTTGGGGGGCATTTTCGTAATTTTTTTGGCGATATTTTGGAAAGGTCGTTTTGTTTTGATTTTGAAGGCTACGGATCATGAATTTAGCCTGAGGCTATTCTGTAGGGATGCAAAAAACATTAAATTTAGGTACTAAATCTAAAGATATATTAAGTTTATGTACCAAACTGTAATATTCATATGGGTATTGGTATAAAGCAAAATCCATGTATTAAAAACCCAACCCAAATAAATGAGTATGAGTACAAACCCATCAAACTCTACCCATATATCTTATATTTGGATTTCATACCTAACCCAACTGGGTTACCGGTTATATAGCAAAAAACCCATGGTATGGGTAAATTTTGTATCCCTACATACCACATGGGAGCAAGAAGATGAACGAGAGCCAAAATCTCCGGCCAGAAGTGGGGATTCCCCATCCGGGGATTTCAAGGAGTACCCCGGGGATGCGGGCAAGAAGGGTTCCCCAGGGCAGTAGGTGCGATCCCCGCCTAGAGATTTGAAGACCCAACCTGAGGATCGGGGCTGACGAGTTGCAGATACATGGTTGGTTTATGATTTCTTTCCTTTTATGTATCTGGGTGAGTTTGTTGTTTCCCTAGCCTATATAAGGGTTAAAAAACAACTTTCATGTCATAGATTGGAGACTTTAATTTATTGTTCATTGAGTTTTTGGCTTGTGAATTTTGCTCTCGTCGTTGATGGACTCCAATCGCGTTGAGCGTGTCTCTCATCAATCAAGCATTCCCCATGATTGTGGTAGAGCTTCTACCCTTGTATTGATAGAGCCTTCTCTGAGGTGTGAGATTGCACTTCAATTCCGCCTATCCCTAGTTTGTATTCCTGTTCTTGGTTGTGCTACTTTGATAACTACGGATACTGGTTCCATGCTAGTATCAAGTAGTATCAGACATCTCGTTCAACACAGTGGCGGAGAAGATATCAAAGGTACAAACCATGGAGCCAAATCTTGCAGATGCCATAAAACAGCTAGCAACACATATGGATCTTATGGGAGCCTTGCTTCAAACCATGACTGACCAGAGTTTGAGTTCGTGTTCTCCGGTGCAACAGAGTTCGAGTTCTGAGGAAGACAACGTTGAGCTAGAGGACGAATCGAATGATGCCACCGCTTCTGGAGAGTTTCTTGAAGGCAAAAGAGTGGTCTCTCCAACACGAGGCACTCCAAATCAAAAGAAACTCTAAGGGAGTGAATCATCGACCAACGTTCCAAAATCGCAGAAGGAAGATGAAGATTTCTACTATAACTGCAGCCCTACGGGCTTCATATTCATAATTTTTTAGGTCACAGTGGAAAAGGAACGTATGGTCTATCTCAATCCTTTTTATGACTATTGTGATGATGATTTCTCTTGCAAAAGCCCACAAGCTTTGAGGACTGTCGTTGCAAAACCAGTAACGATGACTAAAGAGTGTGCAGACTGGGTTCGAGGCTCTCCTGGAGATGAGCAGTAACGTAATCTTCATCTTTCCGTGGATGATTTTCTTTTCTTTCAGTGGAAGTACAAGAAAAAGAGACGAGAAGACAGTGAACCCTAATGGAGGATTCAAGGGCCGAACTATGACGACTTGAGCTTTGAAGTTCATGGATTGGAGCCCTTGTTTGCCGTTTAGTTTGAGATCTTGATTTCGTGGGATTGTGGAGGTTGTTTGTTCTTTCTTGATGATGATGCAGAGAATTTCATTTGGAAGCCAGACTGGGAAGCTTGCTTGGATCGTGAGTTTTGAGGTATGCTTGAGTTCGAATGGGAGTATAATGCATTGTGATTTACTCAAGCTTTGAGGGAAAAGCTTCTTCAACAGGGAGGGAATGACGCTAGCCTCCCAGGTGACCCAAATCACCTTGCTCGAAGCATAAAGAATGACGTACCACGTGGGAGCAAGAAGACGGACGAGAACCAAAATCCCCTATTTGATGGATTTCTAATAGCACCCCGGGGATTCGGACAAGAAGGATTCCCAGGGGAAGAAGGTGCTATTCCTGGCCAGGGATAGGGGCTAACGGGTTGTAGATACCTTGTTGGTTTAGGATTTCTTTCATTTTATGTGTTTGGACGAGTTTGTTGTTTCCCTAGCCTATATAAAGTCTTAAACACGATTTTTAGGGCAGAGATTGAAGACTTTGATTAATTGAAGAAAAAAAAAATCCTTTTTGTTCATTGAACTTTTGGCTTGTGAATTTTGCTCTCGTCGTTGGTGGACTCCAATCGCGTTGAGCATGTCTCTGTATCAATCAAGTATTTCCCTTGATTGTAGTCGAGCTTCTACCCTTGTATTGAAAGAGCATTCTCCCAGGTGTGAGCTTGAACTTCAATACCACCTTATCCCTAGTTTTTATTCTTGTTATTGATTGTGCGACTTTGATAACTACAGGTACCGGTTTCGTGTTCGTATCATCGATTTTGATATTTTTTGAGCAAAAAACTTTCACATCATCTTACTACTGTCATATCATGAAGTGATTAACTAATTATTTTAACTATTAAAATAAGTATCTTAGAAATTCCTCAAATTTTATCGGAATGTTCGTATTTTAAAAACATAACTTAAACTGTTCATAAGTTAGGATTATAAAATATGAAATAGAAAATTGTAGCCTCCGGGTTGCAGTCCTTTCTGTTATCGAAGGGGCTAAAAGGCCATTTTAGCCTTAAACCCCCAATGTTTTGCCCCACGGGTTGCAGTTACTCTGATAGTTTACAGTGAGTATAGGTCAAGTTTCCAGACGCATCAATGCAATTTTGATGATTACCCATAACAAAAAATTCGCACTACTCTGGGATCTGTGACTGGTTGTAAAAAAAAAAAAAAAAAATTTAACAAGGCACCCCTCTTTGTAGCCCTCCCTTGCCAGTTGAGTGTGCCTCTTTTGGGTGTTAGGTGTTATGTGATTTACGGAATATATTTGTACCATATTTGTTCCCTATATATTTCCCCTATATTATTAATTATCCTCATGAAAATTGTCTAAGTCTTAACAATAGTGTAAGAGGTATTTCTATGTTATTATATTCATAGTCGATTCATAAGAGCTTTTACCTTTATAAAATAGATATCAAGATCTTTCATCAGTCTACATTTATGATCATTGACCTAATATGATTAGTTTTTAGCCAAGTAGAGCATAAAGCTCTAGTAATTGAGAGACTGGATATGAGTTGAGTTATATTTTCATGTGGCTACAACTAAGATTTGGTGACCTTATGTTAACATAAATAGAAAAAAATTCAATGAATCAAACCCAAAAAATCACAAAACTAGAACCATATACAACTAGAGGAGGAGATACAAAAGCCATAAGGCGCCACGACCCCCTGAGAATTTAAAAAATAAACTAACCTATAAATTCTTGTTTTGTTTCAAAATCACATTAATATAAATATATGAAACGGGCATGACAATTGATGACACAGATTGCCGATATTCCAACGGTCCCTTTGATCATTCTTCTTATAGCAAACCTACCCTATACCGAATTACACGAGACAAAAATTGAATTGAGTGTTTCAATACCATATATAAAAAAATCAATTTAGGGTTTGAACAAAAGTTAATTTTTTTCTAAAATAATTCCAAGATAATAGTACAATAGACAAAATAACTCCAAAGAGTGGAAGAACATTCGACAGCACCTACGGCCAAATTATTTATTTAAGTTAGGGGTTTAGTTTTAGCATATACTGAAAATAAAAATAAAAATATATTAATATTTGTTGCTTATCAACAAGTGTTATGTTGTGTATATGTTTCTTTTTTTTTTTTAACGGTCCTGTTAGCTCCAAAGTTTGGAGTCTATATTGGTGCCAATGTAATAAAACTGAATTAAGCAACTATGCGCCAATATAGGTTTCTTTCTGATTGTTCTCACCGTTATTATTTTTTAATATTATTTACATTCCCTCCCCATTGCTGGTATCGTTCCACGTAAATAATACAACAATTAATTTGTATTTTTCCGTGGACATTTTACTTTATATTGTTATTATTTTCATACGTTAAAAAAAATATATATACGCGGATGGACAGGCATTTTGTTTGTTTGTTTGTTACTCTCTTCTCCGCCAACTGGATGCAATGCAGACCAATTCCTTGATGGATCTTTTTCTGTCTTCACTCGTAAAAATGGACGTCTGGGCTGGGCTTTTTGGACCGTCTCTGCTTCTGTCTGGTGTGATGATTTTGCTTTCCCCCCCTTGATATCAACTGCTCCAATCTGGGCGTGCCACATGGATTTTGCAATCGTTAAGAGTAAATCTCTGTTTTTCACGAGCAATTTGAACGAAGATTGATGAAGACAAATCGGTCTAATTTCCGGTCGGGTGAACAAATGTTAAAAAAAGGGTTAATAGCCTTTTGCAGCTCTTTACTATTTAAAAATTAACAAACGTATCATCCTACTAATTATTTGTAAGAACATACTCTTTTAGTATTAAAACGTAATGAATATATATCCTTCCGTCTAATTTTCTGTTAATTAGCCGTTTAATGAACTATAAATTGACTCAATTGCCCTCGTTAACTCTTAAGAGCTCATAACCCCCTCTACTCCCCCGGTACAGAGAAAGGCGCCCATCAACATCGGCCATCGACCCCGCCAGGCTTTGGCGATGGCGAATCAGCCTCTTCCCCCACACGAAGATACAACAACGGTGCTCGATTGAGAATTTTCTCCTGCGAATGGTAGTTGGTGAATCGACTGCGGCAACCTCTTCCACCTGCTGGAGATCGAGCGCGCCACCGTTGTGTGCTAGTGTGGAGAAGAGGTCGTGCAGAAACCCTCCTGTCCGCCGAACCTGCTCATGCCGCCATCGATGACAAAGGTGCCGGATTTGACGGGCGATTGGAGGAAGACGGAATGTGCTGTCAAAGAGAACTTTAGGAGTCTGTAGGTTTTAATTAATTTGGATAATTAAATCGAAATTATGAGTTCATGAGGGAAAATTGGGTCATTTTATAACTCATTAAATGATCATTTAACAGAAAATTAGACGGAAGGGTATATTCGTTATGTTTTAATACTAGAAGGACATGTTCACGCAAAAAAATTAATACAGGGTTACATTTGTTAATTTGTAATTGTAAAGGATATAAAATGTTATTAACCATTTAAAAAAATTGTGCACTATTATTATTATTATTAGTAGTAACACAGCCACCTCTGGAATTAGTTAAGAGACAGATGAAAGGCAACAAAGAGGCCTCCTTCCTATTGATTGGGTTCTCCTCCCTCGGCCTCCGGCTCGTGACCGTCCTTTCCCAATACCAAAAAAGGCCGATTCCGTTTTCCAGATTTTGGAATTACACAGCCACGAAACGTTTTCTTCTTTCTCACTCCAAAAACCTAAACCCGTTGATGAAGCAACCTAAGACTTAAACCCCCCATATGTGCAAAGATCAACAACTGGAGTTTGGGGGTTTGTGAAGACTAATCTAGTCTCTTAGTGTTTGGAATTATACTTAATTAATTTACCCCTCCTCCAACATTGGAAGTTCCCCATCAAGACAACCGAGCACAATAGAAAGTGGGTACAACAAATTGTTAATCGGCATGGTACGGGTTAAGCCGGCTTGCTAATTGTAAAATGTGGATGATAATAATTAAATTACCCTTGATTTTCATGTGGACTAGAGTGAAAATAGAGCACCTTGAGAAATAAGCTAAACCGGGTTTTCAACAATTAATGGACAACAACTTACTTTGGTGGGATGTAAGAGCCTCAAATTTTTTTAGCATCAATACTCACTGGTTCAAGTCAAAGTAGGGGTGAGCGGGAGGAGGTTTGAGTGGAGAACCAATATAAAGCCTGACAAGCAAGACCTGTCAATCCGCGAGTTGATCTGGTACCCGTTGAGGAAAATGGGTGTTACACACAAGGTTTTCGTGTTGGAGGTCACAGGTCGTCGCTTTTCCCTTTTGTTTTGCGAAATGCGCCCCCTTTTTCAATTTTTTCTTTCGTCTAACCTGTCTTTTTGAAAATATAAGTTGAACAATTGAATATTGATGTAGTAATTATGAGTGTGTTTGAACTTTCACTTATATGTCAGATCCAAGTACGAACTGTGATTTTGTTGTAATGTCACATGTCATTACCCATATGTTAGATGCGATTTTATAGTATAAAATTTGTAAATGTGTATATCCAGACTAAACCGAGCTAAATCGATCGAACTATTGACTCTCAATCCACTTGCTCGATCGGACCAATGGGCTATAGCATCATTTATGGCGGTAGCAGACATATTGCATATTTATGATACAATATAGGTTTCCTTAAGCTATTCAATGCATAATGTTTCCTTGTATATATATTGTTTGTCAGCAAAATTAAGGTTTCCTTGTATATATATTGTTTGTCAGCAAAATTAAGGGTAGCATAAGTGCATAACAGATATATTGTGTGTTCTATAGGAGCTTAGTTTAGTTAAGCAATGTGGCTCATTGTAATGTCACACACTAGCAGCAAAAGTAATGGGGAGGACTCAATTGTGAAAGGACGAAATATAACAAAGGACTAGTTCAAATTGACTTGCTCAATAAGTTCGATCAGTTAGATTGATAAATGAGCTAAGCTCAAGAGAACTCAGCGAGGTGTGAACTAAATGAGCCAAATCCAAGTTGAGTTGACGAACTTATTAAAGAGGCAAACCATCAAATCATACATAAGCCACTGTTTCAGTAAACGAATCGCGAGCTCAACCGGTGTTTAGGAGTCTAACGGATTAGCTTGTCTCATTTGTAGAACATCTTTTTTTCGAGGAATTTTACAATGCTATATAGCATTGGTGCTATAGGTTTTTACCTTTATGGTACAACTTGAAATTGTACCTTTAATGTTATGGTACAACTTCAGATTGTACCTATACTTTTTGTACAAGTTCTTTTATGGTACAACTTAAACTTGTACCTTATGTGATGGTACAACTTCAAGTTGTAAAGTTGTACCATAACATAATGATACAAATTTCTTTATGGTACAACCTAAACTTGTACATTTAATGTTATGGTACAACTTCAAATTGTACATTAAAGCACCAATACCATATAGCATAGTAGAATTGCTCCTTTTTTTCGGTATTTGATTAAATAGAGAATTCATGCGAACCCTGAACTACACAGGGAACCAATCCTAAATGCCAAAAAAAAAAAAAAAAACCTAAGTTTGATTTATCTTAAACTAGAACTAGGATAAGGTGGTCGAGGAAGTGAAAACGATGGGAAACCCTACTGGCAACAGAAATAATATTTAACTTATAGTTCACAGCTTAAGATAAAAACAGCTCCATCAACCCACTGTTACCAATCAAGCCCCTGTCTTGTTCCCCCACCACTCTGCCTCAAAAGAGTTTTCTCCTCCACAGCAAACCCCTTTTTGTCCGATGATACTGCCAAAACAGAGCATAATCCTAGGAGGAGGGAGGATGTGAACTGAACCCAGCCAGTTAATTACACGCCCAGCTCCAATTACCCAAGAAAAAAGTTTCACATTCACCATTGTCGTTTCCAAAGGTTGCCCACAAGATTCAGTCACTTCCAATGCCACAAACCTTCCCTCCCTGCTTCCTTCCTTTGAACCTTTGGACCATTTCATAAACTAATCTTTTCCACTTTTTTTTTTCTATGCCGGCACAAGGAGACCAATTGCCTTGTATAAATACAATACACCTTGACTCCAACACAACTCCATACAAACCCAACAAACCCCTCTTCTCATAGCAATTTCTTTCCTGAAGAAAAAAAGAGAGAAAGACCGACCTTCTCACCTTTCATTATGGAAACGAAATCCGGGTCTGATATCCATCTACCGCCCGGGTTTCGATTCTACCCGACCGACGAAGAACTCATAGTACAGTACTTGAAGAACAGAATCAGATCGGCTCCTCTCCCGGCTTCCATCATTGCTGAGATCGATCTCTACAAGTTCGACCCGTGGGAGCTACCAAGTATGTAAAATCATTGCAGAAGGCCGATTCTCCAGTCTTCCATTTCCTCTCTTTTTCTATAAGCAAGTGTTGTCTATTCCTAGTTTCTAACGGGCAACTCCGACTTTCCCATGTATCTACAGAGAAGGCTTTGTTCGGAGAGGACGAATGGTACTTCTTCACACCGAGGGACAGGAAGTACCCAAATGGAGCCCGGCCGAACAGGGCAGCAGGTTCGGGGTACTGGAAGGCTACCGGGACAGACAAACCCATTCTCAGTTCAACTGCAATGGCAAGTGTGGGTGTTAAGAAAGCTCTTGTGTTCTACAAAGGACGCCCACCTAAGGGAATTAAAACTGACTGGATCATGTATGAATATAGACTGCCTGATACCGCGGTCTCCACCGCCAGGCAAAAAGGGTCTATGAGGGTAAGTAAATTATATACAAACCCTTCGTTTGATATTTGTTTGCCCTTTTGATATGCTGTGAAAAACTGAGAATCCCTTCTTTCCTTTTCCCCCCCTCATTGTTGCAGTTAGACGACTGGGTCCTATGCCGGGTTAGGCAAAAGTGCAGTAGCCCTAGGAGCCTGTGGGAAGATCGAAGTGCACCTATTCAAGAACTAGCAGGGACTTTCCCGAAACAGAATGAGCTGCTGCAAATGAGTGCAGATCTATGCAAGACAATGAATATGACAACTCCTAGTATCGAATTGGTCAACAAGCCAGGGAATACAAACAACCATAATAATGATGACATGGTGAGGAACTACTTCAGCAACCCTAATGACGACGTGGTGAAGAATTACCTGTACAAGGAGTGCCCCATGCTGCCTTACATATTTGCATCTCAAGATTTTTCCTCCTGCACCACTAAACAACCAGCAGCATCCAGCATTAACTTTCAAGGCAGTGACAAGTCTAGCATTTCGGGTTATGAGGAGGAGTCTTCTGAGGATAAGAACTTGCAATTCTCATCAGCTACTTCGCTCGATAACTTCTTTAACCCACTGAAGCGGAAAGATGTTGAAAGAGATCATCAGCAGCAGGATTCTAGTTTTTACCTAGGCAAGAAGCCTAAAAATGGAGATTTTGACGAAGACGCCATGATATCTATATGTGGAGACACCTTCGACATCAACTTTTGCGGAGACGATGAGTTTTAGAATACTAATGATGGTGCTCTACAGCAAAACCCATCAGGCAGAATATGAATAGCTTCATAACTTTAAGCTTCCCAAGCAACTAGACACCAGAGAAGGACCCACCATACAATGTAATGTACATAACTCCGTAGTAGGGTTCTTTGAGTGCAAAAGGAAAACTCCTTTATGTTGAGAGTTGTTTCAGAAGATCACTAGCAACTACTGCCCACAAAAATCAGATCATTGAATTTCTACAAATTTGTAACAGCAGAATTTTCTGGGGGAGAGCAACCGTATCTCTAATACTTTACAATCAAACAGATATGGCGAATATCCAAAACGAAATAAAATATGCGGTTGATCTTATCAGGCATGCGGATAGTGCATTTCCCAGGATCAATTCCAACAGCATTCCTTACAGCCCTCAAAGTTCAGGAGTAATGAATAAATCACAACATCAACATAGCCAGCCCCATTTGGAGGAGGGTCTAAATATAACAGAGCTGTAGGAAGAATCAATAGAATCGTTTCACTTATGGAGTTATATGCTTCATGTCACTTGAGCCAGTTATACTTTTTGTACAGATTGCTTGGGATCAGATTTACAGTCACAGGTAAATAGAAAATGTTCAGAAATATTGTACCTCTAGGCACACGAGTCCTCATCCCAGGATCTAATAAGGAAATCATATCCAAGTTAGTGACCCTCACTGTCACTGAGGCATAAAATAAGATGTGTTTTCTTGAACTTGTGATTTTTCTGCTACTAGTTCTGCTTCTAGATCTAGACCATTTTTACTTAATCTACATGTAGGCTAGAAATGGTGTGGGAAGATTAGATTTGGAAACAAATTACTGTGGAAGAACAGGAAAGAAGGTAAATGAATACATATATGACCGAGTTCTGAGATCTTTACACAAGAAAGGTACATTCTCAACTTGGAGCCAGAAAACTCATAAACATGATTAACAAACCAAACAAAAAAGGCAAGCAAGCGGAGTCATTGAAGTACATTACAGTGCCAGGGATAGCCAACATCATCATAATGTCAGATGAGTCTCCATCAACAGTGCCCCTTTTCTTTCACTTCTTCAGTACACTACAAAAATCCATGCTTTCATGCTTTAGGTAACTTCCCAACAAACTTATATGATCTATAACACTATGTAGTTACATGGGCATCTAAAGTAATATACGCAAGTTGATCAGTGCAGGGAGCAACTTACTTGTACAAATAAGCAGCAATGCCTAAGATTATGATCAACAAAACAATATCGATGCAGAAATTCCTGCTGGATCTCAACTGTAGAGCAAATGTTTATTCAGTAAAGCAAGGAACTAGATTGGGTAGCAGCTGATTGAAAATCTTTTAACTGACATGAAATCATACCTGAGTAACAGTGTGCTTAAGTCTAACATTGGTGTTCTTAAGGTCAGATGCAGCCTTGTCCACCTGAAAGAACCAGAGGACAGATCCTCAAAATTAGATAGCACCAAGTCTCGCTTTTAAGAAAAGAAATCTGAATGCTATTTACCTTGGAATCGATTTCGTCAGCCAGAGGAACTTGCCTATCCAGTTCCTGTCAGCCCCACATAAGATCAATTAATCCAAGGCCTTAATTTATTCACAGGCGAGTAACTTGACTAAAGTGGTCCATTCATCTCTCGCTCCACAACCACTTCTTTGCATCAATATGCATATGTAGATAGGAAAAGGAGAAGAAAAGCAACATCAAGAGTTGAGGGAAAAACTACTACCTCATTCATGTCATGGGCCATGTTTTTCAAAGTATCCAAACCTTCTGAAATCATCTCCAGACCTTGATCCTGTTTTAAATTTAATGGTCACCATGCTAAGATATATAGAGACTTTATGATGAGAGGCAACTGAGAATTTCACTGCACTGTTTATGCTTCACCCACCTGCCTCCTCTTACGTGTTTCATACTCCTGCCTAAACTGATTCGACTGCTCAGATTCTTGGAAGTATTCATCATCAAACCGACCATCTACAACCAACATAAAAATGTAAGGAAAACGCACCTCAATCGTCCATTGAGCTATGCATCATTGGTAAACTCTCATTTACGGAAAGGAAAAAAGAAACGAGGAACCATGCAACAATAGTAGATGATAATATGAACCAGATTTATATATTACCTGAATCAAATTTTATTTCTGTGTGGGAAGCTGAGGGCCCCCAACCTCCAGGTTGTTTTGCTGCAGCACCATCTGGAATAGCTTGGATTCTATCTGGCAATGCAAGAACCAAGTCATTACGGGCCGCAAGGTCTTCTGTCGAAAGGCCTTTTATCTGTCAATGGATGGCACATAAGACAACAAGAAAGGGAATCAGAACATTTCTACTTGAGCTTAGCTGATAAAACCAATAGATACCCTTAGTTACGAACGAACAGAAACAGGAGGGGGGAAACCTAGGGGCTTGCACTTAATATCTTCCGGAGTCCTTACAAACAAAAATAAAATGGGAGCCAAAAGACTGAATTTAAAAACTGGACCAAAAAATTTGCCACGGGTTTCAAACTTCTCAAGTAACAAAATCCTATAGAACAAGACTTAATAATTTACAATCCAGGTCGCCGAGAGGATGCTTTGGAAGAAAAACCAAGAGAAAATTTCCATCGATTCATATGGATTTCTCGATTCAAACAGCGAGAAACCGAAAACCTAGATATGAACTATTCTGATTGAATACCTTCTTTATTGCGAGCCTCTGCAACTTTGGAACCTCGTCCAGCAATTTCGCCTTAGTCCGACGGAGCTCGGCATTGAGAGCTACAGTGGACGCCTTGCTTTTCTCCTTGGAAGCAAGTTCCGCTTTCTGCAGATCAGAAAGATGTGAGACTTGCTGAAGTGAAAAACTAGCAAAATCAAAACCAATTTAAGGAGACCTTCGCGATCCACTATCCCTAAATATATACATCAACCTCCACACTTATTTATGGGACCTAATCTACTAAGCTAGAATTGAAGAGAGCAGAAACCGTTTTCAACTCAACTAGACAGATTCGAAGATCCCTACGCTTTTTTCTCGACTCGAACTGGCAAGGAAAACCTGAATCGATCCGCCGGGAAAAAACCTCGACGGGTGCACTAAAGAAGTGGGGGGAAAAATCGAAAGTTACCTCAAGAGCGGCTTCGATTTCGGCGTCGACGGCGGCGTAACCGCGAGCGAAAGCGTCGTCACCAGAGACATTGAGATTCTTCTGCTTCTCGACGTCGTATTTTTCGTACTTGTTGCAGATCGCATCAACTCGCGTTAGGATGTCGATCACGCTCATTTCGCCGGTCTCTGTATTACTCCGTCTGCTAGTGGTTACCTACACCGTGTTACGGCTGCTCAATATCTACGGGGTGTGCGCGGAAATGGTGCTTCCACTTCGCCGTTTGTGTTTTGCTACCGCAGCAAAAAAACAACGTGTCGGAGTTACTTATGGGCCGTTTACTTGCCATTCCATTTCTGTTAGCTGCCACAACAGAAAACAAAATTAAAATGAAAACGAAGCTGTCATTTTCTGGAAAACAAAACCTGAAAAAACCTTGTTTAGCTGAGAATTTTGATGGGTTCTGAAACTGAGTTCTGAAAATAAAAACCTGTTTAGTTGCTTCATTCTTTTTTCTGATTTTTTTATTATCATACAACCCTAACCATGATTATAATTTTTAATTCGAATTAAATAGTTTTAAACTACAAATAAACACAATACAAGTAAAACATCTTATGTTAATTAAGTGCTATATATCGCTACCGACTACCGTTGACCTCAATCAGCAGCTATATATCTCTAGCCACCTTCGATGCTTCAATTAAAAAAAAAGGTTTCCATATGCTTGATTTGCAAGGTGAAGTTTCATGAGTGTGGTTGATGTGTAATGTGGCCTAGCAATCTAGCATAGGCCTAGCAATCTAGCATAGCATGTCATGGAAAGTTAAAAATCTCACCAAACTCATTGAAAGTATCGCTTTCCTATGGAATCGTAAACCATTCAACGATCTACCTAATAATATCACTCATTTGAGACAAATCTTGATATCATTGGAAAGAATTTTTTTACTAAACTTGTCTCCGGTCTTCATATACTTGCATTCTCTTTCGTTCTATCATATACAACATGATCGATGGATTGAAGATCAAGAACACAACTTTACATTTCCAATCCTCATTCATTCATTGTCTTTTGTGTTCCGAGTTCTGTATCCACATCTTAGTCCTTGTGTTGCAGTCTGTGTTACAAGTCCAAGGTTACTTCAACAATTGGCAAATTAAAGAGAAATGTGAAAGGCTCACGTCACTGGTATGACTAACTAGTAGAGAACTGCCACCAACCCACTGTATAATTGTCGAATGATGACCAGAAAGTTTCCCCTGTAGTATGATGGATATAAGAATCTTGGAGGGTGTCTGCTGGAGGAATGGAGGATGAATCGAGAAAGGGAATCACTACAACAAAAACGGTCTACTGCCACGTTTTTATAGTGACACTTTCCACAAACGTCACTAGAATGAAAGAAAAAATATTTTATGCGACATTTACTCTAAACGTTACACTTGTATAGTCTATGGTGACAATGATGGTGACGTTTAAATTTTGATGGAGGAAAGTAGTGTTGTTGCGACATTTGTTTAAATTAAAATAACACTTAGCTAAATGTCGCTATAAATGCTTTTGCTTTTAGATTCTTCTGATGTTTAAAAAAATGTCACATTAAAACTTAGTGTGTTGCGACATTTTTTGACATCACATTCGACAAATTACTGGGTTAGTTATAGCGACACTTTCCACAAACGTCACTAGCATGATGGAAAGAATCTTTATACGACATTTTCACTAAACGTCACACACTTGTATAATTTATGACGACAATGATTGTGACATTTAGATTATGATGGTGGAAATCACCATTGTTGCGACATTAATTTTAATTACAACAACGCTTAACTAAATGTCGTTGTAAATTTTTTCGTGGATAGGTTGTTCTGACGTTTATAAAATTGTCACATTAAAACTATGTCTATTTTGACATTTTTTCACGTTACATTCAAAAATTACAGGGACTGCAACAATTTTTCCGAATCCAGAAACCCCATAGGAAAAATATCAAACGCGAAATAACAAATAATTAAAATATATTGGTAGGGTAGCATGACGCTTGTGTATTGTGTTATCTTCAAAAGTAAAATAACAAAGAAAACCCATACGTATTGAAAAAGACACTATTGACTATGGATTTTTGTTTCTTATAGAAACAGAGAGAACTAGCATTAAAATAAATAAAATGTTACATCTTATGGAAGGTAATTATTAAAGAGAAGTATAAGTGCATATCAAATATATAACTAAAAAGAGAAATTATGTTCAGTAATTAATTTTGAGGTAAAATACTAGCTAATCTCCCATCTCAAATGTGTCTCGAGGCTTAACTCGAACAACAACACTCCAACCTGCTTCTGTTCCATCTTGAACATAAAACACTTGTTCAACCTGTGAAGCAAAAACAAATGGTTCATCGTTCAAGTGTCTACCTGTATGAACCACCTTTGAAAAGTTGACCAATGTATAGCCAAATTTGTCTTTCTTCACCCCTCTTCCTCTTTCGACATCAACCCAATCACACTTGAATAACACAATCCTGAATCTTTCATAATAGTTCAGCTCTATGATATCAGTAATTCTGCCAAAATATTCTATAGCCTCTGTAGAAGTTGATGTTTCTGACATGACAACCACACCACTGTTTTGAGCTTTTGTAGATTCTTCCCTGCCTTCAGAGTGGAATCTAATCCCTCTTATGATATATCCACTAAATCTTCGAACCACTTTATTTGGACCCTGGGATAGCCATCTTACATGTTCAGTTACACGTGGGTCTTTCATATCTGATAACCTGGAAACCTAATAAAAATAAATATTACTTTGTTAGAAAGGATATGTCACTAGCATAGTTATATGTAAATCTAAATAAATGATCACGCCATTTTATTTTGTCAATTATACTTACATGACCCTTTAACCATTCTACAAAAGTAGCAGTATGTAGTTTTTCAATATCCACTTGAGAGATGCCCCGTCGTCGATCTTTATTTCGAGATTCCCTTTTGATAGCATCACGATGATCCCTAAAAATTAAGAAACAAAAATGATCATTACATTGCTTGAGTTATGACTAAAATTATATAATTGGTATTAACTGGAAAATGAATGAATAACTTACTGTCGAAAGGAAATCATTATATCACAATTGTATAAGACATAGCGGTGAGCCTGGACCAATGTCTTATCATCAAGTTTAAGATCTTGTACCCCCCCTATTGGACGTCCGGGAAGAATTAGGCAAGGAGCATCATGCATCTGTGTTAAATCTTCATCAACTGAATGTATTACATCTTCATCAACTGTAAGACTATCATTATTCCTCGCAACTCGATTAAATCTTGTCTCTACACCTTCAAAGTATCTAGAACAAAATGTAATACATTCATTTGCGATGTACCACTCAGCAATTGAACCTTCCGGACGAGCTTTATTTTTCACGTTAGACTTAAGTGTCATTAGGTACCTGCGATATAAATATGTTCTGATTACTTCAGAGGAGCAAAAATAAATAAATATAATATATTAATACTATACAAAAGAGATATTAAATCTCAAAGCATCATCAAATAAAACAAGTACCCGCAGCTTCCCAAGGAACAACAAAACAGACGACGGTAGCAGGCATGATGGGAGTTGGGAAAAGCATTAAACCAACTACCTTCATTTTCTTACGAATGAAAATATATTTATTAATGAAAATAAATTATTGACATTGAAGAGAAATACATGGGAGAAAGATGGAAATAAAAGAAAATGAGGCAACCACCACTCTCCCTGATACAGGTGCCTCGACCCACAGGAAAAAGACGCAACCCAACCCCACCACTTATATAATAACCATAAATTTTCCATGCATGAAGATAATAAGCATTAAAACAACACTGCTTTATAAGAAATCCACGCGCAATAGGCAAATTCATTCACATATAAGAGTAACCCCTGCATAATCCAGTGGTTAAAATAAATGACAAACAACACTATTGTGGAGGCATTGCTAACAAACTAAAAAACTCACGCAACCAAACCTAAAGCATTCATATATGGCACTAGTTACCTTTCGACGGGATACATCCACCTGTAATGTACTGGTCCTGCTAATTTAGCCTCTGTTGCAAGATGACTCACTAAATGCACCATAACTGTGAAAAACGAGGGAGGGAAGATCATTTCCATATTACAAAGCGTCCTGATTATTTCACACTCTAATTCTTCAAGATAATCGACTTTGAGAACCTTTGAGCATATTCCTTTGAAATATCTACATAGGTCAATGATTGCTCTACTCTCCTTTTCAGGCAAGCATCCTCTTATAGCTATCGAAAGCAAATCTTGCATCAAAACATGACAGTCATGGCTCTTTAGCCCAACTAGCTTACGCTCCTTCATGTTCACACATCCTGACATATTAGAGGAATAACCATCTGGCACCTTAACGGCTTTCAGTACACTAAGCATACGTTCTTTCTGAATTTTCAGCATGGTATAAGATGCATCTGGTAATGACGTTTTCCCATTAGACCTCTCAACCGGATGAAGACTTGTCCTTATACCCATTTCTTTCATATCCATACGAGCCTTCAAGTTATCTTTGCTCTTCCCTTCAATATCCAATAAAGTTCCCAATATGTTATCACACACATTTTTTTCTATGTGCATAACATCTAGATTGTGCCTCACTAAATTAAACTCCCAATATGGCAGCTGAAAGAATACACTCTTCTTCGTCAACCCGTCACCAACTGGTACAACTTTATCATCTAAATCAGTCACTATAGTTTCACCATTGAATCGTCTCAGAATATCAGTCCCAGATGTCATGGCAGGTGCTTCTCTATGTTCTTCTGTTCCATCAAACTCCTCTGCATGATATCGAAATGGATGATCTTTACCCAAAAATCTTCGATGTCCCATATAACAATATTTTCCACCATAATGTAACCACTTTGACCAAGTATCAAAACCACAATTAGGACATGCAAATTTAGTTCTAGTCCTCCAACCTGACAACATGCTATAAGCCGGAAAATCATTGATTGTCCACATCAGTGCTGCATGTAACTGAAACATCTTCTTTTCTTGTGCATCATATGTTTGCATACCATGAACCCATAAATCATGCAGATCAACAATGAGAGGCTCTAGAAACACATCAATTTTGTCTCCGGGTGAATGAGGACCTGGGATGAGAAGGGATAATATCATAGAATGTTGTTTCATGCATAACCAGGGTGCCCAGTTATATATTGTCAACAACACAGGCCATGTGCTATGAGTGCTACTTAGATTTCGAAAAGGGTTGAAACCATCAGTTGCCAAACCAAGTCTAATATTACGAGGTTCTTTTGCAAAATCAGGATACCGAGCATCAAAGTCTTTCCATGCACGAGCATCTGCAGGATGTCTCAGGCACCCATCATCTACCCGTTTATCAAAGTGCCAACGCATCAAAGAAGCTGTCTTTGAGCACATAAATAATCTCTGCAGTCTAGGTTTTAGAGGAAACCACCATAGTACCTTTTTAGGCTTCTCTTTCTTCTTTCGTTTCTTCGTTGGAGGATCTGGACCTCTACTTTCATCATCAACGTATCTAGATTCACCACATTGGAGACATTCTCTCTCCTTTATATTTTCTCTCCAAAACAACATGCAGTTATTTGGGCAGACATCAATTTTCTCATATCCAAGACCCAATTTTCCAATGAGCTTCTTAATTTCATAAGAAGACTTGGGTAGTTTCTGCCCTTCAGGCAAAGTTTCCCTTAACGTGCTCAATAAATCATTGAATGCCTTATTACTCAATCCATTCATGCATTTTAGATGAAACAACTCAAGTATGAAAGAAAGTTTACTTTGGTTGGTGCATCCATCGAAGAGCTTTTCATCCATATCTTCCAGAATATCATAGAATTTTCCGGCTTCATTATTCAGAATTTCGGTATGACTTGAGTGTCCCGAGCCTTGATCACCCGACATCGATTGAAATCCATCCACATGAGCATATCCAGTAGCCATGTCTTCCATGAATTCCTGTACATTGTGTTGTATATTTCCACATCCCTCAACATTTTCAGTTTCAACATCAGACCTGTTGGGTATCGGGTCTGATTGGGAAATCGTCTCTCCATGAAAATACCAATTTGTGTAACTTTGAGAGAACCCATTTTCAAGGATATGGGCCATAACAGTACTGGTTGTATGATGAAACCGGTTAACACATCTCTGACATGGACAAGCAATCTTCCCATCTTTAACGGAGCTACGTGCAAACTCAATAAAAGAAACAACTCCTTGGATGAACACTCCACTAAGCCGATTGGATTCACTAATCCAAATTCTGTCCATGGATTATAATAGAGCCTGCAAGTATAATCAAACTTATATTATTTTTATATTTTCATAAGGTTGAAAACTGCCATAAAACAGAGTCTCAATTGACGTACAAATAACTTGCTCTCAGTTGAAATCTTCACAAACTTAATCAAATTCAATTGAAATTCCCCTGCCTTGCAATCATATGAAACCCATTTACAACAATAGCCAGCAAAACAAAGCTAACTCATAGTAAATACCTAGCTAATTTGTTGCTAGGAAGCAGTACATGGCAAACCAACGCAAAAGGTAAATAGAGGAATAAAAGAAGGAATTGTCTTACGGAAATTCTGGTAGGAAAATCAGCTTCTCTTTCCTCTCAATCCACACACTCTTCGCCTGCTAGATTTTGACCCAAGACTATCAGCTGCTCCTTCCTCTCAATTGCAGGCGAGTATGTGTCTGTTGGTTTATATTGTAGAACAGAGTATAGGAAAACAGAGCACAAATAGAGGATTTATAGCTTGCATCGGCAAGTTTTTTCTTTATTGCTTTCGCGGCAGATATGGGGAGAGAAACGAGCAATTGCCGATGGAGACTGAGTTTTTATTGCCTCTTTGGTTTATGACGTCCTTGGTACACTGTGCGTCCTCAGAGAGAGGCTGGAAGGAGAAGAGACTGCTTTTCCCGTTGTTCTAGGTGTGATGAGATTTTACTCTAGGCAGGTTAGAGGACACGTAGCTATATTTTGGGCCATTCATTTAACCTACCCATTGTGAGGTATTACTCGGCATCCGTGCTTTTTTTTATTTCCAGTCTATTTGTTCCCGTCGGTGCATTACCCTTTTCCTTGAATATCGAATGTGTATTATAATTTATAATTATAGCTTTGCCTTGCAATAAGGAAGGGTCATCAATTCTGATTGGGATTTCTCTCTTTCCAAGGACTCGGAAGAATGAATGACAAACCTACAGCCGCATGTCTCATGAATGAAACCCATATTGCATAAGGGAAGCCTAATTTGTGACTTTATGACTTTATGTTATATGTTATGATACAAGTTTATATTGCACTATAATATATATAAATGTATAAATGCAGTTTGTACTATAAAAATATTTGTAAAAGAAACTATAGTTATACGTATAATACCGAATTTGTACCACAACATTAAACGTACAAGTTTAGTTTGAATTATAAAGATACAAAAAGTAATATGGAGTATCAATGCTCACCCATTAGGGGTGGCTATACGGTCCGGTCCGGTTAAATTGGACCAAATTGATTTGGTCCCAGTCTGGTCTTTTCGGGCATATAAGGACCAAAGATTGGATTGGATACACTCCAGGCTTTATCCGGTCCGGTCTTGACCCGGTTCGGTCCCAATTTGATTTTGATTTTAGATTGAGCTTGTGGGGATTTGAGTGTTGGGGAATTTCATCAGGCCTTTATCCGGTCCCAGTCTGGTCCCGGTCCGGATTATACGCTCTGGTTTCGAGTAAAAACAAACAGTCCTGGACCAAATTGCCAGCCCTATCACCCATATTGAAAATAGTAAACATGAAGTTATAATATCTACTACTAATAATGTAGGCTACTAGATTTGCTAATGTTTACTATTTACTATGGCCCCAAAAACTACTAGTCCTTCTACTAAAAGTTGTTACTAGCTAGACACACTAATGTCAATGCATGGACCCCAATATGTTTACAAATCCAATGATTAACTAGTTTACCACCTAATGTTTATGAATGAGTGTGTTAGACGAGTACAAACATTAAACGTACAAGATAACTTTTATAACATTATTGTATAAATTGAATTTGTAACTTTATGTTATGCCATAAACCGAACTTGTACTATAAAATATAAAAATACAAGTTTCTTTATGACACAAACTGAACTTGTACCTCCAACATTATGGTACAAGTTCAATTTATACCATAAAATAATTTTTACCTTTATGTTATGCTACAAACCGAACTTTTACCATATGATAAAGGTACCAGTTTCTTTATGGTACAAACTGAACTTGTACCTTTACCATTATGGTACAAGTTAAATTTGTATCAAAACGGAATTTGTACTTTTATGTTATGGTACAAACCGAACTTTTATCGAAAGATAAAGATACAAATTCTTTTATACTACAAACGGAACTTCTACCATGAGATCATAAAGGTACAAGTTTATTTATGGTACAAACTGAACTTGTATCTTCAACGTTATGGTGCAAGTTCAGTTTGAAACATAAAGGAAGTAGTACTTTTATGTTATGATACAAACCAAACTTTTAGCACAAAATAAATGTACAAATTCCTTTATGCTACATATGGAACTTGTACCTTTATAGTTGTTGTACAAGTCCAATTTGTACGTACCATAAAATCTTTTGTAGCTCTATATTATGTTACAAGTTCAGTTTGTATCATAACGTAGCAATATTTTAGAACATAGTAAAATTGCTTTCCAGTTATTTCTTGTGTACTCGGCCTTAAATAATTATATGGTTATGTAAGTGCTACACCTTGATTTTGGGTTCCCAGCAAGCGTAATTATCAACAAAACACAATCTCAAACGTATATAAAAAATCCGGGTTATGATATATACCATCAATAATCCTATTTAGGCGATCTTAAAAAATAATAATAATCTTATTCAAGCGATGGATTTATGATATACAATCAATAATCCTATTTTTTTTTTATAAATGAAATTTATAAATGGATTAACCTGATGTCAAACGGAATTAAAGTGCGCGGCAAACTTTCCCGCTAAAAAGAGCGGGATGTTTTCCCTCTAAAAAGAGTCCAAGGTCTACAAAGTTTCTCAAGTATCCAAACCCTATAAAAGGCTTTGCTTTCGGCCGCTCAAATCACAATCTATTCTCTAAAAAAAAATATTCATTTTCTCATTCACCTATTCACTGGTTGAAACTCATCTATCTTGCCCAGGAGATCACTAGGTTGAAGACTTGAAGGTAACATCTCTGTAGGTTCCGTCAAACATATATTTGCTCTTTTCCTTGTTTTTTGCTCGGCTGTGTGTTTATACTCTTTATAAAGTTTAATCCGGTTACAATATTATTAGTTTCAATAAAGCGATTTAGGGTTATGGACCACAAGGGATGATCATGGGATGATTGGGGGTTTTATTATTTTCACAAATAGGCTAGTTTAAGAATTCGGCTGTAACGCTCCAGAGGTAAAATGTATCTATTTAGGGTGACAATGAGATGATTGTGATAAAACAATTATGTTAATTAGTTCTGTGGATTGTTACAGGAGATGACGATGCTGAAAAGGATTGCCAAGGCAAAGTCGGCTGCAAATCTCCAGAGGAAGAAGGTTGCCGCTGCTGGCTTAAGGCGTTCAAATCAGGATTCATCTCATCGAGTTGAAATTTCACAGCTGAACACCGAGTTGGATGAGCTTGACATAGAATCAGAAGCTCATTTTCAATCATCAGAGGGATTCGAAAGGCAACCAGAAACCCAAGTAGACACTGATATGCCATCGCTCGATGATGAAGAATCAGATGATGCTGGTTTGGCTGATAGCACAAATGAAGCTCGTAAGTCTTCTTGCACATTCGTTCATCTCTCTCTCTCTCTCTCTCTCTCTCTCTCTCTATATATATATATATATATATATATATATATATATATATATGCGTGGAAACCCTTTACTTATAATAACTAACTAGTTGTTTGATTAATGCTATGTCACAGAACCACGAAAGGCTAGAGGTCCTACGGTGCTTGCTGATGTATGGAATCTACTTCCAGGGCAAGAGCTACCTGAGCAGTTTAATTGTTTCAACCAATGTGTGGACAATGGTGAACTATCAAAGTTTTGTGGCACAGTAGCTAAGAACCCAGACCTCACACCACTGGAATATTCGGATTGGAGGCTTGTTCCCAATGAAAAGAAAGAGGAAATATGGAGAGTGGTGAAGGTGAAGTATTATGTACTAGCTTTATTCTGTTTTTTCCATTAAGATTTGGTGTTTCTTTAGCTTTCCGCTTTTCCTAACTCTCTTTGTTTGTTTTCACTTTTAGTCAAAGTTCAAGTTATCACCCAAGAGAAGGTCATGGGTCCTTAGTGAAGTTTCCAATTGCTTGAGGAATTTCAAGCACAGGCTGTTTTGTGACAACTTCTTCAAGCATAGGTCACTTGGAGAATTGAAGGCTAATGTAGATCCGAGAACTAGAAAGGATCAGTGGATAGCACTAGCAACATATTGGTATTCACCTAAATGGCAGGTTCGACTCTTTTCATTATATATTTAGCTAATATATGTTTGGATTGTTTTTGTTAAATTGGTATTCACCTAAATGGCCATTTTTGTTAAATTGTAGGCAAAATCCGAGAATGCTAAGATTAGTCGGTCCAAAATGAAGCTCCCCCATACATCAGGCACAATATCTTTAGCTAGAAGAGCTCACATGGAGGTATTGTATATATATATTTGCTACTATGTAGTGCTAACAGATTTAATAGTTTTACTATATATTGCATTACAAGAAAAATACTGATCATATATGTTGCCATTGTAGTTTAAGAAAACTGGGAAAAGGCCTAGTCGAACAAAGATGTTTGTGCAATATCACAAACACAAAGATGGAACGTTTGTGTCTGCTGAAGCTCGAGCTATACTTGTGAGTTTAGTCGTACTTCTTTTTATTGTTCATTTATTTACAAACCTATAAACTCATGCTATACATATAATATATATTCTATGTGTAAATTATTGTGAACCGGTTGAATTTTTTTTTCTTAAGCAGTAATATATATATTGTATCTCACAATAATTAATTTATAGGATGAAATTGAAGAACGCCTCCAAAGGGAAGATGGTTCGAGTGGTGAAGCTGGGGATAATATCTTTGCTTCTATAAATGAAGACATTTTATCCCAAGTACTTGGCCCAGAAAGGTATGGCCGTGTTCGTGGAATGGGATTTGGTGTCACTCCCAAGATGTTTACCAAATCAAATATGGATGTGATTCGAGAAAATGAGGAAGTGAAAGAGCGTAATGAGGTACTAGAAGAGCAAGTCCAAACTTTGAATGAAAAGGTGGATTTTTGTGGGGAGGTCATTCTGAAGTTTATTGGTGCTACCAATTCAGAATTCCTTCAACAGGTATATGCACATTAATATTTTATGGACAAACATCCCAAGTGGGAGTTTAATTACTTTTTTATATATATAAAAGTACTAACACAAAGCACAATTGTAGATTCCAAATATAGGAACAATGCTAGGGGGGAAATTTGCCGGTGTTGATCAATCAAATGACATTGGTAATGCTAGTCGTGCCACTACTTCATCTCCAGGTTCGTTGATTCATCTCTTTTTGTATAGTCATTAATAAAAGGATAATATGTGCTATGTGTTCTACATCAATCACTCATTAACACTCCACTAAGCCTATTGGATTCAATAACCCTTGTTATTCATGCATGCAGGTGGTGCGGAGCCTATGCTGGAATGAAGATTTTCTATGCATTTAATGGAATAAAGGAATCTGCACTCTTGTTTTAGTTTTATTTCCTTTTAGACCTTACATATTCCATGTTACATGTAAGGGATTATGGTTGAAAACTATGTTTTTATCATGTTTAAGTATGACATTGTCTATTTAATTAATAATATTTCAATTATTTTTTGGTATTTTATTTTTCTAATGCACGTATTTTTTTATATTTAATGAATAAGAAAACAAAATTGTGGACCATATATAATAGGTGACACTTACTCACTCCATTGACATTTTCATATGTCACAACAATTTCTTCCCCCTACGTCTATTATTTGTCATATGCACGCCAAATAATTGTGAAAAAGCATATGCAACGTATAATTGTGCTGGGAAATTGCGTCTATATATGACACTTACAAGCGTTACATGTGCTTGGAATTAGTAATATTCATAAACATCACAATAAGTTCTCATATTATTAGCATGAATTGTCACAACTTAAATTTTATTCGACGTATAAAAAAATGACATAACAAGTATTTCTAGTGACACATCAAAGTGAGGGGACAAAGTGTTACTCCAACGGATGTAAATATTGCCTACTAGTAGTAATATGATATTTTTAAATGTCGCGAGAAACTGCTTTTAATGTGACACTTATAAATGTCGTGAAAATGACATTTAGTGATTTTTAAAAACGTCGCTTGAAAGTTGAAATGAGAAGATTTAAATGTCACAATAACCACATTTGCGTGACATGTAAAAGCGCCGAAAAAATTATTTCTTGTGACAATGTATACGTCGTAGTAAACGTCGTAAAAACCATTCACCAACGTTTCTTGTAAATGTTAGTAAAATATGAAACGACGGAACTTAAAGCGACATTTCTACGACGCTTCCAAAATTGTCGGTGTAGACTTGTTGTGACGTTTTTTTGGCTTAAAGCGACGCCTCCGATTCGTCTCAAGAGACCATTTCTGTTGTAGTGGAAAGCTCATTTTCGGTGCTGCTTCTACTGGGATGAGTCGCCTGCAGGTGCCATTTCCGCCGGCTGGAGCTTCTCGCGTCGGGGAAGATTCCGTCTCGCAGATGATGGCGACGTGGGGCTGGCGACTCCACCCAGGAAAATGTGCGGCTGGAGCTTCTCTGCTGGAGGAGAAATCGAGAAGGGGAAAGCTCGAACGCGGGGTTGGCGAGGCGTGGGGCTGGCGGAGGAAGACGATGGGGCTGGTGGTGGTTTGGGTGGAGAAGGAAGTGGCGGCCGATGGGTCTGTTGGAGGAAGAGGGAGATGTCGGCTGGGCTGCGAGGAGTCGAGTGAGGTCGAGCGAGGAGTTCTTCTAGGTTATGGGTGAAAGATTTGGGTAAAAAACGGCGTCGTAGGATCAAGGAGGAAAAAGAAAAAAAAATGTGGTTGCGGTGATTCGAACGCGGGCTCTCATTAATAGCTAGCGCGCGATTTCCGCTGGGAAACGGGGGAATAACCCGTCCCCTTACTTATAGAAAACGACTATTTATTGTTTATCCACACCTTTCCCATTTGTAACAATTGATTTTTTCCAACGAAAACGAGAGGACAAGTGAACACGTTTTTTGTCATTTGTTTCTTGTTTTTTATTTTTTAAACAAAAAATAGAAAACGAAATGGGAAATGAACAGGGCATTAGGGTCTTTCGGAACTTTTTTTTTTTTTTGCCATAGATGTTCCAAAACGGAACAACCAGATACGAGTATATACAAACGGTGACCAAAGTCAAAAAAGAAAAAGTAAGGGACGCCGGTCAACCAGTAGTCGAACCCGCGATAAGAGGGCATCTTTCGCCACGATATGGGCAGCCCTGTTGTACCTTCGTGGTGCGAAGTGAAACGAGACACGTTGAAACGAGGCACTGAGGACGAGCACCTCATTCAGAATGGCGCCCCCCAACCCGTGTGACGTATCCTTCGCGTTGACCATCCGAATGATCACCTGCGCATCACCACAAAATGCGACATTAGTAAATGAGTGATTGAGACACCAACGTAAAGCATCGCGCATAGCTATGAGTTCAACAAGGAACGGATCAAAGATGGAATCATAAAACCGTCCTAGTGCAAATGCGACGGCGCCTCCTGGCTCGAAACCCACGAAACCAACTCCACCTCCTACTGAATCTTTAGTCGCCCCATCAAAGTGGACAAGCAGCCCATTTGCAGGACACGGAGGGGGAGAAGAAGCCCCAGCGGGGAGCCGCTGCCCACAATGATCCACCGCCCGCCGAGCTGCTGCACTATTCTGAATAAGCTCCCATTCTGCCAGCTGCGAATCGAATTGGCGTACGAGGGTAGGAGGGAGAAACACCATAAAGTCATAGGCCGCCCAACACCGTCCTTTCCATATGCGCCAAAACACGAACACCAATCGAGCAACCTCCTGCGTTGTTAAACCTGCATCGAAAAAGATTCTCCTCCAACCAATTGCAATATGGCAATCATGAAAGTGAACGAGGAGGTGACCCAAGCCCAGCAACTGCCAGACCGACTCGGCAATTAGGCACTGGAAGAAACAGTGAAGCAGGGATTCAGGAGCAGCAGAACAACTTGGGCACAAAACCCCTTCTTCGTCATCTTCAGGAATTATTTCTTTGTCCTGCAGAACGACACGGACCGGCAAGAATCCAAGGACGAGCCGCCACAAAAAGAAACGAAGTTTGGGTGGAACTTTCAAAGACCACAAGAACTTCCAAGCCTTAGAATAAAATATAATAGGGGTAGTGGATGGATTAGCAATGAAATCAGCAGAAGCCAGGTGATAACCCGACTTCACAGTGTACTCACCTGAGGTTTCATAATGCCAGATTAGGCGATCAGCGACGGGAAAACTCGGAGTGGTATGCTGCAAATGAGACGCACGGTGGCAGCATCGAAAAGTTCAGTTAATAAACCCAAATTCCAAGCTCCTGTACCTTGTAAAATAAGACATGAGACGTATGGAAACGGCGGAAAGGCATTGGGAAGGAGTTGAGGCCTGGTGGGCGGCGTCGTGGGTAACCACACATCTTTGGAGATACGAAAGCCTTGAAGAAGCAAGTGACGACCAGCAAGAATTCCTTGCCATGCCCAAGAAGGGCGAGAACCCGGCGAAGCAAGGAGGAAGGAGGTATGAGGAAAGTATCGGCACTTGTAGGTGGTAGCGAGTAGCCCGTCTGGTTCTTGAATGATCCGCCATGCTTGTTTCGCTAATAATGCCAAGTTGTTGCTGTCGAAGTCGCGAAACCCCAAGCCTCCATCACTTTTAGGCCTGCAAAGAGATCGCCAAGAAGTCCATCTTATGCCTGAATCCCGGTCTTGCTGAGCCCACCAGAACCGAGACAAATGACCAATGAGCCGCCTACAAAAGGTCTGAGTTAGTCGAAAGCTTGACATGGCATAAATAGGGGATGCTGTGGCCACTGATTTCAAGATAACTTCCTTGGCAGCAAGGGTCATAGATTTTGCTTTCCAATTCTGCAATCTCTGAACCAGCCTATCCTCAATGAATGCAAATGACTCTTGCTTAGATCGAGCAATACGAGTTGGAAGACCCAAGTAGAAATCCTGAGGAGTACTAGCGGAAACCCCGAGAATGGAAATCAGAGATGTCGCCTCACTTCTGTTACATTGGCACTGAAAGTAACTGTAGACTTCAGTAAATTTACTTTTTGTCCGCTAGCTTGTTGATACACATTCAGCAGATGCAGCAAATTATGGCACTCCGTGGATGACGCGCGGAGGAAGATGTAAGAATCGTCGGCAAACAAAAGGTGGGAGATCGGAGGGCACAGGCGGTGGATTTTAAGACCATGGAGGAAACCCGAGGCCATTCCCCGCTGGAAGCACCAAGTAAAAGCCTCCGTATAAAGCGCGAATAAGAGAGGGGAGAGGGGGTCTCCTTGCCGAATGCCTCGATGCGGTTTGAAGTACCCATGTGGGGAGCCATTGAGAAGAACCGAGAACGATACTGACGTCACACAGGCCCATAACCAGCTCAGCCATCTTTCACAAAACCCCAAGTGCCGCATAACGGCGAACAGGAAATCCCATTCGACCCTATCGTAAGCTTTCTCCATATCGAGCTTCAGTGCCATCCATTTCTCATGCCCGGATGTTTTAGTTTTTAAAAAATGAATAACTTCTTGACCGATCAGCACATTGTCGGTAATGAGCCTGCCTTTCACGAATCCATTTTGACAAGGTGATATGACGCTAGGAAGAACCTCCCTGAGTCTTGAAGTGAGGACTTTGGAGATGATTTTGTACGGTACCTGACACAAGCCAATTGGTCGCATCTGACGCATCATCTCAGCATTTGGAACCTTCGGAAGAAGAGTGATCCAAGTATGATTGAAATTGGGGAGCAGATGACCTGAGTTGAAGAATTCTAGTGCCGCACCCGTCACCAAATCTCCGACCAGTCCCCAATACGATTGAAAAAAGATGCCTGTAAACCCATCCGAGCCCGGGGCTTGATGCCCACCAATGCTAAAAGCTGCCGAGCGAATTTCCTCTCGGGATATAAATGTTGTCAAAGATGCATTCATGGAATCAGTCACCAAGACAGGAAGGAGAAGACTAGCAACAAATGAGAGAGCCTCCTCCGATTCTGTCGTGAATAGATTAACAAAATGGGAAATAGCAACAGTCCCCTTGGCATCCTCGTTAGAGTGAACCCCGCCTGCATCATCCTTGAGGACAAGGATCCGATTCCGCCGCTGTTTTTGGAGGGTTGTCAGGTGGAAGAATCTCGTGTTGGAATCACCCCCCATGAGCCAATGAGTTCGGGACTTCTGTTCCCAGTACATCTCCTCCTGCAAATATGCTTCGGAGAGTTGTTGTTCGAGCGTCCCTATATCGGCCCGATCAATTACCTCTTGATCCCGAGCAGGGGAGATTGCATCGCGAAGTTTGCGGATCTGACGAGCTGAGTTTGATGTCCCGGAGGCTGCCCATTTGTATAGCTCCTGCCGAACCCGTTTGAGAGTTTCATGTAGTTGGAATTGTACAGTGCCACTTACAGGAGAAGACCATTGAGATTGAATAATTTGGGTTGCCTCTTCATTACCAATCCAGCGGCTATCAAAGTGGAAATTGGATTTTGTCTTTGCAGCCATGGGGTGCAATTGTAGCAGGATGATTCTATGATCAGATCCCAAATCAGATAGGTGATGAACCTGTGCACCAGACCAATTGGAAGCAGCCAAGTTTGATACAAGAACCCGGTCGAGTCGCTCCATTATATGTTCACTCGGCGATCTTCGATTCGACCACGTGAAGGGGGGTCCATGAAATCCCAAGTCCTGCAAAGTGAGCTGAGCAGCAAAATTCTGCAGGATAGATAGCGAATGCGGAGAAGGAAACCGCCCTCCCAACTTTTCAGAACTAGCGAGTAAGCAATTGAAATCCCCAAGTATGAAGTAGGGATGCATATAATCGGAAAGGTAGGCGACCAATTCATTTAACTGAAGTTGGCGTAAAGCCTCGTTACAATCCAAATGAATAAAAATAAAACCAACTAAGCCATATGCTTGATGAGCACCCTCTAAACCTATAAAGGCTTCAGATTGGAACAACACCCTACAATTAATATCACTTGTCCAGCCTACTGCTAATCCACCCGCAGTATTGATGGGGCTAACAATGACACAATCAAAAAAGCCTAAACGACGCAAACGGTTCATGACTTTTCTATCACGACACTTAGTTTCACAAAGGAAAACAAGCATAGGAGATCTACTATTTACAGCGGCAGCAAGCGCATTCCTCGCCAAGGCCTTGCCAAAGCCTCGACAATTCCATGCTAAGACACTCATGGTGTGGATTGGGACCGAGAAGGGCCGGTTGCCTCCACCCTGACTTCGTTTTCAGCACAATCAGCATTCTTCTCCAAAGGATTCACACACACAGACTTGGTCGCCGGGAGGATTTCTCCTTCCTCCAAAGCATCACGTTTGCGCACGAGTGCCATTCCACCATGCTGAACTGGAGAAAGATGTGCAGCCTGAATGGTTAGACGCTGCATCTCTGACCTTGCCTGGTCCATCTTTGGGGCCGAAGACTTAGCCACCGCGGAGGAATCCCCGGATTGCCGAGTCCAGGATAGTTTGGGGTGCCGACGGCGTAGAGTACGTTCGTCAACTTTAGCCCCCTCTTCCTTGGCCAGAGTATGACTCCCATAAGGTAATGGTTTCCCGACGAACTCCGGAGCACGAGCACAACGGCGCCCACTGTGACCTATAACTCCACAACAAAAGCAGAACAGTGGTAGACGTTCAAACAAAACCAGAGCTTTGAAAGGACCCTTACTGTTGGCCACATGAGAAGCAGTTACAGACTGAGGTAACGGCGCCGAAACATCCAGAGGCACTCGAACATGGAGAAAAGCACCCCCTGTTTCTGCTCCGACATATACAGCCGCATCTTTTAGGTCGCCCATTGCTGAACCCAGGCAGCGGGCCATGAGGGTAGTGAGGCATTCATAGGGCACATCCCAGAGTTGGACATTCAGCGACACCCTAAGAAGTGATTGAGCGACCTCCTCCGACGGTTCCACCCATTCACGCACATGAATCATAAACCGGGATATGATCCAGGGAGTAACCGCCAGAACCTTCTTTCGATCCAAGGGGTCCGAGAAGATGAATTGGACCAGTCCCGCAGGCATCGGCAGGACCGTCAGAAGCCCTTTGCAGTTCCAAATGTCAACCAAGAGGCGTTGGAGGCTTCCCAGAGACGGAGCGGGGCCAAAAACTCGCCCAATGAGGCCGAGGCCGGTTCGTTCCTCTGAAACAGCGACCGCTTCATCAGTGAATACAGCAGAAACCGTGGTAGCCATCTGGAGAAACTCAGAGATGAGGGTATGCGCCGATTGCAATTCAAGAGGATAAGGGGAAAATTGCAATCGATGAACTCTAAAAGGCCACAAGGGGCGCCTTATAATGCCGAAGAAGGCACTCATCAAGCCCACACCGCCGGGAAGCGGGGGCCACGTCGCCGGAGAGAGGCGGAATCAGCTTCGCACGAACGGCGATAGATCCCCAAAGTTGCGTAACTACTAATCGTGGGAGAGAGAACCTTTTCGAGGGTATTTCGGAATGTATTATGGTAAATGCATTTATTGGAATATATATACCATTTTAAAAATGATGTAATATATTTTATATTGTTTGGTTTTGGTGATACTTATTTAATTATTTTAGTATTCAACATATTATTTTACTTGAGAAATGTCATTTTTGTCCTTACTTTTAGGAGAACATATACATATAACTAGGGGTATACTTTGAAAAAAAAAAGAAACACAACAATCTCCTCAAACCTATCTCAACAATCTCAAGTTTTAGTAGACCTATCACTCATATTGAGTGATAGTTTCCATAACATCAAGCAAACAATGCATGTACTGTTTGTATAGAAAATTCAAATAAATGATGCATTGTGGACAATACATGTATTGCAACTATCTCAACCAAACTATCACCAAAACAAACGACCCCTAAACGAAGTACTCTGACTAAGATAGGTGACTAGGCGTCTTTATCTTTAGTCACATGATTAACATACCGTTTGGTATAAATGAATTTTATAAATTTTAAGAAATTCATTTTGAAATGAAACATTTTTGTGTTTGGTATTTAAAAGAATTCATTTTCAATTCTAAATTTTGAATTCTATGAAATTGGAACTAGTTATAGCAATTCCAAAGAATTGAGGTGGAATTTCCAAATGAGTTCCACAAGTATTTACTAATTATAATAGAATGACATAATTATCCTCTTTATTAACTAAATTAATTATATATATGAAATATCAAACACAAGAATTCATTTGACAGTGAATTCTACATGACAATTCATTTTATTTCTAAATATTTGAATATGACATACCAAACACAAGATTTCATTTGACAATGGATTCTATATGGTAATTCATTTTACAATGAAATGAATTCTTGATTTTTTTGGTACCAAACGATCTGTAAGTGAATTTCAGCCTTGCATCTCATTAAAATTCAATAGTTCAGATTAATCCAAATTAATGAAGAACAATGTAGTCAAACTGACACCATAGGCTGAGAATGGGAAGGCAATATCCTTTCACTCTTGGTCACGAGGGAGAGATGCCTCATTAGGGGTGGACAACGGGACGGGACGGGATACCCGTCCCGTTTGAAACGGGTACCCAGTCCCATTTGGAGACCAAAGTCCTTCCCATATCCCAAACTCATATGGGAAACGGGTACCCATTACCCGTACGGGACGGATAACGGGTACCCATACTACCCATAAATACCCAAAGTTTAAACCACTAAAATTTTAACAAAGTTTAAACTGAACTTGTACTTGCTTAACAATCGCAAGACACAAATCATGAACAATTATGAACAATCACAACGCATAGAAATAAATCATTCTAAGCACCAAATTATCAAATAAAAAGTTTCATTCAACACAACCAAAATATTAAATAAGAAGTTTCTGCTTTTGCAAGTTGCTGCTACTATTCCTTCTGGAGTTCTGGAACTGCCGAACTGAACTGGTCGCCTTCTGCTGCAGGCTGCTGCCGTGTGAAATCCCAAGTCACTTGTCCTTAGCAGTAGAAACAATTACAAAGTCAAAAGCAAAGCTTCAAAATCCTTATCATCGCAGGTTAGGTGGCGGTGCTTTTATCAGAAGAAAAGCCAAAATGACAGACTCCTTCTACAATGCCAGGCCAAGGCCCAATGCCACATTTCTGAATAACTGAATTAGTGAATTGGACTTAGGTGCTGGGCTGTGAGCTATTTCGGTTTTGTAGTAAATGAGTATAACGGGTACCCACATTACCCAAACGGGTATTTGCGGGTAACCCGCGGGTACCCATATTAAAAATGTACAATCCCAAGTGCCATCCATTTATAATATTATAGGTAATATGGGTACCCGTAACCCTTAAAAAACGGGACGGGTATGGGTATACCCAAATACCCGTTTCCCGTTGCCCGCCCCTATGCCTCATTGCAAATTTGCAAATGTTTAGTGGCAATTGTGGCAAGTTTAAAAAAGGAGATTAGAAAAATGACTCATTGAAAAGAAAGAATAAAGTACACCTTCAAAGAGTCCATTGTTTTTATTGTTTTTTAGAGTCCCCCGGTGCACATTTTGAATGTCTAAACCTATTTAGTCGACATGGTTCTCATCCGGGAGTTTGTGTTTTCACAGTGAGATAGGAGTAATGTTCACTCACCCCTACTATTCTAACTAGTGATACGAAGAACTATAGTGCATACCATGTCGATTGTTTGCAATGTTGTGCTAGATTGAGTAGGTTTACTTGGGAACAGTCAAACACCAAGTTGATAAGCCATCAAATACATCCTTACTTCGTTCCTTGAAGAAAATATTTTCATATTAGGGTGTTTTAGATGATACAAACGTTTTAGGTACGAAAAAGGGTCACACGTATAGAAATATGTGCGAAAATGAGAGATCACGACTAAGACCAAGGATATATGACCATGAAGAGAGGGCGTGAAGTTGTGCATCAAGATCCGGCCTCCAGTGCCAAGATCACAACCACAAAGATTGGAGCCATGGGTGCGAACTTCAGAAGCACCCAATAAGGTAGCACTAGAGAGTTTCAACAGTCAAACTTTGGCCCTCGTTGTCCATGCCCGCGATAAAGATCACGACCATGCCATCCAGGATCGCGACCCTGATGTAAGGCTGCAAAATTCCCATCCATAAAGGTGTAAAGGGTGGCCTCCAACAACCTCTACTGCAAAGATCATGCCCGCGATCTTCCCCTTTCCCGTCGTGAACTTTCCCGTGGAATATGACCTTGGTCGACCACTATATCAACAATGTCACCTTGAGTTATACTTGGCTCAAGATGAGTTAGTTAATACAAGTTGTGCCATCAATATTAATAACCCGCACGGGGTCGCACCAATGGATTGATGTTCAATTCACCATTGATCAACATTAATTGAGTTTGATATTGACCTATGAGGGCGAAAATCTGATTATGTCAATTAGAGCATCACATATTGGGAGTAAGGGGTTGGTGTCGAGTTCCTTGATTGGTTGTTTTAGAGAATGTTACAACCCTCTAAGCAACCGACTTAAGAGGGCCTCGACTGCTCAAGTACAGATTCAAGGTCTAGTTAAAGACTCTACACTTCATGAATGAATATTGAATCAAGTTAGATGTTCATCAATCATTTTTCCTGGTTAGTGGCTAGGGGGATTTCAATGCCAAAGTAGCTCCCAACATATAATTTAGCTAGTGTAGTTCTTAGAGTAGTTAAGTTTCTTTACCTCCAACCTTGTCACGTTTGGCTAGATATAAAAACAAAGTGAAGTAACAGGACATCTAGAGACCTGTAAACCCAATTGTTTTATTACATTACTTTTACTATACTACACACAGTCGGTGGTTATGTTTGGCCTTCGATTGGGATGGTAGTTAGAATGAGTCTAGCTTTTAGCTATGACGCAAAAAACACGTACGACCCTTATCCCACTTAACTACTATCCCAACCATAGGCCAAGTGCAACCTACGATCGAGTGTAATATAGCGAAAATAAGTTTTAATTATCAATCTGGGCAACAATTGTACTATCACTTCTTATGAGAAATGGCCCCGAACTCGACTCAATTAGCACACGCACCAACACCTACAAGTGTGCTATCTAATCATAAGTATAAATGTCCACATAGTGGAAAGTAAGGTGGTTAGGGGTTGCTAGTCAAGCGAGTGGTCAATTACATGTTCTTACTTGATATCTTGGTAACATAAAACGTAATATCATAAACATGGTCAATAATCTGTAACTTGTATGCTTGCTTTGAAACATAGTTTAATGATGACATGCAATGTCATGCTTACTAAACATAAATAATATTAGCGTAAACATACACACAAAGCATATGTGAATGACTTAATTTAATGACATATTTAGAGTTTCTCAAAAAATGACATATTTAGATAAATTAAAGCAAAATACTAACTATATCAATTAAGCCATGCACCTTATTAATTTTAAGTCGGTTACTTAATATAGCCACCAACTCAAGGAGTCGACGCTCTGGATGGGTAATTTGCCTTGGTGAACCTATGATGAAATCGAGGTTAGATCGGTTGGGTTACGTGTTCTTAACGACAGTTCTTGACTATCATACTACTTTGCGATAATTGCATAGTACGACTAAATAACGAACCAATTAATAATCATACTAGAATCTTAATCATACTAGAATCTTAATTACTTAAATCATTTTGAAATCTCAGCTAATTTAAATACTTGGAAAACTGATCGAGCTAAAATCACTTACATAGTTGAATTCAAAATTTAAGAAACATATTATAACATTTTTATATACTATTGAATAAACTAGTAAATTTTTACCCTAACATAGATTAATCTAATTTCCTAATCTTATCAAATATCATATGATCTTCTAGTTTAATTTGTCACAATATTATTCTTGGCAAAATCAATATTTTGCTAACTAATAACCTACACTATCTTAATCATCTAAATCTATTAAATTGCTTAAAGAAACTCCTAACATTATCATGCATCATATTATTGGGTCAAATACTCAATTAACTCAATCTAGATCATTTTATTAACTACTAAGCAAGTTAATTAACATCCTAAATTCAATACTAATAAGACTATCGATTTAATCAATTGACAATACAAAATCGACACTTATCAACCTAGGGAAATCGACGGTAACAACTACACTCCTTTAGTCATCGACACCATATCAGTCACTAAAAGTCGCTACTGCTCGACACTAAAGACTGCCTCTGCTCCTGATTGGCTAGGCTCTAGTGAGTTCCCAAAAGCGTTGCTGCCTGGACGGAGAAATGGTGTGTTTTGTTTTCATTTTTCAACTACTTAATAAATTTACAAAAAAAAAAAAAAAAGCAACTACGTAATAAATTTGCCAGCTCATTTTGTATTTGCATGGGTGTGGTGTCTGTTTTCTTTCTTGCTTTTCTACAGCGGGGTGAACCACCTCCACCTTGCTTTGGCTTTTTCTAACTTGACCTAATTAATAATATTGCTCGTTGCAATCAAAACAAAGGAGGGAAAGCAGCAGAATACGGATTCAATTTCTGCACCAGCAGCAAGCAATGCCATTAGTCTAATGGAAATCGGTTCCAAGTCCAAGGGACGGACAGTTAACCAAATCGGCGATTATGGTCGAGATAACGAAGCTGCTGCACCTTGCAGGACCGCTCGTGACTTTCAACTGATCTTGACGTAGTATCTCATTCAAGTACCATCAATTAAAATGTACAGACCTCCAGGCTAAGCATTATCGCCCAAGGAATCGCCAGCTCGCAACCCGTACATAGATGAACAAGGATGCTGCACTGGTCCAGCAGGTATAATAGCATTGGCTATGGCGGCCCCTTTATTGCCAAGCCCTGTTTTTGTAACCAAAACCCAGCAGAGTAACACATGGAGTAGGAAAGTGGATCCTGTAGTAAGCAATGTAAAATCATTCTACATGTGATTCTAGAACAGCGAACCCAATAAAAATGCTAGGGATTACAAATTTTGCATATTCCCCTGCCTCCTGTGCTATATCCGGATTTTGGTGAAAGGCTATCAGATAGCCGTTACCAGTAGTACGAACATGGCTCTCTGCAAGTGGATGCCAATGGAATGGAATTGCCTTGCCCCATAAGCTCGGCCGCACAAGGTTTCCATTGCACTGCCCATTCCTCGCTATCGGAACAAAAGGAAAAGGGAAATAAAGACATCAATTAACAGAGAGGGTAAGGAGATTTATTAGGAGTTATTTTCAAGTAACCACGTCAGAACTCACCAACAGAGTCAAGCCGGTGACCGAAGCAAATGAAGTTGCCAAAGATGCTCCAGCAAGCGGCAACGAACATCAAGGATGTTACTCGAATGAGATACATCAACGAGTTGGATGTCACGAACGGCCCTGCAAGGCGCAGCAACAGCTTCTTTATCTCGACCATAATCACCGATTTGGTTAGCTTTTCGTCCCTTGGACCCGGACCGGTTTCCATTAAACTAATGGCATTGCTTGCTGCTGCTGGTGCAGAGATTGAATCCGCCATTGCTGGATTCTGCTGCTTTCCTTCCTTCGTTTTGATTGCACAGCGAACAAAATTGTTGGGTGAAGTTAAAACAAAAAGAGAGAGAAGCCAAAGCAATGTGGAGGTGGAGAACACATTTGGGTTGGTCACGGAGGGATTGTTTGTGTCTAGGGCCGGTCTAGGAGTGATTGTGTCATTTTAGAATGGTTTATGGCGATAAAAATTAGATTTTAGGGTTAACAAATAACGATTCAGAAAGATAAGTCGCGTTCTTTGTTGTTTTCAAAATAGTAGGGGTACCAAGTTTGATCGGGAAAAAGTACATCTATAGAAGTCTAAACTCGTAACGTTTTCTAACGATATGAAATGATTGAACGACAATTAAATTCAACGTTTCAGCACATAGTACCCTTCATTGATGGAGTTTTCGTTCTGTTATTTACTTACACACGACCGTGACCCATGTGAAAATGAAGCTGATACATCTACCTATATATTCAAGAGAAACATTTTCAATAATTGTAACATATTAATGGTACTGAATCGGATTCCGTTTTGATTTACCCGTGGCTACAGCTTGTTTGGATGCCTATACTAGGAAATGGGAAAATCATACCAAAAGCGAGAGGATTTGGACAGATATTGGTACTCGAGAAATTGACGTCTATCGTCTTCCAAAGCTAGACTTCACTGTTTCCCATCTCATCTCATCGCCGGCCAACAAAGATATGAGTTTGGATCTCTCTGTTAATCTCTGCCTCCTTCAATTTTGGATCATCCCTTTCGTATGGGAACTAGAATGGTGACCAAGTTTCTTGAACTACCTGGACTCTAGCTATCAAAATCTATTGTCAGCTCGGCCGCAATGCGCTCCTAAGATTAAGGAATTTAGTTTAAACTTTAAAACGGTATGATAAATGCAATGTTTTCATAACCGGGTTTGCCTAAACCATCCACATTCCCGCTTTCAAATATCCAAACTCGTGGCCACCCGATACCCATGCAGAGAGGTTTTTCAAACCCATCCCCATATGCGTGGGTTTCGACTTTCGTCCCATACATCCAACATTATAATACCTAAAATTTGACATGTAAATTTTCAAATGTAACATTAAACGCACCTACTATATCATGAAGTCGACAAAGAGACAATCATTCTCAATATGATTGTGACATTATATTAATAGGTAGAAAAAAAGACATTGTGACATCATTTTGTGGCGCAACTCAATACTGACTAAGCACCGCCGAGGCTATAACATGATCCTTACACCTTGTATGCCACTTTTGGCCAAGGCGAGGCGGTTTCTTTCTGACTTGTGCCAATCGAGTTTAGATGAGTGTCTAGGAGTGCTATTCAGAGCCTTGACCACATGCAATATCGCTATAATCAATTCATCATCTTGTTTTTCTGGATCATTTCACTTTTATGAAATAATTTCACTAATTGTTCGAAGCAACACAAGAGCAAAGGATAAATTCATCATATGGCAAATTTGAGCCTAATGATGGGTCGGAATCCGACCATGGATATGGCCATTATAGGATTGCTTACAATCACAAACAAAGGCGGCAAAATATTGACAAAAGCCAGCCTGCAGATCTTTTGGCTGAGAAGTGGAGTGTAATCTCTACCACAATTAATTTGATTTACTCCACCCAGAATTTGGATCATAATGAAGGATGACTTGGCTCTCCATATTCAGAGGCTGAAAATTTTCTGTGAACATATGATGAAACTTCCATATCTCATATGTGGGTGGTGATTTCACTTTCTTTTTGCTTATTGTTTCCTCAAGGAACCCAATACATAAATCAAACCTAACAAGTTAAGGCTACAGTGGGGCGGCTGCTTATCTTAAACTATAATTATCATAAACTCATATATCATAAACTCTTAGGTCTACTATTGAGTTATGATATTTCAATCATAAGATCTTCGATCCAATGCTGCGGGAAAATAAATGCAAACCGATCCGATCTAACTTTGACTTTAAATAAATCATATTATTTTTTCCCTTTTTTTTAATGAGAAAATTGCCTTCTTGTGGAGAAGCTTTTGCTTAAACTCCAAGGTTAGAAATAAGGGTACCTTTCATGGAAACAATGGAATTGTTATTTAAGGTCAGAAGCCAGAAATCATAGCGATGGGAGCTAAGAAAAAATTACGGTATAAATGAAATTCATAAGTTTTGAGAAATTCATTTTGAAATGAAAACTTTTTGTGTTTGGTATTTAAAAGAATTCATTTTCAATTCTAAATTTTGAATTCTACGAAATTCGAACTAGTTATAACAATTCATAGGAATTGAGATGAAATTTCCAAATGAATTCCACAAGTATTTACTAATTATAATAAAACAACATAATTATCCTCATTTATTTACTAAATTACTTCTACATATATTAGGCGTCAACTCAGTAGTACGAGGAACGTCGGCAAGAATTTGATTGCAACACCAGTAGCAGATGTTGGTTATTTGATATTTCTGCTTCAACTGTATCAGTATGTTGAGAAGACACAATTAGAGTGTAGGGTTCATCGACGAAATATATAAAAAGAACTAATGAATAGAATAGAAATACATAAGAACACTTTCGATATTATACTTATGGGACCAAAATCATTTTTAGAAGATGGATTACAATAAATATTGTTTATGCATGAAATTAATAATGGTGTAGTTGAAATTTTTTAGTTTAATTCAACTCTAAACGTATGCCAAACCTGGTTTCGAAATTGAATTCATTTTATTTCTAAATATTTGAATATGGCATACCAAATACAAGAATTCATTTGACAATGAATTCTATATGGTAATTCATTTTAATATGAAATGAATTCTCGACTCATTTGGTACCAAACAGTCTGTTAAGGAATTTGAACCATGGTCATTGACTCATCGGGAAGCGGGGTTAAAGCCTTACCAACTAGTCTATTTTTAATTTTTTTAATACAAATTTTACATGTAAATTTATCTACATTTGAAAGTTGAGGAAGGGCTATAGCGGTATAGCCCCTCCAGGATACAACGTGGCTTCGCTATTGTTTAAGGTAGTGACGACAGTTCTACTGATATTTGTTATGATGTGATTTAAATTCCATCTATATATCTCCAGGTCATCGGCTAGATAAGCATATGGTGCCATTTTGGTTGGCTTCAATGAGGAGAAGGATAGCCTACATTGGGTCCTATGGCGCTCACTTTGTCGCAGGAAGCATGGGATGGATTGGGTTTGAGACGATTCGAATATTTTAATTAGGCTCTACTTGTGAAGGTGGCATGATGAATCCTTGAGGAGAGGGATTCTCTCCTGGCGCAAATGTATCGTGATAAATATTTACCTAACAATACCATACTTTCTATAGGGACCTGCATGATTTTCAACTTCTGCGAGCGGGCATACGCTAGTACGTTGGGTCGGTGGAGAAAATTTTAGTTATGGGAAATAATTTGCAAAAAGTGCTCCAAATTTGAATTTTTTTGAAAAATTGAGGTTCTCTGGTGAGAGAAAACCTACCATAGTGTTTGAGTTGGTCCGTCAAAGGGCACTTCTCTCGGTCCAAAGTGCCATTGAAGATGTGTTTAGGGTTCGGATAGCTTTCTAGCACCCAAATCATATTTCACTACCTTCCATCTCCCAAACACCTCTTCTCCTCACGGGCTCATGTTGCACCCAACATGTGTGGCAACCCGTCTATCGTTGAGATGTGGAAGTGCAGGTTGGGAAGTGGTTCTTGGGCAATGAATCCGACCATCATGTTCCCCACATGGGGCAATGATAGGGAAGACAATTTTCCTTTCGCTCATATTCACGAGGGAGAGATGTCTTGATTTGAAAATTTTAAAAGTGGTGACGTGCATGGCAAGTTTAAGTTTAGGCTCAAAAAATTGAGTCCCTCTTTGAAATGTGGGAGCACCACCTTGGAGTCCTCGAATTTTCAATGTTTTCTATGAGACACCCAGTGCACACGTCAAGTGTCCGGACCTCCTTAGTTGACAAGGTCCTCAACCGAGAGTGTGCATGACATGATTAGATAGAAGTAAAGTTTACCCGACTTTGATTATTCTCGAGGCACCACCAATGATTCATAGTGCATACCATTATTTTATTCATACAAGTTGTACGAGTTTGAGCAGGTTTGCTTGGGGACAAGCAAACATTCAAGTGTGTGTGTGTGGGGGGGGGGGGGGGTTGATTCGGGTTAGATTACAAAAAAATTCATCCTTTTACTTACAACGTTTGATGTGTTTGCACCATCCTTAGAGCTAGTTTACGTGGGGTTTGTTTGTGCTTTCTCATGTTTCGGACCTTATCAGGTAATCTTGCCACCCGAGTCGAAAATTGGCCGGGAGAGGAAAAAAATGGAGCAAAATGGCTGAAAGTGCAGAGATCATGATTGCGAAGCAAATGTCACGGGAACAGACCGTATAATGGACAAGGAAACTGTGAATATTGCACACTTCAAGAAGGGTTCGTATGCCTCGTGGGCAGTGTCAAGATCACAGTCTCGAAACCATGATTTCAACAAGCGACCCATGAAATTCATTAGTGAAACGGCGCATTTTGCGCAGAAAACACGCGCGGTTTCACTGTCGACTACACAGACATGATGTGAGATGGTGATTTGTGCACTAAGAACCAATATAAGGGAGAGTTGTCTGAAAAAGGCAAAGTCCTAGCTAGAGAGATATAGGAGCTTTGAATGTTATATCAGTTATGCACTAAAGAATCTTTAATAGTGAGTGATTTGCAACTCTCGAACTACAATCACCGACAATCCAAGCCGAAAATCTCATCATAATTTTCCAATTAGTGAGCCATCTCTCTTATCTTCCAAATTAGAAAGAAGCTAATTAAGTTGACGAAAAATAATTGAGCCTTGTAATCAAACATACAAACGGACAGACATTACGTGACATGTAGATAGAGTCAACGATAAGAACAAAGACTCCCTTCTTAATCAATGAAATTGAAACGACAACAACTTGATTAAATTGAATAAATATACACAACACTAAATTATTTGCTTGTATACATCTGCGATGAACGATCATGGCATGAATTGTAGTGGGCCGGACGGTGTTTTGTGGTGAGAACCAAATCGGAACTCTATACCGAAAGAGGTCAATAAAAGTGGCGTAGTGGGAATGTGGGATAGTGGGGTGGGCAATGGGTCGATCTGCATCGGATAGAATCGATATTTGGACCGGATCACACCAAATTGAATATAATATGATCTGCTTCTTGGTTCTATGAATTTTAAAATCACCGAAGAAAAATGAACCGAACTTACATTTGGACCGGACCAAAACGGACCGAAAGCACTGTCGATCCGGTCCTTGATCCTAATATATCTTTTATTATTGGACCGCGGTTCTCGTGAATTTGGTCTGATCCGTTCCGCGGCACGGACCGATGCCCAACCCTAGTGGCCGGCAACTGGCAATCCCACCCCAGTACAAGAAAAAAAAAAGAAATTAAAATTCATGTATTTCTCACGGTAGCATTATTTAGCCTTCATAACCCAATAATTAAAACCAAAGAAGAGAGTAATTAGTTTTCTCCATGGTTGTCACGTCGGCCGGCGTGCCACCGATTGTACGGGGTTCAACCGGTAACGGTCATAAAACCGGCGTGACACTATCGGTATGACTGGCATGATCGATATACGAATTTCTAAGTAAAATCACCTTATTTTAGAGAATTTAATTGATAAAAATTATTTTATTATTTATTTTATGAGTATAAAAGTTAAATATTGATGTTATTTGTTGGATTCAAATATAAATGTTTAGGTATTGACGTTAAATGTCATGTTTAAATATGAGTATTTATAATTTTATTTGTAATATTGACCGGCATGAACCGGCACAAACCGGTATGTGTCACCGGTTGAACCATTCCACTTGCTAAACCGGCGCACTGGCATGAACCGGTTTGACAACCTTGGTTTTCTCCCACCATGCTTCCACTTGGCTTTGATGGCTGGCTATATAAGAGAGAGATGGCTCACTTCCCCAGTTGGATATCGCACTTCCTTTCCCATCTTCCCTACCTTACACAATCAACAATGGCCGCCGCCACCAAACTTCTCACCTCAGTCTTCATCCTCTACCTGTCTTTCGCCTTTCAGTTGTTCCCCTCTGGTAATTTCATCCTCTATACGATCATCAATCAGGAGTTTAACCGTCGCGGTTAAAAACAATAGTCGGAAGTAAATTGATTGGATAGTATTGTATGCAATTTATGTTTACAGGGAATAGCGAGCTCCAATCGAGTTTTTATGGAGAGAGCTGCCCTAGAGCTGAAGAGATCATCAAAGAAGAGGTGATCAAGCTCTACAATGAACATGGCAACACCGCCGTTTCTTGGCTTCGCAACCTCTTCCACGACTGTGTCGTCAAGGTAACCCTGTTTGCTTGTTACGTAAAAAAAAAAAAAAAAAAACAAAAAATTTACTTGTCATCACATTGTTTTTTGAGTATTTAAATTGTATATATTATATATAATTAAGTTGGCATGCATAAATGAAAGTTGACCAGCATTTTGACTTATCCTATGCGTTGCTCTGCCTGCTTTGAATGTTAAATATTTTGATGCAGTCGTGCGATGCGTCGCTACTGCTAGAAACGGCGAACGGAATCAAATCGGAGAAGGACACCAGCCGAAGCTTCGGGATGAGGAATTTCAAGTACGTCGCCACCATCAAGCGCGCCCTTGAGTCCCACTGCCCGTCCACCGTCTCCTGCGCCGACATCGTCGCTCTCTCTGCCCGCGACGGGATTGTCATGGTTCGAATCACTCCACCACACAATCGAAAGAAAATTTAATCGTCGGCCTTAATTCACTAATCAAATTTTGTTGATCATATTAATCCAGCTGGGCGGCCCGAGAGTGGAGCTGAAAACGGGGCGGAGAGACAGCAAGCAGAGCTACGCTTTGGATGTGGAGAGCTCCATCCCCAACCACAACGACTCCATCTCGGCCGTCCTCTCCCGCTTCGGGTCCATGGGCCTCGACACCGAATCCACGGTCGCTCTCCTCGGGGCCCACTCCGTCGGCCGGGTCCACTGCGTCAATCTGGTGGGCCGGCTCTACCCGACCGTCGACCCGACTCTCGACCCGGAATACGCCGGGTACCTCAAGGCCCGGTGCCCGACCCCCGACCCGGACCCGAAGTCCGTGCTCTACTCCAGAAACGACCGCGAGACGCCGATGATTCTGGACAACATGTACTACAAGAACGTGCTGGAGCACAAGGGGTTGCTTTCGGTGGACCAGCAGCTGGCTTCCGACCCTCGCACGGCGCCGTTTGTGGAGAGGATGGCTGCCGACAACGGCTATTTCCACCAGCAGTTTGCCAGGGCGGTGGTGGTATTGTCGGAGAATAACCCGCTCATCGGAGAGGAGGGGGAGGTCAGGAGGGATTGTCGTTATGTAAATGGCAACTAAACGGGTGGGCTTGAATGAAGTCCGTATATTTATGGGCCTAAGGCCTTTGATCATGTCGAAGTGTGCGAGATATGTAATGACAGTTGGATTGGTCTTCGAGTTGAAACTTGAAAGTGATTTCGAAATAATATGATGCATATGTTACTGACTTACTGTAAGTATTGATTATCTTTTGTAAAAAAAAAAAAAATTTACTGTAAGTATTGGGCGCGTGCTCGAATAGACTAATTAACATCAGCGAGCATAGCATAGCACTACTAGCAGGCATCAGTGGAAAATAGCCACATTCCACCTCCACAGTATATGTTTGGCATACACATGCTACTCTCACATATCTATAGTCTATAAGTAGTGATGGCAATGGAACCTGTTCTGTCGGGTATTACCAGATTTGATTCGCGATGGGGTGGGTTATGAATATCTACTTTCGCTTAGCCTCACTTTGTTTTTGGCACATTTTATCTCGAGTTTTAAAATATCTATTCATATTTCTCCTATTTTGACTTTTCTTCAACCAGTTAGACATTATCTTACAACTAATTAGGCTCGTTATCCATTCTATTATCACTATTTTCATTCATAAAGTGTTTTATCGTAGAAAGTAAAATTTTGGGCGTATTTTTTTTAAATAACATGTAATAGTAGGTAGACTCGCCCCGCCCCGTACCCGTGCGAGTATTACCTACATCAATCCACAATAACATAGAGCAGAACATGAATATTGAGGTACCCGACCGCCCCTTCTCATCACTATCTATAAGTCCAACCATCAATATCTATTGACTATTGAGGTACACCAACTTTTGTTTAACAAATAAATAATTACTAGAAAATAATCTCGCTTTGCTGCTGCCCTTATGGATTGGAAAGTAGTACTCCCCTAGCCTAATTACCTTATTTGCAAGGAATGAAAATTATTCAAAAAGGTATTTCAATAGTTGTAACATAAACTCATGTAAGGATGGAAACTCATCGGTTTTGGGTGGATTGTTGATATTTGTCACCGTACCTTGATTAGCTTAGATTTTATTCATATCATTACTCATATAAGATTCGGGTATGCTCAAATCAAATCCAATCGAGTTTTGAATATCAAGGAATATCCACGTATAACTATTTTCATTTCTTGTCTCAACTAACTTCTTACTAATCATGAGCGTATTAACAATATAAAAATGAAAAAGTACATATAATGAAGCACCAATTCTAAGTGAAATAATAAAAAAGAACTCAATTCATAAAATGTTATATTGTAGTATGAATGTAGAATATGTTAAGATAGAAAGAAGGATTTATAAGAAAAAATTGAATATACATATATAATCGGACGCGTTTAGATTGAATATTATTAAAATTATGCATGTCAATCACTTGTAATATCCACACCAAGAATAATTCATTTAGTTATGGTTTTATCCATCCCGATCGGATTAAATTCAGGCAGATATCCATAATTATGGATATTATTATAATTCCTAAATTCATGATAATTAATAATAATTTATCATTTCTTTTAATTTAATTATGTCCCTCGACTCTTTTTCATAGTTGATAGATATCCATTTTGTTTACTGACATTTCTAGTGTACGTCTCTCTCCCCACCATCATAAAAGTAAAGTTCAAGGTTAAAATAGTAGATCGAAGGGAAGTGTGATGTCGAAAAAACGATGGAGACAACGAAACGATGACAAAAGAATAAAAGGTTGAGGCCAAGTTATAAGCGCAACACATTAGAATACCAAAGCCCACGTACTTGAGCCCAAATTGATTCCAGTTAAACTAAACACTTGTTAGGCAACAGTAAATGGGATTTTGGTTTATATATAATAATATTATCAAAGGTGGTCTGGACTCTGGAGCCCGTTACAATTTTTGTTCCTGTAATCGTGTCGAATTGGGCCAGCCGAAGACGCAATCCAACTTCGTGTAGTTGAAACTGGGCCGGGAAAATTAACGAAAGACACCAAAAAACAAAAGTAGCTGAATAGAGAGCTCGAAAACCTTGGGGATCAAATCGGTAAGGAAAGTTTTCCTCAAACAGCTCTAATCTAAAACGCCTACTGTTTTACTGCCATTGTTGTTATTCCGTGTGAGTGAGAGTCCATCCTCTCTCTAGAATCTTCTCTCGGCCAAGTCACAGGACGCGGAGCTGATCGTCGACGACGACCGATGGCCGATGATTTTGAGTTCTCCACTCCATCGTTCGACCGCATGGTAAAACTCCGTTGAAGCCTCTCTCTCTCCCTCTCTGCGATTCCCTCTGTTTCATTTCCTTTTTTCTTTTCCGCAAAAAATTTAGATCTGCTTTTACGGAATCTAGGTTTTTTACCACGTTGATCCGCCAGATCTCGATTCTGATCAGATGCGATTCCATAGCCCTGGTCGCGATCTTGTGTTTGGTTGTTCGATATGCCAGTTAAGGTGTGGCGTTTCTCTTGTTGTCAGAAGGGTTTAACCTCTTCGATTTCGGATTTCGTTTACATGGCTGTGGATTTTGGTTCACTGGCATGGGATTTCCGATTTCGGATCATGTGACAAACTGTCTGCTTTTTCGAATGAAAGCAACTATAGTGAAATTCGGTTCGATTGTGTGTTGGCTCTGATGACTAAACCCTTCTTATCAATGCCGCTGAATTAACATGCAGAAGAAATTTTTTGGGTCATCGTTGATTACTTGTGTATATATTCGACTGCTGCTTCGTGTTGCTGCCTGTGTAATGCTGAAATTTCAGATGCACTCTGATTTGGCTGGCATAATGATGAGGAGTCTTTGCTTCTCATGGCTTTCCAGGCATTTTGCACAGTGTCATGTGTTTATTGTTTGACAAACTATCTCTTTGATTAACTGAGCGTAGGAGTCCTCTTTATTGTTTCTTTGCGCGCCAATTGGTTCCGTGTCTATGGTCTGCGTTCTTCCGCCCTTTGAATTGTAATAAGAATCGTGATATACAGGTTGTTGTTGTTCATGATTATCCCTCTGCTGTTTGTAGCCTTTACACAGCTTATAGATAGTACATGAAGTCTCATAGAAGTTAAAGGACAAACAATGTATGGTTCTATAAGTTTAGATGATGTTTTAGCTAGCCTTAACCATCTTATGATATATTGTATGTTAATGACTACTGTTTCCCATTTGCTATGACCAACAGGGAAAGAATGTGGAAGCTAAAGGACTGAACCCTGGATTGATAGTGTTGCTGGTTATCGGCAGCATCGTCCTGGCGTTCCTTATTGGGAATTACGCGCTCTACGTGTATGCACAGAAGACCCTGCCTCCCAAGAAGAAGAAGCCAGTCTCCAAGAAGAAGATGAAGAGGGAAAGGCTGAAGCAAGGCGTCTCTGCCCCGGGAGAGTGACTGAAATTCACCCGAAGCCAGCTGTTTAATGTCTGAGTTACTAGTTTGACTAGTTTCTACTGTTGAAGTTCTCAAGTCTGTCATTTCTCCTCCTCACCCCCTTTTGCTAGAACTCTAGACTCCAGAGATCATAACCAGAAACCATCCAGTGTTTGGATTGAGATGAGGTTAGAAACTAAACCGCGGTTTTATGTTGAAAGTTGAAACTACAGTTAATTAGTGTTGTTGTGTGATTGTCGCTCTTCCCATTCTCCCAAATTTTCAAAGTATTATGAACAACTGACGTCACATAGCCACCATCTCGGTTCGCTGGACTTACTTTTTACTGTTTTCCTTCTAATGTATGTAATGTACTCATTTAGAACAGTCCGTATTAGGCATTAAATTATCACCTACTCAGTCAAATATGAGAGCTAAGATTAGGGATAGTAATCAAACTCACCACCGTGGGTAATCGAGCGCCCCCTCGATTCAATTAACGTGAGGAATCCTTGTTTTGATTTGATATGGGTTTTGATTTGATATGGGTAAAAATCGCAAAAGTTTTAATGGAGATGGGGTGAGTACGATTTTAGACTTCTCAGCCTCATACCCATACCCGTCTCACTAAGAGCAATTCTTCGAATACACAATTATAGGGTTTATGTTTTAATCTCGCAATGATAGGAAGGGTAATGTTAAAATAAATAGTGAAAATGTAATTGAGTGGTTACTCAAACTAAACACTAATTTTCAATCAACGTGAAGAATCCTTGTTTTGATTTGATATGGATGAAAATCGCAAAAGGTTTAATGGAGATGAGGTGAGTATGATTTTAGACTTCTCCGCCTCATACCCATACTCGTTTCACTCAGAGCAATTCTTCGAATATACAATTATAGGGTTTATGTTTTAATCTCGCAATGATAGGAAGGGTAACGTTAAAATAAATAGTGGAAATAGTGGAAATGTAATTGAGTGGTTACTCAAACTAAACCCTAATTTATTTTTCTCCATTCACTTTTTTACTTCTCTCTATTGTTAACCCTAATTTATTTTTCTCCATTCACTTTTTTACTTCTCTCTATTGTTAACAAAATTGGGTTAGTGTATTCTTTTGACTTTGATTTATTAGGCCAAGTCCAATGCAAAAAACCCCAAATTTGGGGGCCTTCATCCCCAAATTTGGGAATTGATCCTCATTTTCCTTTCTTTTGTTCCAATATTTCAATCTTCATATTTGGGGATCTTTATTTTTCCAGTTTTTCCATTTACTTAAAAATGTACTTATCGAAGCCTTAATATAATTTGTTCATGTTAATTTTTGTATAGTTCATTATCATTTTTAAATACAAATTTTTCGAGTCCGAATTTAACATGTAATTTCCAAGCCAGTCTCCTACATTCATCATCATCTTATTACAACAGGAAGAACACGCTTATAGTAACCATTACATGCTTGGACCAAACCAAGTAGCAAGAGCACAATATAGTAAGTAACCATTACATGCTTAGTACAAAAGAAGGACACCAACTTTGTCAGCATATATTCTTCTACCAAGGACCATCAAGCCAGACAGACACCGTTTGAGATCAAGCAAAGATGCCAAGACCGGGAAGGCATTGAGAAAGTAGGAGCTATCAACATCCAACAATGACCTCCTCTAAGTAAATGATGAGCAGTGAGAGAGATTCAAGGCTGGCGAGCCATGGTCTGATAACCAGGAGGGAGCATAACCAGCATGGGCTGAGGTTTAAAGCCAGGATGAGGCACCCTGCGCCTAATCTCCCGGCCTTCCTGGCAAAGGGCGCATGGGTGACAGAAAACATGAGCAGAAAAATCACATGCAGTCTCACATTGTTCAAGCTGGAACTCGTCTTCAATGCAGCTTCCAATACATCCACACGACCTGTTCACTGCCTCGCAGCTCCCCTGTTCATCCAAACCCCAACAATAACAACAACAACACACTTGCCTTTAAGAGAAAGAAAAAAGGGACTTCTAATAGAAAAAGAAAAGAAGCTCAAACTTGATGGTGGGAAAAAGACATTAACTTGCCTCGAGGTTAAACCTGTGGCGCATTGCAGTGCGGTTGGGGTATGAAAACCACGGAGCAAGGCAGTTCCAACCGAACAAAGAGTTGCCAATCAAGTAGAGGCCAGTGTAAGGCAAACAATGGTTTGCAAATGTTCCTGGACTTGATCCCAATCTCTCAGCGTTGCTTCCATACAACACGCAAGGGGCTACACTGCCAAGAAGACCTGCGACACAAATCATTCATCTCATTATTAACATAAGACGTAACAACATATTACATCGAGTCGCAGCCAAACCATCATTCATCTTACAACAGGATGAATGGGACTGTATGAATCGAAGGCAAGACATATAATTTCTGACCACCATGAATCATGGGCATGACATACATTTGCTGAACGTCATGAATTAGAGTCTTAGACCCAGTAGCACCAAGTTCAGGGAAATGGATGATGTGATAATCATGACAAAGGGTACATATTACGCTGTAGTTAGGCTACTTATAAACAAATACACCAAAAATGGTGAATATTGAAACAATAGCGCATTCTTCATTTTCGTGAGAATTGAACAAAAGTTCCCATTATTCCTGCAATTAAGTAGATGATCCAAGTCTCTCCTACGGTTCAATTTGTCAAGGATACGGAACTCGGGAAAATCCTAGAGATCAATAAGGAAGCAAATCTCCCAAAATTAAGCACGAGAAAAAGATGGAAACTAATCGAAAGACTTACAGACTTCAAGATCGCTGCTACAGAATTCATCGTTCCGGCCAAGGCAATCGCAGATCCCTGAATCCCATTGCGCCCTGCCCATAGGCTCCCCCACCACGCTTCCGTGACCCAACGAAAATCCATTAGCCGTCCACCCATGATCGGCGGCGGAACCTCCCTGCCCAGCTGCTGCCGATTTTGCCTGTGGAGAAGCGGCTGTGGCGGCGGGCTTAGTGTCGGTGGCGGCCAATACTTTTGTGGGTTTCTTATCGGATACTTGTTCTTCCTCGGTGGTTGCCATGTTCAAGAGAGGACTTGATTCCTCGCGATCGTCATTGGAGGAGCCGAGGGTATTGGCGGTGTTGGTTTGAGCCATTGTCTTGATTGGAGAAAGAGATTTGGCGATGAGAAGTGAGAACGGGCGCGGGGAGAGGAAGAAAGTGGGCTAAGCGATTAGGGATTTGCGCGAATGGAGAAGAAAGATTGATGGACGGGTAGGGAAGGCAAATGAGGGCTGGAGGAGGAATTTGAAAAATCGCTGCAAGAAATTTTGGAAGAGACTAACCCTAGAGCAAGGTTGTGAACCCTCAGGTTGACCCAAACCCGATCGAGCTAGTGAATCAAGGGTTAAAGGGTCACCCGTTTTAGTTCGAAAATATGGAAAGAGTCATTATATTGTACTTATCCTGATAAATTATAACAAATCTCATTTAACATATGAGTTATAACATATAATATTACATCAAAATAACATGTCGTACTTAAATCCAACATATAGTGAAAATTCACACACACTTATATAGCATCAATATTCAAATGTTCAACTTAGGATTCCTAAAATTGAGTTAGGCGAAAAGAAAAATCGAAAAATAGGCGCATTTCGCAAACCAAAGAAAAATATTACACAATTTAACCTCCAACCCGGTACCTTGTAGCGGTCGACCCAACGGGTGCGTGCGGCTCGCTTTTCTCACCGGACCAGGGTCGACCCGCGGGTTGACAACCTTGCTCGAGAGAGTTAGAGAAGGAAAAATTGGAACATAAAAAATAAGGGGTCAATAGTCTTTTTTATTTTATTTTATTATAACCAGGTAAATAAGGGGTCAATAGTCAAACCTATCAAGAGATTTATTTATATAATGATAAAATCGGATTCATTACCTAATAGCGAAGTGTTATAATGTTTGGACCAGACCAGAAGTCCTAAAACTAATCAAATGTGACTCACAAGACAATACCACCTAAAAATAATCAAATGTGACTCACAAGACAATACCACCTCATGATAGGGAAGCAAATTCAATCGAGTGGAGTAGATTTTGTTGAGATTGAGCTCGTATTGTTTCTTAAATAGTAGAATTGGGTCGAATTTTGCCTAAATTTAAGCTTGCCCTGTTAAGAAACGAGTTGAGATCGATCTTGGCTCATTAAGGAGCTCATGAGCTCTACCTAGAGGTGGCAAATAGATTAGATTCGTGGATTAGTAGAATGAACTGGTGGATCAAATGGATTGGTGGATTGATCAATAAATTCAAATGACACCGATATGATGATATGTAGCAATTATAGCAGGAAAATGATAATTAATTACGACTTACAAACACCTAAACTAGAATTTCTTAAATAACACAAATTTAATTGCTATCAGAAGGGTATTGTTCACATCAATACACATATTGAAAACGAAAAAAAAAAAAGTAATCAAATTTACAGGAATCATAAGCTCTATACGAGTAATACTATAATTATCATATGATCCGATAACAAAAGGGCAAAAATAAAGAAGGAGAAAAGAGAGAAGGAACTGGCAGAAAATTTTAATTAAAATTCATGTTGGCTTCTTGCTCTGCTGCTGAGTGAAACGCCTCCTTTTCCTTTGATCTGAACAGCACAACGTAACCCGCCAAATCCCTCCTCCTCCTTCACGTTCTCTTACTTACGTTGGAGATAGCGGATCAGTACTTGTGTTGATCCGGTGGCTGACGGCGACTGGTGATTGGGACAGCGGCGGCCGGTGCCAATACTCCATTACTACGGTGGTGGAGGAGGAAATTAGGCCTGCCCTGAATCTGAGAGTGACCCGGCGGAGGGAAAACCGCAGAGTGCGTCTCCGGTCCCCTGTAATCTATGTCGTACACCCCCTCCTCTGCCGCCGTCGGATGCAGTTGCCCTGACCGACGTCAACAAATAAATTAGGAAAAAATATAAAAATCAAAATATCCAGCTGACGTCACAAAAAACCTAGGTTAGAAGATTTGACGAACCTGTGGCAGCGGAGGCAAAGGCAATTACAGCACTGTTGGAATTGAGGAGGAGGAGAAGAAGAAGAAGAAGACACGTCATCATCTTCATGACAAGAGTGGCAGTGCCTGTGGGAGAGAAGCAGCAGCAGCAGCAGCGGTAGTAGTGTTTTCTGAGCTCCATAGAAACGAACTAACTAACGAAGAGAATGACCATCCAAATATACCTTCCATATATTTATACCCATTTAACTTTATATTTTAGGACGGAGACATTTTTATGTAATTAATTAAAGCGATGGAAATGGTCACAGTCGACACAGCAATAAGTTGAGTGAGCCTGTGGGACGTGAGTTGGCTTTGATTGAGTTAACGATCGAGCAGCATTTATGCACTCTACCTACCTCTACTTCTAATTACTTCTTCTTCTTCTTCCTCCCGTCCAGCCGGGCCTATCTTCTTTTTTAACGAGACCGGATCGGACTGTATAGCCACCCCTGTAAATGATATGTTGGATTAGCCTCACGAATACGTGGGTGAGATTGGGGGTGAAGATGGTGTTAACCTCTTACCAGTTAGCACAGAATCCGTTCTTGCAAATGTGGGGTAGTTTCTAGCTTGTCACATTTTCATAATGTGCCTATCATTACTAATTATTTATTTAATCGTTCAATCAGATTATATTAATCATGCACCGATAATTCATTTAATGTTTCACTTCCCATCTCAAGCCAACGGTCATCTCAACTGAAAAAAGGAAGAATTGAAATGATATTTAACCGAAAGACAACTTTTGCCAGTGGAATTATAGAAGTCGTGGGAGCATGTTGTTCTCAACAAAACAAAACAAAACCAGACCATACTACTTCTATCTTTAGGAAGAATATCCAATGAGGCAAATACTATAAAGCAGAAACACTGGAGGTTCATGATCCGACCCCGACCCGACCAAACCAAATCAACTCAACCCAATCCTTTTTTCGTGCGTTTTAAGATCTAGTATGTGATACTAGATCGATTTCACGTGATACAAGTTCGTACGAAAATTTCAATACAATAAAATTATGTTTTAATCGGGATTTTTGTTACGAGGATTTCCCGTTTCCAAGCGAACTTAATTTTTCATGTCATATAGAAGGAACTAGGAAGAGTGTTCTATCCATGTTAACAATGTTGATAATAGAAAGTTCATAATTTGAAATTCTTTGGGATGGATGGTTACTAGCTAAAATGGTAATTATCAAGTGCTTTCAATTCTGTTTTAATGCGGACGGTGAACATGATATCCCACCCTTTCAATGCGGTGTCTCAATTTTGGGGTCCATCCAATTACAGCTATGCCGTTGCTGGATGATGGCCAAATTACGTACGGATCGGTGTGACTGGAGATCAAATTAATCATCGTATCCTATAGTCAGCTGAATGTAAAAACATGCTTTGAATCATGATGAAAGCCTCGACTTGAGCGAGTGACGACGGAGCGAAAGATACAGTCAGCGAATATGTTACAGATTGGGAGGGCGACAATTGAATCCGAATTCATGAGTACGTATTCGATCCAAATTACTTCGGTCAATGCGGGTAAAATTCAGTGTTGATGGGTTTTGGTTTGGTTGTCGGTTTTAGCCGCTTTTGAATTTGTCGGGCTAGGTTTTTGCCAAAACCAACTTGTTTTTTCACCCGACCCACATACCCATAAGCAAAACGACATGATTTTGTATCTATAACCGGAACAATATGAATAATTTATGTATCTTACCGGTCCCAATGACAATATGAATATAACAATATGGATAGTGTATGAATGTTAATAGTCTTTATAGAAACAATTTCGATACATTATGATATAAGTGTTCAAGAAAGAATGTATGATTAATGATTATATTCGTTGACCTCATGGGAATCCATGCAACCCGTGGATACCATTGTACCAATTAGAATAAATTAGGTTTTCACTTCTAAAACCCATTAAATATTTTATCGAATTTTTTCAACGGATATACTCGTTTGATTGAAATTGGGTTTAGAGAAACCTGACACAACCCGCCGCATCCCTATGATCGAATTCATTCTGAAACGATTTCGTACGTAGCAACTGCAAGGAAATTGCTAGCTCCCGGTCGGGTCGATTGAACCACCAGATTTAATTGCATGCAGTTGTGTCGAGTCGATCTGAATAATCATCACCTTATAATTGAACTCCAGTTTTTTTCTAGACCATCAAAAGCAAAAAAGTTCCCAACCAACTTTTCACATGTAATCGACAGTCCACATTCAATTTTAGTGCAAAGGATATAATGAAATCAACGAGACAGTGTTTCTCCTCAGGACACACCAGCAGTTGTGCTCCGTATGCATAACGTCCGCCCGGTCGGTCTGTTGGTGTAAATGAACATCCACCTGCTCCAAGGCGACGTCATTATGGCGAGACACTGAACGAATTTGGTGCATAATCCTAAATTTATCTAAATCTCATTTGTTTATCTCCAAGCAATCTTAATTAATTTAACAACTCGGTTAAGTTTATGGCCGTAGTGTTAGTGAGCTTATAATTCCGCGCCCTCTACTTTTTTTTTTCTTCTTACTCGACCTCTTTAACAGAGAAGATGGATGAAGAATCTAACAGCTCTGCTGCTCAAATAATTCAAGGCTTCGCTATGAACAAGAAAGGAAGATGAAGGCAGAGACTCACTCAACGATGTCGTCTACAAAAAGAGCAAGTGAAGTGCACCGTTTTGGTTAACGAAGAAGATACGTTGGAAGGCTTTCCAATTTTACTATATATACATACACGTGTATAGCTTTGATAGGCTAATTAGCACGTGGAGAGCTTGATGATTATATAATTCATATTTCATACTATTGTTGTATCCGGTTCGTTGGTCGGTTTGTGGTCATTTGGGGTTTTTTTTTTAGTTAATCGTAGGTGGTTCAATTTTTAGTATAAGCACTGGCAGTGTGAAAGAGTATCTTGAGTGCCCATTAACTTTATAATTTTTATTGAATTTGTGTCTCATTTTATACTTAACCATAAGAAGTTTAAGTTAGACAACAAATGAAATGAAAAACTATCTAGAGACTATATTCATGCCTTAAGATATTAAACATCAATGAATCAAAACAACAAATTTCAAGAAAGATCTTTATTTTTTTATATGTGAAATAATTAGCTTGCTAATGAAGCTTTCAAAATTAATTAAGATATCACTATTTTGATTTATATATTGTAGATTGTCATCTATTGAATTAAAAAGGAAATAATGTACAAAATATTACTATAGATGTATTACATTTAAATAGTATAAAGATACAAAAATTGGAGGAAAAGAGAAAATATGTGGTATGAAAATAGATTATTTGGAAAATTATGTAAAGCAAATACAAAAATATTAGTATAGATATATCAAATTTATATTATTAAAAGAGACGAAAAATAAAAAATATTAGCGAATGAATATTTTTACTTGAAATGGCATTTGTAGGTTATTCATACATTTGAACTTTAGTTATCAGAATTCAAAAAATTCAAAGTTACCTTTAACAATATGCTCATATTTTTGAATATTTTATTACTGACAATGTTTTATTTAGACCCAAACCTTTTTTGGATTCTTTTATTTTAGTCAAACCTATTGAAATACTATTAATTAGCCAAACATATTGTAATCGGTTAAACTATTTGCTATCGTTATGTTATCGTTAACTTTTTTCTAATGGTGATCCACCTCAACTTCCACGTCAGCATCCACACTCAAATATCCATAAAAAAATGCATACCACTTAACAAAATAAATAAACTACTTTTCATATCTCCACTATTCACCCCTTGTAACTCTATTCGATTTCCATGCAGTGAGCTTTGGATTGCAGATCGAACCGCCGAAATAGCAACCCCAAACCCAAAACTCAAAACCCCCAAATCCAGAAATCGCCGACAACACATCTTCCACCTGGGCTTAGATCAGGTGACTAAGGGGAGGTCCCTTAGTCACATGGCTAAGTGAATCTCAACCCCTCAACCTCATTAAAATCAAAGGGCTCTAATTAATCCAATTTAATGAAGGACAATATAGTAATTGTATGTTTATTTTTTACTTTTAATTATAAAATAAATAAAAAATTACGCCAGCGTTTCGTCTCCGTCCTCACAGCCTCCCGTCTCCGTCGTTAATTGGCGGCGGTGGTCCAGGGGAATCTCCACTATGCGCCATTATTCTTTCAATTTCCGGCCAGGAGAATTCGAGAGAGAGAGAGAGAGAGAGAGAGAGAGAGATTTTCTGGTCGGAAAATTTTTCCCAGCGACCATCGTCGACGGAGAAGAAATTTCCGGCGACAGTGCTTTGTGATGTTTGTTGACATATTTTGTAATGTTTGTACGCTTTGTTATTTTGCAATGTTTGTAAACTTTGTTATTTTTGTGCACCATGTTTATCATTTTTGTCAACCATCTTTGTAATGTTTGTAATGTTTTTTATGTCTAAAAAAGGGTAAATACAATTTAATATCCAAACCTTTCATTTTAAACAATATAATAGCCAAACCTTTTCGAAAACAATCTAATATCCAAATCGTCAACTTTCCATCCGTTTGACCGTTGGTTGACACTTTAAAAAAGCTTTGTTTAGGGGAAATTGTCGCAATACAACTTTGTTTTCTTGTTTTAGCAGTGTAGATGACTGAATATTTAGATATTCTATACCATCATGGTGGAGTCATGGACTTCTCAGGTTTGGAACCACGATATGTTGGTGGTTTTTCATAGAAGATATTGATGGATATTGATGAAGCGTCGTACTTCGAACTTTTTTGAAGTGTCAACTAACGGTCAAACGAACGGAAAGTTGACGATTTGGATATTAGATTGTTTACGAAAAGGTTTGGCTATTATTTTGTTTAAAATGAAAGGTTTGGATATTAAATTGTATTTACCCTCTACAAAACAACCTGGTTGACTTTTGGATGGAACTTCTCTATATATGGATGGAGCCTACAAAGTCAACCCGGATGTTTTTTCCAGTTCGTATGGATTGTCGGTCTAGTTTGTCATTTTTGTCCACCATGTTCGTACTATTTGTATGTCTAAAAAACACCCGGGTTGACTTTGGGAAGGAGCCCCTCTATATAGGGATGGAGCCTCCAAAGTCAACCTGGTTGTTTTTTATTTTTGTATGGTTTGTATTGTTTGTCGGTCTAGTTTGTATTTTTTGTACAGTTCATATGTTTGTAATCTGTTTGTATGTTTTGTCGCTCTAGTTTGTACTGTTCGTATGTTTGTATGGTTTGTACTGATTGTAAGTCCGGTTTGTATACTTCGTAATTTTCCACAATACCCAAACTACCTCTGTCATTAATTAAATAGCCCTTCCCACTCTTTAACCATCAGATTGATGTGTCCAGATCTAAGGGCTGGGACTGGGAGGGGCCCTTAGTCACTGAATCCGCACTCTCTTCCACCTCCGTCGCTGTCGAATGATAGACCGTTAATTACACATGTTTTCACCCCTGTTCTTACACCGTTTGAGATGTGGTTTCTTGTGTTTTAGAACGATTTCACACTAGGTTGTGCTTGTTTGTGATATTTCAGGTCCTGGCAAGTGAACGAAGGTTTAGGAGCGAGTTCGGGGTCGATTGGGCGAAGATCGGGCGCGAGGCAAGTCACAAAGGAAGTCGCACGGGCACACCCACAACCCGCACGGCCGTGCAAGTGACCAATTCGGCCGTGTGGGATTGTGCGAGAGCAAACACGGGCAGAGCAGAAAATCCACACGGCCGTGCATGTGACCAGTTTGGCCGTGTGGAATTCTGCGAGGGTTCACACGGCCAGGCTGGGTGAGCTGCATGGCCGTGCGACCTTGGCCGTGCAAGAAGCCTGGAATTCAACTAATTGATGCGTTGCGTTTTGACTCGCACGGGCAACTGGGTGAGCCACACGGCCGTGCAGCCTGCCCGTGCGAGTCGGGATTTTCTGCTTTTAAGCAGATTTTCGCCCAAACAGAAGGGGATTCGAGTTTTAGAGAGATAGAGCGATTCCTAGAGAGAGAAAGTGACGAACAAGAGTCTCCAAGTGCCCTAGCTTGATCTTCAACACCATTGGAGGCCAGTTTGAGCTTGGAGAAGTGCCAATCAACATCCAGGAGCAGGAATCCATCCTTCACAGTATGAATTCCGCGTCTGATTCTGCTTTTGATTCTTTCTCCATGGAGTAGTTCTCCCATTCATTTGGGTATGGAGAACCCTAGATTTGTATGTTAGGCTTTGATTGTATGAACCCAATTACTGATTCTATGATTTGATTATATTCGATTGAGGTTTGAATGATTGAATGGCATGAATCCTGATCAAATTCCTGTTGTTTCTGCTTTAACCTAGAATGAGAATATCTGCCTAGGTTGATAGAGCATCCTTGATTGAAGGTAGGGAGTTGGTGACTTTATTCGAGGAGCCAACTCACTATTCTGTACCGAATTCACTTCGGTAGTGGAGGTTTTGTTGTTAGGGCCTCAATCTGTTTACTCCGGTGGAGGTTAGTCGCCCGCTAGAGACTCAGATTGAGAGGGTCTGAAGACCTCGTCGAGACTTCAGGCTGTTTAAGAACCATCCGCAGTATAACTATCATAGAAACTGAACTTGGTAATTGCAATCCGACTTAAGTGCAGTCTAGGGGGAACCATATCCGGGTGACCACTCTTAACCTGAATACAACAGTTTATTTGCTTTGTTAGTTTGTTAGTTTAGACTTGCATTATAGTTTCATTGCTAGATAACAAGAATTCACTGAGTAGTCATCAAATCTAGGACCCGGGTTGATAATTAAACCTAAACCCGCTATACTACGCTTTAGGAAGTGGTTACACTTAGCCAATTCCTAGGGTGACAGTAGAAGTGAGTCACCGAATGAAGCCTCACCGCACAGAAAGAGAACCGAGTCTCTACCTCTATTGCCGTCATTCGAAGCCTCACCGGGCAGAGGGAGAATAGAGTCTCTACCTCTTCCGTGCGACGGCTAGAGAGCATATCGCTCCATCTTCTTCCCTCCAACTCCACAAGTCCGCACTTGCCTTCATCTCCAAAGCTTCTCAATATCACCTCCTCGTCGCCCATATTGATGTCGCATCCCAGATTCCAGTATCTCGTCACGCCGCCTCACAACCTCTGGATCTCTCTGCCTACCAGTCGGCAAACCACAACCCCCATCTAATCTTCTCGCTCTCTAATTGCCTGCAACCCTCAAACTCGTAATTGAAACCCTTCAAGTTCCCACCAAGTTACCCCCGTACCGGGAACAGATCAGGTCAGTAACCTTATGGTGAGTAACCATAAGTTACTCGTCCACATCAGCATGACATCAGCATCACTCTTTCTCCGGGAAAGCCGTTAATTTTACCCTCCTTAATCTTTGGCGGACGATTTCTCACTCGTTTTAAGTCAAAAAATTTTTTTTTTTGCAAAGTTAGATCATATTAATTGTGCTCTTCAAAATGATATCCACTTTGATATATTTTTCGAACAAAATAATTTGAGCCATTTTTTACTAATCTATACCATATGGTATTGACTAGTATTCAAAATAAGAGCATACCTATGGTTTGAAAAGCGTACCATGGTGGTATGAACAAACCAAGATTGTAGGATGGTTGAATACATGATAATAAAAGTATATTCACTGTCATTTACGACTTTTAACATTGTGTACCACAAGATACCCCCCCCCCCCCCCCGGGGTACCAGGGTGGTATTGTGTGGTATTTTTTGGTCCTATAATTTTTTCAGCCAAAAATTTGTAGATTCAATAGATCTTGATGAACTCGTTCCTTCTGTGCAAACGTTTTCAAAAACGAATTAAAAATGAAGAAAATACCATATGGTATGCAGTTGGCATCGAGAGGCAATAAAAGAAAATTTTCTCAAAAAATATTGAAAATAGATCTCATATTGTAGAACACAACGAACTCGTTCCATCTGTGCAAAAAAAAAATCCGAGTTAAAACGAAGAAGATATGAGCTGATTAAGAAAGCTACGAAAAATAAAAATGATCTTTAATTCTCCATCCTTAGATCTGGATTTTCTAAATGAAGGGTCAAAATTTAGTTATTGATGTGTGCATAACCCATGGTTATGCACCCTATTTTGAGCCCCAGACCCAGCAATCGACAACAATTAAAACTAGGGGTGGCGGATCGGTTTCCGGTTTGCGGTTATCCGACCGGTTTAACCGGTAACCAGTCGGTTAACAGCTAACCGGAAACCGACGGTTAATGACTGCGTTCGGGTATCGGTAGCGTCCGCGCTATTTTCGGCTAACCGAAAATAACCGGCCAGCCATCCCTGCGACCAAACGACCCCGTTCCCCCCCACAAACGACCCCGTTCCCCTTCACCAAACAACCCTCTCTCCAACACTCCAACCCTATCGGCCCATCCTCCTCCATTCCCAAATAAAACAGACAAACACCCTCTCCAACTCCCTCTTCAGTCTTCCCTTCGATTCTCAGCCGACGCCAGCCACCAACCACCATCCCCGCCTTCCCCGACGACCCCATCGCCATCCCCGCCTTCCCCGACGATCCCATCGGCCATCGCTCCGTCGAGCGCGAGCCAGCAGACAAAGCAGAGAGGGAGGCGGTCACTTACCCATCGGCCATCGCTCCGTTGAGCGTCGATCCCCCTTCCTCTTCTTTTCCTTGCAACCATGCAGCCAGATCTTAGCCGCTGCTCATCTGCTCCGTCGGTCGATTGGGACGGAGAAGAAGGAGAAGGTGGGAGCGGTAGCAACCGGCGGTCGCTGCTCTGGAAAGGAAGAAGAAGAAGGGCGGTCGGCTAATCTGGAAAGGAAGAAGAAGAAGGGCGGAAGAAGAAGAAGAGAAGTGAGAGGGCGTCGCTGTTCTGGAAAGGAAGAAGAATCGAGAAGTGAGAGGGGTGAGGAGTGAGTGGTGAGTGGTGCATATTTTTTGTTGTTGTTGTTTTTTTTTTTTTAGAAAGGGTATTTTCCGGTTGGCCGGCTAACCGAGCCTAAAACCGAAACCGACCGGTCGGTTGGCCGGCTAACCGTGACACTCTCACGGTCGGTGGTCGGTAGTTATAGGGGGTGGCTCGGTTTAACCGATAACCGGGTTTTCAGTTTTTGGTTTTCGGTTAAACCGAAACCGACTGACTGCCACCCCTAATTAAAACCCAGTAAATATACCCTCAAATCCAGGAAACCCACCCCAAATAATTTTTATTTTTTTTTATAAACATCTCTACCGCGGCCGCCCCACTTTTTTGGGGTTTTACATCATTCCCAATTTCCCATGCTACAAGATGTAACTTTCGATGATTAGAACTACCCTCACAAATGAACGCTCTTTGCACTTCCTCAATCTTGTGTACCCAAGTTTTTTGGAGCTACAAAAAGCGAGAGGCGGAATTGAGGCTAACTCGACAAAATAGAGTTGCACAAGACGATTCACCCACCCAACGACAAGAACCTTGCCTTCCCTCCATCTATCTTCATTTGTAGTCTTGATAACACATGGTTCCAAGTTCCAGATGTCGTCGGAGAGGCTCCAAGTGGTAATCCGAGATAAGTTGTTGGGAAGTAGGCCCACTGGCATCCAAGAATCTGTGCAAGCCTTTTGATATTCGCAACGTCCCCAACTGGATACATAAACTTTTAGCCACATTCATTTTGAGCCCGGTGACGCTTTGAAAACATATTAGTGCAAGCCAGAATGCTCATTACCTCATCTTCCGTCGCGTCACAAAATATAATGGCATTGTTTGCATAAAGGGAAATGTGTAACTTCTCATCTTCGGCCTTCTTCATTCATGCATGAACCCTTAATAAAACCAGCACTGCTTATCTCTTGAATCATGAAAGAAAGAAAGAACGTCCATAATCAAATTGAAGAAGAAAGGCGAAAGTGGATCGCCCTGCTTCAAGCCTCTTTCCGGCTTCAGGAATCCTGCAGCTTCCCCATTGACGAGCACAAATAATCTAGAGGAAGAAACGAGCAGTCGGACCCATCTTTGGAGCTTAGAGTTGAGCCCGAAAGATTCGATGATCTTAAAAAGACATTCGCAGTTAATCATATCAAAAGCTTTCTTTGTGACCAACTTTATCACCAGTCCCGGTTTTCAATTCCTACTTGGGTCTATCTCCTGAGGTATAAGTCTGATGCGGAGAAGTATATTTGCCTGTTTTGTGAAATGGTGCGCACGCAGTTTCAGACACAGGTTCGCTGGATACAGTCTGATAATGGACTGGAGTTCCAAACGAATTCTCTCAAGGACTACTATGCCGATAATGGGATTTTGCTTCAAACTTCATGTGTTAACACTCTGCAGCAGAACGGGGTTGCTGAACGCAAGCACCGTCATCTTCTGGAAACAGCACGAGCTCTGCGTTTTCACTCGGGCTTACCTGTTCGTTTTTGGGGAGAATGTGTCTTGACTGCCACCTACCTCATTAATCGGTTGCCTTCTTCGGTTTTAGGTAACATAACTCCTTTTGAGGTTTTACTCGGTCGTCCGCCAACTTATGATCATGTTCGGACTTTTGGCTGCTTGGTCTATGCCAAGAATACTCAACATGGTCTCGATAAGTTTGCGGATCGCGGACGTCGTTGTGTTTTTGTTGGCTACCCTCTCGCACAGAAGGGGTATCGCGTTTATGATTTGGAATCTCGCCGCATTTATTCTTCCCGAGACGTTTTCTTTGTGGAGAATGAGTTTCCGTTCCGGGCTTCCTCGGACGAGGGCATTTCCTCACCACCTGCCCCTATTATCACCCCTCCGGTTTTCTTTGAGGGGGAGCACACACTTGATCAACTTGCTGCTGATCGTGAGTTACATGCGGCTGATTTGAGTGATGAACTAGCTGCCACCCAAGAGAGCCAAACCGCCACCCAAGCTGCTCCTAATGCCCCTTCCCACGTGCATGGGCATGTCACAGACTCATCACCTCCCATTATGGAGCAGCCTTCTTCTGGGAAGTCTACCGAAGAGCCTCCCATACGTCCTCGCCGTGGCTTACGTGAACGCCGCCCTCCTGCGAAGCTGGATATCTATGCCACTGAGCTCCCTGGCGGTAGCTCCCATGCAGCCGCCACTTATCCCATTGCTAACTACGTGAGTTATGATCGTTTCACTCCAACTCACAAGGCCTACCTGGCTGCTATTTCTAAGCTTGAAGAGCCTCGTCATTTCCGCGACGCTGTCCTTCATGAATATTGGCGCGAGGCCATGCAAAAAGAGGTATTGTCTTTGGAAGCAAATGGTACCTGGACTTTGGAATATCTTCCTCCAGGGAAGCGAGCTATTGACTCAAAATGGGTGTACAAAATTAAGTATCACCCCGATGGGACTGTTGTACGCTACAAGGCTCGGTTAGTCGCCAAAGGATTTACTCAACAGGAAGGCATTGATTTTCATGATACCTTCGCCCCGGTGGCGAAGCTCGTCACTGTCCGCATTCTCATAGCTCTTGCCGTACAGCGTGGTTGGGAAATGCATCAACTCGATGTTAATAACGCTTTTCTACACGGTGATCTGCAGGAGGAAGTTTATATGAAGGTTCCTCTCGGTTTTCAACAAGAAGGTGATACCCGGGTGTGTCGGTTGCGAAAGTCGTTATATGGGTTGCGTCAGGCATCCCGGAATTGGTACCAGAAGTTTACCTTGGCCCTTACTGAGCTGGGCTTCACTGCTTCACGTGCCGATCACTCACTTTTTATATACCGTCAAGGGGACACTTTTGTTGCTGCTCTCATTTATGTGGATGATGTGGTCCTTACGGGTAACGATTCAGTTTTCATTTCCCGTGTGAAGACTTTCTTGGATTCTCGCTTTAGCATCAAGGATCTGGGCCCGTTGAAGTACTTTTTGGGCATCGAGGTTGCTCGATCTCCTGAAGGCGTTGTTCTTAGCCAACGTAAATACACCCTTGACATTCTGAAGGATGCTGGTGTCACTGGGGCCCGCCCTAGTCGTTTTCCCATGGAGCAGAATCATACTCTCACTCGGCCGACTGATCAGATTATTCCTGACGTTCGCTCTTATCGTCGGCTGGTTGGACGTCTGTTATATTTGACTGTCACTCGTCCGGACATTGCTTATGCTGTAAATGTGCTTAGCCAGCATGTTCATGCTCCTAGCCCGGACCACGTTGCTGCTGCCACGCGTATACTTCGCTACTTGAAGACCGCACCTGGGCAAGGTTTGTTTTTCCCTTCCTCAGGGTCTCTTACCTTAACGGCTTATTGTGATTCTGATTGGGCAGGTTGTCAGTCGACACGTCGTTCTACCACTGGCTACTACATTCAGCTAGGCTCTGCCCCGGTTTCTTGGCGCACCAAAAAGCAACGGGTCGTTGCTCGCTCATCTGTAGAGGCGGAATATCGTGCCATGGCCAGCACCGTTAGTGAAATCATCTGGTTACGGCACCTGCTGACAGAGTTAGGCGCTCCGCAGATGGCCGCTACTCCTCTCTACTGCGATAACCAGGCAGCTCTACATATTTCTGCGAACCCAGTTTTTCATGAGCGTACGAAGCATGTGGAGATGGACTGTTACTTTGTTCGGGAGCGTGTTATCTCTGGTGATGTCGAGCCTCGCAAGATTGCCACTTCGTCCCAGCTCACCGACATCCTCACCAAAGCTTTGGGCGCGGAACAGTTTCATTTCCTCTTGTCCAAGCTTGGCATTCGTGACCTTCATGCTACAGCTTGAGGGGGAGTATTGAGATGAGTAATTAATCACATCGATTAATTATGTGAACCATTTTGTAATTTGCCACTTATGCTAGAGCTGCCCTAGTTCAATGTCGTTGGGTATTTATAATTGGCTCTAGCATAATGGTTTCGTACTTGGATAAGGCGCAACCACTTTTTGCTGTTGCTTAGTAAACACCAATCGAGAGCTCTGCTCCCCGTGGATTAGTCCTGTTCAATTGAACAGGGATACCACGTAAATCGTGCGTCGTTTCCTTTCCGCGTTTTACTTATTTTCAATTAACGGTCGAAGATGGGCAACCAACACCTTGAAAATAATCTTGGTAATACTTCCAATGAGACTAATTGGCCTGAAGTCATTAGTCTCCTCAACCTCTTCTTTTTCGAGATCAGGCAAATGAAAGAATGTGCAACAAAGTGAGGAACCAATCCTGCTATGTAAAATTCATCGAAAGCTTTGACAATATCTCTTTTGATTATGCTCCAGCACTTCTTATAGAAGCAATGGTGAAACCGTTCGGCCTCGGGCTCTATTCCCATCACAAGCTGATATTGCATTCCATATTTATGTTTCTTTGAATGGCAACGTAACAGTGTGATTGTCTTCCACCCCAATCAGCCATGCTAAATAGTTGCGAGGGAAGGGTCTGGTAGGGGCAAATTCTTGAAATCTTTCCTTAAAACAACCTATGAAAGCCTCTTAAAACGTTGACTTTCCTTCTACCGTTCGACCATTCACTTTAATATTCTGAATTTTGTTTCTTTTTTTATTACTCTTTGCCACATTGTGGAAGAAAGATGAGTTTTTGTCTCCCACTTTGAGCCAAATTTTGCGCAACTTCTAACGCCAAATAATCTCTTACATAAGGACTGTTTTTTCCAACTCACATTTCAGTAAGCTCTTATGAACTTGAATTTCTTCTGATAACGATCAAGTTTCTTTCTTAGGTCTCGCCCACACCGTTGGAACTAGGGATGGCAATCAAACCCATGGCCGTGGGTATCCGACCGCCCCCGACCCAGTCAATGCGGGGAATTCCCGCTTTGACCGGGTATGGGGCGGGTATGGGTAAAACCCGCAAAAAGTTTGATGGGTATGGGGCGGGTATGGTTTTAGCCTCCCCGCCCCATACCCATCCTCATACCCGCCCCATCAAGATAATTTCTTCATATATAAAAAAAATATGTGCATCAAATTATAATCTATCAATGATGATGAGGATAACTTGAGAAAAATAAATAGTAGAAATGCAATTGATTGACCACCTTAATCAAAATCTAATTCATTTCTCTCAATCCTCATTTCACTCTTTCACTTTCCCCCTTGTCAACAAAATTATGTTAGTTAATTATTACTTAGTAGATGTATCAGAGTTAGAACATAAAAATTTGAAAAATATTATACTCTATATTATGTATTAATGGATATTTTAGGATCATAATCTTTGAACCATATTAAAAAAAATGACCGTGTTTTATTGACTTCATGATATAATATGTTCGTTTAGAATTATAATTAGAACTTTTCTTGTAAGTTTAAGGTATAATAATGTTGGATGTACGGGTATGGGTATTACCCATGGGTACCCGAAACCCACGGGTATGGGGATGGGTTTGCAAAACATTCCCCCGCATGGGTATGGGGCGGGTATGGGTTTGGGTATTTGAAGATGGGTATGGGGATGGTTTAAGCAAACCCGCCCCAAACCCGCCCCATTGCCATCCCTAGTTGGAACACCCCAAGTATATTTCAAGATTAATCGCAAGTGGGAATCCAAGTATAATTTGGCTTCTGATGATATCTAGGATGCTTTTTTACGAAACAAAACAGAGGACTTCTCCATGTTCACCTCTTGTTCCGTTATGTGACTGTAGTCGTTGATGATATTCATAATCTTTGTTGCCTCCCACGCATAGGTTTCCTCAAAAATCAATGTATCATCGGGAAACAGGCAGTGTGAAAGCTTTAGAGATCTAACCTTTGAGAGAATATGTTGATGTGGTCCTCTCTAGTGTGAATCCTTCGAACCATTTAAGTCCTTCATCTTCAACGAAGGACTTATGATGATCATTTCCTCCAATGCTTCCCTCAACTAGTTTCATAGGAAATAATAACAATAGCAAAGGAGGTGAAGTTGTCTTCATATGTCCTCCCAGTCTCCCACCCAGACGATAGGAGATGCAACTATCCCATCCAAACCGGGAGTAATAGCAGAGTTCGAAGGATACTAAGAACTTCAGAACAGTTACACATCAACAGATTCTCTTGAAACGAACAAAAATCCTGTAAGCCATTTCATCCTCTGGAAATAAATCTCTCTCAATCGTCGTTGAACCTTTGGAGATCTTCCAGGGTTTTTTTTTTTACAATGGAAAATCTTGCATTGCACTATGAATGATCGATTACAGAGAGGGAAAATGAACAACAATGGAATCACAACCAAACAAAGGCACTTCAGAGCAAACGGTTGACACAAACCGTGCTTGAGAGATACATTAAATAAGAGCAAAACACTTAGTGAAATCAACCATCCGAAGGGACCGAACACTTGATCCATGAACTAAAATATCCAAAATCTCTCTCGCTTCTGAACCAAACAGAGTAGCAACAAGATCAAGATCAACTCATCCGATCACACCGAAGTCCATGGCGATTGAGCACAGCAATGGCATAAGCCGCATCCTGGGAAAAACTCAAAGGCATCCAACACAGTGAATCTCAAAAATGAAATTACATGACGGTGGGAAATGATGTGAAACAGATTGCTCCAATCTGAAAAAGGCACATGGAGTCTGACGTAGAGAGGTCAATCCATGGAGAGCAGAAGATCGAAATCGAGCCACCAAACTCTTACGAAATACCAATCAACAGCCAAAACCACCTAGACACCCACCACAATCCGACCAACGACCACGCAACACTCAGACAGCAAGGGGAGATCGGAAGGGGAAATGTAAGGAATGGCTTCACCAAAAAAATGAAACCACCAGCCCCGGAACATCAACCACCAAAGCAGAGCACCACGAGGCTCCCAAGCTGCCAACTCCGTATCCCAAGAAGAGCAAGCCCCGAACAAGAACCCCAATCAACGAACGAAGAGCATAAAGCTCAACAAGAGCGAAAGGTGAAAACTTGAAGGCCATATCGGCTGGAAAAGGAAAACACGCCTGCAATCCGAAGAAAAATCACCTAGAACGTAGCTAGGAGCAGCAAGAGCATGAAAGGAAAGGAAAACAAGAAAAAACAGGGGACTTAAGCTGCCGCCGGCGGTGGTTTGTTCATGTTGGAGAGAAATTCAATTAATCCATCATTGCTCAAAATTGAAATTGGACCAAATACAGGTTTCAGGTTTGATCGGACTCCTCGACTTCATTTTCCCTTTCTTTCAGATGCAATTCAATACAGAGACCGGACCACCGGGAGATGCTAGGCGGATGCAAGCTAAGCCCCAACTTTATTATCCAAGCCAATGCACACAACACAACAGTTGCGACAAATCAAAAGGACAAAAAATGATGGTTGAGGCTGACTACCGGACTGGAGCGGTTTTGTTTGCTACCTTTTTTTCACCGGAAAAGACCAACGCAACGCAATGAAATGGAAAAGGCAGGCAGAGGGAATGCGCGTGCGTCTGCCGTGCGTGGTATTTTTGGAGTGTTTCTGAAGCCAGCCTGTAAGCTAGCTCAGTAGCCGTTCAGCTTACACCGCCAGAGAGGAAAATCCCAAACCAATTTTCGGATTAATTGCCATATCATTCACTTAACGGTCAAAAAATAGGATAATTGATTTGAAGTTTGAACCAAAGGGTAACAAATAATGCAACGCAAATACAAAATCAGCCAACGCTGTAGCAATAATAAATAAATAAATAAATAATAGATAATTAATAAATTTAGTGATAAAAATGTTATTTAACCCCAACTATTAATAAAATAGAGAAAGCAAGCGAACAAGTCAGAGAGAATCAATCTAATCCAATGGTAGCTCCAAGCAAATCAGAACGAACAACCCCATGCCATTACATAGAAAAGCATCCCATATTGATAGCAGCCGTCAGAGTCAGACCAGACCAGACAAATAAAGGAAACCTTTTTACGCCAATAATTAACTTCTACATGTCAAATATTTCCCCCGGTAAATAGTATTTCATCCCATTTAAACAAACTAGATTGTAAATTCATTAATTAATACCTCAAAACTCAAAAGCAAGCAATAAATTCAACTGCCAAAAAACACAGCGGTGGACTCATCACTTCAGATAGCGATAGAAAGAAAGAGCCATTGAGACAGTTCCCACTTAGGGAGGGAAGATATATTCATTTTCTTCTTATGCTAGAGATTCTCTCGTACAATTATACAACCCCTAGATAATTAATTAATTAATTGATTATTCAAAACCAGCCCATTAGATTTACAATTTCTTTTGATGATAAATACTTAAGCTAATACATTACAAATTAATTAACTTTATATGTAATGTAATGCTGCAGCAGCATTGGAAACTAGAATATGTGCAGTTAAATTGCCACCAAAATTAAAATTAAAAAACAACAAAAGCATATAATATATAGTTAATTAATTAATTAATTAATTGCAGGAGTAGGCACTTCACTAATTGTTAAATTAAATAATCAAATCACGTGAACCCCAACCTCCTCTTCTTCCAGAAACTCACCTCCGGATCCAGCTTCTCGCCGGTGATTCTCGCCGGCTCGGATTTACACCTCGTCAGCACAACCGGCCCCCGCGGCGACGTTATCATCTCGGCGTATTCCCCCACTTTCTCTTCTTCCTCTTCAAGCTTCGTTGCGGCTGTTTGCTCCGTTAATCTTTCTTTGACCACCGACTCCACAGAGCCTTCGAAATCCTTGAAAACCCCCAACGTGGTCTCTTCGTTTTCCGGATCCAGCCTCGATTCCTTGTCGGATTCCTCCTCGAAAGAAGAAGATTCCCTCTTCGATGTCAGGCTCGAGTCTTGCTCCGTGCTCTGTTTCCGCTCCTCCGTTTCTTCCTCGCTCCCGACCGGCGACCCCCAAAACCGGCTCGCCAGAGACGACGACCTGTACGGCGCAGATCTGCTCCGAATCAGTATCAGCGCGTTCCTCGGCGGCGAATTCACCGGCGATGAACAGGCGAACACCTTGGCGGCGCCCACTGACCTCGCCTCTCCCTCCTCCTCCTCTTCCTCCAAGGAGCTTCCCAAATCCGGGTCCTCGCGGATTTCGGACTTCCGGTTTGACCCGACCCGGAAGAACCGGGTCCACTTGGGCCAGGCCGGGAGGCGGAAGCACCCGCGGCCACGGGGCTTCTTCTTCTTCTTCGTTTTCCCTCGTAGGCTACTACAACTACCGCCGTGGCAGCAGGAGAAGAAGAGGGCGTCCGGGATCCAGTTGCGGCGCTTGCAATCGGAGCCCCGGAGGCGTTTCTTCTTGGTCTGCCGCCTGACCCGAACCTGACCCATGCAGGTGACTTTGGGGGAAGAGGGCTCGGGAGCTTCAATAGCGGTGGCTGCGTTCCTCTTCCTCACGAACAAGGGGCTGGAGCGAGACCTGCCGCGGCTCTTGTTCCCCACATTGCTTCTCAGGAACCTCATCAATGGCGGCGGGTAGTACTTCTCCGCCCGACCCGGGCTTGATATGGGTTTGGCGGATATCTTGATCATGGTTTTGGGCTCTTTTTTACCCTGCTTCCGAGCTCTTATTGCGCTGCAACAGATTGGAGGCTGAAAGCTTGGCGGTGGAGGGATGGAAGAGGGAAGAACGGAGGAGAAGGAAGGAAGGGGATAAGAGTGGTGCGCTGCTTGGTTTTTATTGATTACTACCTTTTTTTTTTTTTTTTTCTTCTTTTATTTACTTTTCCTTTCATTTGTGGTTTTGTTGGTTTTGGTTAATTTGGTTGGAGGTGGGTCGGGATGAGATCTCTGTATTAAGTTACTTTTTTGTTATTATTATTATTATTATTATTATTGTTATTGTTATTGTTGTTGTATTTTGTATGCACGGATGGATGGCGGGCTCTGAATCTGACTATCCCACAGCTGTAGACTGTAGTGTCTATACTCTATAGTCTATACCCTCTGAGATTATTGTTATCTTATTTGTATTTATTATTACTACAAGAGTATCTACGATTATTTGTGGTAAATTTCAAAGTAATATTATATTACTCGTTCATAACTTACCATTCACTATATATCAAGCAATAACATTACTTAATAATGCACAAATGGGTCGAACTAATTTGTTGATGCAGGTTGTCTATCCAATTTTGAGATCAACTAAATGTGTTAATATAATGGATCTGATTAACTTTAACGTCTACGAGAAACTCCACCAAATTCCAAGAAAGATTTATTTGGACTTGCCACAAATTATAGTATAACAAACTCATTATTAATTTATCTAACAGCTTGTGAGTTGATTGTTTTCCTTTTTCCCTAAATGAAGTGTAATAAATTTATTGAGAGTTAGTATGAGTTCCATTTTTCATTTTATTTTGAAATAATACTGGAAAATTGTATGAAATTTGGAGATTGGAAGAAAAGACTCCAACTTATGTTTTTCACTTTTTTGAAAAGTAGTAGTTGATTTTAAAGCTAATTTAATGAGATGCTTAATAGTAGGGGTGAGCAGTGGGTGGTCTTTTGCGGATTCGGATTGGTTTGGAACCACTTCCTACGTGAGATGTTTTCCTAAAACGACTCACACTCACTCATTCATGTACCTGTGGCTGTGGGTGAGTTGGGTGGGTTTAATACATACATTCTAAAAATTTCACTGAATTCATATTGTTCTAAAATCGTAAGAAAAAAAACTTTCAAACTAAATAACATTTAAACCATAAATCAGATGCATCATTTGGCTTACAATATAACCACTAGTAATTGTCCACAATTCATAAAAAAATATTCAACTAATAAACATGGTCTAAGTCTAATGATAACAAATAAAAAATAAAGATGAGGTACCTCATAAACCTAGCTAATTGTCCAAGTCTTTAGCCATAATCACTCACCAAATACTCTTGAAATGAACAATAGAATAAGCCCAATTAGTATGCAAACAAGAATAGTTAACAAATAATCATAGAAGGAAGTGAACATATGATATAGATTTCTAGCATCGAAAACAAATTAGACTTTGCAACTATCTTCAATAATCATAACTTTGAGAAGATATTCATTGAAAATTGGGAAGAAAGGCTATATAAAGATTGGAGAAGAACTTTTTATCGAAATGGGGGGAGTGACGCAGTTCTACCAACACTCCCAATTGAAGCCCAACTGGAGCCTCAATTGGGGTAGTATAGAGCAAGTATTTTTCGAATAATCAAACTAGGGCGATTTATATGTATACTTACTTCAGCAAACCACAATTATCTACTGGTAGAAATGTTGTTTTAAGCTATTGAACTAGGTTGAATTCAAGGGAGAAAGCTTCACTCGGATGATTATCCCCCTATTCCCGTGTTGAGTCGATGATGTGATACTTTATCGTGATTTGCATATTATATATACCGTTAGAAGATCAAAGCTAATTAGGAGTCCCTATTAGAGTTGTCCTAACTCGCCTAATTGCATTGGAGAGACGTACCGAACTACCGGATTAGGCAATTAGGGCAACCAAATCAACTCCATCGGGTGAAGACCCAGAACGAAGGAAAGAAACCAATCACCCTTGTTAACGATTATTGAATAGGGCCCCAAATTATGCTAAGGAGACATTCTCTCTCATAGGGTAATTAGCCCTTAAATTGAGGGAATTGATCAAGGTCTCTCAATTATCATTACAAATACGCAATCAATATATAGTCAAACATGTCAATCACAAAATAGAGTTCACAATCATCATTCTACAATATCCTAGACTAAGGTTCACATCATCTAAGTGAAATGAGAATTACACCATAACTAGAGAAAGAACTACAAGTAAAGAGAAGGAAAGCCCCATAAAATGATTATTTACTTTCTTCTTCCTAGTTGCTTGGGATGGCGTTGAAGATGAAATCTGACCTCTTTTGATCTTGGATTGGTCAAATTCCTCTCCAAATTTTTTGTTCGTCGCTTTCTTTCTAGATTGCAGAAGAAGATCTAAATCTCTCTCGAAAAATTTCCTCTGCTTTGGAAATCTGCTCATTCTCATATTTATACCCGACAGTGCACATTTCACTGTCATCCGTCATGCCCATGATGTGTGCAGTGAAACCATGATCTTAGCGCAAAAAGCGCTATTTCACTTACACCCTTCATGGTTTTGTTGTATTCTTCACATCATACACACGTGATCCATGTAATGCGTACGAGAAGTCCAAATGCTACTGGAAATTTGAGTTCTTCACAGTTTTGTTATAATCTTCATGGTCTATCGTCCGTCACCCATGAACCGTGATCCATGAAATTTCCAGCACTTTTTCCCATTTTCTCTCCCTTTCTTCTGACTTTCGATCCTTATGCTTATTTCACCTGCTAGAGCCTTAAATATTCTAAAACAAGATAAAAACATAGAGTAAAATAGCTCCAAGGACGATGCTATACAAGTCAAAGGGGTAAAAACATGTATAGAATGACTCGAATCAAACTTCCCCATACTTAGTCATTTGCTCGTCCCTAAACAAACATAACTCACAATAGTGCAACATGCAAGAAACTCACAATAGTATGCACTATAGCTTTTTGGTAGCACCTCAAGGACAATCAAAGACGAGAAAACATTACATCCATCTCTATGTGACAACACACTCTCAAATGAGGACATTGTCGACTAAAGAGGGCTAGACACTTGACTTGTGCACTAGGGGACTCTCAAGAAAACATGTGAAAATCAATGGATTCCGTGGTGGTTCTCCTACTTTTTTTTCAAAAGAGGTCTCATACTTTGAACCTCAACTTAACTTTGACGAACATGGCACCACATTTGCATTTGCAAGACAAGGGTTCGATCGCGGGGCGAGAGCGGAAGCAACATTCACTTCCCTTTCATGTGTGGAAAATGATGGTTGAGAGGATGGAAGGGTTTAGGTAGGTTAAGCATTGCAGATGGTAAGTCTGGTTCTCTCAAACACCAATTCCCGACCTGCACTCTCGTATAGACGATAGACGAGTTGCAACACATGCTAGATATTCAGAAGTCGCGTCTCTTAACTCTACCAGAAGAAGCATCTAGCATGAGATGTAACTTCTGAATGAAGTCCGTAAGGAGGAGCGTCCGCAGAGAAACATGGGAAAGGTAGTAGGGTGGAGGTTGGATGCTAGAAAGTTGTTCATAATTTCTCTAAAAACGCATCCTCAAATGGAACTTCTATCCAAAAGAGAAGCCATTTGATAGGTTAATTAAAATAATATGACTGATCGCCTCTCACATGAACATGGTTCAAAAAGGCACGCTTAACCTTACGCTTAGACACGCCTAGGCGCAAGGCAATAGCAAAACGCCTCGCCTAGGGATTTTGCGCCTAATTAGATACTAGAACACGTCAATTGAGTAAGGCGACATAAAAGTCTCTCCAAATCATTAGGAGATGGAGCTAGGAAGTCAATATCAAAGGAGAAACTTAAGATCAACTACGAAATCAATTTTCTATATCAATATTTTCAATATCTTAAGAACTTTGTGAGCTATTGAGCTATGATTCTATGAATTCGTGAGCTATGTTCTTGACATTCAGTGTTGAGTAAGTTATTAATCATTTTAACTGAAGTGAGAAAGTGTTGTAGATTATTATTTCATTCATCATGTTGTGCAAATATCTATTTTTCTTCCAACGCCTAGACACGCTTAGTCTACGCCTAAGCGAGCTAGGCTCTAGGCAAAGGCTCAACGCTCGCCTTACGCCTAGCGCCTTTTTGAACCTTGCACATGAAACACTTTTTCCAAAACTTTTTTCAAAACATGAGCACCTTTTTCATAACTTTTTGGAGTCCAAAATTGGGGAGAGTCTCAGACTCATGTCCTAACTTCGATCATAAATAGTAGGGGTGGGCAAACGGTTCGGTAAACCCGAACCAAACCGAAACCGAATTAATGTTATTCGGTTCGGAATTCGGAAGGAAAATATGGAGAGTTCGAAAATCAGGGCTCTTACAACCGAACCGAATTTCCGAATTTCAGACCGAAAAACCGAAATACTATAATTGCAAGTTCCAAATGATGGATTTTTATGTTTGTAGTTGTTTTTATGTGTTGAAAATTTTGGTTTTATCATTGATGATGCATATAATTGATATTTATTGTTTATATTAGGGGTGAAAAATAATTTAAAAGTGATAAAATACAAGTACCTTCACAAATTCGGTTTTGTGTGAAAAACCGACCCGAACCGACCCGAACCGAATTATAATTCGGTTCGAATTCGGTTTGAGGTTGGGAGAATTCGAGGACCCAATATTCATAATTTCGGTTCGATCGAAACCGAACCGACCGAATGCCCACCCCTAATAAATAGTATCAACACAATCAAGAATTGATGAAAGTAAAGCCACTCATGAACAATAATATCCGTAGCTCCAGACAACTCCCTATAATGCACACCATCACGAAATTAAACTTTTTAAAGGACGATAAGTAGAAATCACGCATGAGACAATGTGTTCGGAACCCGTAAAATTTTAAATTTTGAGCGTACAACCTAGGTTCCAAAACACTCTCAATGTAGCCCAACATTCAATCATTCATCCACAAGTGCTTGGAGCCCACATATTGTAGGAATTTGGGCAATAACAAGGCTCCACACATTCAAAATATAGGTCATTCATCACATTTGCATTCACTCGCCATTCACATACATATTCAACACCCCCCCCCCCCCCCAACACACACACGTAAGCACGATATTTTTCCTAACGAAGCAAGAATAAGGGCGAAACGAAGTTACCAAATCATTGGCGAGCAAAAGTTGAACTGGAATTTGGACTAGTGTTGAGGGAGAGAGAGCTTCACAGTTCACACGGAACAACACACACAAACACATGCTCACCAAAGGCGAGGTTATTACACAAACAAAATATTCAAACATCACAAGAAAACAAAAGAACTATGTAGTTCAAAGTCAAACACACTAAAAAAGAAATAATGTCTAGATTCGAGGGGGAGAAGTGGAGTGGTGGTACTATGCCAATATGGCACTCACAACTGGTGGTCGTCATCCTAGCGAGGTTGCACCTGGCGTGGAGGGAAAAGATGCCAATACAGGGCCTCGAACTGGAGACCCTGAGCACGAAGGAGCTCCTTCTTAATGTCGTGAGAGTGATGTCGGGCGTCTCGCTCTCGGTTGAGCCTAGCGACAGATGGGTGTAGTGTCCCTCCAAAGTCGTGACTTGAGTCTCAATGTTGTTGGAGGAAGAGGGTCCAACATCAGATGATGATGCAGAAGCGTCGGCATGGCCGCGTAGGCGGTGGTGGAGCTCTATGGGATGACTCACCCTACATTTAATATGAACGAGACTAGTACATGTAGAGCTTGAAGCTCTCGAATGAAAATATTATTGATGATTGTTTTCTGTTTCTTGATATACATGACTCGACCGCTATCGCTACTTATACACAAGGCTATAACAACCATAAATGACAAGGACAAAAACTTCCTTTCACACAACAACACGAAAGTCCCAAACCAACAAGCAAATGAATTGACTAATAAAAATGTGATTGGCTAATTATAGATTAATCACCAAACTTAGAGGTGATAGATCATGGATTGGTGAATTTCATGGATATGGATAAAATGAATTGGTGGATTTATGGTCCCAGTGAAATCTAGATATTTGACCAATATTTAACTTTTTGAAAAAATTAAGTTTAAAATATCATTGTAAAAAGTTTAGGTACCAAAATATAGTTTTTAAAGATATTTTACATTAAAATTTAAATTTAGGTATCAAAATTTTACATATATCCATGAATCCACCATCCAATTGGCTTTGAATTAAGTAAATATTTTAGTGGATGGATTTGTGGATTAGATATAAAATTGCTACCTCTACCCAAACTCCTAATAGCGTAACATACTCCTTCATCTTTGTTGTCACACTTACAATGACCAAGGTTGTCATGTTGGTGGAATGCCGACCGATTGAACTTGGTATAAAAGGTGTCAGCCATGAAACTTATAGGAAGACCACCAGTATGATCAACAAGATCTATCCTCGACCTATAAACAAAATGATGTTGTTTTAGTAAATTTAATTAAAAAATAATTTAAAATTTATTTTATTAATTTGAAAGTTAAATGTTGATTTTATTCGTTGAATCCAAGTACAAACGTTTGGATGCTGACTTTAAATTTTGTATTTAAATATGCATATTTTTATTTTGTTTGGACTCTTTTATTAAATATAAAAATAGATATTGTAAATGGATTGTATTCAATTATGTGTTTTATATATGCATAAATCATTTGATATTAATAAATTTTCACATTTCCAAATATATTTTAAAACCGATATGAACCAATATAAATTGATTATACCCAAATCGAACAATAACACTTGCTAAATCAATTCAACAGTATAAACCAATTTGAGAACTCATATACGAATTTCTACTCCTTGCACATAAATTAAAAATCAGATCAAGACAACCATATATAAATTATAACATATCTTTAACTTTTTTTTGGCTATGACATATTTTTATTGTTCCATAGTAAGTTTTTTTTATTTTCTTATAAAGGTTCCGTGGTAAGTATTAAGGCTGGCTAATAGTGCCAGCCCACATGACTTTTTCTTTTCTTCTTAACGTTCACACTGCTCTTTTGGTAAACAAATTAATGTTTATTATCCGGCAATCATCTTAAGTCTTAACTTAACTTTACTTAATTATTATTTCTTTTAGCAGGGAGCTTTCGCTGTCTGTGGACCGAGTGTTGTTTGGAGTATCGGCTAGGATGAGATGCACGTGGAGGTTAAATTGGGACGTGGCTCATAGATCACCGTTGGATGGAAGGTGGAAATTGAGACGAAAAGTGGTCCGTGGAGGATCTGCTTTGGTTGGCTTGACGATTGTGAGGTGGGAGAGTGGTCAGAAATCAGAACGGTATTTCTTGTGTAGCAAATCTTGTTTAAATAAGAAATTTTGTAAACGAACTTTTCTTGTTTTTCTTTTTTGCATTTAATTTGATGAAAATTATCTAAATGAATTTTTGACACATTTTACTAGTTTTATTGGAGGTGTAAACTAACATATTTTCAACGTATTTATTGGGAATATGTTTAGTCCATCTTGTAAATACACTAAACACGCGCGGTGTGAATACTCTTAATAAGTATTGTGAATTGAATTCTCTCGTTGTATAAATATTGTGAACAGTTGTAACGCGTGTTCTGAAAGAGCTCTTATGCTATGATTTAAGACATTGATGTCTTGATGTACAAGTTCAATTTGTACTATAAGACCATGCAAAGAAATTTAAACAAAAAAAGGTAATGATACAAACTGAAATTGCACCATAACGTTTATTTTTAATGATGATATAATATTAGTAATTAAAAATTTTAGTTTGTACCATAGAGATCAAAATCTAAAGCGCTCATGCTTTAAAGTATTGTAAAATTCCTCGTTCTGAATACCTTTGCAATATTGTATGAATATTTTTGCTGCTCATTGTTTGCCCATAAAAAAAATCAATTTGTACCAAAACACCCGTAAAAACATTTCAAATTATATATCCAAAATATATTGAGATTGATGTAAATAAATTAATAATAGTTTATTTATAAAACTTTCTTAAGAAAGATAATATTTTCAACATACAAAATGAAGTAAGCAAGAAGAAAACAACGCTATGCTCTCCCGTCATCAGCATAGTAACCATTCTGTTAATCAGTCCACATTTGAGTTGGACCATTACTTTACTTGATCCTCCCGACACCATTTGATATGTAACACGACTGTTTGAAATGGGATTGATTGATGATCCTCCACTGGTTTAGCTAGACAACAACAAATTTCATTTCATTGCTTTAACAAAAGCTTTATAATTGGGTATTTGGTTGGGTTAGTTAGCAATTTAGCACCCTAGCTCTCTTCTATTTGTTTATTGGCGAATTTGTGGGTTGTTGAAGATTCGTCACTGTCCAATTATGAATTTTGGTGCCTTACCAGATAAATCTTCCATCTTAAGTTTGGTTAGACAATGAAATGAGCTCAACTGCCCCACATCAACGTTTCAACTAGGGGCAAGATTGCGCAGGTAAGTTAGGACTTCTAAAAAGAAAACAGGTAAGTTAGGGTCAATGACCCTATCCGGTTTTGTTTTGCTGTGAAAATGTGTGTGTTTGAAGCGCTCTGTTCTCAACGAAAACAAAGAACAGAAAAAATGGGAAATAGAAGGGGATTTCTAACCCGAGCCCTCTAAAACTGCAAAACAATAGATAAAGAAAACAAATGTTGGTTGGAGTTGAAAAAATATGGCTTGGGAATAGGGATTACATTTTAGTTGAATTTTAATCTAGACTACATTTGTGTTGACTTGGTGCAATTACCTCGTCTAGTCATCATTTTAAATATTACATGTTTGGGTAATAATCAGGATCTTCCTTGTTGATATTCCCTAGTGCTTCAAGTCTTAGTTTTACTTGGTACTTAAAATCTTACAATTTGATTATGTACTTCTATGATTCTGATTTTACTCCAACTTTCGATTTCACACAGAATCCCGATTTTAATTATTTTGATGTGAACGAATATGGTTCTTATGATACATGATGGGAAATAACAGTGACTGAATTTATGTGACTAGTCAAGCACTACAATGCCTTCTAATGTGCTCCTGCATGATTTATTATGATATGGTAGGGTGAATGTGAATCATTACTTTAACACATATTATGGGGAAGACTATGTCTAATCAATGCACTTACGTGATGAGTTCCGTATCGCCTTGTTGATATGGGTCAAAAGCGTGATTCTAGCTAGAAAAGTTTTGGTGATCTAGAAGCGTAAACCCAAAATCGTAAGCTTTTAAACTTGACTACTCTTATAAGGAGGGGGGGAAAAACACGATTCCACATAGCGTTTTGGTGACTTGAAAATGTAAAAACGTAAGCTTTTAACTTTTAAAACGCAATTTTGACTGCATTGCAAGCATATCAAACAAATTAAGAAGAAACTACACATTGTTGTTTTCTGGGCATATATAGCTTGCTATAATCTCCTGTAGTAGTAGTAGTATTGTTGCAAAAGAGCCACTGCAAAGATATATAGAAGCTCTTTTAACTTCAGATGCTATTCAATCTAACTGTTGACAGTCGTACCCAGAATCCTGGGGTAACTAACAAACATGACCTCGTTTGGTTTGATGTGCCATCTCTCTTCATGCCTAATCAACATTTCCCCATCGGAACAATTTCCCAGCCATCAACCTGCAAAGCAGAGACTCTGTCAAAAGCAAAAACATGAAATCTGAGAGAAGAATGACTGATATCTTGGGATATTTTGAAGCAATAGCTGCCTAAATCCAGCATAGAAAGAATACGCCAACAACTCAGACATTACGACTTCAGATCAGTACCCGAACTATTTCATATGCAAGAAATGTGTACTCCCAACCTATCCCAAGGGCCTGTTCTGCCTGTTCCCATTTGAATACCCCCTGCTTACAATTGTCAGTCCTTACTCCTTAATGTTCACACACCTGTTTGTTCTTAACATGTTCTTTCCTTAAACAAACTCCAGCGGGATTCATCAACACTACTCAGCATCTGCTAAACCACTGCTTCACAACCAGTTGTCCAAGTCTCTCAGATGGAAGGTAAACCCTCACCCAAATTTGAAACATATCCGAGGATAATCCTATGGCTTAAATCAGCACTAATTACCAACAAAAGTAGGTGCATATGTCAATCAATATATAGTCTGCAAGCTTATCTTAGATATTTGAAGAGTATGCGAGCTAAACTCGATACAGTTCTCAACTCGTAACCTTGATCATGGCCTACTTAAATCATCACAGATCCCCATTAATAACCGATTGCAAACACTTTGTACAAGTCAAGCCCGACATCTACCCGAAAGATACTTAACATAATAAGACAATTGGGATTGTTACTAGTCGCTTCACAACTAAAGAAAAGCTGGGATATAACATTCACTGTTAAAAGATCTTAGCTATATGAAACATTCCATTCCGAAACCATCCATTACTACCCGCCATTAGCCAATGATGTCAAATCGAGATAAGTTGGACCGGGATGAACTGAGCAGATTGGCTCAAGCTCCTCTACTGATGGATACAGTATCTCAATCAACATTTCGCTCTGCATCCAATAAGATGGGTCAATTGTTTATCCCGGAAACTGATCCAACCAAACAGTTTATGCTGATTGAGAAAGTTTCCAACCAACATCCCGGAAACTGATCCAACCAACCAATAAGATGGGTCAAGCTCCTCTATGTGGTTGCAGTAACAGCACGATACCCACCAAAAGAGAAAGTTTCCCTGATACACTACTCCATAATGCTTGCAGAAGTTTAAGTCTAACTGCTATGACCTATAAGGCAAAAAGCCCGTTCAAAGTTTAACTTGCTATCATCAAATTGGCTCAAATTATCAAGTAACTTGGGATAAAAAAGGGGAGAAGCCAATCGAAATTGAACATACCCTTTTTGAAATGCAATCAGGTTGATTTGGGATCCATAACCTTTCTGGCAGCCATATTCTTCCTAGCAGCTCTCGCATTGTCATACTCAAACTGCAACACATTGCTAATGTGGGAGGTATCCTTCACATAGAACATCCTCCCGAATCTGCTCTCCTCAATCGCCGGGAAGTAGAAGAAAATCAACGAATTCACCACCCAAAACCAGGTCCCGCCGAGGACAAGCCCGAGCGATGCGCCGGCGAACACCTGGGCCACCGTGTGGTACCCCAGATACACCCGAGAGTACATTGTGAGCACGGCCATGGACCAGGCCAGGGAAAACGCGAACCCCTTGTTCCTGATGGTCTGCGCCAGGCCGATCCCTTTGAGCATGAGCAGGGTGAAATAGGTGGCGAAGAAGAACATGTACTGCGAGTGGCTGGAGGGCCAGCCGTGGGAATCGCACATCTCGAGCAGCTCGCAGGTGACCGGGCGGGCCTGCTGGACGGTGGTCTTGACGACCTCGTTGACGAATTGGGAAATGAGGAGGCCGACGGCGAAGAACATCGCCTGGAGCTCCCGCCGGAAGATGAAGTGGGCGACGAATCCGCCGAAGCTGATGAAGACGGGGACAAGAGAGATCCAGGCGAGGAAATGACCTAATTGGTCGCCCCTGTGATAGCGGACGTGGGTGAGGGTAACGGCCTTCAGTGACGGGTGCGGCATGGCGACGATTCGGCGTTAGTTCCGTACCTCTGTTTGGTTTTTTCGCTCTTCTTCTGATAACCCAACGCGTGAAGATCTGGAGGCCTGAAGTGAAAGAAGGAAATTTTTTTTGTTGTTATTTTCTGGGGCGTGGTGTTTGTTTCGGTTGTGTGTGGCAAATGGCAGAGCGTGACAGCGAGACAAGTTCGGGAAGGAGGAAGGAGAACCGAGTCAGGCAGCGACACGTGTGAATAGCTTCAGTGATGAAGCATGAGGCAGATTCCGTGCTGGTGAACAATTTGACCCTTTTTTGTCGACAAAGAGAAAAATAAAAAATATAAAAGAGAAATTTGACCTTTTTTCTTATATACATAATACATGTATATTATTATGCATACATTGATGACAACGCATAAATTTAACTATCACCAAAATCAATTTTGTCTTTAGTACAACTTGAAATTGTAGCTTTACCGTTACAGAACAATTTCAGGTTGTACCTATACCTTTTTGTAAAATTCTTTTATGATACAATTTTATTTTGTACTTTAAACGTTATAGTACAACTTCAAGTTGTACTTTTGTTTTCCGGAGAGAAAACTCTTGTGTTTGAACTCAATAAATGCACCTTGACGTCTTGAACAATGATTAATAACACGATTCACACCTCTTCGAACAATGTCCGAACGAGGGTGTTTGATGATTGAGAAAACTAAGTTGCTTTACTCTACTCTACTCCTATGTAGGTTCAGTGAGAGCTCTATAAGCTAAAAACTAAGGCGATGGCTACATTGAAGATAACAGATAAAGTTTGACACGTGACACACTATGACACAACACCTAACAATGACCAAGTGTAACCAATGAAAGAGACTGCAGTATAGTGGCACAAGTAATAAATATCGAATCCATGGGTCTCTAGAGTTACTATTACTCAGCTTCAGTTCATTATCTAGCAAACTAGATTAAGGATTGGTTTACTAAACTACTCTACTAACTACTCTACTAATTACAAGTTGGGAACTCACTTAGGTATGATTCACCCTAGCTCCTCAATTAGGTCCAAGTTGCAATTACCTTTGGTTAATCTACTGTTGATTAAACTGCGGAAGATCCTAAATTAGCTTGGAATCTCTTAAGCTGACCAAGCCCAGAAGCCCTCTTAGACAGAATACCCGGCAGGCGACTAGCCTTCACCGGGATAGACTGCTAAGGCGATTCACACAGATCTCCACTACTAGAATGAATTCCAGTACAAAGCAGTGAATTGATTGACTCTCGCACAACCAATTCACCACTATCAATCAAGGAAGCTCTCTTAACCTAATCAGATTCTATCTATCATAGGTTATAGCAGAATTCAAGAGAATTTGATCAAGATTCAATTGACTCAATAAATCATGTCTCAATCGATTATAATCAAACAATATAGCATCCAAAACTTCATACAAGAAAGATCCTAACACATGGAACTAGGGTTCCTCAAAACCTAAGTGAAGGGAAGTTACTCCATAGAGAAGAGAGAGATTGCAGAAATCTGATCTAGATCTTCAATCTTCATCTCCAAGCTTGATTCCCGAGCTCCAATGGCGAAGAAATCCTCCAAAATAACTCCAAGAATGTTCCCAAGTCGCTCTCTCTCTCTAGGGTTCGTCCCTTGGGTGTTTGGGAACCAAAACCCAGCTCTCCCTTTCCTTTGGCTTCAATCTGCCTTAAAAACCCGATTCTGGGCAAAACACGGTCGAGGACACGATCGTGTTTTACTTTTGCCCGGCCGTGTTTTGCCTCCAGCAGCCCTCGTCGGCCAAAACACGGTCGTGCCTAAATATGGACACGACCGTGTTTTTCTTTAGGCCAGCCCGTGTTTTGCTTTTCCATCAGTTCAACTCTCGCACATAAAAACACTGCGTGCCTGTTTGTGTACACGACCGTGTTCTTCAGGCCTCCTGCCCGTGTTTTGCCCCCAGCTCGACCGAATTACCTCCAAACGCCCCGAATCTCGTGCTTAGCCTTTCCTTCGACGTATGGGACCTGTAATATGACAAAGTAGCACAACCTAGCGTAAAACAGGCAAAAAATACACGACTACTAGCCGCAAACGGATAAGAACTAAGAGTACAAACATGTTCAAATACATCGATATCAACACGTGTTGTCAAATGTTTGGTTGTGGAACCATTGCTTCGTTTTCGTTTCTCCTATTTTACAACTATCTCTTGTAACCGACGTGTAACCGTCTCTTAGTAACCGCTTCTCCTTTGCTTGGTGCTTTATGTAGCTTGATTGACACCTTGACTGTCTTGCGTGCTTGCCGCTTGATACCTTGCACTTTGATGACTTCACTTGATAGCTAGCCCCTAGTGCCATGGAGGTGTCTTGCTTGGTGTGAGAGATTCATGCTTTGTGATACTCATGTTGGCATAAAGTCATGCTCGACACTAGGTTGCTTGGGGAAATCGACAGATGCACACTGACCTCTTCGGGATTGACATCATGCTTGTAGGGTCTTGACAAGGTTGTCTACCGTCCATGAGGCCTAGCATGCTTGACTACTTGGGAAGAGGGTGCGTTGTGCCATACCCCCTTGGCATGATATCATGCTTAACACCTTGGTGCTTGGTAGGCGGGTACACAGCTTGCTTGAGGGGTGGGTGGCGAAGTCTTGGCACTTAGCCAAATTCCATCGCCACGGTCTCTATCCTTCTTATACGATGTCATACTCGACACCTCGTGCTTGGTATGTGGGTAGCTAGGTGTTTGTCCCCTTTGCATGACATCATGCTTGACCCTCTTGGATGATGTCATGCTTGACCTCCTTGTGGTTGGGTCTCAACACTTAGTCGTATTTCTCCACCACCACGCCAATTGTATGCTTGATGGCTCTCCTTGCACGACATCATGTGTTGACACCCTATTGCAAGGAAGGTAGGCGACATGGTACCTAGTGCTTGACCCCCCGTGGATAATGTCATTGCTTGACCCCCTTTGTATGAGGTCATGATTGAGAGGTGGGTGTTTGGTGGGGTCAAAGAGTGTGTTGTGGTACCTTGTATGATACCCAAAATTCCACCATTTAGGTCCAGCTTAAACCAATTTGAATGATATGGTTAAGTTGGTCTTATAAACCACTACCACTCCTTGAAAATAATCAATATGGTATCTAGTAATTTTTTAGTGGTAAACAACTTTCAAGCACTAATACTTTAAAGCATAGTAGAAGTGCTTATTGGATTAGCACATTTTGTATTACATGTGTTTGGGTAGGCTGTGTAACCTCTGGTTTAGTGATGCCAGTTTTGGGAAGGGTGCGTAACCCCTTGATTTAAAATGTCAATTTTCCTCAAACTCATGGGTATTTTACTATCATACTCAATTAGGTTGAGTATGAGATCCAAATAGATCATACGTATACTCATTTATGTGAGTTGGATGGGATTCTACCGATACTCATTTGCAAATTACAGTTTGGTACCTAAACTGAATTGATTTATAGATTTAGTACATAAATTTAAATAGAATAGAATAGTCACTCGAGATTAGCCCAAACGTTAGGGAAAGATCACATATATTTGTGTGATGCGCAGCGGAGGCAACGAGACAAGATCACATTTATTCTGCAATTCATGTTGACCATTTCTTTAGTCTTTTGTAGGATTCTGCAGGTTTGGCCTTCATCATAGGACGATCTGTTGTGTCAAGTTGAGCGGGAAGTGAAGAATGGCGGAGCCTATGGTTGTGTTTTTGGAGCAATATGGTGATGGGTCACATGGCTCTTGTGGAATGGAAGATGCAGCCAAGTCTTTCGCGGCTCGAGCATGGGTTGACAAACGCTTTTTAGCAAGTTTAAGGACGCGATTTTATTGTTTGTAATGGGTAATATTGAATTTGGGAATGAGGTGGAGAGTTTTTTTGATATCTTCCAAAAGATATCATGATCGAAAAAATAGACAGTTACACCCTGGAAACCAGCCAGGTGTGGAAATCAAAGAAGCGACTCATAGTCGGATACAAAAAGAGGGCTTTCCTAGCTACCAAATGAGCCCTATTGTTCTCCCGACCTACAAAACGCACACTAAAACCAGGCTGAGTACGAAAATAATGAGCAATCTCTTCCAGAATAGCACCCAGCCGGCTATCGGCTTGATTAATTTTGTCAATAATCACCTTTGCATCGCCCTCAAAACGGACCTCCGACAAACCTTGCTCCACACACCAAATAATAGTTTCCCTAAGCACAAGCAATTCCATCACTACAGGATCATCCATTTGAGCAAACTGGACCCCTCTAGCCAGAAGGACTGTCCGCGCTGGGTCAAAAAGAACCATCCCACCAGCCGAATGTGACCCACCCTTAGTAGCTCCGTCCCACATGCAAACCAAATGGGAATCACCCACTTGTGCTGTAGCTTGCATTATCGGGATTTGTGCCCTAGGCACCTGGTCCGCTGGTAGACCCACTCACTCCTCATACTGTTGGTTAAACTGTCGCATGAGGTGAGGAGTCAACTATGTTTAGTTTTAGTTGATTAGTTTGAGTGGTTTGACTGTATATCAAACAGTGGACGATTGTCCTTTTTTTTAATGTTTGATCGATTTGATTTGGAGAGTTATTTGAAACACTAGTTTTTTTTTGTCATTAGATCACTCTAAAAGATAGGAACATACAATGATAGGTTTACAACAAAAACTTACCTTTTACGAAACAAGAAACAAAGTCGAACCTCAAACATTCGAGGCGACAAAAACAGAATAAAAGTGGCCGCCAAACGAGCCGCTCTGTTACCCATACAACCAACAAACCGAAAGAAAAAAAACACCCTTCATTCTCAATTGGGCTTAACAGCTTTGTCCTTTCTTGGGCTTTTAGCTTAATGGACCAAGCACGGGCCGGTTCTCAAACTTGCCCACCACGGCATTTTAAATCTTGCGGGTGACGTGCCGCCGACTAGGATCCCAATTAGGCGATATGAGAAAAAATCAGGCACTGGACGGCTCGGACGGAACTAATCCGGACCGTCGAGATAAATCAATCCAACGGCTGTAACAGAAAACCTAATTCGACCCGAGGCTTTAGGTCTTGACCCTGAGCCTACTTAAACCGAAGTAAGAGGCTCCCTTCATCGTCCTCTTTCGCTTGCTCTTTCACTCTCTGCCCTTTCGATACTGCGACTGCGGGAGAGCACACCTCACTCACAACCAGAGCTCCCGTCTTCGTTCCAGGTTCGATTCCTTCTCCCTTTAGCTCCTCGTCTTTCTTTGCATGATTTTTCTTATCGCAATTCTTGTTCTGTGTTAAATCTGTTAGCTGCTAGATTTCTCTGCAATTTTTCTGTTTCTCGGTACGTTTTCGTCCGTTTAGGTATCTCGTAATTCGGATCTCTAACTGCGCCGGTGGATTTAGGGTTTCGATCTGATTGTATGTTTCTCTTTTATGTACAGAGGTGCTCTTATGTTGATTCGTTTTTTTCAAGTTTGTGTTATGAGTTAGATGTTTCTTTCTGGTTTATGAATCTCTGGTTTTAAACCTAATAAAATCTATTATCGGTGTGCTTGAATCCAAATCTTGCACCATCTTCGGCAGTGGTTGTGAAGGAGATGCGTGGATTGGATTTGCACACGGTTTTTCCGAGTCTATTCAGTGGCTGTAGTTTATCGGTAAATCCCACACCTTGTTGTGGAGACCTGGGCTCGAATCCCAGCAGCCACCTTGTTTATCAAATCTGTGTGTATCAATTGAAACCTACTTTCAGTAATTAAGGATCTACTGGACTGAATTTTTACTACCCTTAGTCAAAATATTCGCTGGAATTGATGCTTTAGTATGCTTGTTCTTATTGACGCTCGATGATTCAGTTTGTATCTTGGATCCTGTCCTGCTATTTTTACTTTGTGGTGTCTGTTATAGGCTAATTTGTTTTTGCTTTTGATTGATTGCAGCTGCTTTACCGAACTTCAGGATGGGTAAGGAAAAGGTTCACATTAATATCGTTGTCATTGGCCATGTCGACTCTGGGAAATCGACAACTACTGGTCACTTGATATACAAGCTTGGAGGTATTGACAAGCGTGTGATCGAGAGGTTCGAGAAGGAAGCTGCTGAGATGAACAAGAGGTCATTCAAGTACGCCTGGGTGCTGGACAAGCTCAAGGCTGAGCGTGAGCGTGGTATCACCATTGATATTGCCCTCTGGAAGTTTGAGACCACCAAGTACTACTGCACAGTGATTGATGCCCCCGGACATCGTGATTTCATTAAGAACATGATTACTGGTACCTCCCAGGCCGATTGTGCTGTCCTCATCATCGACTCCACCACCGGTGGTTTTGAAGCTGGTATCTCCAAGGATGGCCAGACCCGTGAGCATGCTCTTCTTGCTTTCACCCTTGGTGTCAAGCAAATGATCTGCTGCTGCAACAAGGTAACAGATCAATTAGTTGTTTGAATACATGACTTGTTGTGTCAATTGTGGTTGAAGATTCCTAATGAATTTGTTGTGTTTTGTAGATGGATGCCACCACCCCCAAGTACTCAAAGGCCAGGTACGATGAAATTGTGAAGGAAGTTTCTTCCTACTTGAAGAAGGTTGGGTACAACCCTGACAAGGTCCCATTCGTCCCAATCTCTGGGTTTGAGGGCGACAACATGATTGAGAGGTCCACCAACCTTGACTGGTACAAGGGCCCAACTCTTCTTGAAGCTCTTGACAACATCAACGAGCCCAAGAGGCCCACAGACAAGCCCCTCCGTCTCCCACTTCAGGATGTGTACAAGATTGGTGGCATTGGAACTGTGCCAGTGGGCAGGGTTGAGACTGGTGTCATCAAGCCCGGTATGCTCGTCACTTTCGGTCCAACTGGTCTGACCACTGAGGTCAAGTCTGTTGAGATGCACCATGAAGCTCTCCAGGAGGCACTCCCTGGTGACAATGTTGGGTTCAATGTGAAGAATGTTGCAGTGAAGGATCTCAAGCGTGGGTTTGTTGCCTCCAACTCCAAGGATGACCCTGCCAAGGAAGCTGCCAACTTCACCTCCCAGGTGATCATCATGAACCACCCTGGCCAGATTGGAAATGGATATGCCCCAGTGCTGGATTGCCACACCTCCCACATTGCTGTCAAGTTCTCTGAGATCTTGACCAAGATTGACAGGCGATCTGGCAAGGAGATCGAGAAGGAGCCCAAGTTTTTGAAGAATGGTGATGCTGGGTTCGTGAAGATGATTCCCACCAAGCCCATGGTTGTGGAGACCTTCTCCGAGTACCCACCTCTTGGGAGGTTTGCCGTGAGGGACATGAGGCAGACTGTTGCCGTTGGTGTCATCAAGGCTGTGGAGAAGAAGGATCCAACTGGCGCCAAGGTCACCAAGGCTGCTGCCAAGAAGAAGTGAGGGGGTGTTTGCTGTGTTGCACTTTTCTTAGTAATGTACTCTGTTTCTGTTATGTTTCTAGACAGCTGATTTCGTTTTCAATTGGATGTTAAGCAGTTTTGCGAACGAGTTATGTGTTCGGATTATGGTTTTGTTTTAATTAAGGCATTTTCGGATCTCAATTGTGATGGCTTCCAGATTTGTGATGATATGATGTGCTAGTAGCTTCGCTAGATGTTGATACAAGTGTAGCAGGTGTGTTGATTTGATTACTGATCAAATACCCACATTCCACACCAATGCCAATTATCTAATTTTTCTCTACCTGAATTTTGCTTGGCTGCTGAAGCATGTGGAGCACTCGGTTGAGGTTACTTGGTAATACTCCTCGAAGATTTGGTAATTCCCATTATACCAATTATCTAATTTTTCTCTACCTGAATTTTGCTCATTTCCCTTTTTTTCTTCTTCTCCTGCTCGATATTCTTCAACTCTCTCTTGCCCTAATTTTATACAAACTGAAAAGCCCTTGCAAAATAAATATCCGTTCGCAATGTTTCGATTTGAGCTATCGTAAATTGAATGGTTTGACTGCTTAATTGGAATCAATTCTTCTGATTCCCAGTATTGGGTAAAGTTAACTTATTAGATGTATATTTAAAATTGTGAAATTGCTTGTTTCGTATACAACAAGGGTCCATTTTTTTTTTTTTTTTGTAATATGCCAAAGGATCTCTCTACATCTTTGTGGTAAGCCTCTTGGTAGTACTAATTCTTTTTCTTGTTACTTGAATTGCCAATAGTCTTCACAATTGTCGCCCACTCAGGATAAGTTCTATCATCCAAGTAATACCATTTACCGTATGTCTTACCATTTTCCTCAACTCACATTGAGACCGTTCTCGTTCTCGTAGGATTTGATCGAATATTGGGGATAATCCTAGAGTATTGATGTCGTTGTTCGATATAGGTGTTGCGAAGAAGGTATGTTAGATCCATGTGTCGTACGATGTTACAACTTGAAAGAATATGGTTGTTTCTTCTTGTGCACATTGTATTGGCCAGTCCACCCATTGACAGTTCTTTTACTCACAGTCATGCAATCAATAGAACCAATCATGGCCAGGAATTCACGTTGTGCAGCATGATGAAGGACGTGTCGAGTATCTTCCATTGGTTGTGCACGAATGTATTGGGAACCACAAATGTTCATGATATTTGATCAAAATTTTCTCAAACACTCTAGTACAGTGCTTTAACCCGTTCGCAGGTCTCATCCAAAGAGTTTGTCGGGCATCCATATGCTAGCATACGAAAAGTACTAGTAAGCTTCTACTGTTGGGAGAGAGAGTCACGACCTGAAGCATCTTTCACTTGCTTGAAGTAGCAATCGTAGTGAATAAGATCATTCATGACTCGATTGAATGAGGTAGGGGGCATATGATATCGTCTTGTGAAGGCCTAAGCATCATATGTTGGGTTTGGGTTTGGTTTGGTCAGGAATGTTCAATTTTCCTATAGGTTGGCCTGGCAGTGGGGTTTTAATTTTTCCAAGTTAATATAGGTGACTAGACATTTGTGTTAGCGCCACATCAGCAAAACGCACTGTTAACGAAGGTTGACACAAAGTAATGGAAAGTGACTGAACTTAACAATTTAACTATCTTAGTGACCACGAAGAAAATAAAATATTATTAGTAACCAAACTTTCAATTTACCCATAATATATTTTTACTCATTTCATTTTCTAAATTACTATCAATATCACCAAAAATGACAATGTTATAATACATCCATTGAAACAATACACCAGTTTATATATATAATAGAAGCATTCCATCAATAAGTACATTGTAACAATTACAAACACCAAACATGTCCTAAGAAAATGTGGTGGGCTGGCTTAAAGGTGAGCTGTTGGTGCTTTATATTCTGGTTTCGTGTAAACAAAATAAAATAAGCAAAAGAGAGGTATTATTGAAGCCACTACAAGGTCTTCCCTTTTGCTGTTGCACATAGCCACAGATACAATAATCAAAACAAGATTTGTTTACCAGAACAAAAATGTAAGTTGATGGGTTCCATTCCATCCCCAACAACTATTTGGTGCAGAAAGCTATGTTTTTCTTATTAGTTTCCTTTCACTTGAAGCGACAACTGTAGGAAGCAATGGTCTCTCACCCAATCAAAACCCTCAACCCCATCAAATATATTTCTCCATTTCCACGGGGTGGATGGATTGAGCTCTCCCATCATTCAGCAGTTAGCATATCATCCCCACACCCTTCACAATTAGTAACAAAATTGGGATCATACTTTGTGAAAGCTTGACGATTGTTGTCATATTAATTGCTACACAGACGGCCCAATTCCTCTTACCCAGTTGCCTTCATCTTTCTTCTTCTTCTTCTTCTTCTCCCCCTCCTACATCTGAGTTCCAAGAACTCCATTTATGGGTTCTTCAGAACGACCCAAGAAGAAGGTGCAGCTGTGGAAGAAAGCTGCCGTCCACTTCGCTCTCTGCTTCGTCATGGGCTTCTTCACTGGGTTTGCCCCCACGGGTAGTAAAGCCCCAACAACCGCTGCAACTCGTTCAGTAATTTTATCGAACACCTCATCTGCAGCAACGCCCCACTCCTCCCAAATCGCATCCCTCCGTTCCACTGCGGGGGGCGGCAGCAGAATCAACAAGAGCCGTAAGTTGATCCCCCAAAAGCAATCCGGGTCAAGCTCCGACAACGGACAACCACTGCCCACGCATTTCGAAGAGGTGAAAACAGAGGAGTTCACGGGGGCGGCAGAGTTGGGTTCGAAATCGAAACTCACTCCCAGGAGGCTAATCATCATAATCACGCCCACCAACGCTAGGGACCCGCACCAAGGGGTGAATCTCCGGCGGCTGGCGAACACGCTGAGGCTGGTCCCACCGCCGGTGCTGTGGGTGGTGGTGGAGCACATGGTGTCGCCGTCGGGGAAGGAGAACGAGGTGTCGGAGATGCTGAGGTCGACGGGGATGATGTACAGGCATTTGGAGTACAGGGAGAATTTCACGGCGGCGGAGGCGGAGGTGGAGCTGGAGCACCAGAGGAATTTGGCGTTGAAGCATTTGGAGCGCCACCGGCTGAGCGGGATCGTGCATTTCGCCGGGATTCACAATGTCTATGACCTTGACTTCTTCGACGAGCTCAGGGAAATTGAGTAAGGATGAAACTAATTTTATTTATTTAATTAATTGTTTATTCATTCATAACAATTTCATTTTAATCTTTTATGTTTGGCTGTTATATTTGGGTATTTAATTTAGGGTGCTCACTGTTGACTGCCGACCCTCTCTAAAATGAGCATTGGCGCCTAGGCTAATTTAATCTTATCCCTTTGGTTTACTACAACCTGGAGTTCATGAAAGAAATCCAGTGTTTAATTATTATTTTTTAGTACAGATTTCATAATTTTTTAAAACTCATTTGAAATTGTCTTCAACAATAGCTCTTCAACAAATGTCATATCCAGAATCACTTTGAGCTTTATTCGATAGTCTATTTTACTATTAGTAAGAGATTATTAGAGACAATTTCGAAACCTTTCCCAAATGAACATGAATTCTCAAGTCTACACAGATTAAAGATTTGAGGTGTTTACATTTTTTATATCTCTTTGTGCCGTCTTTGTTTTCAACTCAAAGTTTGGAAATTTTTACACAAAAAGAACTATTTCATTATGGTTTATCCACAAATTTGTAGGAACAAATTTTCAAGATCAAATATACCAACTTATACCACTTTGCTAGGGGGTGGTAACTGGCGATGAAGGTGATAAGTGATGGTTAATATATTGATACGGTCATGTATACAACCATTATAGAGTATCAGATATACAACCACCAAATATTATTACCATCTTGGTATAGGCGGATAATATATGTCACAATTTTTTTTTTTTACTATTAATATGATTTTTTTTTTGTAAAATTTGAATTCTAATCTAAAAAACAGATAGAGCCCGTCAAATTTTATTGGGTTAAAAGTTCTAGCATGAAAAGGTATCATCCTTAAGTGGGGTTAGCAGCTACCATCCTGATCATAATGGAAGTCAGTAACATTTTAACAATCACCTTAACCACATTATTAAAGGTTTGACAGGTCAATCAAGGGAGGCTAAATTTGAATATATTTTTTTATAGATGGAGAATTATATTTTAGCATTTAACAATAATAATAATAATAAAATTATAATTTGTTTCCTCAAAGTGTGTCAGTGGGATTCTTTCCCTCTGGATTAGGCAGAGAACACGCATTTCTCTTTGGTCATTTGGTGGAGGAAATTCCGAAAAACCTATAGGGTGCTGGCCTCCTACTTTGGAGAAATAGGAAGAAAAAAAAGAAAAACTGAAACAATACCAACCAACGGTTGGATGGTGATTCCTCCCTTTACCAATTATAATTGAACATCAAACAAACAGATAATCTGTCAGTAAGCATTTGACTTTACATAATAATAATGGTTTTAGAATACATACCCCCAGCTCATTAGAATACAAAAAGATCAATTGTGCAATTAAGATCATCTGTCATTAACCTGCAATCCGACTACGGTGCTAACAACAATTGGATAGTGCGCGTTACATTTTTTTTTTAATGACAGTTGGGGTGTATGCAAAGTCAGTTCATAAGTACCCTATCATCGATTTCATCCAACAACCGTGGATTGTACGCAAATGAACAATAGAAATCGTAGCCTGATACGATTTTCATACTTGTGATCGTGACGGGGTTGCAGGATGTTTGGGACATGGCCGATGGCATTACTGACGCCACACAAGAGTGAGGTGGTAATCCAAGGGCCCGTCTGCGATTCCTCCCAAGTCATTGGGTGGCATCTCAACAAAATGAAGGACACCAACACTAAAAGGGAAGCAGTAGCAGTAGCAGTAGAAGAAGACGAAGTTTCGAAACCTCCGAAAATCCATGTTTCTGGGTTTGCATTCAACAGCTCAATCCTCTGGGACCCTGAAAGATGGGGTCGTCCTTCTTCCTCGCAGCGTACCTCCCAGGTAATTAAAAATCAATCGAATTCATCGTGATTGCTTTCGCGTGTATGTCTATAAACATACACGCGCGATGATATATATAACGTTCGGTGTCGTTGAATTTTGCAGAATTCGATCAAGTTTGTGAAGGAAGCGGCTTTGGATGTGGAAGGAGAGACCAAACTGAAGGGAATTCCAGCACAGGAATGCTCCAAGATAATGGTGTGGCGTCTTCGGCTCCCTGCTACTGCTACTACAAAAAATGTTGTGCCATCTTCTTCTTCAGATAGCAATATCCTGTCCCAATAAGCAAACCACTCATTGTACCCAACCCTAGGGAGATTTTAATTTTTCAACGGTTTTACCTCTCTTTGATGGGAGTACCTACGGCGTAAGGTTATAAATAACCAATTCTTTCCTCTTCATTATTGATATGGAATATAGAGAAATTGAGAATCACATGTAAATTGGAAGTTGTATATGCTTTTCTTCTTAATTTCAAGAAAACTTTATGGAATTGAAATCAGATAACATTGATCTCGTCCGATTCTGTCTAGGTATCTATTCAGATTAATTTGGTTTGATGTGGATGAATCGTCATTGAATCAATATAAATCATTCATATAATAAACAGAAACATCATGAAAATTATATTAGGGCCATCTCTTCTTCAAAATAACTAATTTTCACGCCCAATTTGTTTCCAAGCCTTGTAAGAAAAAACAGTCCAAGGCAAACGAAGGGCTTGGAGCCTTAAGGACTCTCAATGAAAGTTGGAATAATTTAGAGAATCATGAATCAGTAATTTGGCTAGTAGTTAGGGAGAATCAATACCTTAGTGAGTTGCCAACTTGTTAGTCTAACCTTAGTTTAGTTTGTAGAGTAGCTTAGTTATTTACTCTGAATCTGATTTGGTCAGATAATAAACTGAAATTGAGTAATAATACATATAGAGACTCATGACTTTAATATTTTATTACTTGTGCCACCATAATGCAGTACCTTTCATTGGTTACACTTGACTTGTGTTAGTAGCGTAGTTTGTAGCGCCCACGAACCCTGGAGTTTTTTTACTATGTAACTCATGGTTTTTGTATATATTATTTTGATTTTATCTACCTTTTATGTTTGATTTAGTTGTTTGGTTTGTTGTCGAAGTGATTGCGGATGTAAGAAGAGAACTATCTTCAAAGGACAAATCCCCAAACCTGACTTCAAGGGTGGATGAGACTGGACACGATAGTCCCTCACGATCGATCATCAATCGATCTAACTGCACCCACTTCCTTATAGGTGTCCATAGGGTCCATATCATTACCTATTAGTTCGGGTAAATGTCAGGCACGTGGTATGAATAAACATAGCGGTGATCAAACAATCACATGCTACCAAGATCAACGTTGCGAGTTATGATCGTGAAGCTTGCATATGCAACGCCTCACCTCTTGTTTTCTTCACCTACCAGTAGCGTAGATTTTGTTTCATGCACTATTTTTTCCTTTTATTTCGTAAAACCAATGGGCATTTTAACTATGGAGGCACTTCGAAAACCACATTCTCGTTTTAAACCATATAGAACTCATCTCTCACCACGTGAGTAAGTGGTTGTGAGAGACTCTAGGAAATACAATCATGTACTCGGACCTAGTAAATTTGCATACATGTATTACCCACGATCAGTGTCTCTGGGGTTGATTTCCTCTTGAGTTCTTTGCTTTTGAAACAATATTGAAAAAAATAAAATAAAAGACTAGACGAGGAAAAGAAAAAAGACATTGCATAAGCAAGCTCCCCCTAGACTACATATACATCGTCCATTCAGTTAACTTTGTTATTTTTATTTGCAACGGTAACTATTAATAAATAATATGATAGTATTTTTCTAATTCTTTTAATTCTTCTTCCACACCCACCAATTATCCGACCGTCCTTCAATAACTCATAGCTTCACCCCGAATTTCGTTTTTGTTGCATCGACGCCTCACCCCAAGCCCTATCATCGACGCCCACTCCTTGTCCGCTAGAAAACCCTCTACCTCTGGATTCTCGCACTGTCTCTAATGTCGCAACCTCGCCAGCTCCTCTCACAATGAAATCCCACCAATTCCATATTCCCTTTAGAGAAGGTTCTCTATGGTGCCTTCTTCAATGCAACGACACAGTCATTATTGTCGTCGACGAACTAGGAGGCTAGAGTTGCGAGTAGTGATAAGGGCTCATTCCCTCCTTGTTGTGCTTCTTGAATTTCTCCTTCTTGGACAAAAATAGTTTCATTTTTCTCTCTGGTTAGATACGCTTCAAACAACGCAGGTGATACCTACCAAAGTGGGGGAGTATTTTCAACTAACACGGGAGGTCAAAATGGCATCAATTTTCGGCACCCCGCAACATCACCCACCAGATTCTTCAAGCTCAGTGTCGAGGAGCTCCAGAAAAGCAATGTTATTGTGTGTGTGTGTGTGTGTGTTGTCTTCTTTTCTGTTGTTTCTTTTTTATGTTGAGGAATAAATGCTTTTGTGCAAGGAAGGAGGAAAGTTGTGTAGAAAATATTTTATCGTCGAGCGAGCATAGGCAAAATTGAAGTTCGATCGAGGACAGTGACAGAGCGATGCTGATGTATGAATTCAATTAAAAATATAGTATAGATAAGTCATAATTGATGAGTGGGAGAGGAAAGTAAAAATTAATTTTATTTTAAAATTTTTTAATTGTAAGGTGGAATAATTTTTTTTTATTTTTTATGGATAGATCACTCATTTAACAGTCAACTATATTAGTTGACCACAATGTAAAATAAAGTTATTGCGAATCATCATATATATATATATAATGAGAATTTAAAGTTAGTACTTTTAATGCAATTGAAAATTTCCCTTGACAAATATGAAACAAAATTCTAAACATAGTGACCGAATGTGCCCTTCAAAATCAATGTATCATATCTTATCATAGACAAATGCATAACTGGTTATCCACCTTACCTTTACTCTTTGGGACAAGTTGGAAAAGATGGTGGCCCACGTACATGGAATTTGGAACCTAATCCAATAATGGGATGAGTTGTTAATGAATTGGGTCATGGAGGCTACTCAATCACACTTTAATTATATCTTAACACACAATAATAATAATAATCTAAATTTAATGTGATTGACAATAATATATATCTACAAAAAATTCCCAGCGCGTTCCAGTTGCTAGTTATAAGGTCTTAACTCTCAATACATTATTGAGTTGGATTATTTTGAATTACGCCCATGTCTTCCAATGCAATCAAAGAAGTTTAAACTCTTTATAACTTCGAAGTTAATTAATAATGGAGTTAAATTGTTGTGTAAGCCAGCTAAACGCTGATAATGAATTATCTTCTTTTTTATGTAGATAGGAATTTTTATCTTAATACTGTGGTTAATCAAGTTAATACGTTTTTTAAGCATAGCTAGTGTGGTTAAATGATAGAGTGGGCATGTGGATTTGGTATGACAATTGGATGCAAGTTAGGTCAGATGATAGAAAGGACAGTTGATGATTTGGGGCCACTTCCAACGGCTATTTTAACACCACAAAATAAATACAATCTTCTATTGTCGCATTGCACCGCCAAAACAAAGCAGTGAATTTAGTTTAATGAATGCTATTATCTATTCAACGAGGGTAAAAAAAATGCTATTATCTATTTACTACCACAAAAAAAAAAAAAAAAATACTTGGGATGGGGCCTCAACGCCGAACCCTTAATTGATTTGTTTCGGTTAATGGGGTGTCGGTCAGGATTAGTGGTATATTCTGTGGAGGCTTTACAGACTTTTGAGCTGAATTGAGTCCAGATTTACAAGAGTTTGCTACTCTGCTTCGATTTTCAGCATGGTTAGTTCATGATTTTGATCCTTTTAAGGGGAAGAAATCATGATATTTCTCATGCCGTTCAGGTATTATAGAACAGCTCACATCGTGGCAGGAAAGCCCTTTTTTGTCTGCAAAGGTCTTTTCATTTTTCATTTGTGATTTAACCTGCAAAGGTCATGTATATTGTTATATACTTCGTATCTGCTGTTTCCCTTTGGGGATATCTATGGCAATATATATATATATATATATGGCTGTCATAAAAATAATAATATCAATATGGCTACAACTTTATACAAATGAATAAATTTGGCCACAACTATTTCAATTTGAAAAATAAATAACATGTTTACCTTTATTTTTTAGTTGATGGTGAATGGCAACGATCAACTCATGTAATTGTTAGTGAGTCGACATACATTGCTAATGTGGCTGCCAATTGTCATTCACATCAGCCAATTTTTTTTATCCAAATTGTAATCTTTAATTTCAAATTAAGTTTTCCGTCTTCTCGCATTTTGCCTTCTCTTCGAGACTTCTTTCTTCTTCTTCTACGACTTGCAACATCATAAAGAGCTTGCACTTGAATAGCTCCACGTCCATGCTTAAGAAATAGCATCCCAGATACGTTGCAAACTTGTCTCTCATCCAGGGACGTAGCTAGCACAAAAGGAGGGGGGGGGGGGGGGGTGCCAATGCACACCCTTGCTTTGGGCTCAACAAAGGGAGAATAGATGTATGTTGGAGAGAGCCCATTAAAATTACACCTGGACTTGTGGACTTGGACATTAGGAGTTGAGACAAAAAAAAATATTAAAACAAATACTTTTATCTAAAAAGTATCGAAAGGATAACAAACCAATATACTAATCAAATTCCCTTCCAGGCTTCCACTACAAAGGTAACCTATAGGTAGCATCACCCCATCCCAATTGACCAATTTCCCATTATCACCGCCCCAACCCGTAGGTAGAGATTGCCATTTGTGGTTTCTTATTGTTATTGTCCCCAATCTAATTGAGTTTTTTCAATGAATTATTTGGTTACTCCGTTTTTTAAAATATGTAACTTTTACCATGGAGAAATCTTGATAAAAATGGTCAAAACAACTCCAAATGTTCAAGGGCGTGAAGTTAATTCCTCAAATGCACCTATAGATCTAGGAAAAGTGAAATTAACACAGTTTTTTTTTAAATCGGCACCCCCTAAAGCAAAATTCTGGCTACGCCACTTCTCTCATTGTCTTTGCCTTAGCACGTGTGATTGGCCCTTTGATGCCCTCATAAGCTTCCCAAACATGAGCAACTCAAGTGTCTTGCCAACCTAAACCCCCTTTTTTATTCTAGTGTATTTTTTCTAGTTATTCTTTTTTATCTTTTATTTTAGTCCACTTTTTCATTATTTCTCATCCTCGTAAAATCCTTGATATCATTATTCTCAGGATCACTTGAAGTACTTTCATTGGCATATTTCCTTGATCACCATCATTTGTCAAATGTAACTCACTGATTGATGCATTACCTTTTTAATTGATAAAAGGTCGAGGGTGCTGAAGGATTGGGAGATGAACTAAAACTTGCAATGGAATGGGGATTCTGATAATTGTGACGGTGGTAGGAACAAACTACAAGCTATATGGGAGAGTGGAAGAAATCATTGATAGAAGGAGTTGGGCGTTAGCGTGCGGAAGAGGAAGATATAAGGAAGATAATGACTATAAATCGAGGGTCGTCTATCGGGCTAGGCTTGTGTTGTTTATTATGTTGGGTCGGGGATGTAAACTTGACTGCTTCATGGCAAAACTCGACTTGACCAGCCTAATTTTGCTTTTATTGTCATGAACCTTGATATCATAGATTTTAAGAATTTTAGAGTTTTAAATCGGGATTTTATGGGATTTTATAGTTCAAAGATTTTGTAGTAAAATCAGGATCGGAACCCATAGGTAAGATAGTAAAATCATAAAATTTTAAGATTAAAAAATGGGATTTTAATTACATTGGGCAAGTGTACTGATTTCTACTACTAATACTTAATCCTTGTTTCTGGGACATATATAAAAATATTAGACAAGTTTAGTATAAGCCGCAGAGCGGTGAACACGTTGATTTGAGTCGAGTTTTTCTCTAGTTCGAGTTTAGGTTATTTACCAAAACCTGGACTCAAGTTTGGTTCGAGTTTGACTTCAACTTGACTCATTAATAAACTCACCAGCTCAACTCATCAATAAGTTCACGATCTTGACTTGAGCTCAACTTATTATGAGTCTAGAATAGTTGAACTGTAAAAATAAACTCTAAAACAAGAACAATGGTCAATTTTTCATCACTAATTGATCCCATATTTTCATACTAAGTTATAATTACTATCTAAGGAATCCATAATACATCATTTCTATATCAAATTATAAATGAGACAGATATGTTTATGTACCCAAAGTCTTAAACCATAATATGTTATGAGATATATAATCTAACAAAATCTACGAACTATATATCGGTTTGCTTATAAGTTATATATCGTCCAAGCTTACTCGTTGACACACTATCGAGCTATTTTATAAAGCTAAAAAATGAGTCATTCACGAGTTCAATTTAACAAGCCACATAATGAGTTGGCTCGCTAAACAAGCTTTTGTTTTAACTCAACACATTAATAAATAACCTGAGTGTCGACCAAATGTTTTTGAATACAATGTCGAGCCACTCGTAAGTTGCTCAACTCATTTGCAACCCTAACCACAAGTTAGACTGAACATTTTTTGTTTTGTTCTCCTATGCCATGTGGAGGCATGTAGCTTGGTTAATTACTAGAAAAGAAAAGTTGTCCAAGTTTAAGGATTAAGTGAGGCAAAGGGAGGAAAGAAAAGAAAATTATCTCCCTTCCCCCTACCCTTGTAAGTCACATTAGCAAAAGCTGCTTAACTAAGATTTAATAAAGAGAGACGACTGCAAGTAGAACATAAACATAATCACACACTCACATGGCCATTTGTTAGAAATTTAATGCGAAAGGAAGGCGAAAAGTTAAAGCGAATAAAATACAAGTGATTCAGAAAAAGCTGAAAACCGTTGGTATTAGTTACCCAATTATCTTCTGTGAACTGACTTCTTCCACCATTGACTGGTTAGACCACAATTTTTTTTACAATCAAGTTTCAGGTTAAAAAGTCCTTTTCATTTGTTAACGAATTTCTGAACCACCCTACAAATCAAGGAATAAAGCTCTCAAAATTGTTTATCCCATTTATTCATTCATTAAAAGCAGAAGCAGAGAGGCCCTCTGTCAAATCAACCCAGTCTGCACTCTGCCGTCTGCTGCTCCGGCGATTCCCTTGCCCTTCCGGCACCGGTTTCCGCCACTTTCCCTGCACTCTGTCAATGCCAAGTGGATCCCACTTGATTTTATTTCTCACCATTTTTTTTTCATTTGAAAATTGGAAGGGGGAGCTGAATTGCTGATTGATGATGAGTAGTAAAGCGGGGAGATGAATGAATTGGTGGGGCTCACAAACACTCTCTTTCTCACTCAGACTTGGCCAAAAAGACCAGCTGGGCTTGTGGGTCTCTGTCTCTGCTTCTCTCCCTTCTTCCTCCCATTTCACATTTCTTCATTCCCCTTCTCTCCATATATTTGATTTCTTTTTCGAGGGTTCTTTAATCCAAAGGAAAGATCTGAAGCATCGTCTCTTTTTCCCCTCTTCTCTCTCTCTGTCTCATCGCATTTCTTACCAGCTTCTTCTTCCTCTTCCTCTTCTTATTCCTTTTCCTATAGAAGAGAAAAGTGGGACGGGAGGCTCTCTGGAGGCCTACTAGAGAAAGTTTTGTCCGAGATCTGTCCCATTTCCGGCTCTCCACTCACTGGTATACTCTACTTATGTTCACTCTTTTCTCTCATTCCTTCATTTCTTGGGATGAAGCTTCTAAACCATGGACCCCAGCTGGGGCAAAACAAAGAAAAAATCACTTCTTTTGTTCGGTTAGCTGTTGCCTGTGCAGTTCCTTTTGTTGGGTGTCTTTCCTTTTCTGAGTACTGAGATGGGTTTTCTTTTTTTTCCCCCTGTTTGTGGTTTGTCGGTGGATGGTTGGGTTACTGTTTGGTTGCTGAGAAAATGGCAGGAAAAAATTGGGGGGGGGGGGGATCGGGGTGAATCGCAATTTTGACACTTCAATTCAACATTTTTCTGTGCCTGGCCTTCTGGCGAAACACTGGTTACTCCTGGCCGACAATTTCTGAGGGGGTTCAGAATTAGACACATTCAGCTAAAGTCAAACTGCTTTGGCATCTTTTGCTTCACCTATGGAGTTGTTATTTTGTGGGAAATCTGTAGATGTTAATTGATGTTTGAGTATGTTTGTTCTTAATAGATTTTAACTCTTTCTCTTGTATTTGTTGATTCACTTTCCGCCTGTTAATAAGATGTGGTCCAATCTGTGTTGGAACTTCAGTGTGTTTCCTTTGTTGGGTAATTGTAGAATTTCCAAAATTAATCCTCCTGATTTCCCTATGCAGAAGATTTTGGTTGAGGAATGATAAAGAAGTGATGGGAAGGAAAGGGAATTGGTTTTCTAGTGTAAAGAAAGCACTCAGCCCTGACTCCAAGGAGAAGAAAGATCAGGTTTTTACAATCAAAACAATGTTGTATGTTAAACTGTGCGTTCTTTTCAGATGTGGGTCTTGATATTAACACATACTATCTATGATCCCCACAGAGGTCAAGTAAATCCAAGAAGAAATGGTTTGCCAAGCAGAACCTGGATGCCGGTTCAGCTCCAGTGGCGAATGGGGCAGCAGAAGCCCCACTTCCCCCACTTCCTCCTCAACCAGATGAGGAGGTGAAAGTACTAGAGACCACAATTGAAGTGAACAATCATGGCTACACTTTGCCAGTTGCTGCTGCTGAGCCACCTGAGCCTGCAACTCCTGTTGTTGTTCAAACAACCACTATGGAAGTGGTTCGAAAAGCTAATAAATTTGCTGGGAAATCAAAGGAGGAAGCAGCAGCAATCAGGATTCAAACTGCATTTCGTGGGTATCTGGTAATCTCTCTAGTCATTATGTACTGTTTTATGGTTTCTTTGTTTCCATATTGAAATTCATGATGAAGTTTTGTTGCGTCTTGTGTTTTCTTAGGCTAGGAGAGCACTTAGGGCTTTAAGAGGATTGGTGAGGCTGAAAATGCTGATGGGAGGTCCCACTGTAAAGAGGCAAGCTGTCCACACGCTCAAGTGCATGCAAACCCTAGCTCGAGTACAGACTCAAATCCATACCAGGAGAGTCAGAATGTCTGAAGAAAACCAGGCTCTCCAGAGACAACTTTTGCAGAAACACGCCAGAGAGCTCGAGAGCTTGCGGGTTCGTTTTTTGCTCTTTCACTTTCTTATCGACTATGTGTTTGGTTTTGCATATTTGTGAATTGAGAGGTTTAGTTGAAAAACATTGTTTTGTTCAAAGTATTTGTGCAACATGTTACTGCAAATATTATTTATCAACTGCATATGAATGAATACATTGGCTGTTGGTCCTTTGCTGTGCTAACCTAACCAATGTGACACTGTCGTAACAGATGAAAGAGGGATGGGATGATAGCGTGCAGTCAAAGGAACAGGTAGAGAGCAACATGCTAAGCAAGTACGAGGCAACCATGAGAAGGGAAAGAGCCCTGGCTTATGCATTCTCTCATCAGGTAATCAATCATTCCTTCTCATTTCTTTTTCCCAGAGCAAGAGCCAGTTTAGGGTTGATGATCGAACCAACCTCACTGTGAGCAATCTCTATGCAGCAAACCTTGAAGAACCCTACTAGACCAGCTGCAGGCATGTTCATGACACCTGGCAATCCTTCCTGGGGCTGGAGCTGGTTGGAAAGATGGATGTCAGCTCATCCTTGGGAAACAAGGAACGCTACTACTGATAAAGATCCCAACAACGATCAAGCTTCTGTAAAGAGTGGAAACAACCGAAGCTTGGTTGGTGGAGAAATCAGCAAAGCTTATGCCCGTTACCAGCTCAACTCTGATAAACTCTCCCCTGGAGATCATCAAATGAGTACAAATTCCCCTTCAGCTACGTCAAAGCCAGTTTCTTCTGTTGCGAGAAAACTCAAGTCGGCGAGTCCCAGGAGCAGCATTGGTGGCCCAGATGAAGACACCAGAAGCATGGTTAGTTTCCAGTCTAACAGAAGGCACAGCATTGCAGGATCATCTGTGAGGGACGATGAAAGCTTGGCCTCTCTTCCAAGCTATATGGTGCCTACACAGTCTGCAAAAGCCAAGTCCAGACTCCAGAGTCCACTAGGGCTAGGAGGAGCAGAGAGGAATGGGACTACACCTCCAGAAAAGGAGAAGGGGGCCTTGGCATCTGCAAAGAAGAAGCTTGCTTACCCGCCTTCGTCGCCTGCCAGGCCTAGGCGCCATTCTGGTCCTCCGAAGGTGGATACCAGCTTGATTAAGGCTGGAAATGGGGTGGTGGCAAATGGAGACATGTAGCCGCCATCCAGAGTTTGATTTGAAAGATGACAAGGTAGTGGAGTTGATCTTCTCGCTATCTCTTGAAGAAGTGGAAGGAAGTAGGAAATGAAAAATAAGTGTTTGGAGTTTCATACTACTATTTTTTGTTCCTTTTCTTAATGGGTTGTTTCTCAAATCTTTCTGTGGTTTCTTTCAGTGTTGAAAGTGGTTGTTATTATTCATTCATTTGCATCTGCGGGAGATGACCTGATATGGTTCACTTCATTTGTTGGGGGTTAACGGGGCGTGGGATTCACTTGTTATATTTATTTATTTATTTAAAGTGAGGGGCTTGTAAAACCTTTGTAATGTTGAAAGGTGATTGCATGTTTGGATTAATATATTTTATTTATGAACCCCAACTATTAAAAAAATACTATTTTTAGCACGCATTATTTACAATGCAATGATACATATCTTAAAACTATGAGCTAAAGTTCCAACTTTATTTAGAGACCTAAATGTTTTGTTGACTGTTAAAATTAACTGGTAACTTAATCATAATGAAATATGTGTTAGACTATAATGATATGATGTTTACATCTTAGCTATAAGTTGCCACTTAATAAATTAAAAAGAAAATAAAATGAATTTTTGTAATTTTATTTGTCTAATATATATTCTTTCAAATAAGTATAAATAATATAATAAAAAAACACTACGACTTACCATTGTCCTTCTCGATGGGAGATGATAGGGTAACAACAATCATTATGTTTTTAGGGCGACAACACCTGTTATCCAACGAATAGGAAGTTAAGATTGTGCTTACTTTTTAATTAGTTAGGTTGACTCAATTTAAAATTTGCGCAGTGTAAAATTCATGATACGGTATGATAATCATTTTGAATATTATGTTTAGAAGATTTATTCTGAGGTGGCGAAGATGACGGGAGGAATAGTAGAGGGTAAGCTTTGGGAGAGCGAGCTAAATCTTTTCGACGCTTCGTTTTTCACTGATTTCGAGTCTCTTCCCCTTTGTCCATGGACAATGGAACAGAGGAAGGAGGTGCACTATCGAAGAAGGGGATAAGTGGATATCTATTTTAGATTTTAGGGATTTAATTTGTCTGGGTTGGTTTAAAGGTCGAGTATTGTTTGGTTAGAGGGTTAGGTTGGTCCAGATTATATGGCGGATCTTAGTGACGCGACGGGTCGGGTATCACTATTTTCGGGTTAAATATGGCTGATTAGACGATTATGTCTGTCATGTCAGCACTTAACGAACTTCGTTAACGGAGATGGATGACGACTAACAGAGAGTGACCAAATGTGAACGGTTTCACTAAACTAAGTGACCACCAACGGATTTAAATATTTCCAGTGACCAAACATGAACGATTTTGTAATATCAGTAACCAACCATGGAATTAACCCCTTGCTTTTGTAATTTGTCACTTATGTAATATCCATATATGTATAATTATTCACAAATTGGTTGAAGTTATAAAAAAATTATATTATCTATGAATAACCAGGGTATGGGTATTGTTAACGTATTTGTTGAAGGCATAAATTGCATCTACTAGTGGGTTTTTTCCTATACGTGGGGAAGAAGTATGTTTAGGGAGGTGGGTCCCTAATGCACTATTTATAATTTTGATTTCTAGAAAAATCCTACAACAAAAGAAAACTGCTCCCGTTTTGGCCTTTCTGAAGGCGGTTCATTCGGGTCTATAAAAACCCTAAACCAACCAAATCCGCATCCCACCCAAACACGCACCAAAAGGAGAAGAAGAAAAATCGATCCTGCCCGAACTTCAATCTCTTCGAGCTCTCCGATTATTTTCAGAAATGGTGAGCCAACTCTTTCACTAGCTCTATCTCCACGAATTCTCTTTCTTCTTTCGCATTTCATATTCGCCTTAAGATAGCTAAAGCTCTCCGCTGCATCCATGGGGCAGAGCTTCGATCTTCGCATTCGTAATATATTCGTTGCCTCCCGATTAGGGTTTCCTGGATGAAGGCCAGGGGTTATTTTAGATTGATTCTTAAGGAGATTTGTCAAGTTTCTGCCTGCCTGTTAGCTTCCCCTGCCCTTCTAGCCTCTGATGAAACAACAGACCTAGTTGTGATGAGGAGATGAACTTTTTTCGTTGGGTCGCTGTTTTCTTTTGTGGTCTGCGCGGTTAAATGATTTGCTATGGTTCTGTTTTGCAACAGGCTACACCTTTTATAGCGGGATGTACCGTTGCTGCAGCTGCTTATGGTGCCAGGACCATGATCAGGGCTTGGCAAGCTATGAAGACGAGACCGCGTGCATTCTACAAAGGTGGTTTTCAATCTACCATGACAAAGAGGGAAGCAGCCCTCATACTTGGAGTAAGGTACTGTGTTAACTCTTAGCTGAAAGTGCATGTACAGCTCTCATTAGGATGAACTTTGTAATGAATGCAGTATCTTCTGCTAATCTGGTGAACTTCTATGCTGAAACCACGATGAAGTGAATAATTCGTCATTGAGAAGTTTGCTTATAGTTCACTTTGGCCTTTCGAGGCTGAGTGTGTAGCACACTGTCGGCGGGCGTACATGTTTGTGGATTGAAGTTTGGGAACATGATGTTGATCGTTGGAATATGAGAAGATACTTTGGGATCCCTTGTTATTATGTTATGTTGCATCTTTGAGCTATTGCATAAATGGGCCAGCTGAGATGTTTGGATTGGACGTGGTGTTGATTAATGCATTTGTTAGCTGAATAGACAGATACTTGCTGAGATGATTGTCATGCTGCTATATGACCCTTGTGTTTGTAGGGCTTCCATATTCGGTCACTCGAGTTACCCACGCAGAAACTGTGTCTCAAAGTACTAAGTCGGTTATTCTGGTTAAGGGTTTTGGGGTGCATCATTGTTTTGTTTGCATGTGTGTGTTATGTGAAGGAGCTGTTCTTGTGCTGTGTTCATAGTATCGATGCTAATCGCTTCATCTCAACGAATCACCATTCGTTACTACAGGTAGCATTAGATTTGCCTTTGGTAAGCTAGCTAACAAACTGTACTTTCTTGTTGCCCTTCCAAAACAGGGAAAGTACTCCCGTCAAAGATGTGAAGGATGCTTATAAGAGGGTCATGAAAGCGAATCATCCAGATCAAGGTGGCAGCGGCTACCTAACAAACAAAGTAAATGAAGCCAAGAACATCTTGATTGGTGGCAAAAATTCGGGCTCTGCTTTCTGAGGGGCGCACTTTTAGTACCCCTCCCCGTACTTGGCACACGAGACAGATTCTTATAACCATTGGAAGAGTTTCGCTGTTAAATGTACTTGCAGGTTGCAGCATCGCACATGAGAACCGCAGATCATTTTTCACCGCGTTCAACTTTTTTGCTTCGCATTCTTGTAATTGGAGGGACTATAGAATGTTGGGTCCCTGTCATTGTGTTCCCCTCACATCAGCTTCATCATCTGTAAAAGGAGCCCCGAGATCGGGTAGTGAGTTGTTAGTTATAACAGAATGGTGGGTGATGGATATAGCCTGTAGTTAACCCCAGATAATCTTTGAAATGGATTGATGGGTGATTGATGTGCATTATGTGTTTTGACGGTAAAACCTGAAACTCTGCACATTTGAAATCCCTCCATCCGCTATCTTATTCATCCCTTTCTTCAAAGCAAGTGTAGAGTTCATCTAACTAGTTAATGACACGAAATTGAGTTTGATTTTTAGGCCGAACAAGTCTGCTTTTGCAGTTTCGTTATGGAAGAAATTGCCCAGACAATCGACAAGCAAAGCTACTAATAATCATTCAACCTCCTGTCATAGAAATCATATCAATAGATTATAGCTCTTACTCCTCAATCGTCATTCGTTTTCTGGAGATGTCCGGTGACAAATTAGCAAAACTGAAATTTCCAAATCTCTCCTAGCTAGGATTCACCACCATTCAAAACGAGATATTTCTGGCAAATCCATCAGCAGATACATTTGGCCCCATTGTTCTCAGCAAGCTCATTGGAGCAGAACCTGTGATCTATAACTTTACTTACAAGTTGCAACAAAGAAAGCCTCTAGTCAAAAGTAGTCAAGAGACTACTAATCAAAAGACCTAGTGACAGAGGTCTCGTTGTCAGTGGCTCCCAGTACAAACGGAGATTCACTAGCTTCTTCATTTTCATCAAGAGGGCCAAGAGCATCCCCAAAAAGAGTTGAGAATATCCGACGATGGCATTCCTTGCAGAAGAAGAAATAAGAAAAATGGCCTTCATTTGGCAGCTTATGTAGCGTTGCTCCTGGTATAACCCTGCTAATGTACTCTGCAACTGAAGGAGGCACTACATGGTCATTCGCCCCCTGTTCACCGCCAAACATCGTTCAGATTAGAAAACTCGGACATCTAATTTTTACTTGGACTGCAGCAGCGCTGCTCTGCAGGAGATCATAGTACGGTACTACAAACCTGCCATATGTGTATTGGGCCAAGGAATCCCACAAGCTCACACTCCGCCTCATTGAACATGGATCTTAGCCGAAGAAGAAGACCTCTCTTCTGACATCTCCTACGCACCTGTAGATCTGCCAGATTGAACCCCCAGTTTGAAGCCTGCAGCACTGCCTCTTCAATGAATGGCTTCACCCTCCCTTGGCGAACCGACTCCTCAACATCTCTATGCCAAAACTCTTGGAATGTTGGCTGGTTGACAAGAATTTCATCCTGCGATCATCAAGCACATAATAGATGGAATATGATGCTGCTCAATAAAAAAAATTACAGCAGTTCACTAGTGATTTCAAAGAATAGCCTTCCCATTCGTGATTCTAGCATATTGTCTTTCATAGAGAGGTATATTATCAAAGCAGATGCTTACATATTTCAAACCAAAAGTCTTCAATATAAAGGATTGGACATCATGAAAATATCCAGTACATACTCACCTTCCTACCAAGTGGTTGAGACATCCACTTTTCAATCTGACCGTGATTTCCGGACAAGAAGCTGCGTCGGTAAAAATAGGGGAGGAAACTCGGGAATCTCCGTGCTAGAAAGTACATTAGCTTTCGTCTGGATGACCAATTTTCCCAAGTTCTGGTAGTCTCTTCCTTGGTCATGCTAGGCTCGTATGGATTTACCATCGGGGCAAACATCGCAGCACCTGCAAAAGTGCATGGAAAGATCATTCCAGGTTAGATCCTCATTTACGTGGGCAGCATATAATGTATCTAGGATAAAGCTGAACTGACTGATGCATTCTAAGGAGATGATATGCACTTTAGGTCGATAAACAGTTTTGCAAAATGGAAGGCGCCACGAAGACAAGATGTTCAAGATCATCATCCTAGAGTTTAGCAAATAGCAAGAGAACTAGAAGGATGCTAGTATACTGGCAATGGAAAGCAAAGACCCCAAACTTGCTCATAAGTCCACGAAATGGGAAAAACTAGTATACCGGCAATCCGATGAGGGATATATGTGAGTGCAGCCCAAGAGTGCATGCTTCCAGTTGAGAAACCCAGTACCCAGAATTTGCCATCCAGACCAACTGCATCGGCCAAGTGAAGCATATCTTGTGCCGATGAGTTGAGGCTCCTGCTGGGATGAGGGTCACTCTCTCCAAAACCTGGAAGATCATATGTAATCAACCGAACCCCAAACTCTTCAAACAGAGATGTCTCCACACCAGAGAAACCTGTAACAGCATCAGAATCAAAAGCTATTCTGAAACTAAGCAAAGACTTGCTTTTGATAAAGTCACTGAACATTCTCGTTAGTTACCTCCAAGTCGAGAGGAAAGGAAACAATGTGGGGAAATAACAGAGAATCGCGCTCGGCTGGCTGCAACACCGTGCTCAAAGTACGCTATCTGTCTACCGTCGGGAAGGCTAACGCGATTCGCACTAGGAGGATGTATTCGCACTTTCTTTACAATCGGGACTCCACTTTCATCTCTAGTATTTACACCCAACGCTGCAAAAATCGTTGAGAAGCAGATCCAAAATCAGGAAACCATGTAAATAAATGCAGCCGCAGATCGAACAGAAATTAGGGCCGGTCGGGTCGAAATGCGTACCCGAGACAGCGAGTAAGAAAACGAAGAACACGACGGGCCAGGCGTGGACCGGGTCGCGATCCTCGGGCAAGAAGCAGTCGTTCATGAAAGCCAATCGACCCGAGGCTCGCGCAATTGGCTTCCCAAGCTTCTGAACCAGGAACGAATTCTCGTCCAGAAGATTCTGCTTGGCGATGTCCTTGCATCCTTTCCCCAAGTCCAGAAGCAATTCTCCCCAGGCCTTGGCGAACTCCGTCACCTGTTCCTTCAAGCTCTCCTCCGGCTTCTTCGCATCCGCCTCCGCCGCTTCGGCGGTGATCGGAGCAGGAGCAACATTGTACTCTCCGGCGCCGACAGCGTACTCCGACGCGTTCGGATCAAACGCCATCTCCGCGTAGCGCATCCCGGAGTCCTCCATTAGAGTCGCTAGATCGTCGTGCCACGTGGCACGACCTCCTCTCACCTCCGCCATCGCGTGTGGAAATCTCTGGAACCGTCCCACTGAGTGAGATTCTCAGTTTAGTCTGCTGAAAAGCAACGAGAGTGTGTGAGAGAGAGAGAAGGAGAGAGAGTTCGAGGAAGAAGACTGTCACTTTACAGTCGCGAGTTTCAAGCCTTACATTGCTGAATAAAGAAATTCAAAACCCTAACCGACCATTGCCAACCTTTTTTCCCCCTTTTGTTGCCGAATTCGAATCCATATCTGTTTGGAAGAGGAAAATAAAGGCAAAAGGATCGGTGGCGAGTTTAATGACTCTGGGTATGGCGTCCAACTGTCGCAATCTTTTTTTTTTTTTTTACGAAGGATCCAAAAACAATGCGCATTCTCTCGGCCTCATCATCATCGTCATCTTCTCTGCCTGTGCCACCATTTTTGCGATTTCTTTATAAACCTTTGCTTGCCTACTTGAGTGGCGGTTTTGCTTCTTCCTGTGCGCGGAGAACGGTAGGCCGTCCGATGAAAGCCGACGGTTGGGATGCAGACCACGTTCTTCAAGTGGTGCGGACACCTATAATAATTAGCGGCCAGCGTACGGCGCTGGCTGCTGGTTTGGTTGTCAGTCAGTAGGATATATCAATCAGCTGGATGCATGTGCACGGGAATGTCGTTTCCTGCTTATTGCTTTCTTATCTCAGCCGCTGAGTCATGTCTGATGCTCCCGACGCGATTCATGGAATTAGGAGTGGTGGTTCGATTTGTTTGTGTTTTCGGTTTTAATCGAAATCGAACTGTTTTTCAGCTTTAAATCAGTTTTTGTTAACGGTAAAAATCAATAAGTTATTAATGATTTTGGTTACGGGCAATTGATTAATTCATGTTATAGCTTCTAATGATTTTTCGGATTGAATTAATAGACATACAAGCCCTTCTTCAACTATGCTAAGATAACAAATAAGTCCCTGGGCTATACTTCTAATGAAAGAAAGAAGCCCTTCCGTTATCATTCTCGGTCAGCTAACTTGAAATATGCTCTGAATTGTCTAAATTGCCCCCATGTGATATATGTGTTTAATAAAGTTTTGATTTTGTTCACCCTTTGCCCAGATGGACAAGAAGAAGGAGAATTGAGATTCGGACGGCGGCACAACCGTCGACGATGGAAGTCGTCGCCGCCATCCGCAAGGATCATGACCTTCCTCCACCCCCGCCGATCTGCTCGGTGGCGGAGTTCGTTCCCACGATGAACAACGCTATGGCGGCCGCGGTGACGAACGGAGCTGAGTTAGACGTTGCCGAGCTCTAGCTCCTCCTCGGCCGGGAGCGGCGAGAATTTGCGGCCTATGTGGAGGGACTGGGAGTTGGCGAGGAAGAAATTCGGACATTCGAACATTAACTCCGCCGCTCTGACCGGATCCCGGAACTGCCTCACGTCGCCACCCGGAATAAAGAGCTTCTGGGGAGAAGGGGATTATTTTTTGTCTTTTTTTGTGTTTTCTTCAATTCAATACTTCTACTACGAGACTGGCGTGTAGGAATTGGGTATCAAAATTAAAGCAATTTTCTATTCAATTTTCTATATGATTAAAAAGTTAACTTTATTAAACATATATCACATTGGGGGCAATTTAGACATTTTGTGTCCTATTTCAAGTTAGTTAACGGAGAAAGTTAATAAAAGGGCTTATTTATTATCAAACCATAATCGAGGGGCTTTTTTCGTTAGAAGTAAAGTACAAGGGCTCATTTGTTATCTTTGCATAGTTCAGGGGCTTGTATGCCTATTAATCCATGAGTTATTTGTGGAAAACAAAAGTTGGAGAAATACAACTTATACCATTAAATTTTGAGAACTGGGAGAAGGATATCATTAAAATAAATTTAGGGCGTCAGATACCATGTAATTCAATCAAATGTGCATCCTTTCGTTGTTTTTTCCGTCCATTTTACTAACGGAGAGAAAAAAAAATAGCCAACTCAGCGTTGACTTCAAGCCACCTAGGTTGCTTACTCATTTTTTAAGTGAAATTACCGTCGCGTAGCTTTCTTTTTCTTGCCTTTCTATTTGCCTTCACATTTTATGAATGTCTAGTAGATAACCCGCGCTCCACAGCGGGGTGCGTTTCAATATGTGAACCATCGCGGGCATTTACAATTATGTGCGTGCAAACCTCATATTTTATTTGGCAAGATACATTACATCACATAAAGACTTTGAACGCAATAAAAGAAATATAATGTTAGATAACGATGCACATCATTTGAGAATCTCCATTACACAAAGCGGATAAAATATAATGTTAGATACAGATGCACATAATTTGTTTTTCTACATATTTCGTTCTTTTGACCCGACTACGCGTCGGGAGATAGGAAATATGAAAAAGTATAATTGTAGAGATTTGAGTTAAATTTGACAAACATGTTGGCGCCCGCCAATGCAGGCTGATACCCAAGGATTCAATTGCTTTAATTTATCTTTTACAAATTAGGATACATCAGAATTCTCTGTGACATACGAACACTGAAATTTCAAAGAAAACATCACGAATTCACAGAGGAAACAACGTGAAAATCCATATTATAGCTCATCCACATACAACTTGTCGTATAATTATAGGAAGCTTGAATGGCATTTACACACAAACTTGGGGAAGTGAGCAATACAGAAATTATGAACAATAAATGCAAGAGTGGAACATATTTATGGTGGACTCAACGAATCCACTTCAGATGATGATATTACACCAAAAAAGTTTCACCAAAGGCACCATCTATCATCAAATATCTGTTGCATATAAAGCATTAGATGAAACAAAGTCAGAACCATTATGCATAGTATGATAAATGAAGAGCAAGATATCTCATGTGTTTCAAATGGAAAATGTAGGAATGCAATAAGGCTTATAGCACACAGAGGAATCATTGCCAGGCAAAGCACAAATAAGAAAAACATAAATGGTGTAATCTTCGAGGATCTGAATTGAATAATAAACCATTGAAGCCCCCAAGAGAATAAACAGAGCGGAAACCAAACAATTTGAAGGGAAAATCGAATAGAGAACCCATACCATTTGCCCTAGGCAGTTATCTAGTGCTGATATGAAAGTTCTCTACAGGACAGGTGCACTGTCAAAACTGGTAAATTCAGTAATGAGAAGGGTACGCAGGCAGAAATAGTTGATCATAGTTCTTAAGTGAAACCAAAGGGAGAAAATTATATTTACTAATCACTTGAAAAGGGATTACTTATTTTTAGGATATTGAATTGGCCTATGAGCTTATGATTGTTTCGAGTGAGAAATTAACACCTTGTGTGACAGCACGTTGTCCACTCGGAGGAATGCCCGGGCCAATTGGTCCATGAGTAGTGTCAATCTTCCCAATCATGACCAAAGGGACAACTTCTTAGCTGCAAAAGAAGAGCATGAGATGAGTAGGCATCCTCAATAGACATACCATTCAATTAACCAAATGAAGCACAGGGAAGAAAAAGGATGCAAAAACGTTATCTTGACATCGGTTGTGCAGACCGAGACTGAGGTAGAAGCATTACAACTCTGATGCATGATGATGATGAAGCAAAACATTTGCCTGACCTTTCACAAAACTGCCAAAATCAGTAAATCAGGACAACGACAGATCACCTGCTGAAGAGGCCAAACCAATAACACCCAAAGGCTCAGCCCAAACATACAAAAAAAAAAGCAGGGCAAAACAAACGAAGGACCAAAAGACAATGAATGAGGAGACCTAAAGTAAAAAACACAGGAAAAGGTTTTGTATCACTTTCACATGCCCCAAACCATTTTCTACAGGTAGAGAAGCAAACCGAAACCATTTAGAGGGTTAACATCTGTAATTCGAAACTCTTTGTCACTACCAGCAGCCAGCTCGAACCATCTCAGTAATATACACTCCAATTACACTCACCAGTAGAACAATGGGACAGAGAAGAGAGAATTTGGAAGAAAGAGAGAAAGGGGACTCAACTGGGTCTGCAAATCCTCCATTATGGTTTTCCTCCGCCATCTTCGCAGAGAATCTTTCAAACCTTAAATCCACAGAAAATCAACAAAATGCATCTCCGTTGAACAAAATGAAGGTATATGTATAGTTAAATAACCTAGAAACAAAAAGGGAAGGAAGGAGGAGACGCCAAAATCATGAGCCCACCCAGCCAGCTTAAAACATTCTCCCTTCTGCCTCTTTGCTGAGTAACAACCAAACACACACACACTACTCCGTGAGTCCCTTCCCCTCATTCGAGAAACAAGAAAAAGATGAAAGCCATCATCGCATTTCACAAATAGGTTACTCTAACTTCACCAGACATCAAAAGCCAGCAAATAACATTTCATCTCTTCTCATGTTCAGCAACAACAACATTGTTAGAGACTGGCACTCCAGTCGATTTTGCTAAACTGACCATCCCAGCATATGCTACTGCTACTGCTGCTCCCGCACCAGCATCCATCGTCCACCAAGAATATTGGAAAACTAACTTCTCCAAACCCGCAGGAACAGCTTAACCCCTTTTCACCTAGTCTATTGCTGCTTAATTATAAAAAGAAACAGGTTAACCCCTCTCTTAACTTCAATTAACCATGCCTCTCAGAGACAATCCAAAATAAAACTGTCATAGGAAAATCGTCATTATGGTTTCCCTCTGCCATCTCTCGAGCCCAAAGCACAACTACCTGCAAAACAGAATAACAGGCTGACTCAAGATATATGCAAGTATGTATCAATATTAAGATCGTTAGGGCATGAAAGATAAGAGAATAAGAAGAAGCAAGAACTCACCTGTTTATGCCAATAGCACCAGCAGCTCTGAATCCCTTCATCCTCCTGGAGAGTATTGATAGGCCAATGGATTATGAGTTGCAGTCTCATCTCGGACCAGAAATAGCCAAACACCCAATAAGATTACAAATAAATGAAATAATCGATCCAAAGTGTTGTTCTCTTTTCCATAGATCAAAGCTCCTCTAATAATAGAAACCGAAGAAACCAAAAATAATTGAGAGATATTGATAAAACTTACCAGGCGGAGCCACCCTCGCGGAAGCCGATCCATCCCCCCTGAGCGAGCTTCACAGCTATACAAATAGGGAAAGAAACGTAGTCGCACGAATCCCTTAATACCTCAGAAAATGAAAGATGTATCGTCATGAACCACCCTCATAAGGGAGAACATACAGAAGAAAGAAAAAAAGTGATAACAGCTGAGAATTGAAGAAAAAAGAGAGAGCAAAGCCAACCAGGAAGTGCAGAAAAAACCATTAATGAGGAATCGACAACCTCTCCCACCACCATTCTGATAGCACCACCGGATTCATCGGTTCCCGGTACCTGATCGCCCCGAAGAACCCTCGTTAGAACCTCTAAGTCAGGGAACAACTGGCTGATTCGAGGATGGACAACTCTGGCTTGGTGGCTTACCCCATAATTTGACGGTCATCTTTCTAACAGTGAACCCGTCGCCGCTATCTCCTTGGAAAGTGATGAAACAAATCATTGGTTGTCGCCGGCTCGCCGCTATCTCCTTCAAAAGTGATGAAACAAATAGAGATCAACAACCCACAACAGCAAAATAAACAGAGCAAATACCCATAACATAAACGTTTCAGAGAACCTGGAGATCTGTAAATCAGCATGCTTTTCTCAGTGAGAAGAGGAATCTTGATCGCCGACACGCTCTCTATGATTCCCATCTCGTCAATCTTCTGCAAGACCTTGAATTCCTCAGGCAAACTCAAAGCGGATGATGATCAGACCCAAAAATAAAGAGATATAAGACCTCTCAATCTTCTGCAAGAGACTCGCAATCAAAGGTGCAGAGACTCGCCATTGGAGAAAGCTTAACAGAGAGAAGAAGTGAGAGGAGGAGGAGGAGAGAGTGGTTCGAAAACAAACAAGGAAGAAGCTACTAAAGACCCTTTTCCATATTCTCTCCCCTATTAAGAGGGCATCTCTGATGAGTGGCGACATAACCAATTAGAGTTGTCGCCACTAGGAAGAACAAGAAGAGATGCTCCAAGGATTACGATTATTTTCAATAGATATATATGACATCTCCAAAGGATGGGAACATTCTTAGTAGCAATGTCTCTATAGTTAGATAATCCGACCGGCGACAAAGCTGCTAGAGAGAAAAATGTAAGTTTTTGAGGTATCGAGAACTCCCACGCCTAAATCCGCAGGCTTTTTTCCATCGACACCCACCCACCTACTCGAGCAAGTATCCAAGTGATACCCAGACTGACTTAACCATGTATTCACCGGAAGGTTTCTTATGCCATACCAGTCAGTTACCTATTGGTAGCAAGAGAAAGATAGATGACAATTTTTTCTCATAAAATAAAGAAATTTTATTATCTATTTAAGTTATTTAAAGTCAAAGTGGAACGCTATAAAAAAAAAGTTAAAGTTAGATAGGATCGGTTTGCATTTATTTTCCGCGGCAAACACTGGATCGAAGATCTTATGATTGAAATACCATAATTCACTGGTAGACCTAAGAAAACTGATTCGTCACGTAGATAATTAAGTTTAAGATAAGCAGCCGCCCCCACTGTAGCCTTAACTTGTTAGGTTTGATTTATGTATTGGGTTCCTTGAGGAAACAATAAGCAAAAAGAAAGTGAAATCACCACCCAGACATGAGATATGGAAGATTTCATCATAAGTTTACAGAAAATTTTCAGCCTCTGAATATGGAGAGCCAAGTCATCCTTCATTATGATCCAAATTCTGGGTGGAGTAAATCAAATTAATTGTGGTAGAGATTACACTCCACTTCTCAGGCAAAAGGTCTGCGGCCTGGCTTTTGTCAATTATTTTGTCACCTTTGCTTTGCTTGTGAATTGTGATTGAAAGAAATTATTTCAAAAAAGTGAATTGATACAGAAAAAACAAGATGATGAATTGATGATAGAGATTGTATTGAATGACATCCCAAGTATTTGTTGCTGACTCACCTTTTGACAAGTCATTATGGTTCCTTGATCTGCTTCCAATCCAGGTTATTCTTGCATTTTTCCTTTTCCTTTTTTTCATTTTTGTAAGAGATCAATGAAAATAACTTTTGTGGTCCAAGTTACTACTTAGCATGGTTATTTTCATGTGCTTTGAATGATGCAGGGGTTTGGTAAGTCATCTAATTTGAATCTGTTGGAGAAATGAAAATGATGCTGAGGCAAATTTTCATGTGCACCACGATATCTGCATCGTACGCGTCCATTTCAGCGGTTAGGATAAATGTGGCAATTTATTTTAGGTAAAATACACTTTCGTTCCCACCGATCCACGTGGATTAACAACAAAAAAAACACTTTCATAGCCACAATTTTCACATTTGTGACAGTTATAGACACAACTCTCAAGCTCCTTTACTGCTGTCGGACGCCTCTATGCCAAATAATTTTTTCATACTCTACAAATCCATTCTGGAAATCAACGAAATATAAATCCCAAAAGCATCACTCTATTCTGTAAACCAGAAATGGCATTACAGACTTCATTCTTGTGCCTCTTTTCTATGAAAAGTATGTGGATTGCTTTACCTCCTCCAAATCTATAGATTTGTAAAACTTTAAACCCTTGGACTCTATCAAAAGAAAATTTTGCCTCTATCATCAAGTAAAAAGGAAACACAATCATTTTATGGCTAGTGCGGGATCACTTGATCTTGCATAACTCGTTAATCCAACTAATCGGCCTAATGTCAATAATTCTACTGAACAAGAAGTCCCAACTATTAATTTGCCGAGAGATTTTGAAACAGTAGTAGCAGAGGTAGGAACTGCATGCAGAGAGTGGGGGGGTTTTTTAGGTAATAAACCATGGAGTTCCTTTGCATCTGGTGGAAAGGATGAATCAGAAATCAAAACAGTTTTTAGACCAACCACCAGAAGAGAAGCAGAAAGTAAAAAGGGATGAAGTGAATCCTATAGGATATCATGATGGTGAACACACCAAAAATGTAAGAGACTGGAAAGAAGTTTATGATTTCTTGCTCCTAGATCCCACTTTGATCTCGGCCCTACCTGATCGAGATTGTCCGGATTTGTGAACTATAACCAACAAATGGCATGAATCACCCCCTCAGTTCTGGTGATCACATACCACTAATTATATATATAATTTTGTTTTATGTTAATAGTCATTTTGGTTGTAAATTATGGAATACCGCCAGCACTAGAGAAAAAATTATTACAAAAGAAAACTTTCAGCTCACATGTTGTGATACTATTCCAAAATACTTGAAGCCATGTGGTGGATGTTGTTTGATGATTTGTTATCTTTAATATGCACGGTTTTGTGTCAAGAATATGTCAGGGAAATTGAGAAATTGGCATTTTAAGCTGATGGAGGTTATTTGCCTGAGTTTATGGTTGTCGAGGATCAGCTAAATGTATATTTGCAAGAACAAACAAGCTTTCTAAGGATCAACTACTATCCACCTTGTCCGTTTCCCGAACTCACTCTTGGTTGCGGCCAGCATAAAGATTTGGATTTATTGACGAACAAGGGATTCGGGTAGTGGTAATACCACAAGTCTTGAACTTGGAGGTCCTAGGTTCGAATCCTTTAAATAGTATCTAACCATAAAAAAGTAAATCTATATCACCGTTATCAAAAAGATTTTGATTTCTTCACCATTCTTGCTGAAGATGATGTTGGTGGTCTCGAGGTCAAGCGCAAATCAGAAGGCCAATAGATTCCAATTAAACAAACTGCTAATGCATTAATTATCAACATTGGCGACATATGTCAGGTCCGTCATTTGCTATACATACCATAGTTGCTAGTTAATGTCGTCAAAATTAAAAAGATTATAATTTTGGTGGGGAGAAATCTTTGCAATTTTGACGAAACTAACTAGCAAGTATGGTATGTATAGCTAATGACGAACCTTACATATGTCACCAATGTTGATAATCAATGCATTATGAGTTGGTATAATTAGAATTCATTGGCCTTCAGATTTGCACTTGACCTCGAGACCACCAACAACATTTTGGGCAAGAATGGTCAAGAAATCAAAATCATTTTGATAAATGTGATATATGTTTACTTTTGTTGTTGTTATGTATTACTTAATGGATTCGAACATGAGAACTCGAAGTTCAATAATAGTAGTATTATCCCTAAATCAAACCCTTATTCGTCAAGAAATCAAAATCTTTATGTTGACTGCAACCAAGAGTGAGGTTGGGAAAAGGACAAGGTGAATCGTAGTTCATCCTTAGAAAGCTCGTTTGTTCCTGAAAATAGCCCTTCAACTTACCCTTAAGGAACCCTAAACTCAAAAAATAACCTTCATCAGCTTAATTGACAAATCCTCAATTTCTCTGACATATTCTTAACACAAAACCATGCATGTTAAAGACAAAAAACACAACCATCAACACAATATCAACTACATGGCTTCAAATCTTTTGGAATAGTATCACAACATGTGAGTCAATGGTTTCCTTTTTATTATTTTGGGAGTAGATTTCCTCTAGTGTTGGTGATATTCCACAGATCGAAACCAAAACGACCATTAACATTAGAAAAAGAATCATATATATGTATAATCAGCAGTGTGTGATCACCTGAATTAAGGAGGAGATTCAGGCTATCTATTGACTATGGTTCACAAATCCGGACAATCTAGATCAGGCGAGGTCGGGATAAAAGTGGGACCTAAGAGTAGGAAATCATAAACTTCTTTCTGGTCTCTTATATTTTTTCGTGTGCTCACTAACATGATACCCTACAGAATTCACTTCATCCCTCTTCACTTTCTGCTTCACTTCTAGTGGTTGGTCAAAAAACTACTCTTTTGATGTCTAGTTCAATCTTTGCACCAAATGCAAAGGATCTCTATGGTTTATTACCTTAAAGAACTCCCACTCTCTACATGCACTTCCTACATTCACCACATTTGTTTCAAAATCTCCCAACAAATCAATCATTGAAACTTCTTGTTCAGGAGAATTATTGACATTAGGCAAATTAGTTGAATCAATGAGGTATGCAAGATCAAGAGATCCCGCACTAGTAATAAAATTGCTGATTTTCATTTTCCCTTGATGAAAATAGACGAAAAATTCTTTTGCTGCAGTTCAAGTGACTAAATTTTGTAAATGTTGGAGATTTGAAGGAGATAAAGCAATTCACATACCTTTTTCGTAGGAAATAAGCTCAAGGATGAAGTTAGTAGCGCCCGGTTTTACGTAACATAGTGACGCTTTTAGAAGGATTTAAATTTCATTGATTTTCGGAAATGGATTTGTAGAGTAATAAAAACGACAAAGAGTAACAAGTGAATTTGGGAAGCTTTTGTTTACCTATTTATATATAAGAGTGTATATCCTTGGTGCAAGCAATATATTGAAGCCTAGAAACCTGGAGTAGGTAGAGGCAAACTTCTATAATTTAAATTCGTCTCAGCACCATTTGCATTTCTCCAATAAATTCAAAGTAGATGACTTACCAAACCCCTGCGTCATTCAAAGCACATGAAAAGAATCATGCTTACAAGTAATTTGGACCACAAAAGTGTTTTTTTTTTTTACAAGGGTGACATAGATTTTTATTTATAATTATGTATTACTTAAATGATTCGACCATGAGATCTTTAAATTCAACACTAGTGATAGTACGACTAGACCAAATCCCTGATCGGAAGACCCCAAAAATGATTTTCATTGATTTCAAATGTAAGGCATAAAATTAAAAAAAAAAAGGAAAGGGAAAACACGAACAACCTGGATGGGCAAGCAGATCAAGGAACCATGGCTTGTAAAAAAGGTGAGTCAACAACAAGTGCTTGGGATGTTATTCAACACAATTCATTTACCATTACGTTGTACAAAGCATTCATCCCACCAATTTCTTCATTCAAAAACGAAAATGGCTCTCAACTGTATACTTGGTTGTATCTGTCGCTACTATCCTTTACAATCAGGGGGCCGATCGTGTATTGCTCGGAGTCGCTATCGATGTTAGCTTCTAGTGGGTCGAATACTGTCTGGTTTCAACTTTAAGGTTCAATCGCAATCTGGTGTGTAAATTTTTAGAATTCAAAGAGCCGAGTGAGACCCAGTCGGAAAAGAGCCGGAGGTGAGTAAACTCCAACTCGTTCTAAACTCGACTCAATACGAGTAGGAAGTTGTTTACACCTAAACCAACAACACTCTGACACACATGTCAAGTTTATCATATATCTTTTCTCTATCATGTAGTCGTAGACGTAACTTTTAGTTTGAAGCTCTTACCGAACCTCCATAGGAGTAGAAGTAATTTAATTTAGTTTTCATTCCCAAAAACCATTAATCAAACATGCAC